AAACCTTTATTTCATCAAAATCTTTCATTGGCCGCAGGGTGTTCAAAGACCTTTGTCAAGGATTGTCTGAAAAATATTTTTGAGGCAGTGTATTTCAGATCCAGCAACTAGTTCCAATCTGGGATTTTCCATCACGCTGATTTCAGTGGTGGTATAATTTCCAATATCTATAATCCCGGACAAAATTGTTGAGACAAAATGCAACTTCTGCAATTTTTACTTTATGCCGCCCCTATGATTTTTAATCCCCCCCTCCCCTTTCTCCGAATTAATGTAGGATTTGTAGTTCTATAACTTCTCCTCCAAACTCATGCATTCAACATTGAATTGGGGGAGGGGATAAAGTTATTTTTTAAAGGAAAGTGAAATATAAACTTGCCTTGACAAGTCTCAACCAATTTTATTTGGGGTTTTAGTCCACTTCATAACATAATAGTGTCGCAATAACATAACATAATCTACTCTAAAAAATATCAGTTTGGACTCCCGTGATACTTCCTTGGGCTAACATGCTGCCGTTGCTTTAAGGCCATGTGATGCATTTTACTGCAGGGACGCTGTGGCTAGGCGGGATACCGGGAAATTTCCCGGTGGACCCCTTTCAAGTGAGTTTGTAAAACCCAGAAAAGTATTTAACATGATCAAAACCCTTGGCGAGAAAACACCTCACTTGCATGTAGACTCAAGTTCACAGCTCAGAATTAGAGGAGGACAACCTAAAGAAACAAGGCCTTGTGAAAGAGATGAGTTGAATATGAACCGGGCTGTCGAGAGGGAGACAAGGAATTTTAACGAAATGCAACAAAGTGTGCCTAAAATATTGTAAAACATGGTAAGCGACTGTAGAAGAGCAGTCTGAAATGTGTTTCAATTTAGAGGGCGTTGTCGCAAAAACTTTCTGATCGTCTTGCTCGCAGTGTATGTGAATGCTCTGCGCCTGTGTTTGTATCAACTGTGCACTACAGCATTGAATTTGTTTCACATTTTTTTGCAATCTTAAAGAGACAATGGTTAGAAAAAAGGGAAACAACCCAACAAATATAGCAGATGAACCTTTAAAAAGGATAAAAACTGACATCTTTGAAATTTTGGTGCATGGTTTCCAGGTAGGTACTATTTGCCGAGACGTCGAGATCACGAGGGATACGCCAGTGTTTGCTACTGCTAAGGCCCCCATTTCTTTTATTGAAGGCTTGGTAATGGATGATCGTGAAACAGAAGTTATGACTGTTCGCTGGCGTATGTTCACGTTTCGACATCATTTTTCTTTGGAAGGGCAGAAGACGGTCTCCCCATGTGGCCATTGTTTTGCAAAAATGCTCTTGAAATAATAACGCAAATTGTCACGTTTTTCAGACGCTCATTCTTAGAGAAGCTGCCTGGCACTGTTCATCTTTCCTAAAACCCCGTGAATCTATGGCCTAGGGTTCCGTTTATACAAAATAGGTACGAATGCAGTGTTACGCGGCAAATAAAAGTAAGTCAATTTATGGCATAATGGGGCCTTTACGTGGAATGATGCATCTAGCTGCCCGTAAAATGTTGCTTAAATCGATTGATTCTCAGGACCTTTAAAAAGCAGAGGATGGCCAATAAATGATGCGACGTAAATCGGTTAAATCTTTCCTTCTTCTCTTTCGATAAAATCGTCCCGGCAGCTACATAACTTGCATGCTAACAACGGCATAATAATTAACGCGTGACATGGGCATAATCTTTCTCAAGAACTATCCCAGAGGTCTTCCAAAACTGATATATCTCCTATAAATATCTCAAAACGACGAAGGCGACAAGATCTTTCACAAGCATCTTGCCCCTAAAACGGTGCATGCCTAAACTGCTTTCTCTTGCTGCTACTTTTCCATAATTCTTTCTGCCTAAGATGAGGTACGGGGCTCCTATAAATACTGAACTAAAACCAATAGACATACGTAAATGAAACGGTGAAAGGAAGTAATCTACTTAGTAACGAGCGGGGTGGGGTAGCGCGATATCCTTAAATACTGGGTTGCTATGGCGATCTACTTAAACATGCTGATAATTGACGTAGGTATGAAGTTACTCATAATAATACAAAGATTATCCTAATACACGTGATAGAAAAATGCGGAACGAGCAAGGAAAGTTACAGATAAACAAGAGTGATTAGGTAAGGAAAATTAAACGAATGGACTAGAGAGAAAGGCCTAAAATTAGCAGTATTACACCTAGTTGCCCCCCCCCCCTTAAATCCGCCACTGGGTTCTGCCATGTTTCATCCAGAGAGTACCAGTTTCCAGAAAGTGAGCCGTCCATTTGTACCAGTTATCAGGGTATAATGACCTGTGTTGATATCGAAATCACAAAAGAACATTACATATTTGGCTGGCATGTCCCCAATACCCAAAATAGCCCCTCCCCCAAGTAAATTGCTAAGGCATTGAATAACTTTATGTATCCTTAAATAATGATAAATGTCCCACGCTTAAGGTGCGTTAAAAATTTTGTATTTAGGCATTCAAAAACTGCCTTTCGGTTATAAAATTCCCGCACATGTTTTTACAGAAATCAGAAAAACTGACTACTTCCTTTATTTGCCCTCTTATTTATTTTTCAGGCCTTGAATACGAGAATTTTTCCTTACGTAAATCTACAATTTTAAAAGAAAAACGGATTTCTTGCTTTTTTGAACAGATGCCTGCAGTTGCGCGACAAATACTTGATTATCGAATGTGGCCTCGTTTATCATATAAACCTCAATAAAAATTTTTTCCTACGGTCGATTTTGGGTGATTTTGAGTATGTTATAGAAGAAAAGATTCTGCACTGGATGATGGACAATTCGATTTTCTACCATTTTTTCCCGGTTGACCTAGAATTGAACGCTCCACGACCTCACAAATACCTCCCAACAAATATATGACGATTTTATGATACCTCTCAACAAAAATTGTACAACATGATATACATTCTCAAAACAAAAACAAATATTTCTCACGTTTGCCTATTCGAGTGTAATTTATAGAAATCACAACGGTTTACCATTTTCCATTTAAGAACAGGAAGAGGTAAGATCAATTTTTTCAAATATGGAAAAACTGTGAAATTTTTTGGGATTTTCTCAAAAAGTATTAGTCCAGTTTCTTAGAAACTTATCCGTTTAGTGGCACATTGTAATGTACCTCCTTGGGGTCACTTCCGAAATTCCTGCAACCTTTTTTTTGTAAGCTTTTTTAAAATGGTAAAACTTGATAGTAAACGGTGGCCGAGAGCATTTTTTCACATCAATTCAACTGAATCACTTTTTATTACGCAAGCAATGGACGTTGTCCAGAACTTTGAACAACAATACTAATATATCATTTATAAAGGGCTTCTTAAGATTTTTGTTGTAAAACAATATACAAAAAATGCAAATAAACTGCTAGCATGAGTAATTTGAAATGATTTTCAGACACGCAGCTTGCAGGGGAGCTGCCCAACACTACAGAGAAATGAATCCATAGAGAACAAGAGCAATCCTAAAGTTGCAGTTAAAATTACATGATAAATAAGAAGGAAACTTTAATACAAAAAAACACTTACAAGTTTGTTCGAATTTGTATTTAGTTCAATATTCATCTTTTATGGCTAGAATGCTCAAACGTTCATGCATACTTGAAAATCAGTGGAGGGCCCCTTGAAAATCAGCATTGCTGAAGGGCTACCCTCCTTAAACATTTGAAATGAAATGAAATGAAATACTTTGAATAGTTATATCTAAAACAGTTACATCAAAGTCACTAAATGCCTGCAAAACCCTGTCTTTAATGTCTGGAAGTCCTTCTTCTCGATTTTTCCTCTTAGCGCCTCCTGTCGAAAATCACATTTTATAATATTAAATAGATTTTCACTAAGGATTCAAGTTCGATGATCTTGCTGGTATCTCAACAAGTTGAGCACCCACTTCTTTAAAGCATCCCTGGCCAATTTAAAGCATTCTTGACTGGGGTCATTCTCCATAATGAACAAAAATTGTCTTTCTTTTTATCGCTGCAAACTATCTGGGAGTGCTGTCTAATGTCTCATGCACAAATTTTGCAAACCACCGGGCGTTCATCTTCTCGTACTCCTCCGCAACAACAACCCCTGCACCTCTGCAGAATAGGAAACACCAGCCAGCAAATGCAGCGTACGCCTCCGCGCAAGATCTCCGACCCTTTACTGGTAAACACAAGGCCCTTTTTTCTGATTCTCCTGAACCCTTCCCTTAGGCACAAAGCATCGTTATATGGATTTTGTTTGTGATGATATGAAACTCTTTCCAGATACATCAGAACATCGTCTGTCCAAAAATATCTCTTATGCTTTTTTAAAGCATCCCTGACATACAATACTCTCTTCCTCCTATTCTTCGCCAACAGTATACCTCTTTTCTAGGATTCAGAAACTTATGTTAAGCATCATTTGGTGCTCTTATTAAAGTCCTGTAGCTAACATTCCTTTGCCTCATCCATCATTCTGATGTTTCTTCCATTTTTCTCGCATCTTCTTGAAAGTCCTAAGAAACCCTGCCTTGACCCTTCTTTATAAATGCGGACCACACTTGAAACAGTAATCTTGCAATGTTCCGCTACTTTTCGAAATGACAAAGACCTTCCCTTTCGCAAGTAGCAGGCCAACACCCTCTTTCTGTCGCTAATTTTCCTGTAAAACACCATGTTTGTTAAAGAGCAATTCAACAACTAATTTTAATACTAAAGTTTAATTTTATTTTTATTTTTCAGGTTATCGTTTAATTATACAATACCGATACACTGAGAAACAGGAAGGTTTCCGCCATTGACAATACAATTACTCTATCTTGGATACATTTTGACATGCACATATGCTTTGTACAGCAATTGCAATACTCAATTTTCTTGTTTTTCATATTTTGTTTTTTCACTTATAAGTTTTGGTAAACAAATACCATTGTTTTGGTAAACAAATACCATTGTTTTGGTAGACCAATACCATTGTTTTGGTAGACAAATACCATTGTTTTGGTGGACCAATGACATTTTTTGGGTATACCAACAATATTGTTTTGGTAGACAAATGCTATTGTTTTGGAAGACAAATACCATTGTTTCGGTAGACTAATATCATTATTCTGGAATACCAATACCACTGTTTTACCAGACCAATAGACAGTGCATCTCTAGCGCATTTCTTCCTCGAATCATGTTCAGGCGAACAGCCTCTGGAACCTTGTCCATTAAAACAGGTACAACTATGTTCGAGTATGATATTTCGTCGACCCCTAGGGCTTTCAATCCACGATGGTGTGTCTCAATAGTATCATAAAGTTCTCGCATCTTCTTAACATGTCTCTCATTAAAAACCGCATTTAAATTCAGAAGCTCGTTGATATGTGCCCTTTTTATCGTCGTTGGTCGCGCGAATCTCTGTTCAAGCAAATCGACAGCTACGTCATAATTTTTTTCAGTCAAAGCAAGTCCAGCAATTACTTTTTTGGCAGGTTCTTCCAAATAGTGCTTCAAATACGAAAACTTGTCAATCTTTGAAATCTCTTCGTTTTCGTAAACCGCACTTTTATAACTATCCCAGAACTCCTGCCAATCTTGGGGGCGGCCACTAAATTTTTTCAGTTCCAACTTCGGTAGCTTCGCACGAACTTTACGAGTTGCTGACGACGCTGAACTTTCTACAGAATAAACTGATTCTTCTGAGCCATGTCTTGTTAAATTAGGCTTCCGCGATTCCAACTGCTTCTCATTCTTCACTAAACTCTTCAACTTGAGCAGCGCTAGATTTATTTTTTCCTTCATCTCTCCAGCCTCAGAAATTTCTTGTAAGCATCCCAAACCATCTTCATCAATTTCGCTTACAAGATCCAAAATTTCGTCATCCAATTTTCCTAAGACTTCAAATTTCTCATCTAGCTGTATCTCAAGCTGCTTCAACTTCAATTGATCTTCCAGACTATCTTCAATCTGTCTGATCAACTGCGTTGCAAAAGCTCTATGTCCTCCTCTGATGTTTCTCTTCTTCTTCAGTTCATCCATAGTTCATTCACTGAAACACAAATGCATCTAGGTTCGGTGGACCAGATTTTTAGACCTCTCAGGATCTATCTTGCTGATTCTTTTTTAAACTTTGTATTCCAGAGAAAACACTGAAGAAAAAGTCATTTGAGCTTTTCACATTTCATATTATTCAGCAAATCACAGCTGGGTTCGCACAACCACCCCCAGTTGCACGCACGCACTAACAAAACTTCAACGTTCTATATATATACTGTAAACTAATTAATCCAAAATAAACTACCAATGACGATGCTCTATTCAATTTACGTCAGTTGGCTCAAACGAAAGTGTAATTATTATAATCGAAGCAATTAGAAAATATGGTAAACAGAAAAGCTGCATCACAAAGTCACAAGATACATTTTAAGGCTTAATTACACTAAACCAAAACCTTAATCGACTACGCAATGAAAATTTACGTGAAAACCCGAACAAAGTTTCATTTGCCGCCATGTTTCAATATTCACCGAATAAGCACCCAGACATGGCTAAAATCCTCGTTTTTGAGATAAAACGTTGTTCAAAATTGCATTTTACAGTAGCTCAGCCTCAGTTTGTTCTTAAATTTTCTATAACTTTTGACCAGTCGTGTTCTTTTAAAAATGCTTTTTTAAAAAAATAGTGTATGTCTAAAAGAATAACTGAGTAGATTGTCATAGAGCTCATTTTGTTTATCCATGTGCTTGGAACATTGTAGTTATACACTTGTTCCAAGCACATGGAAAAGCAAAACAAATGCGAGTTCCACCCTTGTATATGACTTGAAATAGACGTATCTGGCCTAGGCCTCACTAGCACTGTAATGTGACTTAGTTACACCTCTGGTTGCTTAAGAATAATTTAACTGAAACTTAGGCTAAAAATGAAAAAAAGATTAACAATATTGAGAAAATTAAGAATAAGATAATTGAAAAAGTGAATTTTTTAAGTGAATCATAACAAATATATTTTACAAGTTTTTTAATTTTGACCTCATAATCTGAAATAACGTAACAAAATAAAATGAAATAACGTAACGTCTCAACATGTTCAAAACCGGTTACATATGTTCAAAATTTGGCGGATAAAGTTATGAACTAAGTTGCAAAGCATAGAGGTTTGATGGGGAAAGATCCTGTGTCTATGTGGCCATATTTCATCGAATTTGGGACACATTCAACTGATTTTGCACGTTTAGAGGTATTTGATAGTGCTTTTTGGGTAATATGGTCAAAATTTCGATTTAAAAGATAGTTGCATCTATACACAAATTGTATAACTGTCTTAAAAAGCAAGCGTTTCGAACGTAACTCAAATATAATAATTTCAGGGCCAGTGTCTTTTTTCGAGTTGACGAATAGCATTTTTGCTTCATCAAAATGCGTTATGCAGATTTACAGCGTCTTCATAAACGGCGGAGAATTCTATCATCCAGTACGTTTACCAAACCTAGATCTTTGGATTCCACTATCAACCTTTGCACAAAAAATAGCGATGCGTGCCTAACGATCTCTAACGACCCGCACTGACAGAAAGGTTCTTGCTGAATTGTCTCACGGGAGTGCCCATCTTGGTTAAGAAGGAAAGATTCCACATTGTCCCCAACCAAAGTTAACTTTCGTATTAGGCTTGAAATGAATTGGTTTGATTTCCTTGATTATTTAACCAGAAATTTCAAAGTTGAGGATGAGTGAGTCAAATAAGCAGATTGGATAAAATTGTGTCAATATAAAAGAAATACAACATTTAGCGTTACATTAATAGGGATAATATATCTTAAAGCTTTATTTGGTATGAACCAATGACGGTGTTTAATAATGATGGTATGCACTCAGGTAGATGGTATGAAACCTGAGTTACTCAGGTATTTTTAGTGTTGTATTCGATCAACGATTTTCTTCCAGCTCCAGAACTTTATCCTCAAGCGCCAAAGGAATGTCTTCACATGCTTGGACAACATCTGCCCCAAAGAAGTTGGTTAAGGTGTCTGCCGTGGCGTTTAAAGACAGTTGCTCGTTGTCTTTCAAGGTTGTAATTTCGCAATTAAACGTGAGGGGGCATTTTGCAATTGTCATGCGGTGAGTGCAGAATGGGCAGGTTAGAAATCTTTCCGTAGGTGAAACTGTTATTTCTCTTGCGCATGTCTTGTTGGAAATGGAAGCTTTTGTCGATACTATTACTGGGCAAGAAAGTTTCTTTTGTACTGTCGCATCTAAGAGGAAAGGTCCATGACAACACCTTCCCAGCTGAAGGGTTCTTGATAAATGTCGTTGACAATTTTATGCCGCAATACTGTTTAACAGCAACTTGGCTAATGGTAAAAGTACGAAACTCCTTCGTTTGTTCTATTGGCTCGTTCCAAAGAAAAGTTGCAATATGACCAGACTGGTCCAAAAGAACCGCATCTCTCAAGTATCTTGGTGAGGATGGTTCATCCAGGGGAATTTATCTTTTTTCGCTGATCCATTGTAACTTCCCTCTGAGCAGAATGGAGGCCCGAAGTTTGTTCTTTCATTTGTTGAACAGGTATAGGTATGTTTTCTGAAGGATCAAAGTTAAAGTTCGAGGTACATGTCAGAAGGTCACTTCCTTGGAAAGAGTTAAAGAATTAGATCACAGAATATTCTGTGATTTGGGGCCCTGTCTGTGTCTGCCAGTTGTGATATTTGAGTGACAGGGTCACCGGCATTTTGTTTTTGGATAAGGACATCTCTGGTTATGGTTAGATTCCGTCTCTTTATGACCTGTATATCCTGAATAATCTGTGAATTCAAAGAAATAATCTATTATTCATTATACGGTGTAGTTGAATGGGCAAGCGAATTTTCCTATCTTGCTAGATGTATTAGAGGAAAGCCAGACCTGCAGAGACAAGGAAGGTGTAGCACGTGCCCTACTATTGAGTATAGTATGTCATATACACTCTTTTATAAGAACCGGTAAATTGATAAGATATGCTTTTGATAAGAACCAGTAATTCAGACTCGTTGCTCTTGATTCTACAGAACTTCAGGACAATGAGATCGCGAAAAAGCCAACCCTGAAAATGTGCCCACAAGCCTCCTTATACGCAAAAGATAGCCTGAGGGTTCACAGGTAAAATGTTTTGTTTTGTGAATGCAAAGTTACCCAGGTTGAATGCAGATACATGCAACCCACGTACAAAGGTGGGATGAAACCAGGTTGGCTTTAGAAAATGTTGAGTAGACGCGAAACAGGGTTGAACCCGGGTAACTTTTCTACTGCGCATGCGGGTGAAGGTTGTGGATTTAAAAAGGCGCCACTTTGTTACCTCTCTTTTCTTATTGAAAGAATAGCATTGCCATAATCATTAAAGTGATAAACAGTTATAGAAGGTCTTCGTGAGAAGTAAAAGAATGCAGTTGCTGCTTGCCCGCCATTTTGAATAGTGAAAGCTTTTCATAAGGAAAGGCGCATGCGTTTGCAAAATCTGCCCAGTTCCAAAAGTCCAGCTGTTAACGACCAAAATAACATAGAATTGTTCACGTAAGCGATAAAAGCACAAAAATTGCACTGATTACTGATGATTTTAAAAGTAATGAATCCTGATATAATGCCAAGCCAAATTAAGCACTGGAGCTGAGAACCGCACATGCCTCAAACCGTAATGCATGGAAACGAGGCTATATATTAAAAACCCTTAAAATTCTTACCCAGTCGATGTGGGATGTTTCGGTAAAGAAGCAAACATATTAAAATAGTGACTTTATGTTCATAATTTCCATGTAGGCCTTTCAGGGATGTCATCATTTTTTGGCGTGCATTTTAAACCCTAGTGTCCTTGCTGAAGTAATTAATGCTACTCTATAAAGTGCGCGCAAAATTATCATGCAAAAACTTATCGGTTCAAAATTAGCGCTGGCAGTCTGAAAACAATGTGAACGCTTTTTTTATTGTTTGTTTTTCTAATCTTGATTACTATAATTGATGGTAATGAAAGGTCTCGTTCGGAGAACGGTCGCGAGGTGTGCGGGTAAAATGGGCAGAAGTGCTGAAAATTGTCCAAGATGACGAAATTTGATGCTGGAGAATTGCAGAAAGTTTTTGAGAGAGACGTAGGTGAGGGCGATATTTGTTCGTTTTGTGAAAGAGCCATTTCAACTTGGCAACGTACTGGCAGGCAGTCCAAGGTAATAAATAACATTGTAATTTTAAACACCTTCAAAGACAACAATTTTAAGTAAGCCAGAAGTTTTAGTTACAAGTCATTAGAATTCATAAAACTGAGCATAGCTTACACTGCAAGTTCCACTGAAAACGTCACGGTCGACTTCACATGAACACATATTTTTGGCAACAGAGCTCCTCACTTTTGCTTGTGTCCCCCAAATCAGAGAGAATCTCCTTCTCTCTTTGAAATTCAATTTGTCAAGGATTTTTCGATTGCAGCGATTCTTGATTCGGCCGACATCAGATGACCCCTTATCTTTCTCAGTTCTTTCTGTTGTTTTCAATGCTTTTAGCAATTTCGTTCGCGTCGTGATTGACGGAAGCAATCATTAATTTCACTCTACTTATTTCCGTTGCTGTAATTTCAAAGAGTTGTCTTCGTGGCCATCCTGCGGTAAAAGGAACGCAGGTAAAAGCAATTAAGTTTCGGGGGTATTGAGATACGAAACAAATAAAGAAATGTTTTGATAAAAGTTTGTATATAAACTGTGTTTTATTGCTTACGTCGCCATCATTAGGATAAGGCACCGCTTGTTTGACTTCAAACATCCTCTATTGGAAAAGAGAACGCCCTAGTCTTTGTCAAGTAATAAAAAACTATCTTCTAGTTACAGATGAATATGCTGTAGAAAACACTCATTCGACGGCGACTCTCCCTCGACATTAGCCAAAAAAGCAAAGGATGTTTTTCAGTCAAGGTGTGAGCAACATCATTCTAGAAGCACTTTTACACTTCCAAAAAAATTTTCAATTCATCGAAATGAATTCATTCAAATTAAAATTATTTGTTCAAATGTTCTTGCCAGCATGTTTACCTGACTTTCTGTGCTTAATCCTTCCTCCAATCTTGGCAACTCTAAGTTAGATGATATGTGATTTGATCTTCAGAGTCCAGAAAATGTGTTAACCTTCCTCCGGACAAAAACATCCCAGAAAGCAAACCTTCCTTACAAACAATAGAAAGTTGGCGTGGCTTGGGTGTGTCATAGGACCTCCTATTGTTTTTCGTGGACCATCCTCCAGTCATTGGCCGTGCGACCGTAATGTGTTCCTGACTTTGCTGGTCTTCTGTATGACGCACAGGCAAACTCGTGTACGACAATTTCGCCACTGACTTGCAAATATGTATTGGCAGGAAAATCTTTAACGAAAACACATTCAACAATTTACAATTTTTGATAACAATTTTTGCAACCGCATAACGTATTTCAACGCCACATGAGAGTCTTGGCTAGCAGTTTTAGATAGTTACTTAAAATTTCTTAGTATGAAACAATTTAAAAGATGCTATGAATGAACTTCTGTTGCTTATCTTCGTTATTATCATGGATGTTAACTTATTGTGTGTGTACATCTTCTTGCAGTGATTTACCCATTCGCATATTTCATATTCATTTGTTTCTCTTAGGAAAAAACATGACGGAGTCGTTTGCCCATCAAAGCATAGAAAAGGCAGTGGCGGATTCAAGGGGGGGGGCAGCTAGGGGCAGTTGCCCCTTTCTCAACGAGTTGAAGCAAGTCTGGCGCCCCTTTTTGGAAATTGTGCGCCCCTTTTGAAGAATGACAATCAGATGAAAAAGTTTCTGAGACCAATAGGTTAATTTGCTTCAAGGATTACCTCAAAGTTATGTTGTTTATTCTGAAAATGGATCTGAAATTGTTGTATACAGCGTACTCTCGTCACCAATTTTTGAAAAGTTTTCAGCGCCCCCACTACCAACTGCCCCTCCTTCAAATTTTCTCTGGATCCGCCCCTGAGAAGAGGGCTGTTTACCGCTACCGCTGTAGATAACATCGACCATTACACAGGTTCCACCAGTTCTCGGTCATCTTTTCATGGCACAGCAACTTTCCTTGCACAGCAGCCATCTAAAGGCCGATTTCTACTTGAGCAAAGGTTCAGCGAATCTTTCCTTGCACGAGCGGATTCACTAGCAAACTCTGAAAGTTGGAAGGAGTTCAACTTCATAAAAAAAAGCTTCCCTCTGAATATGCTCAAGTAGAATGGCTATAACAGCAATTCTGGATCTCGAAGAGAAGTTGACACTTTTGAACCTAACGTGTCGTCTTCCTCCAAAGCCACCCAAGTGAGGTCTCTTTTTTGGCTATACCAAACAGGGAGTTAAATTCTCTACTTGTTCCAGAATCACTGTTGGTATCCTAAGCTTTATTGTTGTTAATTACGTATGACGAGAAAGACTGGTTTGAGAAGGTGAGCGAGCTTGTTGCTAAGGAAAAGCTAGATCATCAAAAAATCATCAAATGCAAAATAATTTCAGCTTGGTAGTTTTCCATATCAGCAGATTTCGAATCAAACGATTCCTCTGTTTCGAAATTAAAATTTTTATCATCCAAAACTTTTTATTTTTTTTAAGAATTAAGTCTTTCAAAAGAAATTTATTATAGACAGTTTTTACTAGAAAATCATCTGATGATACTGAAGATGGAAAAGATGCTAGTAACTAAAATGTTGGAAAAAATGGGTCCACCTTCCTGCAGGCTAAAAATTTGATCGAGGCTTATCAACCAGACAAAATAGGCATGGAATATACGCGTGATTGCAACATTTACTTTACCATTTATCTAGTGCCTTGGTCTTTTGGTTATTAGGTGACGGGCCTGAGTGGTCCATGTAGCCGTTTTAAAAAACCAAATTTTTACAAAGAGAATGTGACAGGTTGAGATCGAAGTAAAGGCAAATCCGACTTGTTTAAATAACAGAAGGCTAACTTCTCAGTTGGGAAAAAGTTTCAATATATACACTAGCAATATACAATGTACTAGAATATCGCCAGGAATTTAATTAAAATTGTACTGAGAAAAAACAGCGAATTTATTATCGATGTCTCGAGCAAAGCCCGTTATCAAGTCAGAAAAATAAAATGTTTGGTCAGGTAAAGTTCCCTGTTGTCGTGGAATGACAACGTTTCATTTAAATTCGAAATTCAAAAAAAGAAGCTATTTTACAAAAGTCATGCTTCCATCCATTCAAAACGATTGAATTCCTAACAATCAAAAAGTTGTTTATGAATTTTCGTACCAATAGAGTACCGAAGTGTGACGTCATCGAAAATCTTTTTTTAAAATTTCTTAAATTTGACCACATAATCTGAAAGAACAGCATAAAATACCTCTCATTGTGCAAAATCAGTTAGATATGCTCAAAATTGGGCGAAATATGGCCAATGAAAAATTTTAAGTTTGCTAACAGATCACTGTTATTCTGGCCTGGTTCATAAAGTTAAGAACCAAAACCAAATTACAGAGGTCTGATGGGGCAAGAGCCTATCCTTATGTGGCCATATCTCAGCCAATTCGTAATACCTTAAACCGATTTTGCATATTTAGAGGTATTTCATGATGCTCTTTCAGGTTCAGGGATCAAAATTAAAAAATTCTAAAAAAGATTTTTATGATGTCACCACTTCGGTACTCTATATCAAGCTCGATGTGTAGGTCGCTGATTGGTGAAAAGGAAATAACTAATCAAAAGCGTCTTTCTTTCTCTCACGTTACTTTCAACCCACACCGGGATATATATTCTCAGCTTACTTTCGGTCATTATCTGACGTTTATACGCCATCAAATCTTCACAATTTATATTCCTACAACAAAGAGTGCATATAAAATAACATACCTTCAGTTGGTGAAAGCTGGGATGGACTGGTATAAAGTTTTTTAGAGTAAATTTCTTTTTCTATGGTTGTGAACTCATTTTGACTATGAAAAAGAATAAATCATTTACGTGAATCAAACACAACAAAAGTCGAAGAAGAATAGGTAAAGAAAAGAAAGTTTGTTAAAGATCTGTAGTTTAATGAAGAAGTAAAACTTACATGAAATAATCTCAATCGATAAGCTTCTTTGTACTAGACAAATTCTAACGTGCAGTTGAAGGCCCGGGTATTGACGATCCATAATGGCTGGTATTGAAAATGCATGATGGCTGGTAGTGAAAATGCATGATGGCTGGTAAGAACAAGTCAAGGATCCGAAACTTTTTATTTGAAGATTCTCAGACTTGTAGCAAATCGCTAAGAACTGCTTGTATGTTAACTCTACTCGACTCCCAAGTACCTTTAGGACCCTTCTTCGAATTTGCTCCCCCCCAATCAGCGATGTCGTCGGAAAATTCGGGCTTTCGTCGGATAATTGACAAAAGTTTAACGTGTCGGAATTACTCCAAGAAATCGTTCTGAAAAGGGATTTTAAGCTAATCTAAGGGGCGTAATTGCCAAGTTATCTACTCGTTTCGCTCGCAGGTGATCTGCATGTTCCTTTTTTACTCCAAGGGCCTTTATAACCTCTCTGTGCCCTTTTTGCAAAATTTTAACATAGCATAGCTGATAAAATATCAGCCAGTACTAAATAATCGATCAAACAATATATGACCAATGTCACAATGGGTGGAAAATGTACATAAAATCATGGAAAAATCGCATTGCTGATGGTGTTTAGCCTGTTTACGTTTCATCCCCTCAATACTGGACGGGTCTGCGGTCGAATCGTGTATTCTGCGACATTTAGAAAGAAATTAAAATTAAAGCTTGGTCCCTCCATAAAATCTGTTGCAAAAGTGTTGTTTAGTGATAAAAGGATTTTAAGTAGGAGGAAAAATAGCTCAAAGTCTCGAGGCTGGATGGGTACCTGAAAATAAGTAAAAATTGCAAAAAGGTACTCACTTTTTTGATTTGGAAAATCTTTCACAGGTTTACCAGACGTTTGGAGCGTTGAACATAGATTGTGAAGGCCAGGTAAATTAATCACTTTAATGTGGAAGCCTGGATATTGTAGGGACAGTGGGTTAGTAAATGCTCAAGACGTAATTAAGTTATTAATTTAGCTAATAGTTGCAGTTTGGAAGCAATCGAAGATTTCTTAACTTGGCACATTTCCTTAGCACTATTTTTGGAGATAATAATTGGGATAATTGTACATTGCTTAACGTGCTGGTTTTGACAGGATCTATTCCTATGAAAGCGAGTTCACCGTTGATTGGTATTCCATGTATATGAAGTTGTGTTTTTTTATCTTTGCGATCAAAACGTCATACCTTCTTGAAATATTGGAATGGGCTTTTCATTTACTCTGTGGCCCCTTTTCTCTTTGAAGCATTTGATAGTTATATGAACTGTTCGTTTTAGTCTGTTATAGTTATTGCAAAAGAATCGAATTGTTGAAACAAATTAGCTATTTTCATTAATGATTGTTTTCTGGGTGAGATTTATGGTGGAATTGAACTCGACTAAGTAAAAGGTATGAAAAGTTATATTGATTGGTAGATTTCTTGCAGAAAAACAAATGGTTACTTTGTGATGAAATTGATAATAAGAAACAGAAATTTAATATGGTAAAGCGCGGGTAAAGGAGTGCTAAATTATGGAGAAGAAAGAATTTAAAAATGGTGCGGAAAATTTGGACTAAATACATTTAATATTATTAAATGTATTACGGCGGGTGGAGCTGTTTGGGGGGTTTGGAATTATGTAATGAAATGAAAGTTCATTGCTAGATTTTAAATTGTTCAAATGAAAAAAGAAATATTTTTTGACATCGTTTTTTACCAAAGAGAAGGACGTTTAAATTGATGTGAAACAGTTGTTAAGCAATGTCAGGGGATAATAATGCTGAGCAACTATCATCCTGGCATAACTGGAGATGCTCACGGATCTAGGAGACAAAATAAAAGTCAAGGAGCTGATGTTAATGGGGAAAGCAAGGAGAGCAGAAAAGCACGTACATTTTCATCGATAAGTTATTGGAAATTGATGGGTTAAATAGCAATCGAGCTAATCGGTTGCTGAAGAAGGGCCGGGGCGAGGTTCTACTGACTCCTCCATTTCGGCCATAAACAGAAGCTCTTCGTTTTTACTGGTGTCACCCAAATCGGAGAGCATCGCCTCTTCCCTCTCGAATTCCTTTTTTAAGATTTTTAGTGATTTCCATACTGCGGCGATTCTAGCTTCCGCAGACACAAGGTGGCCTTTCATTTTCGTTATTTCTTTATGCTGCCTTTCCATATTTCTTATCTGCTTTCCTAGGTCCTGGTTTATACATTGGTCCTGGTTGAAGGCTATTAATCTGCATGGCCGTGGTGGAGAAGATGTCTGTTGTGTTGGTTGCCATCCTGCCGTGATAAGAACACAAGGAGACATTTAACGGTCTAAAGCTTCGACAGGAAAGAAATTCAAATTTCACAAGAACAAAACAGAAGTTTCCTCAGTGAGAGGTTTTTGTTCAACGAAAAGGGATAATGTGCATAGAGAAAGGATGGTAATTTATGCAGGGAGAATAAACTGGTGGCGAAAATAGGAATCACGGGTTAATTCATATTTTAAAATACGCGGTGACAAAGTCAATGTATTGTGAAGGGAACGATGAGATTGATTCAAATATGCGAAAATGCATTGCGAATTTTGGTAGAAGGAAAGAGTTGCTTACCTGAAAAATGTTCGAATTTGGAGGTAGCTTTTGTAAGTGAGAATATATGCAGAGCGAATAATGAATGATGCAAGGCGAATAATCTGCATGTGAAAATAGGAACCAGGGGTTAATTCATATTTTAAAATACGCTGTGACAAAATCATAACTTTTGCTCGTACGGTCTCGAGTTTTGGGGAGAAAGATGCCTAATTCGACTGGTTTTGATTTCCAAAAAATCGAATCAAATCTTGCATCGAGAAGGGAGAACCGAGCTGTGACGCAGCAAAGCTTTCTTGGAAAGGAAATCGAAGCCGCGAAAAACTTGAGGATTCCGCACTTAATTGCATCTCCGCACAAAGACGTGCCGGTTAACGACCTCGTCGACAAAGCCTAAAGGCGGGTTTACACGATCGTTTTTCCTTAAATTTTTTTTCGATATTGGACCGCGATGAACGACAACGATCGTGTAAAAGGCTAAATTGCTGAAAAAAGTTTGATGCTATCTGTCGTTTTTAATCCGCTTAATTGGCGATAATGATCCATCGTTGAAGATTTTATTTTGACTCCGGGTCAAATCAATATCTCTACCATCATTTTTTTTCAAAGGGGCCGACAAATTCTGACGTCATGTCAGCCTCGGGGAGAGAATTTCGATTGGATTCATGCTATGAGAACTAAAATAGTCGGGGAAGGTAGTTAAAACGGGCAGGGGACTATTTTTAGATAAAAAGAGGTTCGGGTTTTACAAGTTTTCTTTGAGAATGGCCCGTCATTAGCTACACATTAAAGGTTTTGAGCAACAGAAATAGAGAACAATCCATCCAATAGACAAAATGCACAAATAAAAAATTATCTGGACCTCGCCGGGACCATAAAAATGTTCTGCGAATATTTCCCTAATTTTTTCGGCCTAAACTTTAGGCTTATTACCCTTTAGTCTAGCGGGTAAAGGTTCCACAAAAGAGCCAATGTTACTCTCCCTCCATCGCCCATCAATCACGTTGTCATCCAATCATTAAATGTGTAGCTAAGGACGGGCCATGCTCAGAGAAAACTTGTGAAACCCGAACCTCTTTTTATCTAAAAATAGTTCCCTGCCAGTTTAAACTACCTTCCCTGACTATTTTAGTTCTCAGAGCATGAATCCAATCTTTTCTTCACGCGAATACTTAATAAAAAGTCTCGAATTCTCTCCCCGAGGCTGACATGACGTCAGAATTTGTCGGCCCCTTTGAAAAAAAATGATGGTAGAGATTTTATTTTGACCCTGAGTCAAAATAAAATCTTCAACGATGGATCATTATCGCCAATTAAGCGGATTAAAAACGACAGATAGCATCAAACTTTTTTCAGCAATTTAGCCTTTTACACGATCGTTGTCGTTCATCGCGGTCCAATATCGAAAAAAAATTTAAGGAAAAACGATCGTGTAAACCCGCCTTAACACGCTTGACGACCTTTCGAAATCCTTTCACTCCAGAGGGCAATCAGGTCCGCAAGCAAGGCAACTTCCGCCGAAAAAAGTTTGTTTCGAGGATTTTTAGGCAGGAAGATCACGAAATATCGAAAAACAAAAACCGTTCTCCAAGTGCCACCAGGAAACGGCGTAGGACTGCCGGGGAAAAGGGCCCGGCCTTCATCGCGGGAAACCCCCAGAGGGAACATTAGGGTTCGTGGACCTGCGACCGCGTTCACCGGAGCTCGCAGCTCACTTGAGGTCGGGTGGTGCGGAGCGCCGTAATATAGGGCAGCGGTAATATGGAGAAGTGACTGTTGCCGTAAAATGGGGAAGTCCTCAGAAAAGGCTTTAAACGCGTGTTTTAGTCATTTTCCACTACATTTAACGATAGATCTTCGAGATAAAGTCTATCAAATGAAATATCTCCCAGAGTTTTATCGATTTACTCCTTAAAACTTTCAAAAAATCTATCTTCGTCACTCTAGCTCATTTAGGCCCGTTTTTATTTTGTTTCCTCATTTGTTTCATTTTTTTTTCATTTTAAAATTATTTATGAACAGTAGCCCCGTCAGTCATGACTGATTTTCAGTGGGCCGTGCAATAAACTTTACAAATTAAAAAATCTATTAAAATTAATAACGGTCGATAAATCCCCTTTCCTAGCGACTGTGCGACTTCCTAGGAGTGCGACTGATTTTGTTACTTAATTTCGTCGATTTAACTCCATAAACGAAGTACTACGAAGAGTAGTCTTCAAATCCTTATGTTTATTCTGAATCCAGTCCAAAATTGGTGTACACAATTTTGTTGATACTCGTTGATTCATCTCCTTCGCCTACAGATTTCCAAGGATAACAGTCAGGCTCATATAAAGATTACTGTAGGTACTTCTTTTAAATATTTCCCTTTGAGACATATTTTTTAATTTTGGTCTAGCAGTGGTTTGGAAAAATGAATCTAGCAGTGTGGTTAGAGGGCTTTACGTCCAGAGGGCAAAATGGGTTCAGAAAATCAAAATAAAAAATGAGGAGATTTGGTGGAAAGCAGCAAAGGGACCTAAATCTAGTAGCGAGGCCTCTATTAGGGAGTTTTAAGTCCATATTTTCATAAGAAGGGCGGTAGGATCGAAAGCAACTCAAAAAAATACCCTGGAGTTTTACACCCACTTTTCATCAGAGGGGCGGTAGGATCGAAATCATTTCAAACAATTTATCGGTCTGCTTATTTAAGAAGACATTGAAAGAGTTCAGCTAGACAAATGTCATTAAGGGAGATAGTAAGAGTACTCCTTGCCGTTATCAATCTATCAGGGGAAATGCCTTGAAAGAGAACGTTTCCTGCCACAATACAGTGTAACTGCCATTAAAAAAGGCAATAAATATACGACGGACAAAGGAGGTGCCCTTCGCAGAGAAAATGGCTTCGTTAATGGAGGTACATAGAGAAAGGTCACGTAGCGAACTTCGAAGCGAAGGGGCTAGGTAACCGAGATTTGAAACCTTACTTGGAAAGCTGGGCTAGATGGGAAGTCGGGGAAAAAGTTCCAACTCAATCGGGCAAAAAACCTAGGAGGAGTTCATGTCAATAGATCCGTGAGATATCGTACCGATTTGAATAGGCGAGCTCATTTGGATATGTAGAAATCAAAACTGCTTGGGAACTGTATATTTAATTTCAATTCCGTAAAGATTAGCCAAATTTCCATCGGATTCTTCTGAATAAAAGTTATTTCCAAACGTATTTCTCACTGACGAAAATAAGATAAAATGCATAAAATGAACGTACGATTTGTCAAAAGTGTAATCGGTCTACCTCTTATATCATCAATTGTCTTAGATGAGATATCGAGTCCCGTCAAAAAATCAACTATTTTTATCAAAATGTGCAGTTTCTTTAAAATTAGACATGGTCCATGATGTTATCTTGTCGGAAAATCGTAGGCCTGGGTCCCCCCCCCCCCCCCCCCCAAATGAAAGCCTGAATTTCCGCCACTCAGCCGATGGGTCCAAGGAGGAAACGGGAAGTATCCGTTAGGGAAGCGAAACAAGGGGAAACCCCGCGCATCAAGGGCTCGGGCCGCGCGCATCAAACTAGTCGGCTGATTGGTATGTTCGCATATTACTTTGAAGAACAGGAGTATTAAATCCATGACACAGAGAGGGTCAAAATGCAGGAGTAAAGTATTTAAGCATATATGTAGGGAAAATCTGACAAATTTCTTAAAAAAGGATAGCAGAGCAGACCATGTTTATAATAGAAATTTCAATCTAGTAAATAGGAATATAGGATATGAAATTAGAAATTAGTACCTATCTAATGGATAACGGTGTGAAAATTGCGAAATCGCTTTTTAATCTGGTGGCATATCCTTCTCGATAAAATCGAAATGCAGGAGTGAAGCATTAGAAAATACATATATACTAGGTAATCATCATTCAGCGAATTAATGTCTAAAAAGGAGAGGAAACAATGTATCTTACAAAAGCCCCCTGTCCATTAAATGTGATATAGAAATAGAAAACGGACATACTTTGTCAAAAACAATTTATAGATCGGAAAATCGATTCTCAATCTTATCATTGGCACAAAGAATTCAAAATGCAGGGGTAAAGCATAAGAAAATGTACATATATAGGAAATAAGTATTTAACAAATTTAAGATTACACTATAGACTGGCATTCGATAAACATCTTTGACAAGTAAACAGCAATATCGCAGTATAAAGAGCGGTAATTACACTTACGGGAGAAGAAAGTGCAATTATGATCCAAAATACTTTCCAAATTCAGTCACCGTTACCAAATTTCCAAAATGTGTCGGCAAAATCCTTGAAAAAATCAAACAAGATATTCTGGTTTACAAGTTATCAAATCTAACAAAGCTATGAAAAAGAAGAGGGCAACATGTTTCGCTGGATGTCATATAAACAGGAGAGCCCTAAACAACCAAACCAGGGAGCGATTCGTTGAGGCAGCCAAGAACTCCTTGACCTGTATGACACGCTGTTAAAAGGATTATCCAATAAGGATTTACTTGATGCTCTTCAAAGTATACTTTTTTCGTTATGAAAATGAAATTCGTAAGCTAAAAATAAAAAATACGACGAAGCAATTCAATTCAATTCAATTGAGCAAAGTCAAATTTTGACTTGAAAATCCAAGCACATCGTTAAAAAGGGCGTGACTTCACTCAACCTTGACGAGAACTTCAGATATCAAAGTTTTTGGTATCCTTTTTCTCTGGACTCCATTGACTAGATTCCTCTGAATTCTCTCCTGTTTACTACACAGCATTCGGGGCAAGCATATGCAACACGAGTTTAACAAATATCCTTAGAATAAAAAAAGAATGCCATCTTAAATGAGCCTGCTTTGGAAGGCGGGGTTTAGAGAGAGAAAATGTAATGCAAAATAAGTAGGTGATGAATGCGTCTTGGCAGTATTCTGGGGGGAAAGGAAGAAACAAGCAAAGTTTTTAAACGCAATTCAAATCCAACAGCTCTATGTGACCACAGACGGCGCTTCTGAAAATATGACAGTCAGCTGGCATTTTATGAGCATGTCGATTCAATGAAGAAAACATCAACTATCAATTTACATAAGAACAATTATAAAAGATAACAGAAACATGCTCACCCTAAACGAATTTCAAAATCGAATATTTTTGCCAACCATCTCACCACATCTTTCCCGCACACATTCTTGCGCAGAATGCGCAACTGAGAGCATTACCGTGAATGTTTGCTTTTATGGCACTCAAAGGCAGAGACGTTGATCTGCTTTTTCCCATAAAAGGAAAGACTTTTTCGACCGGAAAGGAATTGTCTAACACATAAAGACTTTCCAAAAAGATGGCCACATATATTTAATAGAAATAGATATTTCATAGACACATGATAATTTGGAATAATTTCAGACCATCAAGAATATCATGAGTTTTTAGATAATCATCTAAACTTTTTTCGAATTGAATCAGTATGATGTTTGCTGAATAAGAATGCAATCAGCAAAACAACAAAGAACCGGGCCATAAAAATGAAATGCTGTCCAGAAACAAGGATCACAGATACTGGCAACGATCCGAACTGAGATACGCGGCACCACTTCACGTTCAGGACAAAGAAATTGTGGATGTTCTGACGATCAATATGTTTTAAAAATGTTGAATTGTTGGCTTAAACCCATTCATTCTGCAAGGTGTAGGGGGTGATGACTAAGGCCTGGTTCAGACGGCATATTATTCATACGGCTATTTGATTCGAATGAAATAGAAAATACGGCAGTTGATTCAAACGCCTTGTTAAATGCAATTTTAATTGGTTGCTATTGTTTTAATCTCAGAATCGTGATGATTAGGCTTTCTTGAGTGAGAACCGCAACCAAGATGGCGGAAATGAAAAAATTGAAATTAGTCCTCCAAAAAAATTTAACGACCGGAATTGAACAAGACGAAGAAAAGGAACTATACTACAGGGGAGTATTGGTTTTCAGCTTGCCTCATTAAGGAGAGGATTTATTTTCAGGCACTCTATATCTATCCCTGCTTCTTATAATTGGTTATAAAAGATGTAAAATCGCCCGCAATGTCGCAGGCTTCATCGGAGCGAATGCTGGTACTTCATCCAGAGCATGCTGGAGCTTCGAAAACCCACCATTCTTGAATCACACATCGATGGCGGGAATTTTGCCTATGTATTCAACAGGCAATAGAAGCTTTGTTCCAATCCCTCTCGAAAACAATAGACTGAAATATTGTAACAACTTGCAAAGTTTATGCATTTAGTTCAACACAAGGGAATACGGTGTCTGAATTAGATCCGTACTTGTGTCGAATAATGCGGCCGCCCGTGTCGAACTAAATAGTTGCTTCGAATAAAATGAAAAGTGCTGTACGAAATTGATTCAGACACCGTATTTATCATGTACTTAAATGAGGCTATTTAATACGGCACATGAATAATACGACGTCTGAACTAGGCCTAAGTGTCGAGTGATGCTATAAGAGGGATGGTACTAGACCCTTATAAAACCAAAAGAAACGTAGACAGCCATGATGCAATTGTGCAAGGTTAACTGAAATTGAGAGCCAAGTAAAAACGCGCATGGGGTAACCACGCAGGCGTGCCAGCAGTCAAAATCAAACATGTTTTCGGGGAATGTTTACAATCAGGGGGATTCTTTCGAGCCATGTCCGTTTCATGCATCACAAAATTGATTTTTGCTACCAGGCTAAATATTTTCTTATGCTTTTTTCTTAAAGGTAATGTGTCCATATAAAAGGACTGCGTATACCCAACTTTTCAAGCCACCCATCAAAATTACGGTTTGCGGTTGGTTAGTATTCTTGCGATGCAAAACTGCTCACATGAAAAGCTAACCTCGCAGCAGTAAAATAAACAAAACGATGGGGCGATGACATGAAAAATCACATGTTTCTAAAAAAGCCCCGCAGAGTCGCTTGCTTTAGCTGGACACATTACCTTTAAATTATTAAATATTTCCTTCTAAAAAAGCTAAATATTTTTATTTATGGAAAGTGGTGACAAAAATAACAACAACAAAATATAGAGAAATCAAAATGTTCATGAAGCGGACTACTAAATACAATATAATTAAGGCAAATATATAATACATATTACCATTTAAACTTTTGACTAAGATAAAATGCCAAGATATCTTCAAATGCATTTTGTATAACTATCAAATCATTGTTGCACGTCTTTTCGCAGGTTTTTGGTTAAGAAACTCACATGAAACAATCTTGGCCGTACCCATTTTAGTTGTAGTAAGTAGCTTAGGGCTTTTATCAACACAACTGTTTAAACGATAAAACTAATAATGTTTGGAGTGATTTTTTGATGTCTTTAATACAAGGAAGAACTTAGCTGTGTAGGAAAGCGAAGTATAAACTAAGAACGAAGCAACAAATAATTTTGATCAAAACATCTGCAAGATCTTCAACTTTCTACCTTTTTTAAACGAAATGACATGGAACTTACAGAAAAGCTCCGGGATAAACATGTGATTAACCAACCGATGAAAATTGCTCCATGCACAATACGGGCGAGAAAGGCACGATACCTGGCTTATCGGCAAACTCGTATAGATGTGACTTAGGAAATAAACCTTAAGTTTAACGCGATTTTCGCAAAACAGAATGATAACGTCTTGGTATTAACGACATTAATATCGATGTTTCCTAACGATTCTTCATCACATGTTGTTCTTGGAAAAGTCATTGTCATGGCGATTAATAAGGAACTGCCAGGTATATCACTTCGGTTTCGTTTCCTGATCTGAAACATGCCTGATGTAGATGGCATCTTCCGGGTGCCTGAAACAGAAGTAAGCAGTTTGTAACTAAAAGAGTTTTAAGCCTTTGAATCGATGCAACGTTTGCACAATATGCCTACAAAAGTCAGAGATCTCCAGGTGTTTTTGAAGTGCACAGGAGGATCGGGGTAAAGCATCTGCAGTAAACATATATGTGGTACAGGAAGTGAGAAAAAATCAACATAAAAACGTAAGCTCAGTTTTGTTTATAGCAAGATTGAAAGATTGGAGGTTGCAGATCGGGGAGACTGAGCCGAGGGAAGGGGTTGGGTTGTTCAAAAGCTTTAGAAAAGCTACAGGAGAAACATTTGGGTGCGTCCAGGAAAATGATAAGATGAGTAAGTGTTGACGTCATATAAAAAGTATTACAAACATTTTTAAGTTTTGAATATAAAATCTAAAAGAACCCTGTAAAACAGCCATACATATAAAACAGCGTATTCTGCGAAGCATTTTCATGTTAGACGATCAAAAAAATAAAAATTCTTCCTAAAAATTTCTAGGCATTTTACGTAAAAAAAGGTCCTTACTCTTTTTCGTGTTCTTCATACATGTATGAAGATGCAATGGCGAGCATCGTCCCGTCATGACTGAATGCCAGCGAAGCAATACTGGTCGGGTATCGGTGAAACTAGAACAAAGAGCAAACAGCTTATAGGGGGACGCCTCTGGCCGAAAGATACAACAGCAACAATGTAAACATAAACACAACAACATAAACAACAAAATGTGTAATATACTGTTTAGTTAAAATTATCAAAATAAAGCAATGGGTAATCATCCATAAAAACGATTTCAGATGAAAATATAGAAGAACACAAGATGTGAAGGAAAGGAAGATCGGTATAACTTCATTAAATTGCCAATCTTTAAAGGCTCTGCGGCATACAGAGTTAACCGCGCAGAGTTAGCCGCACAGAGTTAGCCGCACAGAGTTAGCCGCACAGAGTTAACCGCGCAGAGTTAACCGCACAGAGTTAACCGGACAGAGTTAACCGTACAGAGTTAACCGGACAGAGTTAACCGCACAGAGTTAACGCTGAATGCAATAGGTTCTGCTGCGAAGATTGTGAATTAGCCTTACGTTGCCGATTGGCTATGTACCTAATGGAAACTTGCATGGCCATCGAAGTGCGTCAGAACATAGTGTCTTAAAGTAAAAATGCATATGACACAGATCAGTGGCGGACACTTGGGGGGGCGAGGGGGGCGAGCGCCCCCCCCCCAATACTTTGGAGGACGATGGTCTTTTGTTTTAAAACAATGGAAAATGTGACGTCATCTTATTAAAACAATAGGCTTGCCCCCCCTATTAAAACAATATTTGATCAAGTGTCCGCCCCTGACACAGATGCTTGATGATTGCATTCAGCATGAAACACTGGGTAGCAACTTAGAACCAACCTGTTTTATACACCGAATATAAAGTTCTCCCTATACAGTATCGTGCACTTTATGACAGACCGGAAAACAGTAAACTTCATGAAATAAAAATTTATGTTTATATAAATATAAAACCTGGCAAAGTCGCTTTTTATTAAAACCATCCCAGATGTTGACAAAGCCATCAGATCCTCCAGTGGCGAATGTATTGTGCCTAGAAGTCAAAAGTAAATTGAATACAATATTGGCAGGTATCGGACAGATAGTTGAATAATCTTGAATGTAACTAAGAGAAAATTGTAAAAACAAAAACCATAGGGAGTGACGAACAAAGTAGGATGTTTTCACAGATCCAGACAAATAAAGGTAAAAACACCCTTACATGTTGTGAAAGCTGATTGCATTGACCGGGAATATTTGCTCCTTTCCCTCATTTTTGATCCGATGACATTTGAAGGCGTATTTCTTCTTTTGAATTTCAGTGTTTGGATCAAAATATTCAACAGCGACACGTCCCTCTATGGAACTTAACACGTAACCTTAGGGATAAAACGAATGGAGATTAATGCGAGAAACAGTTTATATATAGTAAAAATGATCAGTTATGCTAGAAATCGTTTGACAATAAAATTCCTAGATCGAGAGGGACTGAAATGACAATTCAGGTTCATGAACATTCAGGAAGATAAATAGGACAAGCCCGTTGATATAGGTTCATTTGGTCAGAAAAAATTATGAGAAGAGATCATAGGACTGGGGTTTGCCTAACACAATGCATACTAGATTAATCTCCTTTTTGCCTTCCTTCCTTTCCCACAGAGATTATTTTTGTTTTCCTGTGCATAATTATATTCTCACTTTTTACAATCTCCTTCTTCATTTTGATCCTCGGCGTTCAAGGTGCAAGGTTTTAATAAAATCAAGCAATTAACTGCTTATTCATGAGATGTGCAAATAGAATACATGATTAAGATTATCGCAAAGCTGTGTTAAGAGGACTACAACTATATGAATTTGTAATCTGATTGGGTACAGTCTCTAGAATACAGAATTATATACAATTTTTTTTGAGGTACAGAATTTGAAAATGGCTTTGAAAAAAGCAAACATTTTACGACATACTAAAAGCTTTTTCGTCTGACACTCCTCAGAGCATAACACGTCAGAATAAGGGTCTGAAAGAACACGATGAAAAATATATACCCAGTTGTGGATCGAAATAGGCCAATCAGAAAAACGCAAGCACAAGACCTGTATAGTTGACCAAACAGTGCCGCGAGCCTAAAGAAAAATTATCACTGGATTCCAAGAGAGAAAACGAACTCCTTCTGTCTACACAATGGCGGCTTTTTGTCTGTATGAAGATCGACTCCAAAACTGCTAGATGGAGAGTCGGCCAGGCTCTGCCAATTATTCGAAACATATCGTCATTATAGAGTTTTGCACAATTTTGGTTGTCTAAAAGATGTTGACCGATGGCAGAATCACTTGTTTTAACAGTGTTTCTAGACCTACAAGATCGAGGAGGCTGTTCTCTTTGAGGGGCATTATGACGTGTCATGCTCTGAGGAGTGTCAGACGAAAAAGCTTGTAGTGTGTTGTAAAATGTTTGCTTTTTTCAAAGCCATTTAGAATTATATACAAATTTGAGGAATTGAATTAAATAACATTAGAAAAAGGAGACTAAATTCTTGAAAAAAATCATTCAATCAATTTCAACTAACCTTCCTTATTTGGGAAACATTTAATACATCTTGTTTGAAACTTGAGATTTGATTCTCTTTTTTGCAGCACGTAGTCCTGAGATTGAAAGATAAAAAATTTCAAGGTAGAATTGTTTGACTGAAACACAGTGGCAATATCAACCAAGACTGTAAAAACAGTTATGAACAGAACTGTAATTTAACTTGATTTATCAAAAGCAACATTCAAAGAGGTTGTACAACATATATATATATAAATAGAAATTTGTCTTTTGATACTTCCGTAGCACAGTGCTCAATACGTTAGCACATAGAGCCTGATATATCATAGAGTTGAAGAAAATAAGACTACATGGTTTATCTCTACAAGCCTGTTTTCATGTGTAACTCATCTCCTGAAGAGTGAGTTACTCACGAAACAGGCTTGTAGAGATAAACCATGTAGTCATATTTTCTTCAACTCTATGATATATATATATTTAGATATATATTTGTCTCTTGGCAGACAAAGATATGATACAAGTCACCTTCCAAAGAAAAAGCATATCAAATCTTACCATATTCCTAAGATCCCAAACTAAAACTTTTCTTCCAGCCTGAATAAAATATACAATGCAGTGAGAGAAAACCATAATATATGAAATAATGTTACAAAAAGATGTATCTTAATTGTTGTATTCTTTATAAAAAAACATTTAAGATAAAATAAAAAAGGATAAATGTAAAAAAAATTGGCAACAAAATGCAACAAAAAGTTTTATTTCATTTTTGGCCTTTAACTAAATATAGGGTATATTGCCTGCATTCAATGGCCAACTATATAAGGTTACCATCTTCAATTCGACAAAGAAAACATGAAAACAATTAACTGCCTCTAGAGCATATAAGGGAATGAGTACGACTATGATTTCATAATGATCAGGTTTCACTGAACTGACATTTATGCAAAACTTCAAATAGCATGTGAAAATAGCAAAAAGAATTGCAGTATGGCACCCCTCCCAGTAGATAATATTGGATAAAAGCAAAAGCAGGGAGAAAGCTACAATCTGGAATGGAACCAAAGTGACATGAAAGAAGCTCAAACGTGTCACTTACATTATTTTTGTCACTTATTAAATTCGCTAGTCCTATTAAAATTTCATATAAAAGACATCTCAGGTCTTATGGGCACTTTATATCAACTTAAAAATAGCAAAAACATGGCTTCAGTCTAGAATAAAATGCACAATGTCCTCACCGTTCCAACAACAACCTTGTCATCAGAAAGAGCCATTGTATATACCTTGGGGAAAATAAAGAAGATACTTGAAAGAGATTTGGTGACATGAAGGGTACAGTTAAGTTAATGATTCACAAACATATAGCAAGCAGCTGAACCAATAGGGTTATCCATTGACATTTAATTCTTGAGTTTTCACATAGCAGTGAGAACGTTTCTAAAAATGGTTTAGCATTAATATTTACTAAACATTTTGAGTTTTGACATAACATCATTTTGCTTTGCATAATTGGTGCCATTGTACACACATCTACAAATGCATGCGGTTGTAATGAGAGCAAAACAGCACATATTAAACTGCTTCGGGTTGTAAATGTTTTCTTGTCAACAAGTGATATCACATTGGCACAGACCAAGTAACATGTAAAATCTACACATAACATTAAAGTATGTGGGCCTTCTTAAGAAGGGGGGCATTTGAGAACAGGGACGAAAGTCAGGTCTGATAATTGTGCGGTCACTTCAATTTTGTCAAAGATATGCCTCATCTAAAAACAAATGCGTAGCATCTTGCCTTGTTATAATTCCTTAACCTAAGAGTGGCATACATTGAAGATTGTGGCATATTTTAAAAATACTAAGAGGACTAACAATAAAAGAAAAAGAGGTTCTAATTTCAGGTCCCTAAATACAATAACATGTCATAGAGCCTTACCCTCTCTAACTGGCTGTAGGTACCAACAGACTTTGACTGCCTTGGGTCCCACAATTTGATGGTGGAGTCCCAACTGCCTGTGATGATCAACCCTGTGTAGAAAACAGTATTTTGCTAATTATGCTTGCAAAGCAATCAACTTTATGCCTTTTTACTAAAAAAATTAGCAAGAGGCTTAAAAATAGTATTCCTAATACAGTTGATTAACAATTGATAAGTAAAAGAAAAAACTATGTATGCAAATGATTTGTTGATTAAGAATGCAATGTAAGTTGCATGTTTGATTGAAAATACTGAATCAGGACAACTTTGACACAACAAAAGAATAATGACAACACTATATATATACTTTTAAATCATTTGATATGTTTTGATCACCAGGCAAAAACGAGAGGTAATGAATGCTTACAAAATTGGTTTAATAAGCAGTGTTGTCTGAAAGAAATTCATGTAGGGGGTAGAGGCTGCCCATTCTGCTGATTCTAATTCAGTATTCTGTTACCAAGAAATAGAACACATTTTGATAATTATTGGGGGGAGTGGCTAGATACAGTGTTTCTGATATGGGCTTTGAAAGTGTTGTTGCTGTCTCTTCAGCAGTTTAAGTCCAACCATTTACAGAACTTGTAGAATAACAGCTACTCCAGGAGAAAATCCTATCAAAGTTCAATTCTTGAATGAGAGATTTTGACTGATAAGTTAAATGAAAAAGAAAACTGTTCATTATTTCATACCAAGCGGAGCACAGTATTCTACACATTTGATTGGCTTTTCATGCATGCCTAGAATATGCTCAGATGCTGTGTTGAAGTCATATCTACAACAAAAGACAGAAAAGTAGCTTTCTAATTCAAGAATAGTCTTAACACCCTCTTGTATCGCTAAGAAAATTTTATTTATGGATGCTTGACTTTCTCTTGATCAGTCTGACTGCTGAATCATTCAGTGATTTATGGTAAAAGTTTGGTTGGTATAGATTTAAATCAAATTGCATCTACATGTCTAAGCATTAGCAAGGAGTTCAACAAGTTTCAAAAAGAGATGGTGATTACAAACTAGACAACAATTACACAAGATTTGTACCTAACATAAACCAAAATTATGCAAGAAGCTCCATCATTAGATCTTTCCATAATTTCCAATAGATCATGATCATAAGATATAGATTTTAAAGCTTACAACTGATTCAAAGCTTTTTGAAAAACATGTTCAAAAATGTAACTACAGTTATATATATTAGAAATAATTTGAATGCTTACGATTTCAGCATGGCATCAAGCCCACCACTGTATGATGTGACTGCATTGCTGAAGCAGCAGTCAAGCACAGCCCCATTATGGCTGTACTGTATTCTCATGTTGTTGTTCCCAACATCATAAAGTCTGACACTCTAAAAAATCAGTGAAAAATATGATATACTTCACACACCAATTAAATACACATCATATTTTCGCAGGAGTCTCCATTAAAATAAATAATCAAAAAAAACTGTTTACTAGACTCCCATAAAGTGCTCCCATAAAGCCAACCGACCTTCAGACAAATGCTGGTTATCTCCCCAACAATGACAGAAATCAATTTTGGCCCATGTAAAGCTGATTGTTAAACAGATTCTCATAAGATGAGCAGCACAGAGATAGGTCAAAAATTTGATTTACATACCCTGACCTGTTGTATTCTTTACAAAATCCCTGGAATTTTCCAAGTTTTAGCAAAAGTGCTTGCCTAATCAGCCAAGTTTCATCAAAACATTAAATAATTGTAACAAGCTTGTAGAGATAAGGGGAGTGCCTACAAAAATAGACAGCGCTGCCAAACCACTACTAATTGTTCTTATGTCTTTTTCACTTATCGCTTCAACATCATCAAAGGTCGTAATTCTTAGATTGATTCCTTTTTCGTCTGACATTATAAGTTTCCATGTAGGAGTTAGATCCGCCGCTAAGGAATTTCCAATAGTACAAAAAGTCACGCATTTTGTAAGATAGATACTTTCCGTTTGTCAAGAATCTTGCATTGCATGCAAGCTATAACGCTGGTTGCCAAATATTGGATGAACCTGGTTGAATGTTTGTTTATAAACTGATTAACAGTCTACTATTATCCCTTCATATTACCTCAACATATCTTTAATCAACCTGTATCATCAAATTGTAAATATGTTGCTCATTGCTGAATGAGATGAATTTGAGTTTATGGTGGACCGTTTGAATGACAGTTAGGCCCAATTGATAAATTCACTTCCATATAAAAAACACAAAAAACCGAGAGCAATTCATTTACTAACCTTATCCCATGATGATGCAATAAGAAAATTTGAAGAAGTTGGGCTGAATTTGACAGAAGATATTCCATCATTGGGTGGATCGTTTAGTTTGAATTCATTTGAAGTCGTTTCGGCGCCCATCTTGCCAGTGTGTTTTAGAGATTTCAAATCGGGATCTGAACCTCGTTTGGAAACAGGCACAGAGTTGGGGGAGGTCTCCGTGTACAAAAAGATCCCAGCATTTTGGAAGGAAACCAACAGATCTCAAAGCCCCTAAATTTGTGCCTCTGGCCCCTCCAAATTGAAATTTCATTAAATTGTATAGTTATAGTGGCTAAGTCACACCCCCTGGACATCAAACTATGTAACTGAACCATGGGAGCTCTTTATCCCCCTCCAATTATTGCAAACAATCGCAAAGGAAGAGGAAAAATGATTCAAAATTTTCGATTTCCCTATGATTATTTTAATGCCACAGTGAAGCGTAGAGTGTAGGAGGAACAAAACGAATACATGCTCGTATTCTATTCAGTCTCTTATCTCTTGCTGAAGATTAGACTAGTAAAGCTTTTGAAAAGGCCTTCTAGATTGAAAAATTCAAGACTGTTGTTCTACAAGCTCCTCAACAACCCACGTGTTGCCGCTTTCTTCATGTATATAAAAATATTAAAGTTTCATTATAATTAATTTAATAGAGTTTGTCTTTCCACGGTTTTGCTGCATCAATTAAGTAAAAACAAACTTCGTTCCGGTCAAAAGGAAAAATAAATCTGTTCTTCATTGGATGTGGCAAGGACCTCTTGGGACTAAAAAACTGCTTCGATTTTGAAAATTTATCAACAATAATGATCAAAGGGATACCATGTCCTATAGACCGGGCAATAAGTGAAAAGATTTTATGCAAGAACATTTAATGCGTTATGAACAGTGTTGAGGAGAGGGGTGTCAGAGGGGGTCACTAGCCGGGGCCCATGGCAATAAGGGCCCACAAAGAATAACTCGATTAAAAAACTTATAAGTAATATATCAGCCTCTTCATTTTCACAACCTGACAATAATAATAATAATAATTAATTCTATGAATAAATAAAGTAAAGCAAAAACAGTAATTATCTAATTAAGTTATCTCACTGAAAGAGAGCTAGTACCAGGAAACTTTGTATGAAATTAACAAAACTTTTCTTAACAAAACTGAAAATTACCAAAGGATTTCACTCTCAGATAGAGATAAACTTTGACTACTTCTCTTGACCTCATTTTTGGTATATATTGCTCCTCTGCTACACGAGAATTTACTTCCATAGAGATCGATTTGCATCTATATCTAAACAGTTGTACTTCACCTAAGAGGTGCTCAAGGTTTTGCTACTTAGGATTGATCGTTGTTTGTCTTAGGCAGCCTTTCCACTAGCCTGGGTTAAAACATACCCGGGTTAAAAGTTATCCGTTTTTAAAGTGAGTCAATGGAAACGGCACTTCTCTTCGACCCGTTTTTAATCCGTTTTTGATCGTTCCCACTAAGCCGGGTGAAAATGTATCCAGGGTGAAAAGTTGTAAGAGAAATCAGTATTTACATCAAAAATCCTTCAATTTCTATCGTTGTAGGCCAATGGAAGCAACATCGACATCCAGGATTTTGTTTTTTGATTTTTGGCGCCGTCTCAATTTTTAAACGTTGCTGTTGTTGAAAGTGGATCAAAAGTTATCCGAGTTCGGCGTTTCCATTAGCTCGCAGGTGAGTCAAAAGATACCCGGGTGAAAACTGACCCACTTTGAGACCCATTTTCAAACTTATCCGCTTTTCAAGTGGGTTAGTGGGAACGCGACGCAGAAACGGATAACTTTTAATCCGGATATGTTTTAACCCAGGCTAGTGGAAAGGCTGCCTTAGCTGCGATACTTTTATTCTAATGTCAACTTGCTTCAAAAATTTAAATGCTTTTGTAATCAACATCATTTCTTTGAACGACTTAAAGTACTTGGACAAGCTAGCAATGTCCGTCTTTGACTCTGGAGAGATATAAAGCTTTTTGCAGGCGATCTATTGCTTTTTAGAACAGAAGGTGACGTAGAGTCACGCAAAAATAAAACTGAGGCACGCACATCTGTTTGCAACAGTGGATTTGTTTGAGTTAAGTAAATGAAAACAAATTAATAGTTAAAAAATTGCCAAATAAGTTCTTTTTAACCGCAAAACTTGAAGATGCACGAAATACCGGAGACAAGGCACACTAAAGCACTTTTCGTCTGACACTCTTCAAAGTATACCGTATTTTCTCTAATGGACGCCACCCACTGATAAACGCTGCACTTTCAGCAAATCACTTGGAAAAAAGAATTGCATATCTTATGGCTAAGATGTTTTTATTTGTATGCTTATGGCGATAATACTGTACATCACATCTGTTCAAATTATATCAAAATAGTCAACAGACTAAATAGCCACCGGTGTAGTTTAGCCACGATAACAATTTTAACAAGAATTGTCTTCAATAATTTTTGGGGGAGCATTACCCGTAACCCCGAGACTAGTCCGCCTTCGGCTTGCCTTGCTATTTATTTTTCGTCCTGATCCGGGGCCCGTAAATCCTCTCCGCAGCCCTGACTATGAACCGCATACCACATAAAACAAACTGTGGATTGAAAACATTTTTCTATTGGAAGGGAATTACTTTGAACACGGCTGCCTCGAAACAAAATGCTACACACAAAATCTGTAGGCGTAACAAAAGGGATTCTAAAAGTATGTTTTGCAGGCACAATGGAGTCACTGAGCATAAAAAATTCCGGCTAAACTTCAGTGTTTGTTATGCGGGCAAGCTTTAAAATGAGATCATCATAATTAGCAAACAAATCACTATGAAGCTTGGGATTTGTTATCGATTCTTCGCTTCTTATGTGACACAAAAGGTTGAAGTCTCATAACAAACAAGACGCTGATACACGGAAGAAGCAGCTCTTCGTGATGGTTTCTAAAGTGGCAACTCCAGTGAGCATGTTTTAATGCGCAGTGGTGCTTGTTACATGAGAGCAAATAACGTTAGTGTGTTATCATAAATGCAGTATACTTTGCTGGAATCGAGAGATCACTTGAGGGAAAACCGGCATTCTAATATACAATGTCTTTGATTTGGCCCCAGTTATACCAACACCGACCTGGTCGCAAGCTGAATGACAGCATCTCGTCAAGAGAACAAGCTATTTCCGAGGAATCCCGATTTCTGTGTCACCGATACCTCTCTAGGAAAATGCGTCGATTGTCGCTGACTATAGGCTCGGCAAATTTGGCACAGGTAAAATCGTTTAAACGGAGAACCGACGAACATACAACACTTATCATTTGCCAGTTGATTGAGACGATGGAACAGCTCTACCCTGATATTTATAACAACATTGCAACGAACCTGCACATTTCTACATTTACAGAGCGAATTCTTTGCCAGGATTTCGGAAGGTTTACTGAAGTTTTGTTTAAGAATGGTATGAAGTGGTCGCTAGTTTTGGCATATTTTGCCTTCTGTGGCGGGTTGGCGGAAGAATGTGTGCGCCATGGAAATGCGCGACTCATCAATTCAATTCTGAACTGGAATGAAAGCTTTGTATCATCGCATTTGGGAAAATGGATAGTGGCAGAAGGAGGATGGGTAAGAAAATCACTTAATTTGTGCATTCTCATCGATCTAATTGTTAGCATTGCAATCGAAAGCCATTTCGCGCCTTTTCCTGTGAATCTTCATAGCCTCGGAGTTGACACGAGGCAACTGTTTTGACCTTATTGACAGCACGCCATTGGTTATACCCAGCAATGGTTATAATAATCATAACGTGTGCTTTAGAGCCTTGACTTCAAGGAAGAACTTAGGGGTCTCAAGAAAATGCTGGTAATTTGAAGCTATGAATTGTGTTTAAGCATAAAAGCACGTACAGATAGCTATGAATTGTGTTTATACAAGGTGTCGACCACTTAAGCAAACCGGTGCTCCTTCTCATCTCATCTAGACAAACTACCAAACTTCAATAAACCTTTATTAAATCATGGTTTTTGTGTGGAAAATACTCTGTTTCTAACAACCTCCACACATTGGCCTCAAGATCAGCACGGTTTGGGTATGCGCGTTCCCCGCGCACTAATTTTTTCCTCATATCCCGTCCACGCATTTTTTCTTATTTAAACTAATCTGCGCAATTGCAGCACAGATTTTTGCGTTAATCCCACGCACAGTCTCGCCGAAAGGCTTGCAAACGCTATTTGAAAATAAAATCCTGCATCTTTTTACCTGCTGTTTTGCAACATTATTGTTCCCGCACAAGTGTAAGCGGCAGAAGATAATTCCCCGCGCACAAAACAGACTTTGCAGTCTGGGACCCTGTAACACACCCGTAAAGGTTAATCTCTATAAAATTCGTATCAGCAATACGTAACCTTGAAATTTTTGTGACGTATTTACTTTGTGTGGCATTTTGATGAATAGCTAAGTTTTTCAAATTTCAACGGAAATATTTCATTGGCCAGGTCTCACCCGAATTTTCACCAATTTAACGAATTTTGTTTACCAAGAAGTACTTCATGATGTTCTTTTAGGGTTATGTGGATGAAATTTAAAAAGTTCAAAAAATAGAATTTTTATGACGTCACACTTAAGACTTTTAATAAACACTAAATCTGCATTTGTAATGTAACAAAGTGACAATTGCAAGACACATAAGTCTGGTATTTTTGTACATCGTTTCAGCCTGGTCTGGTGGAGTATTTTCGCAAGGCAAGTCTTCAACCTGACATTAACGCTACTCCTGGACGGGTTGCAAGGGTTGCTGGGACAACTATGACGTCATTGAAAGCCAAGACAAGGAGTCTTATGAAGACGTTTGTAGGCGGACAAGAAGTCGAGAAACAAGTCCGTTTAATATTAATATGCTCTTTGGTTGCCTTTATTATTTTATACTTAATTGTAGTTATCTCGAGGAGAATCTTGGGAATATTAATTGCCTAAAAGTATGACGTCACGTTTACCCTTTAGATATACTCTTGATATAACTATTCACTTTGGGAGCTATGAGATGGTTAAGGTGGACAAAGAACTTGAGAACAGCCAAAAATGTCGTTAAAACTTTACAAATCCCACATTTCATAAAAGAAAAACATTAATACACTTTGAATAACACGTTGGTATAGTTTGTAGTTACTACATGGGGAAAAACGTTGTGTCAAATTCACAGAAACACAATCGATGTGAGTCCTACTAATAAAGCCTGGGTGATGAAATCGGAGAGTCCGTTGTATCGTTAAAAACACTTGTATACGTTGATTTAAGGAAAGACACATAGTTCTGCATGCTCCGCGCTGACGAGTTCGCTTGTTCAAGGCGGTCGCGCATGTCTTGCAGTCGGGAGTTGTATCGTCTCTCGGCCTGGAATAATTAAACTTTTTATTATCAAATATATTAAATAAGGTACTTATTCTCTAGTTATAACACACGATTATGTAAATATTTTCAGATCCTTCCGTATAATCTAGGATAAGGCTGATAACCACTCTATCAGGCTAATCTAAGATATTCCTGAAAGGATTTTTCTACTCGGCTTTTTAGGCCCGACATTTAATTATTGTTCATATTAAGGAACTTGGTATCCTGCGTCAGTTTAAAAAGCCAATAAAAAGAAATTTATTGTGTTTAGGACGAAGCAGGGCTCTCTGAAAAAAGCACTTATTTTCTGTCTGTATTCATATAATTGTATAGAGCCTTAACTTATTATAAATATTTTTGTAGTCAAACTAACTGAAGGAACTTCGTGCATAAGTTATCAAAAATCATAATCAAAGCAAAGATTGCACATTACGCGTAATAAGACGACACTGTGTATACAAAATGTATGATCTGATGTGAAGAATTAAATACTAAGCGTATCTATGTAAAGTTTATAATGTATATTTTCGAACTACAAATGGTCGCATTTTTCAAAAGGCTTGTTAATAATAAAAGAAAAGAGCAAGCATTTGAACTACAAATCGGTGTGTGATATCAAATGGGAAGCTGTCTCAATGGGGTGGCTTTTAAGGGTCACACATAACAGAGATCCCCAACACAATGAAGCTACCATCCCGGAGAAAAAAATTTTATACTTTTCAAGGAAAAATGATGTTTCCTCTTTTTTTGGAAATAACGTTTCCCTTTATCCGACTCAATGTTGAGACCATGTTTTTAAAGCACGAATGATAGATATTATTCCAGCATTGATAAGGAGGGGGGAGGGGGGTTCGCAAATTGCAAAAAATAATGCCTGATGCCCTGTTTAGGAAGCCATCTAAAATTGTAAAAATCAACATTGATAAAAACATACGTCATCCTTTGTTTTCTTTAGCTGCTGCGCAGTTGCAGCTGAACGTGAGAGCTGCGACTCAAGGTCGAGAATCCTGGCCTGTGCTGTGCGTTCCTTGAAAACATAAACAAAACGCAAAATAAACCAAAATTTGATACTGCCGGGCATTACCTATAAACTATAATACTGGAATTATCTTAAGATGTAATCAAGTCGCTGAAACAAGTTTCTTTAGATATTGCATTGAGTCTTTCTTGCTGTGAGGGGACTTGCGAGCTGCAATGCCTTTGCTTAATTTCCCCTGACTTTCCTTGCCTAACGTTTCTAAACCAAGAAAGAAAGTACCTTGCTAAGAGCCTTTTCTCGCTGAATCTCAGCCTGCCTTTTTGCATCAGCCAAGGCTATCTCAACTTGTTGCGTCAGCCTGGTGTTCTCATGGCGCTGTTCATCTAGTCTTTCCTACCGATAAAATGCATAATGATCTTTAGAAATGTGGTTTAACTGACGAAAAGGGCGGATTAAGACCTACGTGTCCTAATTGCAAGAATAAGAAAAAACAAATAAACATACGAGAGAAGAGCAGATCCAATTTTACGTAAAGAGTAAAAGGCTGAAATTGGTTGTCGAAAAAGTGGTTTTAAAAATACAAGCAAAAAATACAACATTGTCCGGCGGCCTTCTCCTGACCCAACCCCTTTAAGATAAGAACCTAATGCAGTTGCCTATACGCCTCTACCTTTAGAAGAAGACCGGAAAGCAGTCTGACTTCTGAAAAAGTGAGCTTCCTTTGCGTTGAGGTCAGACAAGGTGTGGTTCAGCTCTAGATCAGGTCATTATAGATCCAAATGATGTCACAACAAAATATATTTTTACAATTTCTGAACTGGACACATAAAGGCAATTTCAAAATATACCTAAATGCAAAAAATCAGGCAAATGTGTTATAAATTGCCCGAGATATGGCCACATCACCACAGGTTCTTCCCCATCAAATCAAAACCCGGAGAAAACGATATTCCACCTTATTTTCAGACAGCAATGGCTCAAAGTATCTATCATTTGAAAAAAACCAAAAGATACCTGAAGTACATGGATTGAGTCTTCTCGTTTATTCAGAGTGTTTGCTAGTTCGTCTCGATAAGATTTCGAGTCTTCAAGTTTTCTGAAAGATATTACAACTAAATTAAGAAAAATAGCTACGTACTTATACAAGAAAAAACTATGCATGAGCGGTTTTGACTAAAGACAGTTTACAATCCAGATTCATTTTTAAAAGAGGTTCCTTATGCCAATACAAATCGATAATTTTAACGCTGCAATTTTCGAAAAGGAATTTTCCTCACCTCTCTGCGTTATCTAATTTCATTTGAGCCTGTTTGAGTTCATCATATTTGTCCTGGTATTTTTCACGCACTCGCTCGAGCTGTTCGGCTTGTGTATCAACCTGAAGCAAACAGAAGTCAACAACATGTCAGACAGAACCAACTTGCCCTTATAATTTCATTCACATAATATCATATCCCGCTTTGATTTTGTGCGATAAGATATTTATGACAAAATGCCAAACCTTTTGAGTAAGTTCGGCAATTAGTTTGGTGTGTTCTGTGGACCTTTTTTCGTACGATCGGAGTCGCTCTTGTGCGTCTTCAAGCCGAATCTCGGAAGTCTAAAAATGGGAGAAATCGTATTAAAAGCAAGTTGACCCAATCAATCAGTACAGTGGCTAATTAGAAATCATTGTGACAATATTGATATGTAATATTTTTCAGATGTTTTGGTGTGTTCAATCATCTGTTGCTTCGTTTAAGCTGGATGAGAAAACTTTTTGAGCATTAGCCGGCTTTTGGTTAAGCATTTAGAAAAATGAATTTAAAAAAAGCTTTTAAAAAGATTGTGTTTAAGATGATTTATAAAGTTGGTCATTGATATGAACAGTCATATGACTAAACGTAGAGCAAAATTCCATAAAGGGGATAAGAGTAAAAGGTTATTATAAGAGCTGAGAATCAATAATTAGCCCTCTGATTCCAGTGTTGACAGTCACATAAGCCCGTTTGGGGTCGACGTCTGCATTGGCTTTACTTTGATCCGTCTCTCCTTGATGGGCTTTGTGAAAAGTGCTCTACTACAATACCTTGAGCAAATCTGGATATGACTCTAGCTCTGCAATCTTTTTCTCTAGCCTGCTTACAACCTGCGTGACAAAAGAGAGGACATTTGAGACGGAGCGTTTCTACTAAATGTGGAACAGGAGAACGAGAATGGCCAGGTGATTATCAGGTCAATTACCTGAAAAAGCACACAACAAACTCTCTAAATGTGTAAAAGCAGCTAAATCTATTTAACACACATTGGCTAACACATGGTCAGCAAAAGACTTGTGAATACGAGAGAATTGCTATCTTTTAAGGCATGGTTGATAAATTTCTTATGGGAAAAGAGCAGTGTACCAAAGCCTATTTTTAAGTGGTCCTAGCATTCTTCTACTTTATGACTCTATAATAACACCTTTCAGAGTGGAAAGGAAAAATGCTGTAATTCTAAACATATATTTTATAATGTCATCACTTTGTCAGTTCCAGTGAGCATTGCAAAACAAGATACCTAGCATTATTATTATCAGGGTCACATCCTAAAGACTGATGACAATGAAATATCTTATGAACGAATTTCATAATTGGTATTTTGTCTTCACCTTGTCATTGTCATGATTACTTTGGTTGAGTTGTCTTTTCATTTCCTTGTCTTTTTGATAAAGTTTGTCCGTCAAATCGTCGTTCTCCTTTCTGTATTTATCTATCTGTGCTTTGAATTCAGTAATAAGGGTTTCGTATTGATTAACTGCCGTCTGCAGCTTTGTAACCTCTGTTTGTGCCGCTAGAATCTGGTTAAAAAGAAAAACTTGCATCATTTTTTCACAGAAAAGACAATGTTAGATGAAAACAACCGCAATAATGTCAATTTTGACAGATAAAACATTTAATGTTAAGGTTAATTAGAGTTAGGAACTTCAAAGAAACTGAATGAACAACCCCTCTTCCCTTGTTTCCAAGTGGCACAATAAACCCTCGATATAGAAGACACGTATCATAGGAAAGAGAAACCGTCTGTGTGCCTGTGGTAGGTTGGTAACTTCTACAACGTAGAAAAGTAACTATAGGACAAAATGTGCCACAATTTGTTATTTGTTGGGAGATTCGAATTTCAGACAACATCTTGTTTGAATTAAACATACCTTAGAAGTAGAAGATTTTTCAAGGTTTTCCAGCTTGCCAGTCAACTTTACAACATCTTCCTATTGAAAAGCAAACATAGGTAGCCTATTCAGCATTGAATGATTGAAACAGTTTTTGCAATGAGTTACTAGTTTTCTTGTTGCAGCATTATCTAGAAGGTTAACATACACCCAATGGGTGTCTACCAAATGAATAACCATATATAACAACATCAGCTTTTTTTAACGATTCAAGATGCACATATTGCTCCAACATTTGCCTGCAAGTCTGATCATCCAATAATTCAAACAAGAAAAATACGCAATACAGTTTCGATACAGCATCGAATCATTTTTGATAAAACGAAACATAGCAAGCCTCATTATAGTATGATAAAAGTGCAATTTAGTAAATGCAACAAAAGAAAAAAGTATTATTGTAATATAGCCCGAAAAAGTCGACAATTTTATGATGACTAACAGATAATAGATTAAAACTAAGAGTAGACAGATAAGCATACTTTGCGCTGCTCACATTCCGCTTTACAAGTTCTCAACTCTAGCATCTTGGTTTGAAATTTCGCTGGCAGAGAATCTGCTGATACCTGGAGAAGCATTTCAGAGGTATCTCAAAATAGTTTAGAATCTGCAAGACTCAGAATAGAACTTGGTTTGAATTGTGTACGAATCGAGAATAGGCTTATGTATGCTGGAAAACCTCAGCTAAATCTTCACAACTTTGAATAGTTTCTCACGCTTTTTTCTTTACAATTTTCGCAGATTTCAATATCGAATGGCAAGAATCTGATTGACAATAGACGTATGAATATCATTAATAAAGTAATCAACTATGTAGCTTGAATAATCTTATCTTCCATATATCTTTTGGAAAGAAGTGTTATCATTTATTTCATTTCTAAACAAATATACAAATGTTTTAGCTTACTTTTGGTGAGCTGGCATCTATCGTGTACATGATTTTCTCTAATTCTTGTAGCTGGCTGCAACAAAAAACATGGAAATAAATTTATCATCATGGAAATAAAAATATACTTTCAGTTTTATAATCATATTGTCACTTTTGATGTCAAAGCAAAATTTACCCATGTATTTCAAATATACTCTAATTTTCATCATCAGTTTTCGTCGAAAGGCAAACGAAACTTGAAGCTTTTGACAATTATTCTTGTATGGCATCAATACTTATAACAATTTATCGATAATGAAATTACATAAAGGATCGTTAAGAATTTATTAAATCATATTAAGACAATTTTCCTATTCACTCACCCACGTGCATCGATCAGACTCGCTTCCAAAGATGCTCTTTCTTTGTATGTTTTTGTGAATTTTTCCCTGTATGTATCAACTTCTGCAGCTAACATTTCAGCTTCCTCTGCCTGAAAAGATACAAAGAAGCAAGATATCGAAATTTAGCGCATTAATTGGCAATAAATTCTGGTAAAAATAGAAAAGCAATGTTTTTAGCAGTAATAAAATATTTTCAGAGAAAAAAAGGTAGGAATTTTGATACATAAAACAAATGAAGGAGAGTGTAAACAGAGCAGTAAACAATTAAAATTATGTTTTAAGCTTAGCGTTACCTAAGGCTCCTAATTTTTTTCTTTTCTATGGTAGCCAACTCTTAATAAAAAGCAGTAAATGTATTTCACGATTTGAGCAGAGATAATAAAATCTAATTTTAAAACAACTTACCGATTGAATATCATGGCTTTCACAAGCCACGTCGTTCAACTTGACCGCTTGTCTTCAAGATAAGAGGAAAGGAGAGAAAACGAAAGAAATCTTACCTTAGAGGCTAAACCATTTCGCAGCGAGTCCAAAGCTTCCTCAGTTTTATTTGCTCTGTCTCTGTGAACCCTGGTAAAAACACACTGTTAATCAAATGAAGAATACATGCGGCCTTGCAATGAGTTAAAAGTTTTCTTTAAAGTGATTATCTAATCATACGTCAAATTGAAATAAGGCATGGACTAGCACTTTCATGTACCTGGTTGCCTTTTTTAGGGCTTCCTTGTCCTTTGTGGCTTTCTCCTGTGAACATCAAAAGTCATGAAAACGATTTGCATAATTCAACGATACTTTCAACAGAATCTACATCATAATTCATAATAAACGCAGTTGCAAAAGGTTCACTGAATATGTCAACGAAAGACTAGGTGAATAGAAAGCAAGATTTGGATGCAGACGTGCATATCTCCTTGTCAGTGACAATCCTGTGAAAGCATGCGTCTAAAATCAGAGGCCATCAAGATTCTAACAAATTCAAGTCGGGCTTCATTTAAACGACGTTAGGCATTTCCATTTATGCAAACATTTTTGCTGAAAAGACTACTCTATATGAAACACGATTAAGAAGAAAGGATATCACAATTAGGCATAAAAGTCACCCTTACCCGCGATGAACTTAACAAAGCTTCTAGATGCTCGACTTCAACAAGTCGGCGATTCAACTCTTGTTCAACTTCCTGCAACCAAATAAGTCATGAAAGAGTTTGTAAAGTCAAATTAAGTATTTTGGTGACTTTATTGGATCGTTATACGTCATCTTGCGTCTTAATACATCACCATATACGTATTCACACGTCATCTACTAACGGGTCGACTGGGGATGCCCTTGGAACAGTTGGAACACTGCAATGCTTGCCAAGACCGTTGGCATGCCCAAAAATCTTCGCCAAAAACAGGTAGAGCATCCTAAAATCTTTGTCAAAAACAGCAGGAAAACGGCAAGTTGATGATGCCGTGAATAGATGTCCTCCTCAAATCATCAACCTGCCATTCTCTTTCAGTTCTGGTCCTCGTAGTTTCATTACCACTTTTCTTTCAAAAAGATTCATCTGACATATAACTGCCAAAGTTAAGGACTTTGATTCTATGAAATTTATGAGAAGGATACACAGCTTGGCAATGCCACTCGGCTTTTAGCAGTCCTGGCTTCCATACTCAATTTCGACTACCAAGCCATGTTAAAAAAGGAATTTTTCGATAATACCAATAAATAAAGCATAAAATAGGGCACAGCTTCATTGCTTAATTAATTTATCAGCATCCCTCTCTTTTTGCCGAATCCTTGTAGTAAATGTCCCTCCTTTAGAAAGCAAGAGCCTTTTTAACCTCTCAGGCTTCAAATATATGATATATCGTCTGGTAGAACATAAAGTAAATGTGGCAAATATGAGAAGACCTACACGTAATCTAACTGATAGCCTATTGTTTTCTCCTTCCTTGTTTTTCAGTTGATTCTGCAGATGCCCTCTTGTTGCCTCCATCGTCCGCTGCAGTTCTTCCAATGTTCTAGCTTGCTCCTAGATAGAGCACAATACAGAATAGATCTAACTTTTATCGATATCAAAAACAAAATCTTTAACCTTGTATCTAAAGCAAGTTATTGTAATACAAACAAAGAAATAAAAAACAGCTTGGCTCTCTCAAGGGATGTAAACAAGACTGGACAATAACAAAATTCTGCATACACGAACTTTAAGAGCACCTTACCTGGTCGACTTTCACTTGCGTCATCAATGCCTCTAGCTGCCTGTCTTTGTCCTCAGTGACCATATCGAACTCCTGAGCAATAAAATAAAAACAATACATGCCAAAAATTGATGGAGCCACAATATTCATTTTTACACTTTGACAAGATTTAACTGTTTAGAATTTAACTCCCTCCTCAAGTTTTCAACGCTGTTGCTAATTTACCCTAGTTAGAGTTTTTGCAATATTGGTATTAAGCAATATTGTTATGGGGAGAACCATAAAAAATCGTGAAGGAATCGTGCAGGTGTTCCCAAATATTTAGAATGATTACAGTTGCAGAATTTTATAAACACTTTTCACCAAAAATCTTACTTCTAATCTTGCTTCGGCTTCCGTTAATTTTCTCAAAAGGACATCTCTTTGTTCGGCCAAATGGTTGGTATCTCCCTGCAAACAAAATGCCTAAGTGTAAGCAAAAATGAATTGCCAACCAACTCAAATCGATTATATAAACGAATAGTCTTAAGTTATCTAACACTAGCAAGGGACTACACAAACCTAACAAAAAGCAATACCTCTTTGAGATGTGCTTGCTTGAGTAGCTTTCGAAGGGTCCTGTTCGTTGTCTCAAACCCTTCAAGCTTTTGCATGAGAACCTCTCGTTGATGCGCCAGCGCACTGACATCAGAGGCAGTAAGCTTTTTGTCCTTGAGAAAAGAAAAAACAACTTCGTTTTGGTATTAAAGTCTAGTACACGATACAGAAAGGCATCGAGAGGAAACAAACAGAAAGGCATCGAGAGGAAACAAACAGAAAGGCATCGAGAGGAAACAAACAGAAAGGCATATAGAGGGAACAAACAGAAAGGCATCGAGAGGAAACAAACAGAAAGGCATATAGAGGGAACAAACAGAAAGGCATCGAGAGGAGACAAACAGAAAGGCATCGAGAGGAAACAAACAGAAAGGCATATAGAGGGAACAAACAGAAAGGCATATAGAGGGAACAAACAGAAAGGCATCGAGAGGAAACAAACAGAAAGGCATCGAGAGGAAACAAACAGAAAGGCATCGAGAGGAAACAAACAGAAAGGCATCGAGAGGAAACAAACAGAAAGGCATCGAGAGGAAACAAACAGCAAGGCATTGAGAGGAAACAAACAGAAAGGCATCGAGAGGAGACCAACAGAAAGGCATCGAGAGGAAACAAACAGAAAGGCATCGAGAGGAAACAAACAGAAAGGCATCGAGAGGAAACAAACAGAAAGGCATTGAGAGGAAACAAACAGAAAGGCATATAGAGGGAACAAACAGAAAGGCATCGAGAGGAGACCAACAGAAAGGCATCGAGAGGAAACAAACAGAAAGACATCGAGCGGAAACAAACAGAAAGACATCGAGAGGAGACCAACAGAAAGACATCGAGCGGAAACAAACAGAAAGACATCGAGAGGAGACCAACAGAAAGGCATCGAGCGGAAACAAACAGAAAGACATCGAGCGGAAACAAACAGAAAGACATCGAGAGGAGACAAACAGAAAGGCATCGAGAGGAAACAAACAGAAAGACATCGAGCGGAAACAAACAGAAAGACATCGAGAGGTGAGACCAACGAAGGCATCGAGAGGAACAAACAGAAAGGCATCGAGAGGAGACCAAACAGAAAGGCATCGAGAGGAAACAAACAGAAAGACATCGAGCGCGAACAAAACAGAAAGCATCGAGAGGAAACAAACAGACAAAGGCATCGAGAGGAACCAAGAACAGAAAGGATCAAGAGGAAACAAACAGAAAGGCATCGAGAGGAACAACAGAAAGGCATCGAAGAGAGACCAACAGAAAGGCATCGAGAGGAAACAAACAGAAAGGCATCGAGAGGAGACAAACAGAAAGGCATCGAGAGGAAACAAACAGAAAGACATCGAGCGGAAACAAACAGAAAGGCATCGAGAGGAAACAAACAGAAAGGCATGGAAAGGCATACTAACATGTTTCAATCTGCGAACGGTATCTCGAAGTTTCCCCACTTCCTCAGCAGCCGCCTTTCCATCCACTTCAACTTCAACTAGTTTCTTGAGAAGAATTTCTTTTTCATTTTCTACATTTTCTACTTCAGATCTGCAAAACATTTTGGAGAACAAATGTGGAACAAACTGTTTCAAAAAAGATGTTTTTCAAGAAAACATCTTCTTCTGTTACTTAGAAAATACCCCAGGACTAAATGTATTGGTTTACAATTTTTCCATTTGTATCACTTAACAAATTTGTTATAACTAAGCTTTCACAGGTGGGATTTTGGATACTGTGTAGCGGTATGAGTCAGGGGCCAGAGAAACAGCGAGGATGGCTCAGTTGTTAGAGGCGCTGACTACAGACCCAAGGGTCCATGGTGTGAGTCCCTGGCAAGACCAAACTTTCAACCAGAGTGAGGAGAGTCACCAGCTCTCTGTAATTCCAGGCGTAGGAATCACGAGGTGTGGTCACATCGAGAGGAAGGACCAGGACACTGCTCGATAAGCATAGCTTCTCAGTGTCCTAAGAACTACCTTCGGATGCTAGGTAGCAACAAATACAAATGCAAATACAGAAACATAGAAAAACAGATATAAGACACATTCAATGGCAGTATTCAAGTGAATTGTTGAAATTACCTTGAGTGTTCCATAACATTCTTATATTTCTCCATAGAATGACGAAGCCTCTCGTTTTCTCTTATAGTCGTATCCAGCTCTGATTTGTATCCCTGTACAAAAACAAGAACAAAAAGATAAAGGTCATGTCGGCTTTGACAGCATTTTAACACAGTAAATATTTTGAAATGCATATTTTTGAACAAACAACAACATTAACGATTATAAGAGGGACACAAAAAGGAGAGGTGATCAAATTCCTGCCTGGGATTAGACATGGTATGGGCCTTTATACGTTGCAGAGGCCTTATTCAAAGGGCTAACTTGTTAAAAAATGTAAGAGGGAATGTAACTTAGAGAAAAAAGAATGAAAGCATACATAAAAGAAGTATCTAGTACTGGCCAACATGAGCGTTGGTATTTGATTGGTATTCAAAACTATTTAAAATATTGATATATGAAATGAAAATTCTTGCCAATATTTCGTCCTCTTGTTCTTCCAAAATCTTCCGTGAAGCATTAAGCTGTTCATTTCTCTTCTCTACGTCCCTAGCACTCTTTTGAAGAGTCAGCTGTACCATTGAACAAAAATTATTACACAATGATAATAATAAATAAATTCACATTAGGCGTAACAACAATCACCTACAGGTTACTTGCAGCCTACTTTTAAAAATCAATTAAATCTTCAAAAGCAATCGTTCTCTACATGAAATTAGAGTGTTAGATATTCAAAATTAACTGTAAAAAATACATAATCGAAATGAGTGAAAGTCTTCTTCTTGTTTCAGAAAGACTTCTTAAAGGATTCTGCGCAACCGGCATGCTTTGGAACAACATTTCAAAACCGGCCTAAAATCGTACAGCATAAAGAGTACAAAACAGAGCCCATTTCCCTGGCGTAAAACAGTTACCGCAAAGCATGCCGGTTGCGCAAGAGCCTCCAAGTGTCGGTAATAAAAAGGGTTGCTTCATCAATTCATACTCTTTCGCAACTTAAGTACATTAAAAATGTGAATCGTTCAAATATAGCCCTTATTCATGAGGTGCTTCTTACCCCTATAGCTATCGTTTCAAATTTTGCGAAACTGGTAATATTGTTTGGCATTGAAACATATGCTGAAATACTGTTTGACATTGAAACTAGAGAGACACTGTATTATTGCAATGGCATCTGTATAAGCTAACCTCGTTTCTCAATGTCCCAACTTCATCCAAAAGGGTATTGATTCTTGTTTCGTACATATTGTCCTGACCAAGGGCTTCGTCTTCCTGCAACAAGCATCACAATAGCTGCAAATGTGTTTGTTTTCCTAAACAAATTTAGCTTATACTAAAAATCCTAACAACATCAACAGGAAAGTAAGGCAATCATTGATATTTTCCATAAGTAGTTATTTTGTTACGTTTCTAAGGCACCAGGGAGGAGACTCCTTCTCCACATAACAAATGTTTGTTTTTCCTGATGCTCAGTCCTGAATGCAGTTAAAAAAGTACGCAATCACCTTGGCTTAATATCAAGTTTTCATCGACGCACGTTCAAAAGACCAACTGAGGAGAAATTTGGTATTTAATTTGACGTTTGATTTCAAGGAGCTAGAAAGATACATTGCCATGGTTCTGCAGACGACAACCGGCCAAACTCTGAACGCTATTATCGAAAAAATTATTCTTTAACCAGTTCATTTGTTAATCATCAAACCAGAATTAAGAAAAGTGTTGATTCGTTCTCCATTGAATTTCCTGACTTCTTGAAAAACATCGTCAAAAACAATTTAAAAAAGGTTTGCTTTCGATGTGGAAATTAAATTTATTTTGTTATTGTTGGCCTTTGTGACCAAACATATTTTTTGTGCGTCTAACCATCATATATTCTGAACTCTGCATAGAAAGTAGGATATCCCAATTGTATCGTTTAAGAAGATCACAGTCAAAAGCTTTATGTTCCGTGTTTTTAAACAAGATCAATTCTTAATTAGTTTTCGCGAATCACTTCTTCTTGACAGTTTAAAGAATATAAACAATGAGACGGTATTTCTATCCAAAGGGCATTGCGGTTTTTACTTATATTACAAAATTTCTCATCAACTTTTCGATCAACAGAAAACAGCCATATTTTCCCATGTGCTTGCTTTTCTTTCATCAACATAATGGAACTGACTGTTTGAAATATTTTCAACAAAACATATGCTTTTAATGAAAACATAATTTATACCGTCATAAAAAGAAATAATTTATGGACTCGGCTGTTTTGACTCCATATCTTTCTCATAAAAAATCATTTAGCTGATAATCGATATTTCTTCCATCAATGGTAATAGAAGGCCACTGTAAACGTAAAGCTGAGGCAAAAAACTTGAAAGAAAAAACGCGCCAAATGGAAAGCTGATGTACCTCTGAAGTTGATAAATCGCCCATACGCAAAGGTCCCCTCTTTCGTTGGGGAAAATCGGGTGGGTTGATTTCTAGGCGATGCCGAGGGCCCTATACACGCAAAATTGAGAATTTAAGACATTGTTAGTACCATTACAAAAATACATGGCTACAACATAAATATTTATACAAATACACAACTCCTGTAGTTAAGGTAAAGATTGTTTGCATTGTAAATATGGTCCAGAATTGAGGATAACTATCTAATCCTTCATTTGAAGAGACTATAATGTATTCTTAGTTTCTACAAAAGAACACCAAATGCAGGCAATGTTTTTTAGAAACCAAAAATGCTGGTAGGGCCATTTGGGTAGCCGTTAGAAGTGATTTAGTTTAAAACCATTCAGTTGATGAATTCGATTAGGCAAGAATCCTGAGGCTAAGACTTTTTCTTACGATTTCGAGGCATATATGCTGACTGGTGAAAAATTTCAGTCCCTTACTTTTGATTGACTTTGGAATTTTTGGTTCTGTATGCTGACAAGGCTACAATACTTGCCAAAAAAACTGGAACGCCTTCCCATTGAAGCATGTAAATAAACAAAGCATGTCTAAAACTACCTTACCAAAATATCACTGCCGCTTCAAAAATTTCGACCCCCTCCCCCCCGTACCATGTTGGTTTATTTTTCCAATACTTTCATACAGTTTTCAGTGAAGAAATTTTTACCTTCAGGATCAAAACAGCCCAATTGAACAACATTGTAATGGGGTGTAGGGGAAGTGGGTTTTAAAAAAAGCTTCAGCTTTGCGCAAGTGTTCCAACAATTTTGGCAAGGATTGAAGCAGAACCATTGCCAATTGAGAGGTTCCTTGTGCAGAACTTTGACCACAAGGAAGAAATATGCAAAAAAGGGAGACTGCCCTGTTCTTGGTAGGGGATCAAGGGAAGTATTAGTTCTTGGAAAAGAAGGGCAAAGCCAGCTTCAGTTAGTATATGGTTAGCATAGATTTTACATTATGTAATCATACCTATCAACTACCTGATTGGTAAAGGCAATGGCAAATGTATACTACCTCCCAGGACATTGACTTTCCAGAAGATGTTCTTCCAGGAGGTGGAATAAATGGTGGTGTGGATTTTGACTTCAATCTTGATTTCTATGAGGCATTTAAAAAAAACGATTTCACATAATTTGTAATGGTTTGTTGAAACATAATGGCATATGTAAATAATTTTAGTTGTTGTTAATGAATTCAATATTAGGCTTAAACTTTAAAGTGGTAATTAATTTCAGAGCAATTTGAAGACCTTATCAATTACTGCACAGAATGGCTGTTTAAGGAACATCAAATTCGACCTTTGCAAGATGATTAAACATTGACCTCTAAAATCAACAACCAGGAAGGAAAAATATGATTCCTTATTTGAGACATGAATGGTGGGGCAAAGCCATTTTTACAGTAATGTTTCATGTTAAAGTAAAAATCACTTGAAAGTAGATGAGATTTTCATTAATGTAAAAGTAGCAACTTACAGACTTATTATTTGATGCAGCAATTTTCATTCCTGAAGTGTGGCCTTGAGCAAGTCTTGTCTAAATAAAATAATTACATTTTGCTTTAAATCAACTTAGCACAATGGTGAATCATCAAAATTGAGTGGAGAAATTAGTTTGCAAAATCCCTGAAAGAATCTACCTGTTTGATCTTTCAATTTATTCAATAAACCTTCACAAAATTCAATCAAATTTTGTCAATAATTTTAACAAAACCTTAATTTTTGTACATGAAAGTAACTTGAGAAAATATGCTTTATAAACAAGAAATTTAATTCAATAGAAACATTAATACACTTGGCAAAATAAATAATTATTTGTGTTCAAATACATATTACTTAGTCTCAAAGATATCAGATAAATAATAAGTGATTGTGTGGATTTAAATAGGGGAAGAGAACTCAGGATAGAATAAGGAAACATTTGAAAAAATTTGTTGGAAATTTACCTCAACAGCTGTTGGAATACCAGGAACCCCTCTTGGTGCCAGCTTTTTCTTTTTCTTCTTGATATGAACATGAACTGGGGTATTTTTTGCAACATGAACGTGAATTGGTGACTTGGTATCTAATCTTTGAGTTTCCATGCCCAGGTTAAATTCAACAGTAAAATCTGGAAAGAGCAATCCTTCATCAACAACTTTCAAATTTTTAATGAACATCATTTTTGGATTTATATGAAAACATCTGCTAAGTTAACGCTGCTTTGCTAGTAAAATATATATTCTACTTGAGTCCAAAAAATTCAAATAAATTGGAACTGCAGGACATTCTACAAATTATATACAAATTAAAGAATAATTATATACATACAAACAATATAATTCATATTTACAATAAAAATATATACAGACCTTGCATGATAAATCATAAGGACTCTGAGCCTATATTCTAAAAAAATTGGCTTACCTCAGTAGAGAAACCCTGTTACAAGTTTGAAAATATGTTTCTCATAAGAATCTAAATGTATCATTGAGCTAGAAACCCTTTTAGTATACAATCGTTTTTTCAGAAGAAAAAAATGGATGATCAGTAGTTCCTAGATGTTTGGGAAATTCAAATATTCATTGTTTCTCAAAATTTTCTTGAGTATGATTTCATTAATCTTATTCAATTGTTCATGTTAGGGACTTTTTCACCAGAAACTTGCTGGAAAGAGTTTTCACAAATGCAGAAAGTGAGACTTGCTATGTTCCCTTTGCTTAGAGACGCTTTTGATGTTTTTGTCAATAGGTTCGGTTCCGTCCTAACGCAGTAATTAGATGAGGAGAATTAGTATGGGTCTTATGCCAACAAGCCAATCTTGTTGATAAATTTTGGCAAAATTTTGGAGTTTTGGTTTTTTTTTCACAATTCAATCACAAATTGAATTTTCTTCTAGTTTTTTGATTGCTCAATACTCTATTGTTAGAGCGAGTATGTTAATAAAAATGAAAATACTGATGCAGGCATCGTTTTTAAAAGTTTAACAATAACAATTCAAAAGCTGGAGGTTTAGACTTGATAATATTTTTGCTTGTTTTCATTTTGCAAATTATTTCCCTATACTTTCTGATACTTTCCTATAATGTTTTTTACAGCACTGCAGCAAAATATTCTTTGACTATCTATTTAGAGACTGCTTTTTCTGTTTTAAATACGCTGTAAAAAAACATTCTTGAAATTATAACTTAAAGAACTCTTTTAAAGTAGTAATAATATTCTGTTTACCAAGGATAGGTTTAGGGTCCCCTGAAAACGAGCTTTGCTAGAGCAACACCTTAATATAATAATAATATGTGGTGTAATATGTGTTACATGATCATATCAATGTTTTTCAATGAGTGGCAGAAAAATAGCCTAAAAATTGATATAATTTGTATTCAGTTGTGATTTTAGATAGTGTTTTAAATCTCTTCCAAGTTTGCTCCTTGCAAGGTGAAGCACTCTTTGCCCCTAGCAATGTAAACAATGATGGAAATACAGGTTTTATCGGTATAAATAAAGTAAAATACATCATAAAACACATTTTTAATCAGTATTTAGGGCAGAAAATAATTCTCGTTGTCAAAACCGTCTTGATTGTAAAAAGCCCAAGCTGGACCCGTACGTGCTAGATCATAGACCTAGCATAGTCAAACAAACTTCAGCTTCAAAAACCGGCTGTCTCGTTTACAAAATCTCAAAAAACTTCACTTACTAACATAGTATCACCAGATGAAACAAAACTGGTAAAAAAACTCCCTCAAAGTAAATTCTCCTCTGAGAGCCAACGAATTAACGATAATCCGCTGCAAACATGAGGGCTGCTAGTGCAGAGCCAATTTTGTAAAAGCACCCGCCATGTTTGAATTGTAACTTGTCGTTGAATTCTGTTCCTAAAACAATACTCGTCAATGATTGGTTAATGACTTGGCTCCAGTCTCCTTGACCGCGTTTCTTCCTAACAACCCAAAGAATGCAAACAAAACTGATGTCATGAAAACAAAAGATTATATTTCTGGTCATTGACAAGAATAGAACTACATTATTGGAAGGGTACAATTGTTTGAGTGTTATAGGGACAAAATGGATTGTTCATAAAAAAGGTTTTTTTAATTTTTGGAGGGGGAGGAGCACCCTATCACTCAGGACAATGTAGTTACAGCCCCTCTGTGTTATCTAGATAGATTGGGCCTTCCTTTAACACAAAGACCCTGAACAATTATTTTTGTGCATATGAATTGCTTTGAAAATCCTTTGGCTTTCATTTCAATTTTTCCAAAAAAGAGGAATGAGGAACTTGTAACATTAATCCTTCAGTTAGGCCCCTGGTGGCTAATTCAAAGAGGTTTGTTCTAGTGGTGCCTTATAAAAATCATCTACTATGCAACTTTCCTAGCAAATAGATCGTTTCGTAGCTTTTCCCGATTTTTCAGTTCATTCCATTTGCAATTTTATTTACCAACTTTTTCTAAGATATTAAGATACATAAAAATCAAAACACAAAAAATATTTTAGTCCAAAATATTGATATTTTCGTTTTCGATAGTTGCTTTCAGCTGTCTTATGGTTAGTGTATCGTTGATTTTAATTTCTTTTGACACACCACTGAATAAATAATCAAAATTTGACGTTAGCATTAAGACGTAGAGCCTTCGGCGCAAGTTCATAATTTACTCCCCAATATCCGGAGGCTATAAACGGTGAATCATATTTTCTGTTGTATCTCGATTAGCCCCTACTTGTTGAAACGCAAAAGTTGGCATATTAGGGCTGGGGCTTATTCGAGGATGGGCGTTTATCAGAAAAATTTTCTTCCAAGGAGGAAGCGAATTCAAGAAATGGATGATACGATGAGGTGCCAGTTCGAGGATTTATGGTAACAATTTTTTAAACTATTTCGCGCCATTTCAAACCGAGGGTATCTGCAATAGAGGCCTGTAAAGGACACGCAAACGATTACACGTCTACCGAGATGGAGACCAAACTTTGCTCAAAATAGTTTATTATTGTTCAAAGGAAGGTTTTTCAAGGTACAATTACGGTACAGTGTTTTATTTTGGTAATAGAAGAAATAGAAGATGGTTCTTCTTACGATGATTGCACGATTGGTTGATGGCCTACCTTTGGCAGCATCAATACCTCCAGATGAACAGGTGAGCATTTCGAGAAATCTAATTGAATTGATCTTTTTAATAGTTTTGTGGTTATTTCTTTACTAACAGTAGGTTGAGTAGTTCTAATCATTCTGTTTTGACAGTCTTTAGGTTTTCTGAAAGGGCTCTTGAGCAAGCAAGTAAAGCTCTTCACAGAAACGAAATAAGTTTCCATAATCATGTTGCAGCCAGACAAGGTTTTATTTGCAAACACACTTGGTCTGCAATCTTTACAATAAAATAGGAGGCATCTTAGTGATCAGTTTAGTGATAAATGGCCAAAAATCCAATGATTACAGAATGGAACAAAGTCCATGTCGTCCCCAACTGCCAGTCTGCAGAGCGTGGCAGTTCTCGACAAGATCTTGTGTGTGCAAGAGCAAATATAAATGTGTGCATGTGTGCAAGTGTGCTGATGAAGTGTGCAGTGTGTGCACACTGTTCAATTTCGATCCAATGTGTGCAACACGCTTCTAATGGGCAAGGTATTTGTCAATTTGTCTCACTGTGTGCACAGAAATTATTTCTCAAAAGTGCTTTCAAGCATTCCACAAAATTTGGTCAATCATATATTTTGTATGATTAAATTTCAATTATTTTAACCCCCCTCCCTTGCAATTAGTCAAACTTCTAAGTGGGGGTGTGAGATTGAAATGCAACTCCCTAAAAGTTAACTCAGTCAGTTGATTTTAACATAATTCAGTCCACAGAATTATTTCTACAGAGTAGATTCTTGACCCTATAATCATGCTTGGGCACAAGCCAGCTACTGTAGTTTCCCAAATAATCTTACTTTCTTTGATTCAGACCTTTTATGCCCCTTGTTAGTAACCGGCAATGCCTCTTCTTACCAGCCCTTGCTTAGGAAATTGAGAATAAACCAAAGACTGTAGTTTCTCAGAGAACTGGAATATGCTAGTCATTAGAGTTTTATTTCTGGGCATCAATGGATTTAGGGCAAGCATAGGTCATTTCAAAATATCAAATCAAAATACTGAGATATGAGATGAACCAGGGCCATTCTGCTGTAATCTATAGGGTGTGGCCCTTCAAATTTTCCTTGGGGGTTACCCTCAGAACCTCCTTCTTCAACCTTCACGAAGCTGTCAGATTTCATTGAGGAACCCTGAAAAGCTGTGCCTGATATTTCATTCTGATGTATTTACATGCCAGAGCTTTTCAAATCAGGAGGAGGGTATCATCTAGAGAAACTCTATCTGCTCACAAAATGCACATAGCTCAAAGTGGTGCATGTTTTCTAATTTAGTTATAGACAGCAACTTTTTCAACTTGTGACAATCAGACGGTTCTGATGCTGACCAACACAAGTTAAAGTTTTTTAAGAATACTAAAGTCCCAGCATCAGCATTTCAAAGAAAATGTTGTTTAGACCAAGACATGAAAGCAACATTTAAAAAATGTGGTCCTTAAAATTTTTTCAGTACTAAGAAAAATGTGAGTGCAGCCCCATGTTTTTGTGTGCATTAGACAAGCCTCTGAAAAAATCTTGTGTGTGCACATGCCACACTCTGTAGACTGGCCCAACTGTTGTTTTTTCATATTCTCTGTTCTGGGCAATTTTTTATCTGCCCTTCATGTTCAAATTAGTCTGTGCCAAAATTTTTTATGTTGTTTGGGCCGTCAGGCAGCGAATTATCCATTTTCAAAATTTAGCTTTTCCAATACATTTCAATGGAGTTTGTTGTTGTGGTGAAATTTTTCACTAGAGCAGCAAATTCCAGTCAAAATCTAAAGAAATATCTAAATATTCAAAACAAAGTAACTTGCGATCAAACAGTTCAAACAACATGAAGTTCTCAGTATAAACTAATTTTAAGATAAGGATTTCAAATCTGATGTCAGTTTTTGTAGTCTAGTAGATAGCAAGATGCAAAAATAATGATATCAACCCAGACAAAACGGTGAATGGATGAAAAATCGAAAAAAATTTTGTGAATGATTTGGTACAACAGCAGGGCTGTGTAGTTCAAAATAAAGTTTTGTTTAATAAAATTTAAATTTTTGCAAGAACTGTTTACATATGTATTTACCTCATCTGATAGAAATGTGTTCACAGATCAAATGCATAGCAGTTGGGCCCATTTGAAGACCTATCTGTTGCTTTTCAATATGAGAGATCCAACCTATTCAGAATCTCAAATCTCATTTTTTTTATCCACATACCAAGTTTAAACATTATCACAACAATTTTTCAAATGAACTAAAAATTTAACAACTGTAAAATAATTGATTTTAAGACATTTATGATGTTCCCCCATATAATATGGTTCTCATTTATTAAAAAAAATATTGTCCTTTGACTTGTTACAGTCCAACAAAGTGCTGTCTGGTTTTCAAGAAGTTTCTTATAATTACTATAATGTTACTTTTTTCATCAATGCATATTACAATTTAGTCATTTCTAATATGTCAAAATGAAAAAACTTAAGATCACAATTGCTCACAATCTAGTTAGTTGCAAGACTCAAAAAACTATTTTTATTGTCCTTTTGTAGTCTGGGAGAGATGTGCAAGATTACCAGTCACAAGCCAAGAAATTATTCAAGAAGTTAAATGAAAGGTCTCCATCAAAGTGCAGCATTGAAACTGGTCCATTTGTGTTTCAGTAAGTTATAATATTTCTATCATGTTTAGGTTGATTTATTAGTGTGTTTGTAGCTCCTTTCCAAAATGTACAGGTACAGAGAAACCAATCATTCTTGTGTGTGTATAACATTTGCAAAATTGACAGCGATGACGCCACTTGAATTGTACAAAAAATATGTTGCAGAAAAAATTTTTTGAAAACATTTGGTCCAGTTATGGTATAAAGTTGGTCATCGACCATGCAACCAAGGCAATATCATGATTTTACTGTTTGCTTTTGAAAATGAAAGTGTAAGAAAATCCTTCACCTTTACTTTTCTTTTCAAACAAATTTGCATGCTTGACTTTTCCAATGTGATATGGTTGATATTGTGCCTTTAACTTAATAGAGAAAACTATTTTAAGTTATTTTCCAAGCTGCCTTTTCTCCTCGATTATTTTATACAAAAATATCCAAGCATGTGTGATTTTTCATACTTGATGGCATATATGAATTCAGTTAAAAAGTCTGGATTTTTGCACCTAGGCCATTATGTTCTTAGTTGAGACTGGCTTTCAAGAATCATTTCTCCATTTCCTCTAAAATTAACCTCAACTTCCTTTTACAAATTATCTTGTTCCTCCATTAATAAAAGCTTGATAATGATAATGATATAATAATTGAGAGAATATTTTTCTTTCCAGCTATTCAATTGACTCAGGAATATGTTATTTAGTACTTTGTGAAAAGACATTTTCGAAAAGATTGGCATTTGGTTATCTTGAAGATATCCAATCAGAATTTAATAAAGAATATGGTGGAGAGGTTGCTACAGCAACAAGACCCTATTCATTTATTGAGTTTGGTGAGCAGACTTTTTCACATTTAATTACCTAATACTTTTCTTTACCTGGTTGGTGACAGGAGAGGCAAATGGAGTATCCCATTTTCAGTTCCATTTTATTAATGCCATGCTAGCTCCCTTAGCCATCTAACCTACCCATTGGGAATTGGGTATATCAAGTATAAGCTTAGCAGAGAGTTGCGTGAGTCCAAAAGGGCTGAATCTTTCCGAACCCATCTGAGCCCCATTTCCAGCCAATATCTGGCATATAGCAGATTTTTGTAATGGTAGTGAAACAAAATAATGATACTATATAAGAACATAATAAACAAGACCACTGATTTTTCTTATAGATACCTATATTCAGAAGTCAAGAAAAAACTTTATGGATTCCAGAAATAGAAGAAATATGGGTCGGATCAGTGATGAGCTACAAGATGTGCAAAGAATCATGATGCAAAATATAGATGATGTTCTTCAAAGGGGTGAACAGCTGTCAGGTAATTTATGACTCGAGTTCATCTGATCTTTAAATTTTCAGAAAGTTTTAAAATTATTCCTTGCACAACAGTAAACCTATTACCAGTTTAGAGATTTTACTTTGAAGATATATTTTTATAGCTGACTTTTCTCTTTAATTGAATAACCTGAAACAGTATTTGGATACAAATTTTAACGAAGTTCCTACACCAGTAAAATATGTCTACATAAAACACAATGCAAGCTAAATTCATTTATGTTGGAGGTAAAATCAGCACTTCCCTGTATTACATATTTTTTGTCTTAGAAAAAGGTAATGAAATGTTATGTTTTTTGCCTTCTAGTGCTTGGAGAAAAGGCAGGTGAATTGAGATATCAGTCAGAGAAATATAGAAAAGATGCGAAATATTTGAACCTGAGATCAGCATATGCAAAATATGCTGCAATTGGGATTGTACTTTTCATCTTTATAATTTATGTAAGATACTGGTGGTTATAATTTATGTAGTTTTTCATTAGGAAAATCAATTATTCAGACATGGTTAAACAATACCCATTGCTAGAAGTGCAGGTTTTTTCTGATTTGGGAGAAAAGTACATTTGATCTAGAGATCCATTTTGAATAATATTAAAAGTATATTGTTTAATCTTTAAGTGATGTTCCTCAAGAGTTTGCTTCAAGCTGTCAAACATCTCATTCCTTATCAGAAAGTCTCTCTTTGCTTTGGATTATAATTTTTGTATCGTAAAATGTATTTACACCTTTTGACCAATTTAGCAGACATTAGTAAATTTGGCACAGTTCAAGTATATATTTCAAATTATTTGATAATATACATTATAATCTGTCTTTAGATTCAAATTATTAGTGTCTTTAAATGTCATCATTGACAATACATGAATTGCTGCAAGTTTTCTTGTTGCTTGGTTCCTCTTTATTTTTGGACATTCAATAACAGGCCTAAAGTATACCAATTTTTGTCTCAATCTGTTTTTGTTAGTTTTTTTAGCTAGTTAGAATTTGACAAAATTCAGACTTTTCTGATTTTACTTAAGGAAAAGGTATTGCTTATTGGTGTACTTCTTGAATATATTCAACTAAATGTTTGACAGCCATTGCAATCGGCTCCACGTTCATCTGAGATCAGATGTACCCAGTCTATGCTAGTTTATCGATACTAGGCCTCATTTTCTTTTGTCTAGTCATTTTCATATAACACAGTAACTGCCTATTGCTTGCTTTTAAGTAACAGCAAATAGCTTGCTTCAATAACTCTCTCAATACAGCCTGTACTAGCCACAGTTGACAGCTTATGTAAGCTCTAAAAGTTTTAGAGACATTGAAAAATCTAATTCATAATACTTAAAACTATTGAAATACTGTTTAAGTGGCCTTATCAAAAACAAGTTTCTTAAAGAAGTCAAACAACAAAATCTAAATTCATGCTCATAAAGGTAAAGACTTAAAAATGTCTCGAAAATATTTCTGTCTTAAGATAGTTAACAAATCATAAGGGTGCTAAATGATTTTAATAAGTACAAAGAATGGGAAATGAAAATTTTTGTTCCTTCGCAAACCTGTTGGTTAGTTCATGTTGCTTTGGTTGTATTTCCAAATTGTGTTTATTCGCGTTTGTCGTTCTCTTTTTAGGGTGTCGACAAATTTCTTCGTTGAAACAATTGTTTTCCTGTTGTTAAGTAAAATAGAGTTTGAATGCAATTAGTGACACTGCAACTTATAAAGTGTCACGGAATAAATCATACTTTTACTTTGATTCCTAAAGAAGTGACAGAAAGGCAATCGTAAAAACTATATAACGTGACGCAGTTTAAAAAACATTTTTTAACAAGAAAGCTGATTGAGAAAATTTGTGGTTTAGGCGCCATAAGAAATCCTTGGAGAGTTAGAATGAATTTGATACCAGGCTTATTGTCGAAAGTTATAATGAGCAAGCGAGTATGTTGAAACTCTTTGATTAACGAAAATATACACATAGTTACTCTGTCTGGGCAATGGAGATAGAATTCTCCCCTATCTCTATGGTCTGCCTTTAAAAGATCTTCCATAAAATGCTATGGTACGCTATGGTTAAGTGTTAATTGCATGCTTACGTCACGCCAGATATTTCATCAATCAGCCCTTTCATCAACAATGCACCACTGGCATAGTAATCTTCAACTGTTTTTTGTTGCTTTTTTTCTCTTTCTTCATTCTCTATTTCACTATCACCGTTTCTGCTAGAGAATAATCAATCATAAGTTTAGTATCTGAGATCATTCTAGAGCTGGCCAATGAGTTGAAGTAGTATCCAGCCCAATTTAGCTAAAAATCGCATGATTGCTAATAGCAATCAATTTTGCATTAATTAAAATCAATAGATAATTTGCTATTTTAGCCCTGTGTTTTATCATAACACCTGGATTATTCTGCTACAATCACTGCCAAAAGTCTTGGAACACTAACGTCAGTTTTCAAAGGAAAATTCAGCCACCCCTTCTCCCCCTAAGAACAAGGGATTGTGGAGTACGCTTTTTCGTGTGCCTTGTATGATATTTTTCTATACTTGTTTTCAACATTGTTTTGGAGGAAAAGCGGGACGGAAGTAGTTGTATTCGGGAAAACAAATGACAAATTGAAAGCACAGCGCAAAGTGTTGGGTGTTCCAAGTAATTTGGACCAATGCTGTGTTACTGTGTGTGAGTCCCTGCTAACGTATTACCTTAGATACCATCTACCCAAAGTACTTCAATAATAATCAACATTTTAGTGAAATTTTCTTCTGATAAAGCAAACGAACCGGAATTGATTGCTTTGAAAATATTGCAGCCGAAATATTTTTCTAAGCAAACTTTACAACCTAGAAAGTTAGTATTTCACCGAAAGTTTCCTTCGTATTTCAAAGATGCCAGAAAATTTATGTTTCCACCTACTTTGACTAAGGTCGTCAATAATTTCTCTAAACAGCATTTCAAAAGCTCTTCTTACAAAAATTAACGACTTTTTCTACATTCTGCTTAGAGACTAATTGTCAAATCTGTTTATTTGGTTGACATTGCAAATTTTTGTCTTTGTAACCTTAAAATTGTGATTTACGTTGAGAATACAATAATTTTAAGAGATTATTCCATTTCTTTATTCACTATGAATTATTTCTCCTTAAATTTTCGTTCTTCTAGAAGTTTACACCGAAACAAAATTGTGGCTGAAAATATGTCAACCAAAAACTAATTCACTGAAATTTTATTACCGGATTTTCTGGTGCCTAACAAGATTCAATGCCCATTCTTTCAGAGATTTTTAAGATATCAAACTTGCAGGAAAAAAAGTTTTAAATTAATGGTTGTGTGCAACTGAATAACTTTGAATTATTTTCCAGACACCAGAGACATATTATATTTTAAGGAAATAATTTGAAAACTTACTTGATCACCATGCTCAATATTTCGTCGTCCAGCATATTGAGTTGAGAATCAGTCATCATTTCATCTTTGTCGAAATCAACCAACTCCTGTGTTGCTGTTCCTTTTCCTAGGAGATTCTTATCCTTTATTATTAATGAATTTCCCTCCATTTGCTCCGTGACTATACAACTTTCTACCGTTTTTCTTACAGATGATAAACATTGCTTGTCAGTTGAACTTTCTAAATTTTCTTGGATGCGACTAATAATTGTGGGACAATCTTCAACATTTGAATTACTATTTTCTTCACTGCTCTTCACTGTACAGTTAGATTCTAACTGCAGATCAGATTTTCCGCAGTTTTCATTCAAACATTCATCTCTTGCTGCCTCGGCTTTTACCTCAACATAGGGTGTTGTTGATGCTACTTCAGACATCAATATTTTTGGTGTAGATGACATGTTATCATTGATATTCTTAACTCCATTTCCATCTTTCACTACGTATAATTGGTCTGTTTTAAGCAGGGATTCACTTGAATCACCTTGTTTTGATTGACTATTCTCAGCAAGTCTCGAGGTGGTGCTTTTTTCCTTGTGATTGACAGCTTCAAAAGAAGATTCTGTTTGACGATCTGAAACTGCCTCTTCATGTTTCAGCCCTTCTTCCTGGTTGATTCCTTCCTCCATCTCCAATACTTCTTTCTTTCCTGGAAACAGCTTCTCATTCACAATATCATTTGCCTCTTCAACGACAACTGGTAAACACTCCGAGTTTTTTTCCTTTTCTCTTTCAACTACCTTCTCACTGTCATTCACTTCTTTACTCTCTTCTTCCAGCTGCTTAGGGTTGAAATTTGACTCTTCGGCTGAACCTGTGAAGCAAGGCACTTCAATGTTTCCATTGAATTTTTGCTTTATTATATTTTCACATGACTGTGATGTTTCTAAAAGAAATCAAATTTATAATGAAAAACACGTTTTACCTATACATATCAATTGGTTATGAACACACGCTGGATTATCTAAAATTCCAATTTTAGGAACTGTACGACCCAACCTTTTGCTGAAGACATGCTAATGGAAATTGCCCTTGAAAGGGCATCATCACATTTTCCAATAGGTCCAAACATTTTCCCCTGAGCATTTTCCTGACTATAATATTGAAGCAAAACCAGATTTTGATCAAAATTTAAGAATATTAAAAGGTATTTCAGAGTAAGCATTTTTACTGCCCAGCAACTGCTCTGCAAATAAGGGTTCTCCACCCTAACAGGGTGTAGCAGCGCACTGTTGTTTGAAGGTACAAAGATTTTACTAGCAACCAAACCTCCATTGCCACTATCTTGCACTTCCTTTTCCGCTGCTTCGTGTACACGCTGTGAACTCTTTTGTACGCAATTTTTAGAATCATCCGTTTGATTACTGTTCATTTCATTACATTCTAAGTTTGTGTTGTTAATGGACGCATTTTCCGCTCCGTTTGGCACATCTTTTGCTGCTGAAGCCTCCAATTCAATTACCAAACTTTTTGTCAATACTTTCCCTATGGCTTGCTCCTTTGATGAAATCTGCATGGCAAAGAGTTCTTATTCAAAAAAATTTGTTTCTACAATCACTAAAAGAGGAAAACTCATTAACATACAACTACTGTGACTATCATGGCGGGAATAGACTCTAGGTCATCGAAGTTTCGACCATGAAAGGCACTTATAATTCAAAAATTTACAACATTCCAAATAAAAAGAAACTACAAAGGAAAGTCAACTTTCTGTTTCACATTAGATGTCAGGCAATGATTTCAGCGAGGTTATCAAATAGCAACGATATCAAATAAATGTTTGGATCTTATATTTGCATAGATAGAAAATTATGGTCTCATTTTCGTTTTTCAGATTTGGTTTGAATGTCAGAAGCAAAAGAGAAATAATGCAGAGTACATATCTAAAAACATGAATTGCAATGGGTGTCTGATTTTGAAACCAATCGATAGAAATTAACATGACAAACTATTATTAGGACTCCGAAATACCCTATGCAATATAACGCTCATTTCGATAGTTTTTTCAATAACTTTAGCGGCTTGGCCACCTTTTCCGACAAATCTCAATAATATGCGTTGATTTCTAACATTTGGAGACAGGATGTTTCTTAGCTTACATCAAGAGCCAGAACAAGCATGATAAGATGACAATTTTTTAGCATTCAGAAGCCAATGAACATATGGACAAACAGGAATAAGTAGCATGAAGAAGCCAATGAACAAATGGACAAACAGGAATATGTAGTATGAAGATAATACGTTATCTCGCCCTCTGGTGCAAAGAGATATTTCTGGAAAGTTCAAAGACCAGCATTAGAAAGCGTCTTAAACAAAACGTTGAATCAAAATTTCGATACCTGAATCATCTCAGAATCATCTATTTTTCTAATTTTTGTTGCTTTACTTTCAGCTATGCCATCGACCACACCCACTAAGGTAGGTTTTTCACCCGACTTTGTTGCTTTACCAAAAACAGGCACATATTTTTGGGTTGACGGGTTTTCAGAGAGTTCGTTGTCTTCTTCTTCCGCTTTAGTAGGGTTGGATTGAACCTTGAAAATAATATGTTATTCTTTAACACTTTTATTAATTTCCACAAAACATGCATAGCCTAGTGGCCCTTCTTTTAATTAATAAATTATTGACATACCACAAAAGCTCTATTAACCCCCTCTCTCTATTAAGCCCTCTCTATATTAAGTCTCTCCTTATCAAGGAAAAACTTAAAAGAAGTCCCCACTCTCTTTTAGGCCCCCCTCCTTAGTCTTTGTTGAAAAACAAGGAAAACATGTGCGCTTAGCGGGTCTCTTGACGGGTGTGATGATAATAAGATCGTGTGCATTAAATACGGCCCATGTAAAGACTTACTTGTGCGCCTAAGAAGTCAGTCGAAATTTGTTTAGAAGATGTCGCAGGGTGATCAATTGATCGTAGTGATTTTGATGAAGATAAGAACCTTATAATTGGTTAACTAGACTTTCGAAGCTGCTAGCAAAGTTTTCTGTGAACATTTGTATGATATTTTATAGCAAAAAAATAGAAAAAGCCATTATTGAAACATTTTTTTACTTCAAATTATTAATAAGCCTCTCTCTCTCTCTAATAAGCCCCCCTCTTCTAGGACTGAAAAAGTAAGTAAGCCCCCGGGTGCTTAAAAGAGCTTTTACGGTAATAGAGCTTTTGGTTTGAGATCAAATTATCTGTAGGTACTTCTTTACAAATTGAAACATCGAAATAAAACTTGTCTTATACTGGTTAAAGAAAGTATTTGACTTAAAAAATAAACAAGAGTTGTTAAAGGCAAACGGCAACAATTAGGACAAGATTTTGGAATCGCAAGGCTGTGTAGAAGAACTTTTTAAAATGTAAAGGAATTTAATCTTGCACTGAATTCGAACGTTCAAAGACATTATATGGATTGAGTTAAGTATATTAAGGAATTGTTCTTAGGTTAATATAAACAAATGTATGACTTTGGTTCGACAGAAATACCTTGGGCCTAAGAAATAGCGACCATAACACAATTTTGCAATATATTCTAATGAAGCCAAGAATATTTCAAAACTTACATTGCTGCTCTTATCATTCACCTGTCCTGAATTCCTTTTCCTTGTTCGCCTCTGTGGTTTCATGTTAAATAAGCCAAAGTGAAAAGATATTTCACCAATGTCTTTAATATTTCACCATTGTTTTGTAGCTGATCACGCAATCAGAAATTGAATTTGGCGCGAAGATGGCAGCAGGACCCAGACCTCCTAATCTTCAAAAATTCAAATTCTTGGTTGTGATCTATAGTGCATAATTGTGAGTCAAAAATGTTTCAGAAGGTAAAAATTTTCTACAAAAGCATCAAACTAATTTTTTTCCTAAACATTTATGCAAAATTTCAATTTTTATTCTCTAATAAATTGCAAATTCGACTTTTGTTGATGTTGCAAAATGCTCAAGAAGGAGACTATTTAGATAATACAGAATATTTGACCAATAGCTTCTCTATAATAATAAAATACTATTAACAAATTATGATACAATCTAGATAATATATACAAAACTAAAGAAAATGTGGGGAATAATATTTAACAAATAATGATAGGGCTACGTTTACATATGCCATTGGTTTTAACCATTTTGTCCTTAGTTAAGCAATTATAACCACTTGAAAAATGTTCTTCGTGCATTCTTCTGGAAGAAGCAAGGCATACATTTGGAGCATTTTCTTGATCTCTGGTGCTTATAAAATTGGACGTTCCATAAGCAGAGGTGCGTCTAGCATCATTGACGTCATGCCCAAAGCTTTCAGTTGGCGGCGATACGTGATGTCTTTCTGAACTTCTCTTCCGAAGGGATTCCACTTCCGTGTCAAAGTGTGACAGGCGATGGTGCTCTTGTAATGGACCAGGTGAAGACATTCTGGTCATCGAGAAGTCGATGGTTTGCTGTTGAAGTATGCTTTCCGGACGTGGAAGGTATAGGAGCCCGGTTTCAAGATGACAGCTGCGATGAACCGGTTGAGCATTCACCAGACAGGGCAAGTTGCAAGGAACTGCGATTGTGCTTGTAAACGATGCTTGTTGTGCTCCCTTGTGAGCTGAGTTCCAGTAATCTCTCTTCAGTTTCATGCGACGATTCTGGAACCATGTTTTCACTTTCTTCTCAGACAGACCGAGTTCCTCCGCCATGTCATACCGCTCTTGTGGGTTTGGATATTGGGATTCTCGGAATTTATCTTCAAGCTGTTGTAGTTGTTTTGCGGTGAAAATGGTGCGAAGTCGCTTGCTCTCTGCTTAAAGAAAAGAATTATCTGATTAGGTAATGATTAAATGCAGGTACATGTTAACAAGGAAATAAGCGATGTGTTATCATGAAAAATGCTTTATATGCTTTCTATGTGAAGTAAAAATTGCTATTTATCAAAAAAACGGTATATAGATATCACTTCTATAGAGAAAGAGTACAGTAATGTGCTGTATCAAAAACATCGCGTTAGTCACTGTCTACCAACCTGTTTGAGAATGCGATCCACGTTTCTCAGGTGAAGTGTCCTTCTCAATCATAGAATCTGCTGTCGCATGTTTCACTTCTGCCTCATTCGGGTTTCCAGACTCATCAATTTGTCGTCGTACCTTCTTCCTTTCGATGTCCGATGAAAGTATATAGTCGATACTGAATCGCAAGTGATTGCGAGATTGCTGTTGTTCCATTTCGTTTTATCTTGTGAAGTCTCTCGTAGTCTACCTTTCAGCTAAAGAAGGATGGCAGATATGATCCACCATCTATCCCATACCACCTTATATGAGGTACCATAGCTCTCATCTTTTCAGTCGGCACATCATCACAAAGGGGCGGGATCATTTGATCAGGCACATTTCAAAGACTTAGCGCCATTGTTTAGCTGTCCGGATAAACAATACTTTGGGGCTCTGATTGGAGGGTTGAAGTCAAACAATGACATCTTAAGGCTGCGGTAAGGAACGGCATTGCGGCGTGTTAAGGTGGCGCTACTGTTAACTTTTACCGCGAATCTTTATGGCGGACGGTGTCGGGGTGCTAATAGTGGCGGCCCTTGATAAATTTCGAGTAAAGGTAGTTGTTTGAGCATTGTGTAAACCTTTTGACTTGCCGCTTGATGTCAAGGTACCGTGTTACCATGGTCGTATGAGACAAAGGGGCAGGGAGGGCTGCAGCGCCCGAAATCAAGCCAAATTCATGGCAAAATTTGGGCAGTCCTATCTCATTCAAGAAATGATACTTGGATGAAGTCCTCCTCCCTCTTCCTTTAACTGTTATTATCGGCTACGCCCTTACATGTCACCGCATTTCTTTGCACCGAATATTTGAGATATTTCAGATCTCGAGGGAAGAGAGACAAGTACTGAAACTGTAGACGCTTCTACTGGTAAGAAAACCATTGCAATAAGAACCGCTAGGGTGGCAGCCGATGATGAGAACAAGATTAACGCAAATGGATTAGCTTCTAGCGAACGTAAATAAGAAATAGGCAAGTGTAATGGGTACACTTGAATGCTATTCAAGGGTAAGTTTCTGACAGGCTCGCATCCTATCTACCCTGCAGCAGATACAGGGCATTTTTTAACATGCTCAGTGATGGGGGAATCGCCCCACCGGATACTACGAGTACTCCCACCAATGAGTAGCAAAATGCTCCTTTTACCCCAGATTCCAAGCTACTATGGGCCCAATAAAAACAGAATATTCTCTTTTCTATCATCACCATCTTTTGATGAAATAGTTCCACTACTGGAAACTGTAGAACAAGCAATGCCTTCAGTTTGGAAGACACCCAGATTCTTCACATTAAACTTTTCAATGAATTATATTTCCTTGTATGGTTTCTAAGCTATAACATTTCATTAAAAGTTGCCAATTTTGTTTTTAAAAAATATGTTAGAACGTTTTAAAGAAACTTTGTAATACGATTACAGTAATAGTAATTAGTGTCAAATCTCGAAGCCTTAAGACTCAACACTAAGAAATTAGTATGGAAACATCATAATGTCGTGGACATTATGCTAAATGTTATAAATTGCAACTCATGCTGTTGTCCAGGGGCAAGCGTACTCTCTAAAAGACATTCTCTTTCTGTATGGATCACTGGGGGCTAATTGTTATGACCTTAAGATTTTTTGCCTCAACTGGCGCCAACTTTTGTGCCTTATTCAGTGTAGGCAAAGTAAAACAAAAAAAAACCGTCATTCTATGAAAGTTTTTATAGATTGTTGTAAATTGTATGAAAACTCGATTATTGCTCCCAAAATGTTGTACTGGCCTCGTTCGACTAGTCTAAGAGCAGCCTCCGAATGGCTGCACTGGTTGTCGGTAGTCTTCATAAATAGTACATGAAAGATCCCGCGCTCTCATATCAAACTCCATCTCAGAATAAAAATTGTTCCATTATCACCTGGAATCGGGCTGAAGGAATGCGAAGAAATAAATCTTAGTATTGATCTGCATATACCGACCAACTTGTTTGTCTTCAATGTGTTTCTTTCATATCAACCTACAATCACTACCAAAATTACTTAGAACACCCAGCACTTTGCGCTGTGCTTTTCTATTTTTAATTTGTTTTCCTGAATACAACTACTTCCGTCCCCCTTTCTCCCTAAAACAATGTTGAAAGTATAGAAAAATATCAAACAAGCCACAAGAAATAGCATACTCCATAACCCCTTCCCTTTTTCTATAGTAAATCAACATTGTTCTTTGGGGGAGAGGGGGGTGGCTGAATTTGCCTTTGAAAACTGACGTTAGTGTTCCAAGACTTTTGACAGTGATTGTAGGTAATACTTGGGAAGAAATCAAGATTTTAGAGGCCCTGTTCAGTATCAAACTGACTATTAAGATGTATTCATGATTTATGCATGGGCCTGTTAATGGTGTTTTTTTAATCGTATCTTACTTGACTCATCTCTAGTTTTTATCAAAAAACCTTAAGGACTCTTCTCTTCCTCTTTTACTATTCATGATATGTATCAATGATCTCAACAGAATACCTATTGGATACGTATGCCAGCAATACCAGTGTCTTCAAGACTCGGATCGACTTGATAACTGCTTGGTTTTAAGAATATTCAGAAACAAAGAGGACCGACTCTAAACTCTTGACGGTCTGAAAGATGGTAACCAGTCCTGAAATCAGAAAGGGGGCATATTTGTGCTGCATTTTACCATTATCACTAAGATAAGTTTATACGGGAATAGGAGGAATACTGAATCTCTCAAAAGCATCTTCCTGAGTGACAATACAACGGATGCACAAGAAAATAGTTTGCACAATAGAATGCAAACATTATAAATCACAATCTGTTTATAATTGAAATTATTATCACGTTGTGATTTTATGCTTTTATTGAAAATAAAGTTTTATATCAGCTCAATATCGCAATTAAATTGTGAAATAGTATGAAACCTCTAGTCCAAGATATACTTGCTCGCTCCTTACCTGCTTTACGAAAATATTTGTCAATTTCCATTCAACTATATTGAGATATTTGTAATTCATTCGTCACTGACAGTTCTCCTTCCAAGAAAATTTCACTACGCTTCCTTCTTCAAGACAGCAAAAATACAAAAAGGATATAAGATGAACTAAGACATAAGAAAATAACAGTTTGCTTTGATCATATCTTGAAACTGGAAAGCAAATAAGATTCAGTTTAGTGCATTTGGTTTTAAAATTCCACTATCTACATACACTGCACACTAGGTACCTTATATTAAAAACTTTCAAGAATATAAATAATTAACATATTGACCTAAAAACACAATACCAGTAAGAAAGAAGAAGGATACATGGCATTAGTGGAAGAAGAGCTCTTGTAATAGAATTCTATCGGTAGCAAAGCTAAAACCAAAGACACCAACCTTTTAACAGATAACAATATGGAATCTTGCTATGATTCCAACATTTTATGCAGCTGGGTAAGTTGCAAACACATATAATGGAAACACTTATGTTAAAACAAGTATAGGTTTTGATTTTTGACAAAATTCATGTATGGTGGGTGGCCCATTAACATCTTTAGGGGTGTCATTTTAGAACAAGGCTCCGTGGTAATGTACTGATCCGCGATCTTATGGGATGGTAATGTTTGAAGATATTATTTTTCATCCCCGTCTTTCATAATTTTGATAGCAGATCACATAGATTTAAAAAGATAAGAAAGCCAATGGGAGAGACTTTATAAACGGATCCATGAGCGAAGTTTTTCAAAATTTAAGCTGAAAAAGACCATGTTGCTTTGGGTTTTGGATCAAGATTTTAAGATATGAGCCACATTTTACTCTTTTCCTATTTTTCTCTGATGGTGGTTTATATTCAAACAGGATTGATATTTTCAGCTTCCCAATAGCTTCATCGATTAGGGATGGAAGTAATTAATGCAAATTAGGAAAAGAGAAAGACCAAGGACAGAGCCCTGTGGAACTTTGCTGGTAACATTATGAGAACTTGAGTTTGATCGAATTGCAGAAACACAGTGCTTCCTATCTGAGAAACAGGAATGAAGACAGCTCTTCGTATTCTTTGCTGTTCAAGCTTGAACTAAACCTTTGGGGGGTAAATAATTTCCAAAATTTACTTCAAACAATACAAAAATCGCACTGCTCTTGGTTTTTAGCATGTTTAGTCCCCCCCCCTAAGGTTTGAGCCCTCCTCAATCTGTAATATAATCCGCGGTCCTTGGTGTCCAGCCTTTCCTACACAGCATCGAGCACTTTGTGACAGTTATTTTAAGGAAATTACTTTAGATATCTTTCCTCTTTAAAGGGAATACCCTGGAGTGTTGACTCGCCAAAAACAAATAATCTATATATTATCGCAACTAGAATGGCTAAACAAAGTCACTGTTACGTTTTTTGATTTCCCCTTATCAAACAACCTGTCTGGATCAACAACTAATCCTCGAATCCGAAACAGTGCTAAACCAATTTGTTTAGTTTAGCAGATACACAAAATGATAACAAGTACAAAACTGAGTATTGTTATTCGAAAAGAAGGGAAGTAGCGAAAATGGCAAGGAAGGAATGTGGTTCTGGTTCTATTCCAAAGGCGAACCTATTCTGTCGCAGGATCCCTAAATCGGCTCATTATTTCTCCTGATTAACAAATAATGATATCCTTGTTTGACAAAAAGTGATTTAGTTTCGATCATCACAACAAAATTAGCAGAGTCGTGAATGGTACATAAATTATCCTTATTATCCACTAAAGTTTAGAAGCAAGAGTTAAAAACCTCTGAAAGGAAAGATATTTGAAAATCAAACTTTATCGCAAATTTGGAAAAAGATTTCACTGTCTACAATAAAATTTAGATAAAAATAACTTATATATCCCTACTATTTCTTCCATACCATAATATGCCCATATATCTTTTATCGTTGTCTTTTCAATTCTAGCTTCTTTACAACAGTCCCTCTCTTTCGGGATATTCAAAACAGTCATTTTGTCCATTTCCAACAGAGGGCAAAAATGTGGAAAGATCTCCAGAAGAAATAAGAAATTCTCAAACCAAATTTCCATCCAAAAGAATTTGGAAAAATACATTCGAAAATCCTTGAAATTATTCACTAAGAATATTTTATTTGGCAATGTCAAATATTCATTCGAAAATCCTTAAAATTATTCACTAAGAAAATTTTATTAGGCAATGACAAATATTCATTCGAAAATCCTTGTAATTATTCACTAAGAATATTTTATTAGGCAATGTCAAACATTCATGCTCCGCGTTTAAAGAAACATGTTCTAGAGAAGGGGGGTGCTCTCCTCTCGTTGGTTTTCGGACTGCTGTGGGATTTTAAATTCTGAAATGCTCAAATTGAACAAGCATTTTGAATATGTTCTAAATAACAGTTATTAATTTTGTTTTAGTAACAGATTTAACATTCGTTACTCTGTATTCGTAGTTAGATTTGCATGTATAGTGAGCTTCAAAAAGCAATGAAATGAAAAAATGAAAATGGAAATAACATTTTCTTCTTATCTCGCTAATCAGATTTTAAAATTACGTTTCAACTAGTGTCACTTCTTGGTGAACTCTTTCAATCAGTTGAAAGGTATCCGAACAGAGGAGCATATTCATTGACTAAAAGTACAAACAATTGAGGTTTTGCTGAGTATTTCACTGTAAACGAAACATTGCATTGCAGTCCATCATAAAATGGCATCGAGAAGAAGAAAAAAGAGAAAGACAGAAAAATCAATAAAATTGAATATATAATAGTTTGATCGAATGGAATGGAAAGTTGAATTGAACTATAAAAAACTATCGGGGCATTAGAAACTTAATCTTAATTGATCGTAGACTCTGAATTGCGATGAAATACGTCAAAATACGTTATATGAAAACCAGCCTTTAGGAGCCAAGATCGTGAAAACCATCTGCAAAGCAAGATTGCAAAAACAGGTTGGTATCTGGTCAACTATATATTCATCCTGAGGTACGGTCCTCTTATTTCGTTGATATTTTATTAAAGAATCGCTTGCATTATTTAAGAAAAAAAATCTGGATTCGCTACAAACCCTACACCCAACCTAAAAGGAATCTAGAGCCCCGAGTGTCTCCGATATCTCAGTCCAGACATAAATAAATCCAGAATATGACATATTCTGTTTACAAAACACAAAATAAAAGATGATTACGGAAAGTTGCAATGCAGAGAGTCGAGATGCATTCTAAACTTGAGAAACAGTTTCCTTGAAATGCTGATAGTCTTGGCTAAACCCGTATAAATATAAAAAAGTGACTTCGAGAGCTTTTTGAACTTCCTCTTCTTCAAAATGGTTCCTGAATCTGCAGGCAACAAAGTGAATCCAAAACCAAACGATACTATCTGAAGGATCCAAAATCCGTAATTTTTCGAACCGATGCAATCAAGGGCTTACATCTTCTGGGACACAGACTGTAACGATAGCATCTCTCTTCATGGCTCAAATGATAGCAGTTCATTGGGGTGCAGCTAACAGCTTCTCTGCAATAAAATGTGACAACAAGAAATGAGGTAATGAAAGATAAACGAGAAATAAAAATACATAACAATACGTGTCTGGTAATCGGTCTTGGATAAATTCGGCTCCGAAATTAATTGAGAACGGTAACCGGCCTTCAATTGCCATTAAAAATAGAAGATTGATAATAACAAGCAACAATACAGATTCGGGACAGAAAGTTCTCACAAGTTACATTTTCTATTTTAAACATCAAAATAACTAAAACACGGTAGAAATGGCAAAAAAGCTATATGAATGGCAAAAGTGAGTGGCAAAAGTCCCAATAAATACTTTATGGCAAAAAAATGGCCAAATTCCCGAAAGAGCAGGCTGGTATCGACTATCCAAGGAGCTAACATAGCAAAATTTTTCCAATTTTTTAATTAGGGTAGGAATCCATACGAAAACCCACAATGCAAAGACTACTTTTAATCATTATTCACAAAGACTTTTTCGACTTTCATACTTAAGTTGCAAAAATAATATTTCTTCTTTAGGATAACTTAAATTCTTGCTCAAGTAGCCGCGGTCACTTAAGAGGTCTGGATCTTCGAAAATCGCTATAGTTTACAGCTTCGAAAAGTATACTGTCACTGTTGCCTCGATATCATTTTCTCTACTTTAAATCACAAGAGAGCCTGATTAAATATGGCTACAGTTGAGCCATAAAAAGCTTTTAGCCATAAAAAAAAGAATATTTTAACAAACCTGGACTTCTTCTTTAGTAATTAGATTGATAATTGCCTCAAGAAGTCGTCCTTGATCGTTCATCTGAGAACGGTCGGCCATTAACCTCAAGTTTGGGTTCGAAATTTTCTGCTCAAGTAATTCATCCAGCTTCATTCGTAACTCCTGAAATGTTAAGAAGAATCAACCAAATACAAAACTCAACATCATTTTGGTCAAGAAAAAAAAACCGCCTTTTGTTGACCTATTGTCTACAAGAATATAAAATTTGATTGGCTTGCTTCAGTACCGATAACTGTTTTATCGTAACACAAAAAATGCTACGCAAGATGTGAAGTACTAAGACAACGAGCTTATTTACAAGAAATTACCTGAAAAGTCAAATTAAAAGAAACTGGCTAGAAGCACCATAATTTGGAATACGACTGAATGCCTTTCAAATCTGAATCCGTGTTAAAAGGCAATGATAGTTACATTAGGTTTGACCAGCGTGCAAGCGTTGACCGTAAGTCCAAATGGAGATCGGACGGAGATCGGACGGAGATCGACCAGAGATCGGCCGCCGAGGCGGCAGTCAAGCTAAAATCTAACGTTACCAAAACTAACGTTCCATCATATGCAGATGACTTGAATAAGGAATATAAAGATTTTCAATTACCCTGAATGGACTGCGCAAATTTTTGCCCAGGCAAGTAGAAAAATACTGACAGGGAGGGATACTTGCAGCAATTTGCTAACTGATTGAAATTATTTCATTTCAATCAGATAAAAACAAAATTCCATAATTTCTAGATTGCTTCATTTGTTGATAATTCACAACATTGAGAGTGCAAGGGTTACGTTAACAAACAATTTAAAAAAATTCTGATAAAGAAATGTCTAATGGAAAATGCCCTCAATGCTTTCGATGTCTGTATAGTAATTTGGTTTTTCCTTACCTTAACAAGTTTCGCAATCTCCGGTGATGCCTTGAACTTAATCCACCCGTCAATTTTAATAACATTTTGGAAATCTTCGCGTCCTGTCGTAATTTTCCCACCAAAGAACAACAGAGGAAACGGGGCAATCAGGCTGGTATCATACAGAAATATCTATTGAGAAAACAACATGAAAATCATACAATATAATTTTCATTTACAGAAGAGCTATGTGCTATCAAGGAAATCTATAAACCTACACAAAACAATCTTCGTTTATTTAGACCCTGCAGAGAATCTTAGCCTAACATCCTAACAGAGTGGTCATTTTTAATCCTGGGTACTATTGTTTGCATATTCTGTTGTTTTCATTTGGTTCCACTGTCATCGTTAAAATTTTAGTAAGAGAAGGGAAATGAAATTTAAGTCAACGCAAACTTTGAAAAAAATTGAAAACATTATAGATTCTTTGAACAGGCTAGAGCAAAGGACGATTTCTCGCAATTATGATAAAATCATTGGTATGAAGACAAAAGATTTTTGGTATAAAGTTGTTCCTGATGCTGTCCATTGATGATAATCAACAATTCTGGTCATCTTCAGTTCAAATACTGATTGGTTCAAACATAAATGTGTTTATTATATTTGGTATATCATCATTTGAACAATATCAAGAACATGAACAAGTATATTATACAGTGCTATAAAATTCTTCACCCTGGTTCCAAGTAATAAAATTGACAGCTCTCTAACTAGTTTCTCTATTAAGAATTCAATTCAGTAATGTTACTCTTTAAACTTAGAGAAGAAACCTAATTCTACAGCAAAATATTTTGGAAATGACAGTAACTGAGCGAAAAGATGAGAAAAACCCACCGCAAGGCCTAAAGGACCAAGCTTTACTTGGACCACGCTTTGTGTTAATGGCTTTATAAATTTCGTACTTAAATGCTAAGCCTTAAAATATTTTCTGTTTTCTGGCATTCACTTTTGATGTATATCGTGTGTATTTCATTTGTATCAACATAAATGTAGTAGTCTCTCGTACCGATCATTTTTTGGTAGTCAGTAGCAATCAAATAACGCCAAGTTTTTTCTCTACCAATTCCTTCTCTTCTTTATCCTTGAGTCAAAGACCTAATTTTAAAAATGGGCGTTTCCATTTTCCAGTGACCTGAAGGGTGTGGCACCAAAACTTAATTATTATCTAACACCCCCCCCCCCCCCCCCCCCCAGAAAAACCTTGCCACTTCCAACTGCCAATTATTATTCTAAACTCGTTATGCAATAATAAATTTTCTGTGGCTGCAAAGATGGCGTCTGTAAATCAACAATTGAAAGAACAAAAGGCTCAGCGACAAAATGCAAGGATAGCGAGACAGGAACTGGCACAAATACAGCTCCCTCCCCGGTGGCGTAACGCACGGTGTGCACCATTAAGCACAAAACTAAGGGCCCCCAAGCATTTGGGCCCGAATGGGCCTCCAAGAAGTTTATCGAAAAACGGGTTTTTAATGAAAGCTATGTTTCTTATTTAGCTATGAAAGCTATGTTTCTTAATAGCATTAACAGCAGCATTCCCCATCTGTATATGCTGCATGGAAATCCAGAAAAGCTTAGATGAAGATCAAAGGAAATGTCTCAGGCAGCAGAATTTCTCTTCATATGATCTTATATGTTATTTCTTTGGGTTTTGAAGGAACGAGTACTTAGGCTTTGAAACCTGACACAGATTTAGTTAGGTATACGGGCCTCAAAACACTATTTTCAATAAGGGCCCCACACTGCTCCTTTACGCCACTGTCCCTCCCCCTAGATTCGGGTCGTGAAGAAAATATCAAGTACAGCCCAAAAGGCAAAAATTTCTGTTTATCTTCATGTATGGAAAATACAAGAGGCAGAAATCCTGCAATCCAGCACCTCTTCTCTTCATCTTCTCCCGCTTTGTGATTCCTCTACATATTGCTCGGCAAGAGAAGCTCTAAAATGTGCTACGTGCCAAAAATGGGCAATAAAATTAGCCCCTAGAGAGACTCGAACTCTCGACCCCTGGTTTACAAGACCAGTGCTCTAACCACTGAGCTATAGAGGCATATGTGCTTGATTGTGAAAAAATCTTACAGCTTGAAGCGAATAGCAAATTCTTGCAAAGCTTGTTGATGTCTGAAGGTTGCTATAGAAACGGCGCTAGCCAATCAATGAGTCTATCGCAGGAAGTTCCGAGCTACGTTGACATAGTAACAGTTAAGAAGTTGTAATAGCTTAAATGTGACATCTTAAAAAATTTGAAGACTTTTTAACGATATGAATTTTTAAAGTTGCTTCATCATTTCTCCCTAAAAATGAGCGACACATATTATACAAAATGTTCACAAGTTATTGTCTATCACCTGAAAACTGTCAGCTTCGCAAAAAAATTGAAAAGATCAACCGCAAAAAACTTGCAGATATAAATGCAGAAATAACTTAGAAGCATCTGCTGGATATTGTTTTTTCAGCAAAATAAAGGAATGCATAAAGATGTTGCAAAAATTATCGCCTGCTCGAAGTGTACAGGTTTTGCTACTTGCATAAAGTTTTTCCCCAAAAAATTCCAACGGAGCCTTCAACGTTAGCTGACCCAAGCAGTTTCAGAAAAATTAGTGTAGCAAAGAAGGTTTCAAAGCAAATAATTTGCCTTTACATTATACTGCAAAATCCAAGCATTCAAGATTGTAAATGCAAAACCAATAAGAATAAGTAATAAGAAAATAACGATAAATAACATTGGTATGAAATCAGCTTCTGCAAAAGAAAATAAGTATATACCTTGTATATATATATATATATAAATTTGTCTTTTGATACTTCAGTAGCACAGTGCTCAATACGTTAGCACGTAGAGCATGATATATCATAGAGTTGAAGAAAATAAGACTACACGGTTTATCTCTACAAGCCTGTTTCGTGAGTAACTCACTCTTCAGGAGATGTAGAGATAAACATAAAAGTATATATAAATATCAAACATCAAAGTATATAAAATACCTTGGAGGTCTTCATGATTTCGTGGTAAACCATCCAATGGCATTCAAAATGCTTCACACCAAAGTTAACAGATTTTGGGTGCAATTGAACTCTGCCGTGGTTATTCGACGTGAATTTCGGCATTCTAGAGAAAAAACAACTGTTCTTTAGAGAAAAAGCAAGTAAAAAGCGCTCAATTTGCTGTTGAAAAACCAAATGGTTGTATTAATATAGAAATTTTCAACTCTTTTTAGCTTTCAGACAAATAATCGGCGAAGAAGAGAACATAATAATTGAATCTACTGCACATCTGTCTCCATCGGGAGTCTGGAGCCCAATTACGTCATGCAAGAAATGTCGTACGACGAAAATGGTTTCTAAGGCAACATATGTTTTCATAAAAACATTCAGCCTAAATAAAAACATATGTTTTTTTATTTGTAACTGATTATATGCCTCTATAGCTCAGTGGTTAGAGCACTGGTCTTGTAAACCAGGGGTCGAGAGTTCGAGTCTCTCTAGGGGCTACCATGATCTTTTTGCCCTAACTGACCAGTCTGTTTTGATCAGCTTTGGTACTGCCTTCTGACACTGAGAACACATTCCGAGTACATTGTGCTTAACATTGGACACAGAAAACAACAGGACTTAATACAATACTATGTTCTAGCAGAATATAGGGTGATTACAGACATCAAGGTGGAAAATAATATTGAACTAGCCGGTAACATTATCATTTCTTGTTGCCAGAAAACGATACAAAAGACAACAAACAGGATTTATAATCAAACAAAAAGTTCGCCACAGGGCTCTCCGTTAGGTCCCTGCTTGCTTATTTAACATCATAAACGTGTTCTAGTATAAATAAATGCAAACAATGTCAAAACTTAAAGGAATCTCGAATTTTTATTTTTAACACAAAATAGTAAATTAAAGTGACTCATACTAAAATGAGTTCGATTTTAACAAATAACTTTAAATGGTAAGGGACAGACAGAAAGAACTCAAAAATAGCTATCAAGGTCAGCAGTACCTTAAACTGTGTTTTGACGTAATTAAACACAAATCTTATATATGGCTTACAACATATCATAATAATTGAATCTACTGCAGATCTGTCTCCATCGGGAGTCTGGAGCCCAATTACGTCATGCAAGAAATGTCGTCTGACGAAAATGGTTTCTAAGGCAACATATGTTTTCATTAAAACATTCAGCCTAAAGAAAAACATATGTTTTTTTATTTGTAACTGATTATATGCCTCTATAGCTCAGTGGTTAGAGCACTGGTCTTGTAAACCAGGGGTCGAGAGTTCGAGTCTCTCTAGGGGCTACCGTGATCTTTTTGCCCTAACTGACCGGTCTGTTTTGATCAGCTTTGGTACTGCCTTCTGACACTGAGAACACATTCCGAGTCCATCGTGCTTAACATTGGACACAGAAAACAACAGGTCTTAGTACAATACTATGTTCTAGCAGAATATAGGGTGATTACAGACATCAAGATGAAAAATAATATTGAACTAGCCGGTTACATTATCATTTCTTGTTGCCAGAAAACGATACAAAAGACAACAAACAGGATTTATAATCAAACAAAGAGTTCGCCACAGGGCTCTCCGTTAGGTCCCTGCTTGCTTATTAAACATTATAAACGTGTTCTAGTATAAATAAATGCAAACAATGTCAAAACTTAAAGGAATCTCGAACTTAATTTTAACAAAAAATAGTAAATTGAAGTGACTCATACTAAAATGAGTTTTTTAACAAATAACATTAAATGGTAAGGGACAGACAGAAAGAACTCAAAAATAGCTATCAAGATCGGCAGTCCCTTAAACTGTGTTTTGACGTAATTAAACAAAAATCTTTTATATGGCTTACAACATATCACGCGAAAATGCTGCTCACCCGCTTGGTCCGTGTGGATTCGAAACTTTGGCAACATTTGGGTAGAGACCAGCGCAGATAACAGCTGCAATCAACTTGACATTGTCTGCCAAAAAAATAGATCAATCATTATCAGGTTGAAACTTGAACCACAAAAAAATACAAAAAGGCCAATTCAAGATTCATCTTGACGAAGTTGGTGTTTTGGTGTTGCAGACAGATGTTATGTTTATCAAAATTATCAAAATTTAAACATATGTCAACTGCAGAACGTTTAATGAGCCAGAAACAACTTAAGCTGTTATATGTTGTAACTTATGACTCTTCATAAAGTTATTCACACAAATAGATTAGTTGTATGTGTATATATCCATATATATATATGTAAAGCTAGAAAAAATATCGAATTAAAATAAGGTTACAAACAAACAAGTTGATCACAAAAATAAACATTTTTCTCGAGTGCAACAGATGATCTTCTGTAACCCTCTTTCGTAAGAAAACAGTAACTCTCTTGTTATGGAGACAAACCAGCATTTTTCCGAACGTCTACTGAATTTTATAATTTCGAATCATATTCACATGCGCAGTTAAAATCGATAACGCTATTTTCACATTGCCTAATTTATTCTGTGGTGGCGATATTCGTGGCTCTTAAGGGAATAAGCCAGTTTCGAATCAAAAGATGAAGGTAATTAAAAGAAAAGGGCTTCACAGAATGAATATCGGGTTCATATGATACCACCATGATTTATAATTGTTTTGATTAAATTCCATGAAGCGCTAAGCGTTGTGAATTTTGTCATAGGCAATTACCCTAATGCGCATGTGCATATGATGCAATTTCTAATTGGTTTAGAGGAATGCTAAGAATAACATTCCTAAATGATTGGAATCTAAAATCGTCTCCCCCGTCAATATCGACACTAAGAGAAAAAACCTACCTGAATGGACATTGGCCTGGTAGCAATCTGCACTTGGGGAATCAACGAAACCGATCTGGTGCAAAAGGCCGGCGAATTGAGACTTCATACTGGCGATCATCTTCGAGGGAAATTGAAGTTGTTTAAAAAAAGATACAAACAGTACGGTCACTTGATATTCCCAAATGGGTGGGATGGGATGGAGTTGGTGATGAAGAGCAAAATATACCGATGAAGACATGAATAAGGACAACATTTTGCCTAATACCTTAAGCCATTATAAAAAAGCAACCAATGAATTCACCAACAAACTTCTACAATTTAGCCCAACAACCAACAGCCCAACAACAAGAAACTTGGGAATCATATATCAAATCAGGCGAAATCAAGCTAGTTTTGAATCACCCAGCCCCCGCAGGTTTTTCTCTATTTCTTGTTACTTTCATTGATCTCTTAGAGGATAGGGCTCCTATATATTGCTGGATTCTTTTCACAGTTCTTAATGTTTGCATTTAGGATTGACTCGGCTCTTTAAGTAAGTTATGCTTCCCTTCCCCTCTCATACCTTAGGTATCGAAGGTTGGACTGGTGTATCGGCTTCCTGGTAGGTAAAAGTGAACTTTTCCAGTCCATTCCCTACCCATAAATCAAGTTGCTTTGGAATTTGAGTTCATTAAGTGGTATTTAAAGGCTTGGGTATTATATGGGTTAGGTGGAGCGATGGAGGGTATGGGAATGTAGCCTCAAGACCTGATTTGAAGAGGCATGTGGCAATATCTTCTGAGGGACCTATTTTAATCACATTCACGGACTTTCTTTTTTGATTTTTTCTTATTAGAGTAAAAAATAATGTTTCTACTGCATTTCAGGCGAAATGTGTCAATCTGCAATTAGTACAGGCAAAGCGCAACTGACTTGGCGGCATTTGTTGGTTATCAAAAAATTAAGGTGGCCAATTTCCTCCTTTGGCGGGAGCGGTGTCACAAAGGAGTGGGGGCTCTGTCTTTACCAGTCTTCTAAAAAAATTGATACGGCCCCCTTCGGCGTCTTTGATCTTTGATAGGCCGGCTAATTTGTCACCGCCCGCCAAAAGCAGCGGCAAAGATCCCGATCAAAGGCGGCGAAAAAAATACAAAACTAAACAAACAAAATTATGAAATGAAAACACAATTTTAAATGTTTAAACAATTATAATTGATTTTTTATCGCAAATCTGCGAACTAAAATAATCGTCAATTCTCGATTACATCTCCGGGTTTAACTACGATTTGACCATAAAACTCTTCCACTAATGAAGATGAAATAGAAAAATATCAATTGAAGCCCAACCTAAACATTTATTTCGATGTAAACATTTACTTAGATGTAAACCTACTTATAAACTCCCTTCACAAAAGTATCCAAACTTTCCTGAATTTAGCTGTGCATCTGTTGCTAGAAAAATTTGTTTACAAACTTCCAAGGCGACATTCCTGGAACCGTTTTTATGAACTTCCTTGGAATCTTTCCTCAAGTGTCTTCTGCCTTTGAACAGTTAAATTGTTACAAAAAATTTGACTTTATCTATAGAATTTCAAAAAACGTTTTTGCCAATTTTTCAAAAATCTGTGACCCAAGATTTATTAAAAGTGAGGCTGTATTACTGCTCTTGAGATATCTGTTAAAATACAGAACCAAAATTGAGCACGAGGCTGTCACAATCATTATCGAGGTTACCCACATCACTTAGATAGAAGAGATTTTTCACTTCACAAAGCGAGCAATCCATGTGTTCTGTTTTGTTTACATAACATATTAAAACAAACCAAAAGGAAAAGGCGTTTAACATCCATATTCCCCACATCCGAAAACTTAAATCATGCAAAAAGGATACGTTTCTAATGGAGTGCCGCAGGGATGTATTCTAAAGCCACTGCTTTTTCTCGTTTACATGAAATGTTGTTAGTAGTGAGTTGCTGATAACAGCATTTCTCCTTTAACTTTTGCTCAGACTCCAATTCACGAGATTGGAAAAGGATATGAAACTGGAACCAGCTATGAAAGTTACGAAAAACTCTGAGCCACAACTGGCTCGTAATTGACAAAGTAACTGAAACTTAGCCAGACGCTGGACTTCAAATCAAGTCGATTCCCTTGAAAAAGGCAAAGGGCAGCTTAACGTGCTGATTTGTGTTCGTTCACAGTTACTTGTATGCCTGCTGCCCAAACAAGTTTCGACATCTACCAATAATGCGATTGGTTGGAAGGAACAACAACCCTAAACATTAGGGCATTTCGCGGCAAATATCAAACAAGAGCCTCCGTAGCACTAAAGATTGCGCAGAGGCTCCGACGATCGCAAGCCGCATTCTTTGAAGTCTTCTGTTAGGATGGCGACAGCCAATCAAACACTTGTGCTTTTGTTTACTGTGACAGCTAAACAAAAGCGGTGGAACTTTCAACCTGCGATGATCAGAGGACAATGCCGCCAGAAGGGGGCCTGTCGGTCGACGAAAGGACAGCGAAACGCCATATAGGGAGGTATGGGATAATGGTGGATCATATCTGTCATCGTTCTTTAGCTGAAAGGTAGACTACGAGAGACGTCACAAGATAAAACAAAATGGAACAACAGCAATCTTGCAATCACTTGCGATTCAGTATCGACTATATACTTTCATCGGACATCGAAAGGAAGAGGGTACGACGACAAATTGATGAGTCTGGAAACCCGAATGAGGCAGAAGTGAAACATGCGACAGCAGATTCTACGACTGAGAAGGACACTTCACCTGAGAAACGTGGATCGCATTCTCAAACAGGTTGGTAGCCACTAATTTTATTCGTTTTTCTACAACACATTTCTGTACGTTTTTCTCCATCTTAATCTTACTGTTCTCCATCTTAATCTTTGGCTGCAAATACCAATTTCATTTCATCAAGAAAGAAAATATAAGCACTTTTCACGATAACACATCGCTTATTTCCTTGTTAACATGTACCTGCATTTAATCATTACCTAATCAGATAATTATTTTCTTTAAGCAGAGAGCAAGCGACTTCGCACCATTTTCACCGCAAAACAACTACAACAGCTTGAAGATAAATTCCGAGAATCCCAATATCCAAACCCACAAGAGCGGTATGACATGGCGGAGGAACTCGGTCTGTCTGAGAAGAAAGTGAAAACATGGTTCCAGAATCGTCGCATGAAACTGAAGAGAGATTACTGGAACTCAGCTCACAAGAGAGCACAACAAGCATCGTTTGCAAGCACCATCGCAGTTCCTTGCAACTTGCCCTGTCTGGTGAATGCTCAACCGGTTCATCGCAGCTGTCATTTCGAAACCGGGCTCCTATACCTTCCACGTCCGGAAAGCACACTTCAACAGCAAACCAGCGACTTCTCAATGACCAGAATGTCTTCACCTGGTCCATTACGAGAGCATCGTCGCCTGTCACACTTTGAGCCGTACCCAGACGTGGCACCTCTGCGGAGGACAACCATAAGCAGACAGCATCAGCCGCCATATGAAAGATATGGGCACGAGGCTTACAACGGATACAACAAAGGTTACTCCGCATCTCTCCACAACGGCATGAGCAACTTTGGCAGAACCGATGCCAGCAACAACCGGCCTGTCAGTATTGCAAGAGATACCGGAAAAGAAACCAGAAGCAGCTACTACAGCAGCAACAACAACAGACAATGCATGACGTTATCATACCCGAGAAGGGAACTTGAACAATTTTCTCCCAAAGACAATGACATGAAACTAAGTGGACGTTTTCTAAAAAGTACAAGCATTGTAAATAGGTCTGATGACGGTGTATGCAAATTTAAGCCTATTGTAATTTGTTAGAACTATCTATTAATATATTTGATATATTTACTATGAATTTCTTAAGGTTGTATAGATTGATTCTGAATTGATATGCTTATGGAACTAGATCGCTTCCTTTATTCATTGTCATCTCCTGCTTCTAAGACAATTCATATTCATATTTGAAACATAAGCTTGCTATAATGATACATAACAAAGATACATAACGTAAAATGATACATAACAAAGAATAAGAAACATTTATTCAACTTACATTCAACGTATTTACAGAAAGAAAACTCCTCCAGCACCAATCTTTTTCTTGGCGCGTTCCACGAATCTTTGCCCATTTCTGCAAAATGATACATTTTGCAATAAAAGAGACAAAAAGTTGACAGTTAACTTCAATTCTTCATGTTTTCATGGATTACTCAAATATCGGCTCATTTTCTGGGATAGAAAAGGCTTTAAGAGTCATTAGTTTCAAAATTACATCTAGTTGAAAGAATCTTAATTATAAAAATAAAACGGGTTAAAAATCTTGGCAGATAAAAATTGTCGGATTAAATAAACTTACAGAAAAGGCGTTTACAAGCATGATATGATCGCTCTTGGCTCCGTTTGCAAATTGTTTTCGTACAGCATCTGCTTCTTTTTCTTTGCCCTAACAATCACAAAAAAAAGGTGAATTAGTGACCTGGATACAATTCAAAAATGGACTTTATTTTTAGCAAGACTAAATAAAATAACATTGTTTGAAACTATGAAAAGCGTTGGCTTCTGAAGTTCAAAATTAAAGTACTTATTCATTTGGAAAGAAGCATTCGGGTAAAGCAATCGCCCAGTTAAAGGAATCGTAAACTAACTAGCTGCTTGATAATGGTATTAAGAGTGAAAGTTTGGACAGACACGTGTCACCGTCCTGGTCCACACGCTAAAGCATAGATCGATTTTAGATATAGCTCTGTTGTGCAAAGACAGCAAGTATGATTTGGAGACATCGTTAAAAAGTTCATGGTTAAAATCCCTATTACAAGTACAAATACTTAATATAGCAAAAAATGATGTCTCTTAAATGTCTATATATTTCTGGGCTATAACGTTGAAAACAAATAAATGCAAAAAAAACAAAATAGCCCATATATGTTTTAATTAATCTCTATGTAACGTACGAAGTGTCTCACATAAAGAGAGAGTCATAAAGACACCTGATAACATTGGATGAAAACACAAAGTATGTTACCCATAAAACTTGAAAAACAAAGTCAAAGTTACTGACCAAAGGGATAAAGAAAGGGTCCTTGAAACCCAAGCTGGAGGCAACCGTTAATACTGGATCAAGACATGAGAAAATTGCACCGAATAGAATCATTTTGCCAACTTTTGGGTTCACCGGAAGATTGGCCAAATGGTAGCCGAGTGGCGTCAAGTTTTCGTTTCTGTCGAGGGCATTCTGAAACAAGAGCGCAAGAGGGTGTCAGAACACTCAACAAATGCGAAACAGGAATAAAAAAATAAAATGAATAGAGAGATACTAATCATTAACAATTTTCTTAAATATCAAAGGACTAAAAATTCAAAATGCTTCAAAGGGATCTTTCTTTTCAATAATCTTTAAATTCAAATATTTCTACCAGCCTCACAAGGCATCTTTAACGGTAATTCCAACATTAATTGGCGAAAAGTACGGTCTTCAACCTAAAAAACATGAACAATTTGTTTACGATAAATTGGACAATAAGGGCCTCATAACACGTCCACTTTTGGCAAGATGTGGAGACAACTCGACGGCTTGTTGTACGACTACTGGCAATAAATTGCAAAAAACATTACTAAGAAGTTTAGAATTTTCAGGTTTGACAGTACAGTGTTGAAACAAAACAAGAGACTGCGAAGCCAGCTAGGTGAAATACCAACAGTTAATGAGTTACCAATTCTGTAAGCGAGCGAATGGCGTTGTACACTGATTCTGGAGAGGGCGATTGTAGAGCTTTTGCCAGGAATGGTTCGATATTACCGAGTTTAAGAATCTGCAAAGAAACATATATTCAGATTAATTCATGGTAGACAAAGTAACAAACTGCAAGCTAAAGTTGTATAGAAAGAGACCTGTTGGCTAAGATATCTTACAGCTACCTTACAAAGGTGACTAAGGCCAGATTGGCGGGGAAACAATCAGCTGTCCATGTGTGGCTTTACTTCCTGTACCTAAACCGACTTAGGCTACAGGTCTGGGGCCCTAACAACTGAGCCACCAAGAATCATTTGGACATAAAACATTATTGTATGCAAGCCCATCAAGCAAGTTTTTCTTAAGAAAACATAAAGATGAAACGCAACTGATTCAAGTACATCTACTAGTCGTATTGATGACCTAAAGAAAATAAACCTGGTTTTCAAAAATGGCATTTCCTTAATGCTCATCCACAAAAGCTACTCAGGTTTAGGCCCAATGGATGAATGACAACGATGTTTGTGCCTCCCTCGAACAAATCCATTTTGGCAGTACGGAAACTGACTTTTGTTATGATGTTAATTACTATAAGAACTAACTTTAATTTGCAAGCAAAGCTCCTCCAAAGGCGTTCTCAAAATTTCGGGCGTTTGGTAGTCGGCCAACGACTCTTCTTTCAGACGTGTATAAAGGTGAAAACAGTGGCCAGGCTGCACCCTGCAAAAGCGGCAGTGTTTTACGACAAACAGTGTCTGACTACAAACCTTTGCAGTGTTGTACATAAGAAGGTTTTAAAACTGTCAAACAAATTTCTAATATTGAAAGAATCTGCATTATAATTCACTTGCTTCTAACTATAAGGCATGGTTTGTTCTCCTACCTTCCAGCTCTTCCTCTTCGCTGTTTTGATGAAGCTTTGCTTGCCCATACGGGCTGAAGACATGATATGTTTAATGATGTGTCGTAGGTCTAAAATGATCAATTAGAGATGAATTATTTTTTACAGAAATGTTTTAGAAACTTTAAAACTTGCTTGCAAAGAAGGAGGACAATATCAGAGGATGGTGAGTGAAAGAGAAACACAGCGCTCTGAGCAGGTGAGGGTTGTTGAATGCAACCTAGCACAATTCTCCTAACACTGCACTTTTATTATTCAAAAGAAATTACAGGCATTTATTTCCAATCCTCAATTTCATAATTATCACCCCCCCAACCCCTTCCCCCTCCCACTGCACGCTTAGACATTCTTGCCACTTGACTGGTCGCAAAGCTTATTGTTTCTCGCAATTTCGAATTTAGTTTTGTTACGCAACATCAATATTTCCAGTTTTCCATCATTTATACCAGCAGATGGTTTAGGCACACGTCCGATTAATTTTTGCTTAGTCAAAATTCAAAATACTGAAGTAGTAGTCAACAGATTCAAAACCATAAACATTCAATCGCGTAGCTTTCCGAAAACAAACACAGACAGGAAACTTAAATCAAATTTTGCAGGTCTCTAAAACAAAACAAGTGTTAACGCAGTTGGTTTTCCTTATTTCAGTTGTAACGAAATCCAAGTATCTAAAGAACAAATAACGGAACAAGGTTTTTTAGAGAGTCTTTGAACTTGGGAAAAATGCATACCATACGGTGGCAAATGCACTAGCAACGACATCGACATTACAAGAGAAAATAAAATCATCGAAGGTTAATGCAGATTTTCTTTAAATAATTGACAACACTAGAATGAACAAAGAATTAGAGACTATAAACGTAGTTTAAAATATAGGCATAAACAAAAGTTACCATCAGTGGGTAATTAAACAACAAAATATTAAAATCAAGTCTTTTCCAAAAGATTCAGGGATTCAGGAATAAAAATAGGTAAACGGAGATGAGTCGACAATCAAGGTCATCAACGATGCCCGATGGCATGGCAGGTAAGTGCAATCTGCCGTCTGTTCAAAACTGGCAAGAAACATCACATCCGCTAAACTCAGCACAGAAACACATTTAAACTTTTAAAACATCAACTCACTTTCTCTTTAATCTTCCCGGAATTGATAACAAAAACAACATCATCAATTGTAATGCTACGGTAAATTAAAGTAGACTTGAAAGTTTGCAAGATTCATTCGTTATCAAGGTAACTTTATCAAACCACCAATTGGTCTAGTCGTACTTATGTTTTAATAGCCATTAAACTAGTTTTGAGCTCAACAATCGGTATGATCTATCTAAATGTTTTTAAAAAGAAGCTCCGTGAGAATGTTGGATATTTACCTAGTAAAGCAAAGTGACATAGGGAAATTATAAAATTCTGCCAGATTAATTTCCACTGCTCCGCTTCAAAAGATTTTCAATTATTAAACGTAAGGCTGAATCCATTATCATTCTGCTTAAAATTTTATCATTTTGGCCAATGAAAATAAAGTTGATTGCATAGCTCCATGTTTGCCCGGCTTTGAGATATCAAAGCCTTCAGTATCTTTTGAAGATAAAGTGAGCATTTTTGCATTTCGAATCAATATTTTCGAGAAAGTCAAAATCTGCATTCTTCTTGTTATCTTCATACTTTAATGCCTCCAAGGCTCTTGAAAAACGATCATAAGCTGATCAAACAATCACAAAAACAAAGACAAAACTTCTTAACTACTACAAAACTTTTCGCCCTGAATCTATAACCATGTTTTACTAAAGATCAATTGCTACACATAAATGGTTAGTTAAGGGGCTGTTATAACATGGGAGAGGCATTTTAAAACATTTACGAGGCTACAGAAAACAAGAAAGAAGCTTTTAGAAACATGGTAGAAGCCTAAGAACACATAAAAGAAGCTACTGAAGTGATAAAAGAAGCCTTTGAAATCATGGAAGAAGCCATAAAATAATGGGAGGACCCTTTATAACAAGGACAAAGCCATCGAGGCAAGGAGGAAAGAGGCCACGAAAAACATAGAAGCTGTATCTACAAAGCTAGAAATGTTTCTCTTCTAAAACTGAACTTTTTCAGCAAATCATAGTTTACCTGGTTTCCGCAATATTCGTGGCAATTATTATTTTTCTTATTCCAATCGGCGGACGATCGAACACCTACAAAAAGGACAAGTCTGACTATCACCTGATTTTGCCTGCTAAAAAATTTTGCAACATACAAAATAAAAAAATGCCGTTTGAGTGTTCATCAATAGCACAAAACTATGATGAAAACTATGGAGCACCTGAGGAGCAGTGGAAATAAGAAACGGGTTGGACCTTGGTTGCATTAAGAGGCACATACGTACGATCAAACAAAAAAAGGCTTTGACGTTTACACGCATGAGTAACATAAAGACCGAGCTCAACCCTCTATCCTGTTTTAAATAAACACTAGAATATGTACGTCGGCTCAACCTGGAAAATACACCTTCTAATGTTAGTTGCCTTTTATCAAATAAAACTTTACCTGGGTTCGTTAAACCCGTATTGAGCTCGTATGGGTTAACTAGCAAAATGAGCAGAGCTTAAGTTAGGTAGCCTGCGTGCAGACCTTACTATCCGTTACGAAGGAGAGCCAATACGGAACTTGAATTGTATTGGCTCTCCTTCGCAACAGATAGTAAAGACTGCATGCAGGCTAAAGTGAGTCTGATAATGAATATTGATTGGAAAGCACTGTCTATTGACCATATATCGAATACAATAGGTCTGACTGGGGAGAATGTTTCCCAATTGCTGAAAAGGCTCGGAACCAACTGAAAGATCATTACAATGAATATATCTGTTTATACTTTGCAAAAAATTTATATTCTGAACTCACTTTAATGCGCAAATTAGCTTGCTCTGTGATCTAGTCCCATAAATTTAGTATTCTGATATCTGACCAGAAGGTCCTAAAACCCTACCTAGATCTCCACCCCTTCAACTGGGCAAATCATATGTTTTGGATTCATTAAAATTTATCACACCAATACCTGTTGCTGGCATTTTGTTGGCATCAGAGAGTGCAAAGGCAAAATCATGAACCGATCTGCAAAGATATAAAAATTCATTACAAGTGAATCAACACACCTATGGCTTCACAACACCTACGTGATCAGCCACCTGGAAAATCACGTGAGCGAACGTGAAAGAATAAACGCTTCAGAAATGGTTACAGGTGCCAATTTATTTGGAGACCAGGAAATAGTGCTAAGCAAACATAAAACTTTGGCAAAAATCTTGATGTACAAGTATTAATTGACAACTTTCAGATTCTTTATGTAGTGCTAACGATTTAATTCGGAAATAATTATTTTAAAACCCTATTGCAGGTAAATTATCAAAGCCTCGTAAATCAGTGTTAGCAACTGCTTTCATAGAGATGGCGAAATTAGCAAATTACATTGTTCTTTTTCCCTAGACAATACGATCAAAATACACATCCGAATTTAAATTGAAACAGAACCTGTCAAATAGATGACATTGGAATTTTAAAAATAGCAACACCTACCAGCGTTAAAGAATGGGTTACTTCGCAGCAAGTCATGAAGTTTTGAAATGTCATCCCAGCCAGGGAGAAATATCAAAACAGCGCCATCCTGAAAAGAATATAATGATTTATGAACCTACGAAGTAACCAAGTAACTTGACTCAGTTTCTAGAAAAGAAGGTCTTTAATACCAAGCTGCTTTCACAAACAACTCAGGTAAAAACATTAGGTAAATTACAGGATATAATCTTTAAACTAATTTACAATAATCGATTATTTCAGAAACAAGAAATGAAGTAACAAGAAATGAAAGCTTCGATGATATTTTAACCAAACAATTAATTCAAGAAAGCCAGGCCAAGAAAGACATGAATAGCTTGACAGCAAAAGGCCGCAACGTTTCACATTGCAGTTTTCTAATTGGGGTCTTCCAATGGCTTGTCTTGATAAGGCGTACATACAATGAAACTTGAATGAAAACAAATTACCTCCATTCTGTTGCAAATGTGGCGCAAGATGGATGAGATTAAATGAAAATCGATTGATTCAAGATCTGCATTGCACAGTGAGTGTACAGTCTGCCTGGAATAGTGCATGCTGCAATGGAACAAAAGAACATTTGCCCACAAAAGAAAAAACTCTTCTTTATTGAACTTGCCAAAATTCCATTGGGAAATAATTTGAAATAGTGATATTTCAAGAGTTATCTAGGACGACGCTGGAACTAGTAGCTAGAAACGATCTTACGAAAAGCAAATAACATCCAAACAAATTTTTCTTTAAATCACATGATAGGTTAATGACAAAAGATTAGCCAAAATGTAACAAATCAGACGCGCCGCTCAAAATTGCCTATAAGATGATTTTGATTTACAATTGACTACAATAATTTGAAATTCAAAGCTTAACAAAACAATAAACACATGAATAGAATAATTTTTATTACCAAATAAGTAAAGATTTTTAAAAAGAGTATGAAAAAATTTCTAGCTGACAAAGTGAAAAAACAACAAGCAAGAATATTAATTTGAAGGACATGATAATCACGATAAACATTTTTAGCATAGAAAGTTCATAAAAGTTCATTTTCAAAGTGAATAACAAAAGTTAAAAAATGAATTGATACAATGATTTCTGTTGGTCTCAATAAAATAATGGATTTTCTTGTTTGACTAAAATGATGAATAAAATCTACTCTAAAGGACTGAGAAGAGCATAAGAAATAAATGTAACAACAAACCCATTCGGTGCATTTTGTAAATATTTAATTAGATTTCTTCTTTCTTCCTCTTTTTTGATTTCATTGTCTCTTGATCGTCTTCTATGCCATGGTTTAGCTTTATCGTTTCGAGTTGAAACATTTGGGATATAGCTGCAAATTAGCACCCGCAGATCAATGACAATTAGATGAATCACCAGATGTAGAAAACTCTTTGAATTATCAAGCTTTAGGTATTGCAAAAAACAATGCATACAGAACTTTGGTTTTGATTATAAACTACTGCTATGTAACAGACTTAAATATTTAATTCATCTAAAAACAATGAAGTGCATCAGCTACTGGAAAAGTACAAAATAAACTTAAGCAATATGACATGGAAAATTAATTTAATACCTCAGCATTTCGTATATATCTTCAATGTAGAACTCTTGAACAGGGTATGTAAACCCAGGAATGTTTATTTTCGGACATGAATCTGAAGGAGATACAGATCAACGTAAGACAATGGCTGCAAGAAAGCTTGTTGGAGGGAATACAGCAAAAGGAACCAAACAGGATAATGACCTTTAAAAAAGTAGTGAACAGGAACTGATATCTGATATATGACGAATTGATGTTACATGGCTTATATGAACTTAGTATCTGCAACGATGCACGCTGCAAGTAGAAATATTTGTCTACGTACCGCAAGTTTGTTATTCCACTGAAACCGAGCACTTCAAGGTAAGGAGACTACTTGCACTTTTATGTGATGTCAAAATGGCAAACAAATATTTGTTGTATAAAGTGCAATTGCCCAAGGATGGCGCCATAGGGTGGATAGTGTACACAGGATAGTATGCTGAAAACGTTACTAGTCTGAAATTATAATGCTACGAACAGCCAAACAAAACTTACGAAAATAATCTGAGAACATTTCAGAGTTGAGTGTGGCACTCATAAGCACCAGTTTTATGTCTGGCCTGGAACGAAACCGGGCAAACAAGATTAGCAGATGTACCTTGATGTAACAGGGACATAAAGGGGAACGATGTTGAGTGGTGACATACGATGGTGAGAAAAGATGGTATGAAGAGAAACACCTTACCTTAGCGGAAGAAGATCTTTCACAATGATGAGCAGAAAATCGGAAAACAGATCCCTTTCATGAATCTCGTCCAGAACAATGTGGCTAACTTCACGAAGCAAGCTAAAAAATTTACAATAAATAGCTGGGTAAATGTTACCATGGTTAAGCGTGGTAATGAATATGAGAGATGAAAAAATGGACTGGATTTTCATTTTAAAATAAAACTCTAAGGATTATCAGACAAAAAGGCCTAATATTTAAAAAGCTTACAATATGTACTTATAAATGCCAATTTTCAATAACTTGTTAATGATGACATCACAACAAACACTACAGTATGTCGAAAATTTGCCCGTCTGTCATGAATTCATCGAAAAATAAAGGGACCTCAAGAAGCATTAACACTGGGCTCGGAGCATAGAAGTAAAAAACAAAACAGCTGCCCTTTAGAAAAACCTTGCGATGCAACATTAAATAAGAAAAGGAATAAACATTGACTGCAAAAAGTGCCGAGAAGAGCGAATGACAACAAAACCAGCACATCGGAAATAAAATTTACTTACGGGTCAGATACGAGTCTCCGCAACAGGATCCCAGTAGTACAATAAAGTATAGATCCTCTGGTACGTGGTAGTTGACTGAAAATAAAATGAAAAAGGGCTTAAGTGTGAGAAGCTTCGATAATACTTGAATAGAATAACAAATCGTCAGTATGCTTTAATGAAATATGACTGGATGTAAACTCAGTACTATGCACCCTAAAATACTACGCAAAGAATTTTACATAATTGGTCCCCATTTCACTTTCATCAAAAGTTTAAACCCTTCCTTTTAACCAACAATTAGCCAAGTCCTATTATAAGTTTAAAAGAATTCGCCTGTGAGATCTATCAGCTTTAAACAGAGGGTAGTCTGTCCTCAACTAGGCTAGGTGCTAAGAGTCCTTATTTCAAAAACTTCCCCAAGTTAACTCATCTTGTTCTTCATTTTTGCGTCTTTTACAGCATTCATCCTGTGTTAGTTGATTATTTAATACTGTTGTATCTAGCTATGCTACGACTGTAGATCTTTACATGGCAGGTAGTTGAATATTAAGTATATGAACTGAAGTGAACTGAGATTTTTCTTAATGTCACTAACTGCAAAGCTCATGCTTGAAGTATAACAAAACTCACTTTTCAAGACGAATCTGAAACCCCACACTTCCCTCTCCACATCTTTCACCCCTTTCGGCAGCCACTCTGTCGGCAACCTAAAAGACCAGAGAAAACTTATGATTCTTTAACACGACCGCTTTCTGCTAATATATCCATAATTTATGCATACTTTTGATTACAAAACTTGGGTTGTTGATATCAAAATTTTTAAAGTCAAAAGAATTTCATAAAAACGTGTTAACATTTGCTTTCAATAATTTCTTGCTCATTTCCTTTATACAAGCAAAGTAGAGATGAGCCACAGCTGTTAAATATGCTCCAGCTGTAAAAATGTAACCCTGTAATCTATATTTAAAAAAAGTGATGAAATCTTCTATTTTAAGAAGAAGTACCGAAATAGCGCTTATTCTTCTTGGCTGAGTGCAAATTATGTGGCATTGTGATCCAACTCCTCTTTCAATAGCATTATCCAAGATGAATTGTGCAACCTAGAGAAATCCACATTAAACTGTGAAACATAATGATAATAACAACTCACTTTATTCTACAGAAAACACATTACCTAGCAATACTTGAAAATACAAGGCAAACCTGTATCTAAAATTGTTGTACTTAAGTATTTCAAAATAATTTGTCAAAAAGTACCAAATAACCTCACTTCCCTTTTACACACACTTCAAATTCAAGTTCAAAAAGTTGCTTTATAAGACAGTTACCATTCTTGCATCAAGATTGTGAAGTTGGATCATACCTGTGTTGTCTTTCCACATCCTGTTTCACCACTTATAACCATAACTTGACTTGCTCTCATTGCTTGTAATATTTCCTGCAAAAAGATGCATTGTTTACAAAAATTTATGTTTTATTCGTGCTGGAGAAAAAAACATTTCTTGGCAATAAATCATTCCTTACCTCTTTCATTTTGTATGAAGGAAGATTCTTCCTAAATTCCTGGAAAGACAAAAGTACCTTAGTTTGGTGTCTTCCCAAAATAAAAAATGAATGACAAATTGTTCAAATACATGTAACACATAACACGCCATTACACACATCACACATAACACACATAACACACATAAAATTTAATGAAAATCTAAGTAGAACAACATATAAATGGTTTAGACAGGAAACATACCATCATGACTTGATACTTCTCGCTACTCTTCTGCCTGTTTTGAAGATCATTTTGGAGCCATTCATTAAACTTTTCATCATTGTACAAACTAGACTTTGTCGGGCAAAGATTTGTAACCAATTGATTGTTCACAGCATGAGATGCAACTGTTTGGTCAAAACAAACTTCCTCGTCTTGAAGTACCTTTTCCTCAAACTGTCCTTCTTCATCACTTTCTGATGAGTCTGAACCCTTTCCAAGAATTGACCTTATATTCTTCTTATCGTGATCATCAATGGCTACAGCATGTCTCTGAAAGAACATTTACATAAACATAAAACAGTGGTAGAAAAACTGAAATTTGACTAATCAAGAAGTTTTTTCTAGAAAAAAGATCTCTAGGTTACTAGATGATTACATAAAACTATTCAGGGCATCACAGCTCTATGAGTATGCGCCCTTAATCTAGAGGGGATCAAAAGAGCCTCTAAAACCTTTCAAAGACTTTACTCTATATGACTTCACTCAACCTAAAACTGATTCAAGAAATGTAAAGTGTGCTCCAGATTATCATTATAAAGATTATCATTATCATTACACTTAAAACAATCCCTATAACTGATTGACATATACATAGGTATTTCCAAATGATGCTTAGTTGACTACAATAACATCAATTATTTCACATAGCTCTACCTTTACAGCAACGACCACTTGTAACAAGAGAGAATTATAGATAAGAAAACAAAATCTTTAGATAAGGACATTTGAGGCATTATACTACAAAATTACATCTCAACTGGTTGTCAACACAGCCCCCTAGAGCCCCATTTGATATCTACATTCCTACAGTCCATTCATAGGGGCCTTGTCTCAGCTTTTTACTAGGGCCAAAGGTGAGTCTGTTACTATCCAATCCAATTTTATCTGAGAATCCGGTGATATTGGGACATTGAGTTTCTTACAAGGAGAAAATTGCCAAAAAACGTTCTAGTTTCTATGTGGGGCACATTATCTAAATGCATGCTGTTTCAAATTTTTATTTGTTGTTGTTGGCAGTTTGATACATTCTTTGTCAATACTTACGTTTAGTATAAGCGCCAGCACCTTAAATGTTTGTCTTTAGCACCACCCCTGAATTTTTGTCTTTAGCGCCACCTGCGATAGTTAATGATTACATATGAACTAGAAGGTCTGGACCCCAGTCATTTGAAGCTCATAGTGGGTACACAAATATCACTAGTTGAACCTGTCACTCAATTGAGTAATTTTTGCAACATTTTTCAAACCAGGTGAGTATTTGTGTCTTTTTGGGATCAGATAGAGAATAACTACCGCCTGAAAAAGAAAATATGCTGTGGTTTCACATGAGAGTAGCATTCACTTTGATTTGTGTAATACATTTCAACAGCTAAATGCCTGTCTTTGTTGATACATACCTCTCTCGCTTCATGGGCCTTTCTTTTTTCTTTACCCCTTGCAGCATACCATAACCCTATATCTTTTCCAGTTAATCCAGATGGATGACCTCTGCCGCCTCTCCTTCCCCTCCCTCCACCTCTTCCTCTTTGTCTTCCTCTATAACCTCCCCAATTTCCTTCATCATTAACACCATCTTCATTATGAGAACTATGTCTTCTTATACCTGCAAACATGAGAAATAAGGTGTGCACATTTCTTCATTCTGGTGAGTTTGAGTAAGGAAACTACTTTATAACATGTTCAGTTAAAGGCATTGAGTCATCATCAAGTGCCCTTTTACGCAAGCCTACCCCCTTGCCCCTTGGTCGCTCTGGCATCCCTGGTCGTGATAAACGATAAGGCTTGTTGTAGAATGCGAGAATAAGTCAGTTGCTAGAGGCACTGACTACATAACCAAGGGTCCATGGTGCAAGTCACTGGCACGACCAAACTTTCAACCAGAGTGAGGAGATTCACCAGCTCTCTGTAATTCCAGGCATAGGAATCACGAGGTGTGGTTACATCCCAGTCTGCAGAGTATGGCACTTTTCGATGAGATCTCCGGTTTGCACGAGCAAATAGCCTGGGGTGACGGTGTGCACCACCAAAAAATGTCTGGTGTGCACCGATTATTTTTCCCTGTTGTGGTTAAAATTTGTGAATTTGCATTTCAAAAATGCGTGTAAAGTATACTGTTGAAGATAGCGCAAGTTTCTATTTGCATATTTGTCAAGTAAGATTCATGATATCTTAAATTGTTCATACACAACTGTGCTTGTTTTTATCAGCTGACATTTTCTATGGGACCACACCAAGCCACACCCATCTTAGTTGCCACACCCGAAAATACCCGGTGTACAACAGGTTTTGCACAAAAACATCTCCGGTGTGCACATGCCATACTCTGCAGACTGGGTTACATCAAGAGGAAGGACCAGGACACTGCTCGATAAGCTTCTCGGTGTCCTAAAAACTACCTTCGGATGCTAGGTAGAAACAAAAACAAATACAAATACTAAATACAAATCTTAGTCAGGCATATCAGATAAGGTGCACAGTGAAAGAATGGCTGAGCAGTATGAAACAGCAAACTACAAATACCAGGGTCTGGGGTTTGAGTCCCTAACATGACATAATTTTCAGTTGAAGTGATGAGAGTACGCGAGCAAAATGGTAGCTTGGTATCCATGTGACAAGAAATTTGGCACGCGATATTTCAATTATTATTGTGTATTTCTTGAGCGCACACGTGGGTTCCTAGTTTCAAGGGAACTTGTCTGCCACTTAAGGATGGGTAACCTTATGCATTTTGATACAAACCTCCTCTATGCATACTTCGTCTTAAATGGGAACATCGTCAATTTGAAACATTTACAGGTACTCCCTTTCCATCTTTCTTTATTAATAAAATCTAGGAAATGCTAGGCCATTCAACTCAATGTGTTATTTGGCCTCCGTTCCATTCAGTGGACCTGTCACTTGTGACGTAATGCTATTTATGATGAAGAAAAGAGATTTATGAATGATTTAGTTTAATTTAACTGCAATACGAATACAATTAATAGACACCTTTTGATAAGAATACCTATTTTTTGCTGAGCCTCAATTTTTTAATTTCTTTTATTCTGAGCCTAAGAATGTTGGGGGTTAAAACGATTTAGGAGGCTAAACATGTTGGAAACCAGAAGCAAAGCGATTGTTTTGCTCAATCAATGTGTCCCATAGTCTCGTCTATTGTAATGTTGACTTGAAATAGGAAAGGTTTTGCAAAGTTTTAGAATAACCTTTATAATATAGCTCTTAATGAAACTATTTTTAGATTTAAAAGTACCAAAACAAGATGGAACACGGTTTAATGTAAAATATTAGCAATGAAAGATCAACAGAAGAGCATTCAACTACAAACAAAATATTAAGCATTTCGTACTGTTGGGATATTATTTGACAGCATATGTTAGTCGTAAATTTTTCGGAAATAAGGTGCTTTGTATGTTTCTGAGAAACTTTTTGTTAACAAATAGACCTTGTGAGCTCAGCTCAGGCCATGAAAAAAAAACTCCGTCAATTTGTGCTGGCACTAAGTTCCTAAACCAAGATGTTACTCGTTTTACAACCTGGATAATGACCGATTTCTTCGATCAAATTCTCATATTCCATTTTATGTACGTCTTCTATTATAAAGACAAAATAAACAAGCTAGAGCTAAGGGCATATTTAAGGGAAAACTGGGCACAATAACTACAATAAAATTAGAATGATATACTATATTTCTTTCCACTTTTGTTCAGAATTTTATGCTCTGCGGAAAAGTAGAGGGGCCATGGCAGTGATGGCGCCAGTGGAGGGCTAGGGGGGCTACAGCCCCTCCGTCGGAAGCATGTAGCCCAAACCCCCCCCCCCCCCCGTCGGAGGAGATTTTAGGTTATTATCGGAGCAAATTTGACAGAACAACGAACGGAAACTGCTTATTTTCGTCATTTTAGCCCCCTGTCGGAAGCTCCAGCCCCTCTGTCGGAAAATTTCTGGCGCCACCTCTGGGCCATGGCCCCCCAAACCCCCTCCGGCTTCGCTGGCCCTAGATTCAAGAACGAAAAAATTTCAGTGAAGTTTCGAAATCGCTATATCTTTTTTCATCGAATGTCTTTCTATACCAATAATTTTCCCAAAATGTGTTTGTTCGATTTGAGCGCTATCTTTGTTGACTTTTGTTTGTTTCAAAAGTGAAACTTTTTGTTTGTTTTTTCTACCGTTTTTGTTATTGTATGTCTTTTTGCAACAATCTTCTTGACTTTTTTTTGCATTAAAGTAAAAATTTTAGAACAGCACAGATTTTTATTTACAAGTGCATAAAAAGCTTTTAGAACTGCATTTTTGTGTAGAACTGCACGTTAAAAAACCCTGCCTAGACCTCGATTATCCTCGTGACGTTCGTGACAGTTTTTCATTCATAGCAAACAATAAATGAAAGTATAGCAATATTATTATATTATTCAGATCTTTTAATCTGGATAAAATATGTCTCGATATGAAAATAAACGTAATCAAACCTGAACAACACGATTCCTTTGAAATTAAATCAATGAAAAGATTATTGCGCTATACATTTCTTCTATTTCTTTTCGTTTATTTTTCCTAATTTTGTCAAAAGTGGGGGGGGGCTAATTAAAGTTAACAAAAATTAATACAACTGAAAATGGGAGATCTGATGAAATACTAAATTAACAGAACAATATTTATGGATCAACTTTAAAGAACTAAATCGAGACAACAGGAAACGACTCACAACACCCCTTTCTGTACTTGCTTAGAAGTAGACATTTACTTGCTTATTGAATGTTAAGGCATTTTATTGATGTTTGATGTCCTTTCGTGCAGCAATCTAACAGGAAACGTATATCCACTAAAAATTTGCAAAATTGATGGTTCATGAGGGAATTAGAAAGACGAGGAATAAAAAAATCTTAATAAAAATCACTAAGCCAAAATCTCTGCAAAAAGTCTTGGAACACTAAGTTTTCAGCAACCCTAGGAATAATGTTGGTTTAATGTAGGAAAAATTTTATGAAGTATGCTTTTAATTGTGGCTAATATGATATTTGTCTAGATTATCAACATTTTTTATTGGGGGAGAGGGGAAAGGGTGGGAGTAGTAGCATTTGGAAATTGTGCAAAGAACTAAAAATGGAATAAACAATGCACATTGCTGGATGCTGAAGTAATTTTGGCAGGCATTGTTTTTTCATTGCTTTGTCTCCAATAATTATGGTTGCATAATTAAAACAATCTTAAAAATAACTTTTCTGCTTTACTTTACAATTAAAAGGATATAAAAAATAAAGTGTATGTTTGAAAGGCATCTTTGAATTTAAAATACACTTCTTAGGGAATTTTTTACTAAAAGATGATCATCAATATTCTCATTGACAAACATCTTCTTAACCTAATTTTTATGATCTTCCACCATGCAAGGATTAGGAGAGTTTTGCAATCAGGTTCTCGTATTCTGCATGTCCTTCTTTGGTTGAAACAGCCTTCTTCATTCTTTGATACCATGGTTTAATATTGGTATTCTTCATCATGTCATTAAATGCATCAAGACCTTCGATGGCATTCAGCACACCATAAACCCCCTGCAAGAAGAAGCAATAGAAATGATTGCTATAAAGAAACATAGATAAAAGCATTGGGTGAAAAAGTAGCATCATGTCAGCACAATTCACATAGTTCTCAACACAATAACTAGGGGACAATTGCCCCTCCAGGCCCAGATACCTTTAATTGTTTTAAAAAGTAAGCTATTGTTCCTCTATTTAAAAAAACGAAGGCTTGCCCCTACTGCTAATTTCCCTTACAATAGGCTATGGTAGTCTTCAATTTCAAAACCAAACATCTTCAATTATACATCTTATTGTGATTAAACTGTCAAATGGTTATGAGTCAAAGGGAACAAAGAACAGCCTTGAATAGATAGAAATCATACCAAATCTGCAAGATTTGGTCTGTCACCACCCATGAACTCCCTTTTCTTTCCAACTGCTTTTACCCATTGATTTACATCTTCATACAAACTCTGCCTCACATCGTCTTTAAGATTGTATCTGCAAAAATCAAGTGAAAAATCAATTTGGCTGCCAAAGCTACCAAGGGAGAAAATTGTAGCTTTGTCTTTAACCAAGACGATGAATATAACTTCAAATAGAGTAAATATTAAAATGGACAGTATGTTGGTTGTAATAGTGATATAACCTGTGTATTTTTACCTCTTCTTAAGGTTCTTTGACACAACATACATGAAAACAGCCCCACAGTATCTTGCCATAAATCTTTCAAATGCACTGAAATTTCCTGCACTTGAAAAATAATCAAATGCTTGATGTGCCTCCACCATTGTTCGATAGATGTTGGGAGAAAGCATATGTACCAGAGAACTATCGACCCATTTTCTCCATTTCATTTCCTCTCTGAAAAACAGGAATCATTGACATTGATTAGAAAAGATACTTTCAGTGCAGAAATAATGAAACTCCTATGGTGATACTTTGAAACAGTGAAATGAAGGATGCACATGGTGTTACTATCTTGAACTTGGGCACCTTGTTCTTTTGAATACTGAGTACTACTAAGTATCAGAGAGTTTTGTTAAACATTCTACTTGATTCATATGCAGATTTGGAGTAATATCTAAATATTTTTTTCAAAATAAATGTATACAGACTGGAAAAAGGTTTGCAGAACAACAAATTAATTACATATAAATAAAGACGAGCAGCAATGTTAACTGTTCCATTATACCAGAGTAGCTTGCATTCAGAAACTTACTTTATACAAGAAAGACTTGCCACAAAAAAGGTTAACAGAATTTAAGTTGCGATATCACTTCTCTTTTCATCTTTTTCAAATAAACATCATTATTTAATATTTTCTCTAAGAGTGCAAACTCACTTCACAGCTAGAGCTTCATCTTTCGTTCCCATGGCTTCCCTGTACATAACATTATGGCGGTTTTGGTATTCGAACTTTTTCCCTTTGCTTCCTTCAACCTCAATTTTGGGATAGAAAGCGAGGAGGCTATCTAGTGATCCTTTGCCAAGCATGTATGATCTTAGAATACTTATAATAAGTGAAGAATCATTGAGCTGCAAAACAAAAATAGACACCTTAGCACTGCAACAGCTGTAGCCAGATTGAAAGAACGGTGTGTCCTTCATCATTGGTGGAGGACACACCAATTTTAGATACTCTCATCTGATTTATCTAAGTATTGGGAGAAGGGGCAGAACACTGCTTGATAAGCATAGCTTCTCAGTGTCTTAAGAACTACAGTATGATGCTAGATAGAAACAAATAAGAACAAACAAAAAACAAATAGCCTTGTGTCATAGCCAATGAGTTTGTTGACTGAGACATAAAGCAAACTGTGATGCTGATCCTGACTGACAACATCTTCTACCATCATAGGCTTCCAAATTAGAGGCCTGATGGTGTATAGCCACGGACAGGAGAATACACCCCCCCCCCCCCCCCTGAAAATTCAATCAATTATATCATTAAAGGATTTGCGAGAAAACTAAAAAACACCTCTTAATCATCCTCAATTTCATTTTAATGATAATTAAATAGTTTATTTGAGGGTATCACAAATTTTTCAACAAACACCATCAAAGTGCAGATTTCAGACCACTTATCTCCATTTTTTGTGACATCACTTGAAAATAAGATCTTGATCTTAAATTAGTAGCAGGTTGTAGTAGATTGCAATAGGTTCCAATATGAAAGTTGCAACAAGTTGCATGCCTGTTTACACATGCAACTTTTAGGTCTCATTGTGTTTGTACAACAAGTTGGATGAGGTTGGATGGAAAGTGAGTGTAGACCATGCACCTGTATATTTTCAAAAAAATTGTAATGTAAAAATGATTTGGCACTGAAAAAATCAAGATATGGGGTAGAAAATACTTTTGGATAAAAATCTTTGATGCACTGTGTCTGTCAGATTCACCCAGACAAGTCCATAAGAGTACTGATATCTTGGCAGGTCTCTGCACAAAGGATTTGTTTTGCAGCCAAAATAAAGACAGGCCAGACCATCTGGTGGTTTATTCACCAAAATTAGATTACCCTTTTTCAAAATAGGGAATGATTTGAATAAGAAATTATGATCAGTTCTTTGACAGTACAGAATTTGAAAATGGCTTGGAAAAAAGCAAACTTTTTATAACATACTGGCTAAAAGCTTTTTGTCTGACACTCCTCACAGCATAAAACTAGGAGAGCCCTTCCATCCATTCAAAAGGATTGCATTTCTACCAACCAAAAAAGTTCTGTTGTTTATGAATTTATATGCCAGTGTGATTCTGGCTCATAGGATGCACAACCCAAAGATTGGGGAAAAGGATAGAACAGTCTTGGAATCAATCTACATACAAACGAAAAAGCCGCCATTGTGTAGACAGAAGGAGTTTGTTTTCTCCCTTGGACTCCAGTGGTAATTTTTCTTTAGGCACGCAGCACTGATTGGTCAACTATACCGGTCTTGTGCGTGCATTTATCAGGTTGGTCTATTTCGATCCACAACTGGGTATAATATATTTTTCATTGTGTTCTTTCGGGCCCTCATTCAGACGTTTTATGCTCTGAAGAATGTCAGACGAAAAAGCTTTTAGCCAATTTGTTATGAAATGTTTGCTTTTTCAAAGCCATTAATAAGAAATTACTTGGTTACTCCACATGTTAACTCTACCTGTTGAGATTCGTTGACAATGACAATTGGCACTTTCCGGTATTCTGAAAATTTGATTTCCTTCCTTAGCAATGGATTTACTTCAATTTTTTCGTATTCAATGCCATAGTAGTCCAAGAATGCTCGTACTTTACAACAGAATGGACAGTTTTCATATTGGTACAGCTTCACCTTCAAATTAGGGCTTTCTTTGGATAGTGTAAAATCATCGGATGTGTCCAGACGATCTGAAGCAAATTCGTGTGTATCGTTCATACAAAGGCTCACAAACCAGCCTGGCAAGGCTTGAACTGAAAAATCAGAAAAGCTTTTCACCATGACAATCCCTCCAGTAAAACCTGCTGCAAGTGAACCTGCACGCTTCAAAAAACTACTCTGCTTCTTGTTACGTAAGGAGAAGAGGGTCCCTCTTAGGCCTTCTGACCAGGTCGATACTCTCATCTGCGATGGTTGGTTTTGTATCAGCACAGTTTTAGTAGATCTAATGATATTTCTTGCAAGAATAATCGTTCTCCTTGATGTTTCCATTCTGAAAACACACAGCTTTATAAAATTACATAAAAAATTGCTTTATTTCCCACCGTGCTCTGATTTCTGACCAAACAGCACCGTGCAACATGTTACTCTAGCCTCGCTCACAGAATTACGTTGTCTTTTCTATCGTGTCTTTTATTTCCTCTGACCTGCAAGTGACTCACAACTACCCACAACCGAACAAGGGGTGCGGCAAGGAGTTCCCCACTTTCTAATCTAACAGGGCCGCATGAAAAAAGAGGCAGTAGGCTATGTCACACTTAAGCTAACAGGGGCAGTAGGGGCCAAATTATGCCCTTATGAACAACAAAGAACACAATGGGCAGGCACGAAGCCAAGGGGGCACAGCCTGCCCAACTAGAATTATTTGCCCCTCTGTTCCCGTCCAAAAACTTAAGAATAGAAAGGTGTTTTTGTCTAAAAACTTAGAAAACGGCGTCTACCTACACGACTTTCGAAAAAAATCTCAACAAGGTTTATGCATCTGTGCATTCATGGTGCAAACTAATATCGACTGTGCACCAGTCCACACAACAGGAGTGGCGGCATAGGGGGGCAAGGGGGGCTTTAGCCCCCCCTAGATTTTTGTTAGCCCCCCCATCGGCAGCCAATCAGTTTTTGCTTTCTCAATACCGTCGGCACTTGATGGATGTCACCCGGTTTACATGTTGTTTGAATGACATAAATAATCGAGGAGAAAACTGCACTGGCTGGTTTATGGTTTTCTCAATGGCTTTTCTTCGGCAATTTCACTATCATAGTGGCATTATATCCTGTCGCTTCCGTGAAAGCTGTGACTTAATTTCATGGTGCTCCTTCGCATGACCCACAATACCATCATGCTCCTCTCGGTTGAAATCCCTGTTGCTGCTCATGCGAATGCCAATTCATGCGAAACGTGCAGAGATGCTTGATTTGGATTATGTTTTGGACCGTTTCAAGGAAATTTACCCTAACAACAGCAAAATCACGCTGTCATAAATAAAGTCTTTTATGAATTTTCTTCTTAAGGGATTCTCTTTTCGTTTCAAGACATTATTATTGCCAATGAAAACATTTCGATCATGAGCACATTTTGCGTAATAAATTTTTCAAAAAGCACTTGATGAAAAAGCACTGGTCCTTTTTCATCAACTATTTTTCAATAGCATTGTTCACCGCATAGCTTGCGATAAACAAATGGTTTAGAGAAAACCATCGATTTACTTCTTCCAACATAGATAGGAAGAAATATTCAACAATAGGCAATATTTGCGCATTAAGTTTCTTACAAGGCACAAATTGCCGAGAAAATCTCGTGGACTCCGACACAGGTTGGAAAGTGGGGGCGGGGAGGGGGCAAGGGAGAATTTTGCACCCACAACAAACGATTTTGGAAAAATGCTCTATTGCTTGCTCTATATGCTTGCTTGCTCTTGGAAAAATGCTCTATATCGGTGCCCCTTCATTGGAGGTGCTGCTCAGGGGCGTCGCGACTGGGGGTTGTCACACCCACCCCAATAGTATCTCAATAGGAAATTTCAGGTAAAATCCGCTCGGTGGAAGAAACGCTTTAGGTATTTCACAGACCTTCCTGTCATAAAATCAATAAAGGATAAAGCAATCTTAGGTAAAATTGTGCCTCGTGTCCATTTCTCCTAAAGTTTCTCAGTAGAAGCGTCAACTGCGATTCACTATGAGCTCCAGATTTTTCTTAACATTCAAAAGGCATGCTAAGATGGAGAGAGGTATCTAAATTTGAAAGTAGCTGACAACCTGGTATTTTTCAAGACCACGGCGAAGTTGTTGTTTTTATCTGCTGTAAAAAATGTTTTGCAAAAAAACAACAATTTTCAATTAGATTAGGGGATTGCTTTAGTGAAATCTGCTTAAAAGAGTGCATTTTCCAGGGAAATAGAAGCATCACAATTCGAAAATTTCCTGTCCCTTCGGCGGCAACCATGGTGCCGCCTCAGATAGTAACTATATATTTTGCCCGTCCGGATATAGAGATTTGACAAGACTATTAGGAATGTCGGTTATTATCATACAGAGTTAGATTGACAAAATGTATTGCAGAGGTTTGTGTATTGCAGAAGTTTCAGGCAACAATTTTTTAATCAGGTAAATTTGCATTCCACACCCCCCCCCCCTCAACGAGGCTTGCCTCGCGACGGCCCTGCCTGCTATACGGGGCAAATCGAATTTTTTTTCTGTCGGCAATTTGACACATCCAGCGTCGGCAGTTACGGGGAATATAAACTTCGGCACCTTGAAGGTTTGTCTCTAGCGCCACCCCTGCCACACAATGCTACACCGAGTCGATCCAACTGCTGATATGCTTCAGCCTGCGTTCAATGCTTGTTTTCGGCACTGATGCTTCCATCGAAGACGCCAAGCTGCAAAACGAGACTGAAACTTCCTTCATTTTGAACAACAATCTTTGATGTCACTGCAGTTTGGGTACTTTTTAAATATTTGAGAGTCAATTGACAACTTTCTTTCGAGTAAACGAAATGATAAGGCTCCCTTGAACTTATCATTATGGCGCAGTTCCCTTTTACAGTTAATTTTTTTTATTATTGTTTTTTCAATATGTAATAAAAAACAAGACTTCTCTTCAGATGTTTGCGTCTCTAATCGCCAGTGAAGGAAGATTACAAAGACTCTACAAAAACTCATTACAATGCAAAAATTCTTTATCCTATATACTATTGCAAGATGATAAACCTGTAACAAATTCTGTATCAATTGCGAGGTATCAATTTTTTGAAGGTTCTTCAATACCGTTACTTAAGTTCTCGCCTTCAAAAAACAAGCAATGAGCTCCTTCGCTTCGCTAAATTGACAAGCCGATCTTAACTGTTTAACTCGGCATTGCCCACCAGGAGCGTCCCTAAAGGAGGGCCCTTTCCCCCTTGTCCGTCAGCACATAATGCTTTTCTCACCCTGTAGTATAATTTTAATCTTTTTGCAACAGTTGCAACGTATTAAGATTTCTGCAGCAGCTTAACTTTCAAAGCATGGCACTAAAAATGCTTCAAATTTAAATTTTAGGATTCTAAATATCAAAGTAGAAGCACATAAAAGCAGCATTCAAAATTACGACCATACCCAAAAAGAGTGAGACACGCCCTTTTGTCGGCAAAAAGCAAAACTTTACCCCTCAGGAAAAACGTTTTGGCTTCGCCCCTGTTGCCCGCCCATCTTTTCAGTGCTGGCTTCATGCCTGTCAATCGGTAATTTATTGGTCCCCTATTCACCAGTTTTCTCCCGTACATTTCCAGTGCAGGCGTTTCTGTTCAAACCCATATCATGCTCATGACTCAATATCATAACTCAAAACAATGAGCAAATATTGAACTTTTTGCAATTTTCTTATCTGTCTATTATTTTTCTTAAAATCGGATAGCACTATTGGGCATAAGAGACTTGTTTCTCAGCGATGATTTGTGAAATTATTCATATTTATCTACTTGTATGCCAGGGATGAATTGTTTAAGATTAGGCAAAGGAAAAGGGATCTCTTAGATTCTTAACCAAAGTCTTGGCCCAGACCTCGACGTTTCGACTCCTCACTCTCTGTTGCCAAATCTTGGTGAAATGTTGCTTAACCTACATTGGCAATACCTTTGAATATAATTTAAACTCAAACGAAATTCTCCTCGACTGTTAAAATACAGTAAAACGAATTTGTATGAAAATCAGTCTCATTGCTCTCCCTTAAAATTTGATCACCGTGACTCACCTACAGCCATTTTTCATAACTGGTGTAGTCCTCAATTCTTTAATTAAGGCTCAGGCATTAAAGATAAGTTTACTGCTACTGCTATAATCTACAACAAACTGGTGCCGTGACCAGGATTCGTATCGTCTGTCTACGTGTTGTTCGTTCATTCGCTGCGGTGGAGGTTTTCTCGAATTTATCACAAAATGCGCAAATCAAAGTAAAAAAGTTGAAGCAGAAGTGGTAGAAAATTCACAGCTCAATCACTGAGTCCCAAAGCGAAGCTTCGGCGCTTTTCGGCGCACCGAATTCAAAAACGGAAGCAATTCGTTCCTTTAAATCGTCATTCAAAGCACTAAAGGCAAAGCAATTAGAGAGAATAGACAGTGTTTATGGTAATCAAATACATGCATAATAATGAAGCATTTACACGACAACTAACATGATAAACTTAAACGTTGCTACGAGTATCAAAGTCCCGGGGGGGGGGGGGGGGGGGGGGGGGACTCCCATCAAAGCCTGACAGGGCATCCAGTCAATTTGAGGGTCTTACCAAAGGCTAACAAATGACCCAGTTTCAATAATAACACTACCACTTGGGGGTATTTGAAAAGGTTGCTCCTCTAAGGGGGAACTTTTAATCAGCTACTTAGTTTAGTTTGGAATTTACTATCGAAAATTAACAAGATCTTTTATTTCCACACAAAGTAATGGACGCTACCAAGGGCATAATTTCGGTTCTTTTGCTACCATTGAGGGCTATTGCCAAAAAAGACTATCATTTGTTGATATTTTTGAATACTTTGGCTTTGTCCCTGTTTGATGCTGATTGGAACTGTTAGGCCATAATGGCAGGTACCTCCACCCCCCGGGATCAAAGCGTTACTTTACCTTCAAGTTCATTAAATTAATGAACTAACATTAATGAATTTGTGTGTTGACTTCGGTGCTAATGACTATTTATTCGGCAGAAAAGCATACAAGATGTCGTAAAGCAAGGCAAACTGGTCGACTTTGACGTCTATTGACACATCGCACGAAAAATACAATTGAATATATAGCAATTAGTTCAAGCAACTAGCTTTACGCTATTTGGTAAAATACCAATGCTTAAATGGTTTCAGATGTTAAATTTTGGACGCTATAGTCAATCCCACAATGAATGAAGCTGTAGGAAAGAGGGTTGTAACACATTTAACAGCCCAACAAAATGACAAAAGTTATGGCAATTGCTACAAAATTGTAAAGAATCGTGAATCTGCCCCCGTCTATATTCCTCCACTTCTATGGCAATGATATGCACCGAAAGCAGCAGTTTAGTGTCCCCTGCTTTCACTTGAATTCAGTGTCACGTAAAGACAGTTCAGTGTCACTTGATTTTCAGCATTCTAAATATTTCAGTGGGGAAAACTGTTGCCAATATTGACATATTTTGCAATTTACATCCTTTCTTCAAGAGTCTTTAGCTCGATGGATTGATGCACGGCACAAGACCATCCGAGACCTTGTAATAAAGGATCTTTGAGCTTCCACTGACAATGGCTATATTTACACTAAAATAGAACAAAAGATATAGGAAAACTCCATGCTTTTTTTAAAATAAAAGTTTTGCGAAACTTAATTTAAACATGTTTACTTCTGTTACACTTTGATAAAAATCGGTAGACCAAACTTTAAGACGACAAAGCAGAGACAAGTGACAGGCAAAGAAAAGAAAATTTAGCAGCAGTTTTACATCAGAGGAAAAGTAAGCAAGAAAACTTGCACAAACCGTTTTTAATAATATATTTACTGTAGGTATAAAAATAAGTGTTGGAATTCAGGTAATAGAACGAGGGAATGGGGCGAGAGAATAAGCATTAGGAAAGCTCCAATAGCAGCCTGAGTCAGCAGCAAGTCAAAGATCTTCAACAAAGTTACATTTAAAGATTATCAAGAACTTGATCGATTAAAATGAAATTTTACATACCTCTTTTGATCAGTAAGATTACGAAATTCCTCTTTATCCCACAAGCTGGACACACTAAAAGGAAAGGTTAGTTAAGAAGATGTTAAAATGTGACATTTGCTACTTGAAGACTGCATGAACAACTTTTTTGCTTTACAAAATAGAGAGGGGTCATACATAAATGAAATCCTTGCAGGGGGAGGGGTAATGGCCTTGGTGATGAAAGTAGCATATGACATTTGGCATATCTACTTGGTCTGCTTTCATTACTCCATGTGGTTGCCCTGGCTGTATATCTTTTGCAGCGATGCTACAGAAGAGATGATATTTTTCATGATCAATAGAAAACGGAATCCGTTTATCCTGAACCGGGGAAATCTCTAGATTCAACAACGCAAACTAAGATAAACGTTTCTGTAAGAAACTAAGCCAACAGCTTCTCTGGGAAGGCATTTGGCTTTACTTTGAAGACAATTCATAGTTGTGTCCCTTACAAAAGCTTTATTTTCATTTTTCTGAACTATTATTTCACATTATATTTAGCTTTCAAGCTTAAATAAAAATATTAGAAAATTCGTTTTTTTATTTCATGTACTCTTAGCTAAAGAAATATTCTGTTTCTATTTTTCATGAAGATGATTTGCATTCCCAAAATGCTTATAAACCCTTAGAGAAGATCAATTCCCAAAATAAATTGTTACAAAAAACGTTAGCAGCTCAAATCACAAACTGTGCTTAACTGTGATAATTTTACAAACAATATTAATAGAAATTGCTTCAAAGACTGTTTTTATTTTAACAATATCGAAAAATCGAAATTCCAAAATCCCCCTTCTATCAACGACATTGTGTTGCCTCAGGCATCCACAAATCGTCTGCTTGATCCAATAGGCCAAAGGGGAAGGTTTGGTTCATGAATGAATGAGCTACTCTATGCCAACGTGCATTCTCTCTTTCAAAGTTGTACACTTATCTCTAGCAAAATCCTTGAACTAGATTCACATTTGCTAAAAACATAACAAAATGGCTTCATCAAATCAGTTGTTTCTCTGGCAGTGAAAAACCATTTTGCTTTTAAATTCTTATTTTTTAATTTTAGCTCATCATGCTGAATTACCACAAAAAACTATACATGTACAACTAACCTCTCTGGCTGAAACAGAGAGCTACCACTAATCGGTAAAAAGAATTCTCTACCCAGATCCTGAAAATAAAAGTACAGTATATCACTATCACATTTTTCATAACTGATTTTCATAACTTTTTTGCTTTACAAAATAGAGAGGGGTCATACATAAATGACATCCTTACATATAATGTCATTTTTTATCTCTATGCTTGTACATATTTTCTAGCCTAACTTTATTTAATATAATAAGGACTATACTTACATTTGGTGATATTTACTTATAGGTTTTTGTTTTATTAATTATTTATTTATTTTACTGCCAGTGAAAAACCTATATTATACTTAGGATCTGTGCAATGGATAAATTACATTACATTACATTACATTACATTACATTACATTACATTACATTACATTACATTACATTACATTACATTACATTACATTACATTACATTACATTACATTACATTACATTACATTACATTACATTACATTACATTACATTACATTACATTACATTACATTACATTACATTACATTACATTTTCTCCTTAAAAATACTGGTATTGAACATGTTCACATCCTTTGAACAAAAAATTACTGGAACAATGAAAGAGTCAAACAAAATACTGAAGGGTGCCTTTACTGACGTTTTACGTAGCAAACTTATAACAAAAACGTTATCAGAGGGACAAATTTATACACAATTTCACAAGAAATGATTGATGGCTTAGGTATTAAACTTTTATACAAAAAACCAGTACCTCCTTTTTCTTTGAACCACTTATTAGTACCCTTTGCAGACTTGGAAATGCATGAAGTTTCACATCAAACCAGTGACAAACTAATGACAAAAATATTTCTTCAAAAATATTTCAAGCAGTGCATAAACATCAAAGCAGTTTAATTCTAAAACAATGTCACAATATTTGGACAAATATTTCACAAACAATTCAAAATGATACATTAAGAGAGGATAATTTCAGAATCCAACTCATTTAAATATTGAGCTAAGAGTAATCAAACCAAATATAAGACTTATGATACCTTCAATAAGGTTGATGTACACTGCAATAGCCAGAAATATCAAATTTTGATCATTTATTCCTGATTGTCTCAAAATTGTCACCTTGAAAATGGAGATAAAATTGAATGCACATTGACACCCACATTGATTTTATTACACACAAAAAAAACCAAACCATTTGTTGATAGATGCAGAAAGGGCTGTTGCTACCTGGGGGATGTGGGGATATGACACCCCTGTTGGAAAAAAATTCCATTGTAAAATTTAGGAGTTTTGTTGGCAAATAAAGGATGGCTCACCCACTTTGCTAGCAATTAGAATCGGATCAGCCCCCAGAGCACAATGGCCAACAACGGTTCTGGATGTATTAATGGCAAGCAAAATATTATTCTAGAAGCATGAGAAATGGTGGACATAGATCAAAACTGAGCACAAACATTTTTGACCTTATTAGAAACTACTTACAAAAAAGCCAGCCAAGAGAAAGAATAAGTTATTCATTTCGTTATCTGGGACAAAAATAGAAGTTCCAAAAGAGTCTGTTTTAGGGTCTCTTTTACTCAATATCTTAATCAATGTCATCTTTCTTCATTAAATTTTCAAAAATATAGAATAGCTCCAAAGGTACCCCCAATTTGCCGGTCAGACCTGCATAAACCCTCATAAACTTGCTGATCCGTGAGGCAATTAAAATTTTAATTATAGTGTTACTACAGGCCTGGCCATAAGACTTTTACCAGAGGAGCACAGTAAATGCTCTCCTAGTAATTTCTGGGTATGTTATTTAATTTATAAATGAATATGAACAGAAAGAAAGGGAAATTGATTTCAAGGCGAGCAATTTGCTTTTTAGAGCCATTTAGGAGAGTAGATCTGTAGCTCACCTCCTGAATCGAGGAGAACCTGGAAGGGAGCATGAACTATGGCTCTACCGTTAGCATAAAAGCTGATTTGCCTTGCCATATGCACCAAGGTATATAAACATGTATACCTGACCCACTAATGACTTCTAAAAAGTTAGGAGCTATGTATGTAACTTTTCTCGTGACATCAACTTTCTGCATGCAGCATGGATGTTGGATTTGTCTGGTGTGTATTCATTGCCAGATGGTTTTCAGACAACTTAATGAAACGTCATGAAGGTAAAGACCCCATTGTGAATTTGTGAGCAAATCTAGAGATGCAACAGTTCATTTGGGCAGTGTAAGTTTTAAGAAAAACATGCCAGTTTTACAGGCAATTTTCGACAAAAAATTTAGTTTCATAAATCATATGGCTATACAGTTTCAAGCAGTCAACTTTAAAAAATCAACAATGTTAACAAAAACGATAATTTAATAAATAAGGAACAGAAAGCACTTATTGAAACCTTTGGGTGATTATAAAACCATTCACTTCTATCAAATCTATTCCCTGTTGCTTCTTTCATGACAACAGTATTGATCTGTGGTCTTCTAAAATCCTCGATAATAATTTCTCAATGGCGGCCTCGTTTTGGAAATTTTCCTGATCTCTATAAAGCAGGGGTCGGCAACCTTTATAAAACAGGGGGCCAAAGTTGATTTCTGAAATGCATAACAGGGCCGCAACTCAAAATACAGTGTAATTTTAACATATACCAATTCTACCTTACTGCTAATCTAATCAATAAAATTGTATTTATCGGAAAATTATCTGTAACGTAGAAGCTGTACGTAAATACATGTGAAGTAGACAAGAATGTGAAGTACATATTCACTGGTCAGTATATTACAAGAAGCTAATGTGGAAGTTGGTGCTGCATGTTCTTGTCGAACTTCTCAATATTTGGCAGAATTGTTGATGTTGGCAGCCGCAAGTTGCCTTCAAAGTGCTGATCAATCATTCGAGATCGCAGTCGATTACCAAGCTTTTTTCTACATGGCAGCACACTGAGCATGGGTAGGTAAAATACGTAAGCAGCAAGTAAATCATACACCTTTTTTAATGCCGAAAAGTCGCTAATTTCTACTTAGGATATTGTTTTTTGACAACATTTTTCGAAAAGAGCCCCCTCGGAGACACTAAAGAGGCATATACAATCGCACTGGTGAGTAGTTATGTTTCAGTAATAACCGAGTGTCTTTTCGTCCATGACGTACATCGATGCGCCAAGAAGGTGATATAGCACACCTTTTCGTCAGCGTGATTTGACTCGCATATTCTTTGAAAAATCCTAACTCGTGAAGTATCTTTCGAGGAATTTTCAGTTGCGAGGCTAAAGAAACCGGTAATTTTTTGTAATATGTTGCTCGAATTGCCGATATCTACAGCTACGTGGTTGAATCATGGTCAAATCCCTTAAACACAGAGACACAACAAGAGGCAATTTATTGGAGGGGGGAGGGGGGGTACAGGATTTTGCACTTCAGTAATCTTCTGTTGTCTCGTATTCATTTGTACCTCGTTTAGTGTTATGTCAATCATGTAAGTAAAACCTATTGTACGCCGTTAGTATATATATCACTAGATTTTGTAAATAGAATTGATTTGGATTGGCACGATTACAAGGGTGTAGGCACACAACAAGATCTCGTTACTTTCGACTCATCCTCTCCCATAAGTCTAGCAACACAGCGTAAGACCTTTACACAATATGTAGCGTTCCACAAAATATGCAGACTATCTGAAAGAATACATTATATCAATATATTAATTTGGGGTGTGCCCCCTTGTCCCTATTGACACTATGGCCCTCTAAAACGCTACATTTCTATAGTTGTTCGCACACATTGCTCTCTCAAGAGAATTCGCTAGAGTTTTAAGCCCAGTAACAGATTGTAAGATAACTTATATTAGTATTCTGACCCTCACAAGAAGCAAAATAAGTATCCTTTATTAGAAGACCGCCATCTTTTTTTTCATTTGGCATTGAATCCAGGTAAATGAAAATACATGCACCCAGCACGATCAAATATTTGCAAACCTGGTTACGTTTCATCCACATCAAACATGCATGTGGAATTCAATGCTTCTAGATAAATAAAGATGATATTATTCAATGAAATGTGATCTTTACCAGAAAGTCCTCCTTTTTTGGTTCTATGACTGTTTTAACTCATTGTCTTAAATTCCTGGTTTGTTTCGAAACAGATTCATCTGCCTTAGCACCTTGTAACTAGGCAACCCTCTAGTACACTAGCTACAGCCTTTTATCTGTTTGCATTTGTCAGATGTCGTTGAAAGGATAAACCTTGAATGTTCAAAACAAACTCTGCCAGAAAATGAACGGAATCTACATGAGGCGAAAAATCACTGCTACAATTTTGAAAATGCCCGTGGTGTTACTGTTTATTCTAACTTTTGTCACAACGATAAGTAAGTATTTCTGTATTCAGCCTGTCTTTCTTGTTATTTTTCAAATCAAATATTTAAAGATGTCTAAACATTCTTGAATCTATCTTAAATTTTGCCTAGTCGTGAACGGCTCCAAAGCCATGCAAAAACAACGAATCCGAAAGCAACTCATTCAAATATGACAGGCTTCTAGCGTTAAGTGTGGTTTGCTATATTGGAATAATTGGTTTAAAATAATGAGTAACACGAAAAGTAATGGTATAATGGAATGATGTTGAAGGCTCATTGCTAGCAATGAGCCATTGCGCTATGCAAGCATCCCATAATGCATTTTTAGACAGTCTGAAATCAATTTTGGTTAATCCGTAGAAGTTTAGTCCCATTGTTTGGACCGTCACCACGCTCGCAAAGGCCCATTGTTAGCAATGAGTTTTTAAGTGTGAACTTGCAAGATTTTATAAACACCAAGGCCAACTATTATGATGTCATGAAAGAAAAGTTCCTAAATTTAAGCTCGTACTTTCAACGGGATCTTAGCTAGCTACAATCATCTTTACGAGAAAAAATATGACTAATAAGAGGTTAAGAATTGCTTTATATTTCGTAAACTAAATAAATCATATCCCGTGAAACAGATTTTTCTTAAATCTGAAGATTTAGAAAGGCAATGATCCTCTCTCCTTGTAACAATTTATAACAGCATATACAGTTGTTCCAGAGAGGAACAAATCTCTAATGAATACTCCGGAGACTGACAACCTGGAGTCAATGAACAGAAAAACGAGCGCAAAATGACAACAAGATATTGTCAAGTTCCAAATCAAAACTGACTGACTTAAACTTCTGTCGAAGTTACTGCTGTTGCCAAGGATGATTTTAACTAAACAAATTCAGAGCAAAGCACTTCAGAACTGTTGCAGGTAATCAAGGCCCTGTCTTTGAGCATAAAATGGTTTCCTTGGAATCCAAAATTACGTGCTAAACGTGGTACTCTGTACAAATGACTAAAGCCCACTCGTCAGGTTGTTCTCCTAGAAAGACTGATTAATGCTATTAAACTAGAGTAATTTTCCTTCATACTTTTTCACATAACCAAGCTATTTGAACTTTGAACTGCAAATGTTTTTACTAATATATAGGTAAGAAAAAATTATATCTTCAGATGCAAAGAATGTGTCATTAGTAACAACAATAAATGGTCTAGAGACAAGAAATTGTCTAGATGGTAGCTGATGGCAGCCCATAGGGCCAGCTGCTCTTGTCCTGTCCTGTTTTTTTTCAATATTGCTTAGTGGCTTTCCTTCAGTCTCGAACAATGTGGTAAATATTCGAGATGCATTTATTGGGCATCCCTAGAAATGTCAAATTCTCAAGCTAGAATTTCTTCTATTTTTAACAACTGCATCCATATTTTGTTTTAGTTATTCTTGATCATCAAAAAAAGGAAACACTGCCTGCCGATAGGGTGCATGAATGGCTGAACATGGCGGCGTCCGGTGTGAATCCAAAGGCTTCGCCCTCGCCCGAAGACGAGAACATCTTTTGCAGAGATCGTTATGGAGAGCCAATGAGACGAGAAGAAGTAACATTAGCTGGCTCGTTCAAGAAAAAGAAAGGCATGTATGAGGGTATAAAACCCAGATTGATTAGCAAATTCCAGAACCTCGTAAAGGAAGCATAAATCGACAAAGGGAAATACAGGAAATCTGACCTGCAAAACTCAAAGTACATTTATCGGTTCATACCATACGATCTATTCGTCACACCCCCCCCCCCCCTTCTAAGGTATCAATTTTTCCTGGCATCCGCATAACTCTTTGAAATATAAGTCATATTACATATTTTCAAGCAACATGACTAAGCTTTAGGAAAAGATTCAAGAGGACAGGAACTCGAAACCATGAATATTAGAAAAGCTCATCATACTTCATGTGTCGTTGTAAAATAAACAACTTCTTTGTAAAAAAGCAAAGCACCTCGAAAATATGCTTATTTCTGCAAACCCCTTTCTACTAAGCTCCATCACTTTGAATTCTTGCCATCAGCAGCAACTCTTTAACAAAAAAACTCTTAACGAAGTATATTTTGCTAGGGGCAAGTTTTCTCTTTCTGTATGCATCTCTAGCTCTTTAGGTATCAAAAAGGATCTTACGAGAAATTTTGCTTAAGTTGATTTCAGCACAAGGTTATAATCGTTTTCTTCGCACATAAATCTTTGCACTGGAAAAATTATAACTTTAATGCCATAATTTGTCAAAATGCATTAAAGTGACACCTGCTATTTTCGCATCCTAGTTTGGTGTTAGTAACCTTTTATACCCTTACCAAATAAGATTTATTGCTATTTTTGACATGTGTTATGCTAAATATTGCAGTTTTGAACATGCACATTATTTCAATTTTGCGACTTGTTTGTTCCAGCCTTCATGACAATTGGAATATCGACAATTAAAAGGAAAACAAAAGGATCTTCTGCATCCTACTTGGAAAGAACCCTAAATACCCACTTGAAAAACTTGACGGACACCCAGAAAGAAGAGATTCTCATTGTTATATTCTTAGCAGATTGGGAGAAAGAGAAGCGGGATAGCATTCAAGAAAGACTCATGAAAACGTTTGATATGCACATTAAGAATAACACAATCAAGCTGATTTATGCACCAAAGAGATTTTACAGCAGCTTATCAGGCCTACCCCAAAACTTCAACGACACAAAAAAGAGGGTAAGATGGCGCAGTAAACAGGCTTTGGATTACGCATTTTTGGCCTATTACTGTTCGGGCCTTGGCAAGTATTATTTTCATCTTGAAGATGACCTAGAGAGTCTTTCTGGTTTCTACAAGCTTATCAAAGATGATTTGTTAAGCCAAGCAGTTATGAATTATCAGTGGTCGATTCGTCGTTACGGGCACATGGGCTTTATCGGGATGCTTATCAAAGACGAATTCTTGCATGGACTAGCCGATTTTTGGAGGCTGAATTACTTTGAAATGCCACTAGACTGGAGTTACATGCATTTCCTTGGACTTTTGACTAGGTCTGGACAAGAAAAAGATTCTACCATTATGCGATTCAGACACATAGGACGGCAATCGTCATCACTCAATGATGATGTACCATGACGCGTATACACTTTTGTTAAATTAATGAAATTTCAGTTGTGCATTGCAGGACAGGAATTACGATAAAATCGTAGAAAAATTCCTTGTTTGTTAACGAAATTATTTATTTTTTGGCTCGGGCTAAGAATTTATTTAATTTAACTATCTACGCTGGATTTTATCTTGCGTTGATATAAAAATGGACCATGTAAAATAGACTTTTTCTTAAATTCATTGGTAGAAAGTTAAATTGATTCTTCCTTACATTGATTCAGAAAGTTACATTGATTCATTGAGTAGTTTGCTGCCACAAGGTAGAAAACTTCGGTATTTTGTATAAAGATTATCTTCGTCTTTTTAAAGTTTTTCATTAAATTTTTTCACAAAAACAAAAATTATGATCAAAATTTTCTCTCATAATAGCATATCCCAAAGAAAACCGCTTCCAGTTTTGATAAGTTCTCAATTATAGTGGCTCAGCTTACAAACATCATTTCATTGACAACCTCCATTCTACATTTCAATACATCAAAACTACATAAAAAGCAACCACATAGATACCGAGCCTATCTCATGTCTATAAAGGGCCCGGAATCGGCAGAAACCCGGCAAAACCAAGCAAAAACCCTGCGAAAACCCGGCAAAACCAAGCGAAAACCCGGTGAAAACCGGCAAAATCCTGGCAGCTCCTGGCAAAAACCCAGCAAAGTTCGGGGAGATTTTCCAAAATTTTACAACATCAACCAACTTCATGCTTGAATACGTAAGGAACAAGCATAGCATACCCTACAAAAAACGTCTTTAAATATTTCAGGGCAAAATTATTATATTCATTCACTCAAAAAATCAATTCTTCGGGTAAATGCATTCCCTTACAAGATAAAAATATATGCACTGTGCAACACTCGAACAAAAAGTGAGGCCATCTGCAACGTGCAAAATTACATTAAAATACATCAAAGTTACTTACAAATTGTCATCTTAAAAACATCCGATGGATAATTCTAGTTAAAAACACTTTGTATTTATATGGGTATAAAACATACGTCTATCTGGAACTTTTCACGTTTTGCTGGTAGGCGAAACTCGGGGAGTGGCGGACTGGTAAGAGATCAATGGACGCTAACGCATTCCGGACTCAGTCTGTGGTTAGCGCATCCTGAACAAGAAGCACGATGACTGAGCATGTGATCATGTGTTTGCTAACAGGAGATCATGCGTTGGCTAACATGTGATCATTCGTATGCCAACATGTGATCAGGCCCTTACGAACATGTGATCAGGCTTTTGCTAGTAATACGACGATGAGCCTATATTTGTTCAAGATCTCTGGTTCCTCACGACTATCTCTAAAAACCGTCCACTGGGATTGTTATATGCTCTTTTCATCGAAATGGTGGCAATCTGAGCACCAAGTCCTTGCAATGGCTCGCCATCCACGGAAACGACCTCTTGTCCGACCTCAAGCTGAGGATACATACAGGCAGCGTAGGATTCGCCGGTCTGTGATACAAAAAAAGAAATCACCAATGGAAACTTGTTTACAGGAAAGTGTGAATTGACTAAATAACGATTTCTTTGATCAATTATTGGAAACCTAAATGATACCTCATAAAGTTCGCCGCCAGCCAGAAATAAAATTTGATTCCAAAAAGAGAGATTGATTGTAAAGAGCCATATAACACCCTATTACCCCGTTGAAAAGCGCATGCGCTTAAAAACAGAAAACAAGCGCATGGTCCTATAAAAAAGAAAATTTTTAAAAATAAAATTGCACGAGTAATGTTTCAACAGCAGAAACTGTATATTTAGCAGTTATTCAATGTAAATTTCCTCAGGATCCGAATAATTATCAATGATCATTCCTTCTCCATTCAGCTGTTATTCACAAGGGTGTCTTCGTCATCAGAACAGTCCGTACTCAAAGGACAATTTAAAGAAATTGTATTTTATTGTAGATTATTTAATGTTAGTTTTTACAATAGTGAATATACACTAATTAAGACTAACATGAAGCAATTTCAAGGATTGCATAAGACAGTTCATTTACCGCAAAATGAGCATGCGCACTTGTTTTCAAGGAACCAAGTTTTGATAAAATTCTTAAAATTGATAACGCAAGGAAAGAAGTCTAGGAAGCATTTAAATGTTGTCAAAGAGAAAGTAGATAGCCATATTGCTGTTTCTTGTTTCTTATTTTTCCCGCATTTCACATATAACTATTCTCTAATAAGCGCATTGCTCCCATATCCGGATAAGAGCATATGCGCCTTTAAATGAGGTACCCCTATAAGCAGGGTAATAGGGTACATTTCCAAACCCCTCCAACTACAAAGTTGCTCCTTCCTTCCTATCTCTGTCTTCACAGACTTTATCAATGTCTATATTTTTAGTGGTCAAGGTTTGAAAACTCCTGCTATCAATTTGTTGCCACCATTTTAAGCAAATCATGCCCTAATGATTGAAAAGGTCAAAATGCCAAGTAATCGACTTCTATTTTCTAATGTCTTTGTAATGGTCAATAAAGGTTTCCAGCAAAAGGTATTCTTATTCATGTTTCTCCAATTCGTCGTTTTTTCCTAGTTCTTACTTAGCAGGTATTCTATTTTGCAGAGATACACGGAGCAAAAAACGGGTCAAAATAAAAACCTAACATAAACACAAGTTGGTCAATAACCAAGAAAAAATTAGCAAAGAAATACAAATAGAGGCATGCATACCATGATGCTCTTTATCTGTACCCCTCTTTTCTGTCTCTTGCTTGCTTCCAACACCAGACCCAATTCTTCCCTGCCTTTTTCGATTTTCACTACTTTTTGGTGGGCCTCGCTAACCGGCGAATAGTCTTCACTGCCATATCCCGAGCTAATCTCCGTTTTGTCGTCGGATGTTGGGCTATTCAAACTTGAATTGAACTGGTAACAAAAACAGAGATTATCACAATAAAATTCAAGCTCATACAATTCAGTCCCTGAATATCATAAATTGGCCACAGTACGAAATTGCCCTATAAAAAACTACATCTATCAAAATATTTATTATAATGAATAACTTAAGAAATTAAATTTTTGTCGATATTCCCTAAATTACAAAGCACACTGTATTTTTGTTTTTCTATTGACATTGCAAAGACATTTTTTCTTATAAACATTGTCGTTCTAAATTTATTTCAATACGCTGGTAAACTTAATTAATAAATAGTCATTTTCTCATATGTTTCGAGATAATAGACGTTGTATATTGTCCACGTTAAGATTATCCAGCAAACAACATAAACACGGGTCTAGCTGGAAAGGAAAATAATGACCTCTCCCCCCTCAATGCAGTTAAAACGTCGTGGGACTAAATTCAATCACTATGACGCATGTTTAACGAGAAGGGGGTCTCATTCACTAGAAGGTTCCTTCTTGCTCCGCTTCCCAAAAAGCCATGGCACAGACAGAAAACAGAAACAAATAACATCCAGAGAGGCAGCAGCGGGTTATGCCGTTTGAATAACCGATAAATTTCAGAAAGCACAGAAATATTGTGTTATATTCGTTCCGTCATTTCTTTCAAAACAACTGTTGTGTTCAGGGTAAAAATTATTGATGGTGACATAGATACAGACACGGTTTCGAATGGGGTAAATAGAAAAGACTCGTCTTATTTTCTTTGCTTTGACAAGGCAATAAATTAATCAAGAAATATATCAGGTTACCTTTGGTTTATAACGGATGCTCGAGAAATCAAAATCATCAGTAGAAGATAAGTCACTTTCGCCCAGATTCACAGGATATCTTGAACTGATGCTGAAATTTTGTTTGCCGTGCCTGCCATGTTTATTTCCAGTCTCCATTCCATTGATCGCTGTTACATACGAGGCTGCTTCTTCCTCTGCTTCATCAACGCTATCCGTGCTTCTTATTCGCCTTCTTCCCTCGGAATTATTCTTCTTGATAATTTCTGATAAATACTCGGTTTTGGGCGTTCCTTGTCGTTGATGCTCGAAAATGCTTCGTAAATTGCGGAATGCCGACCTTTCTGCATTTCCATCGTCTCCCTGTTTCTTTCGGTTAGCAGCTGCCATTTCTTCAATGTCCCGAACAATTGCATTCCCATCACGAAAGCCTTTGTCCGGACTGCCAGCCCGGTAAGTTACAATTGGTATCCGTTTGGCTGTTAGATTGCGGTCCGGAAGAACAAGAATTGAATCGCTGATACCGTTTGTAGTCCTGTCATCCATGGCGCGGTCATCCGAAGATAGATTGACTTTGTTTTCCTTATCAGTGCTTGTATGACTGTCTTTGCTCGAGTTATCAGCCTGAAAGCCAAATGTTGGCGCATCTCCGGTCACTATTTTTGAACCACTCAAAATCCTTGGGCTGAAATTTTGAAATCCAGCACCGGTATCTATCTCACTATCGGAAACATCTTTAACTTCAAACCGCTGCCGGCGGTTATTGCCAGTAGAATGAGAATGCCCAAATGGTCTTGGAAAAGTCGGATTAGCCTCATACACGTTGAAAAGCCGACCTCGGTCAGCTCGACCATATTGCTCTTCCTTGTCCTGTGGATTTTGATTCGCGTCAACGGAAGGGGTACTTGGGGCTGTCTCCTGCAGCTTGATTGGGGCAAACTTCAACGTAGTTGAGTCATTATCTATTTCCTGCATGTCTGGTTCAGCTAGTTCCGGTTCATCCTCAAACTCGAATTCTAGATCGTCCTGAATCGGTTCTATACCGCGCAGTGTATCGTCATCAGAATCATCCGTGCTGAAGTTACCTGACATATTATTGTTAACATTAACCCTTGAACGTAGGGAAAGCCTGCTTAAATCAATGATACCCCCATCATTAGACATGTAACTTTCCATTACGCTCGCTTTCTCTTCAACAACAGGAAAACTATTTGCTGAGCTGTTGATGACTTTATCAGCAACTGACTCTGTATCTAACTCGTAACCCACAGTTTTCTTAGCCACATATTCCAAATTAGTATCCCACCTAGATGGTGACATTGGCGCACTTCCCACTGCCGTTTCACGAACAACGGTCAGATCTTCTTCCGGCACAATCGTAGGCCTAAACATAGCCCCGCCAAGCAATCCAAATGGCGCATGTTCGGTTTGGGCCTCTTGCAAAATTTCTTCTTCTTTAGGATCTTGACCAGCGAAATTCCCCTTTACAGAATGCTTATCATCTTCGTTATCAAGCTCATCTTCGCTATGAACAGCCTTCCCAAAATCAAACAAAGCGCTGCGCATTAACGATAAGCCAATATCTTCATCTTCAGTTTCATTTCCATGCGCTGATGGGCGTTGGCATGGGCTGCCTGTGACACTTACAACTGGCGATTCCATTACATCATTGGACGGAGATGTGTCTCCCTGCATATTTCCGCCATTCTCCTGGTGGCCATCACTAGCATTAAGTTTTTTCATGCCCTCCTCTATAATTCGTCGCAGCAATTCCTCTTTTGATTCGGGTGAACTTAACCTTTGTGGTACTTCTTGTGTTGGTTCCTTGACCACTTCCTGAGCTGGTACCTTGACCACTTCTTTCACTGGTACCTTGACCTTGAATACAAATCAAAGTCAAAGAATAAAATACTACAGTGAAAGAAAAGATAACACATTTTAGCTATGATTAGCAAAACCCGACGGATGGGCAACGTTCTTGGCCAAAAATTCAAAAGTTTTTGAAAATACTTCATTTGTTAAACACGTTCTGCGACTTCTCTACTTACCATTGACATAATTCGCAAATATCACAAACTATAGATTAACAAAATACAAATGACAAATAATGGTCTATAATTTTTTGTTCACAGAGGCTTGTTATCTGAACGAAGCAGAATTGATCAGTCATGTATCGTCACTAAAAGAGCTAAGAATATCAAAATACCTGACTTATGGCTGCGTATTCGGGACCTTCGTCTTCGTCTTCGTCTTCGTCTTCGTCTTCGTCTTCGTCTTCGTCTTCGTCTTCTTCAAAGTCCAAGTCCTGTATAAAAAACGTAGAAAAAAACAGAAATTTACAACTTGTGAATATCTGTTGCTATTCTTTTTATCTATTTTTATTCATTTCTCTCTTTCTTTTCTCCTTTCTTTTGTTCTAAGACAATGGGAAATATAATAATAATAATAATAATAAATAATTTGTTTAAAGTTGGCGTACTAAATGAACGTCTAATAGCTATAAAGAAGCTAATTAAGGCCAACTATCTATAAAGAATTAGTATTAAATAAATATATGATACAATATTAAAAATGTTTATGGTATAATGTTCTAAATAAAACCTAACCCAGCAATAAATATTTTACACAATCGCATTCTATAGGGTGTGCTCTTAATTCTTTTTTAAATGTTACCAATGATTGGGACTCTCTTATACTGTGAGGTATTGTTAGCCACAGTTATGCTATCTTATTAAAATGTGATGCTATCTTATTAAAACAAGAGGCTTGCCCCCCAAATATTTGACCAAGTGTCCGCCCCTGGACATAGTGCCTTTAGATCGTTGTCAAAATCCAAGGGCTTATACTTACATCAATGACAGGTGACTGATGATGAACTAAGACTTGCTCAACTTTAGCAATTGGACTGGCGTGTTCAGCAGAGGGAATGGCAGGCTGTGGGGTTGAAGGCGGGCTCCAGGGAACTTTTGAGTTGGTCTAAAACGAAACAATAAAACAAAATGTCTTAAAATGACATTTTGCAATACTGCAACAACAAATTCTCTCATTTTTCAAGCCGACATTTGAACAAGAAATGATTTCTTTCAAACAGTTCTTTAAAATTAACAAAAGCTTCTCATCTTCATCACCTGATCGTTAATCTTTTCACTCACGACTTTTGGTGGCTTTAATCCAACAATTGAATTCAGTTTAACAGCTTTATTTTGCTAATATGATCCAAAAATTCAGCCATTGGGAATAATATTCTAGCATTTTTAACCAATCGAGCCTCTTTATCATTTGAGAAAGCAGTTTTCAAAATTTGAATGTTCCAGCGTGTTGGGAACTTTACTTCAGTTACCCTGAAATGTTATCATAACATCATCATCTATCTAAATATTCTACAAATTATATCACTTAAATACCTGTCTTCTTGGTGATTTCAACTGCTTGTATGAAAGCGCCTTCGCAGGGACCTTTGGTGACAAGCGAGAGTTGCCTAGGTGATTCCCGTTGAGTTGCTGGTCCTTTCTTGGCGAAACCTGATTTAGCGACTGAAACAAACATTGGTTTCCCATGAGAAATATCAAACATCATTATTGGATGGAGTTCGATACCGACCTAACAGGTTAGAAAAATGTGTCCAAGTTGCAAGCCTTCCACTTCCTTAAACTCTTTATTGAGCTTTATTGTGTCTAGCTTAAATGAAAATTTCTGGCACTGGTGTATATTCAGCATCTTATAGAATATATATTCAGCATCTTTATGTCTATCAAAGACATGAGCAAATTGACAATGAACAAAAAACTATTATTTACAAACTATTATTTTTAAGACAAACAACGATTGCTCTTCAGTCCTAGCTTTTCCTCTTCAAATAGTAAACAAGGAATGCATTGGCAGTAGAAGACATTAGTTAAGTAACCAAACCGAGATTTGGTGACTAGAACGATGTGCATCCTCAGCTAACAAAAATTCTTCGCTTAAAGTGCTAACTCACATTTCTAGCTTCGATCTCTTTCTCGAGCACAAGCCGGTCAAACACGTCCAAATCTTGCGGGAATATTACACTTCGTACATCATTTAAGAGGGAGATCTACGAGAAAAAAGACAACACCATTTAGTCGTGTTTACACTCGTTTACATAAGTCAGTTAACTACTCGTGAGACGCAGGTTGAGGGCGGGTTAAGACTGCCAACCTCGAAAGATGGGTTGAACACGGGTTGAGTCCAGATAAGATTTTTAAATTGTATCACGCCAGCGTTTTTTAGCCACTTTTTGTTTATACTGTTCCGTGTAAACCCCATTGAGTTTAACTTGGATAAACTAGCCCGGGGCTGTGTCTTCTTGAATTTTTGGTAGCGTAAAAAGAGGTCTAGTGACAGCTGGCATAACCATTTTTTCTTTGATCCAAATCTTTGCCAGAAAAACTGCCAGTTTCAAGTTCATAAACTTATAGTTGGATCACTAAATATTGCGGACCTATGAAAAAGTTCTGATCGTCCGTTGATAAACCGTGAATATCTTTACAATTTCAAGTTTGGAGATTCAGATATCATCTGTCATTACAACCTGGGTTTATAGAATTGATGAATTAAAAGTTGCAAAAAATCGCTGTGCTGTGGAGAAAAAGCATCCAAAATGACTATTTTAAAAGCAGTACTTTTGGCGATCTAGGATGAACATGTTATCTTATATATGATGCGATAAAGAGATCACTGCAATTACATTAGCGCGTTGGAAATATCCATGAGAGAGGTTTGTGCCAAAAGAAACAAAGCAGAATATAGGGTATTTCATATTTCTTCGCAGTATAAACATCGAAATAAGAGTTCATATCTAGGTCTAGGTCAAAAGTAACGTGAGCGAACTGATACAGTCTTTGATTGGTTCAATTTCTGACCACTCAGCATGAAATGAACATTGTCAAAATCACCAACCTTTTTCGACGAATCAAAGAGATGGAAAAGACTGATGACAAGGCCTTCAACATGAATGCTTCCTTGGATGTACTCGCTAATGTAATACTTAAGCGAGGCAAGCTCCTTCTCGTTAAGAACTGATCTCGCCTGCTCTTCGATTCTACGATGAGCTGGAACAACAACTGCTGATTGATGAAGCAACTGAGATCCTGCTATCCCCTGGCGAAACTTTGATCTCTAAAATAAAAACAGGGCAAGTCGATAAGGACCCAATTAACCCTAAATACCTAACAAAAAGTACTTGAAATAACTGGTAGCATGTTTGGAAAATAAACATTTTTTTAAGTACTGAACAGAAAAATCTTCTTAGATCTTTATGCTGATAAGCTTTGAACCTAAATTGTTAGATAGGACCGTAAGGAGATAATTTAGAAATATCAAGACATTTCAATCTCCAACAAAAATTTCTACAAACCCGAAAACTCTACAAAGACTATTTCAAACATGATACTTACTTGTTGTGAAAAATTTATCGTTCATTTAGCCTAACACCGTCTAGCATATTCTAGTCTAGTTTAGTCTTAAGTAAAGAATTAACTTTATACTTTTTCTAACGAGAAGTCTTATAATGAGCATATAATGTAGCTCAAATACAATTGAAGTTATGTTTCTGATAATAAACAGGCTACCTCTGGTGACGGGCTTGTTCGTCCATCGTGCGCAATAGATACGATGCTTGATGACCTGCAAAGTAATATTGACAATTTCTTAACTTATGTCTCAATCAAGTAGATAAAACAATTTGGTAAAGCCACCATCTCTACGAGCTGCTATGGGCTTCATTTCCACAAAAATATTTTGCAGTCTGTTTTGTAGTCTACGATGGCCAGTAGCTATTAAGATTTTAACATATTTACTAGACAAATGAAGATTATCTGGTCTGTTATATAGGCAGTTACAACTGCAGTAAACAAACGATACCTAATACAAGACAAGCAAGAAAAATCATTACAAAAGCTTTAGACAAAATAGACTAAATGAATGGCAGCATGAATACGAAAAAGGATGTGACAGAAATAGGGTCTTCTTTTTTCTACACTTATGTCCCAAATAAACAGGGGGTCCTAATAAGCAGGGAAAGGGGATTGGGTTGGAAAATTTCTTAAAATTCAATAAGCGGGGACGGGGGTCGAAATAAGCGGGGGGGGGGTTAATTTGGTGTAAAAGAGTACCGAGCAGTATTAAAGGAAAAATATCCGTAAAGATCAAAGATCTACAAGAATAGGCTACTAATCTAGAATTGTTGAGAATGGAAGGTGCTCACTTTTTATCTGGATGAACTCAACCTCAGTTGTTCACTCTTTTTGAAAGGCTCTCCCACAAAAATTGAAAATTTTATAAGCGGAGGGGGGATCCTGTTAGGAGCGGGGGATGGGGTCCGAAATTTCTTTGAAAGAAATAAGCGGAGAGGGACGCTTATTCGGGACCCAAGAGTACGAAGTCAATGCTAAAATCCTGAAAACAACTGCAGATACGGACGCCAAAGATAACAGTTTGCGTGAATGTATTCTGTTATCCGCCTTTTAGCCCTCCCGCCCCCTCAAGCTATTTATTTTTATATCAGAGATATCGACATTGAGTTGGGGAAGGGGTGCAACACAGTCTGCTTAGAGCTATCGCTCCTTAAGTTTAAAAGAAGGAGAAAGGAACTCTTCCGCAAAAAATTTATCGAAAACCCCAGCTGAGTTTCTATCAAGAATATTCAACTAGCTATTCTGCAACAAAACAAACCAAGTAAAACATATTGTATTTTACCTTGACGTTCTTGCGCTGTCCAGCCATTCTGTCCGCTCAAACAAAGTTTTAGCATACGGGATCTTGCCAATATGACGTAATATCATGCTCATCATTTTGTACGACTTCAAAACTCGAACTGCATCCTTGTGAGAAATTTCCAGGAAATCCAGTCCATTGACATCAATGATCTGATCTCCAGCCTGTGAGAAGTGTTTTCATTAAATGTCGATCCTTTTACAATTATCAACAACGCAAAGACTTTGGAAAATATAGAATGTGAGTAGAAACATTTATGTATTAACAAGGCAGTTTTATCATCGAATGCCAGATTGTGAAAAATCCTCTGATAAAACTCTAAAAGCAATACGTGAGGCTTTGATACTCACAATGATGTTGGTGATACTGAAAAAGACAATACCCTTTGCCGACGCTTCTAATGAAAAATCAAGGCTCATATTACTACACTTAGTAGCTAACCTAAAGGGGGTCACATCTCCCCCTCCCCAACTCTGGTTTATAATGAAAAAAGAGAATACAGTGCAAGCAGTTTGGAACAATATGAAAAACATACTCGTATTCCTGATTTCTCAGCCATGTGATTTCTGTCAACAGCCGAAACGTAAATCCCCAAACCATACTCCATACCTCCGCGAATTTTTAATCCAAGCCTTGTACCACTCTGCACATGAACAATAACCTGAACAGATGCAAACAGAAGTTTGAAAACAACTGGATTAAATTCAAGTGTAATAAAGCAATAATTAATGCATGAATATAGAAAATCATGGTGTACCACGTTTATGTTAATTTATGATAATAGAATCAACAATTCAAATGCTTGCTTGACCAATACAATCTTTTCTCAAATTTACAAATTTATCTTTAACACACTATCTTATAAAAAATTAGGAAAAACAGAATTTTCAGTAGCCATTCCTCAGTTGTTATGTAATATAAATTTTTTAGGCATTCCTCAGTAATATAAATTTGCATGTAATGTCCCAACAGAATAAATATTTTCATTAAACTGAACAATCATTTACCCCGTCAGATTTGAATTGTATATGAGCTAGTTTTCTTGCAAACTAAAAGATAGAAAAGTACCCTTCGCTCTTCATCATCTTGCAGCAGTCGTATGTCCCCAATGCTTCTTGATCTAGAAATCTGACTACTTTTCTCCCTGAAATTCAGTGGGGGTGAGGATGGTCTCCCATTTGTATCAACCCATTGGTATTCCATGTGTGAAAGCCTTGCTCCTGGGACAAGTGACGATGAAAATACAAGCAATCGAAGTTTCTTATTTTGTTGGATAATCTGGAAAAAGAATATCAAAGAACATATATAAAAATAAACTAGAGGCCTAGATACACTAAAACTCTTCATTTTGATATTTTGTTAAAAATATTTTGAATAGGACATCAAGCAACCTTAAAAGAAAGATTGAATATTCTAAGAGTGAATGAGAAATCTTGATAGAAAAAGGGGCTAATAGAAATGAATGAAATGTTGAAAACCAATTAAAGGACTTTCTTAAGCTTATTTTGTGTTCATTTTTGGGCACCTTCACCACATCCTGTATCATGCTTCAACAAAATGCTTATACGGTTTGCATTTCTAAATTCAATGTTATCATAACAGCATCAAAAACAATCATAACAAATTGTTCTAAAAGATTAAGAGTTATTTGATCTAAACTCGAATAAAGATTTAAAAATCATCAACAACCATGGTTGTTTTTGATAATTAAGGTTTACAAAAATTAGTATCTGAATGCCTAAATGGTAGGTTTTCTCAGATAATATAATTTATTTCAATTCTATAAAATTTGTATGGCACCAGTTGAGGGCAAGCAAGATTATACAAATGGCACATGTCTATGAAAATATTGTCTGCTCAAGTTAAACAGAAAATCTGACTAGGCATACAAAGACTGACTTCTGCTTGTGATAAGTCAAATCTTTGAAACTGTTTAAATATTTATTCTTAGTATAGATATACTATAAATTGGCCTTGATTAAACAGCACATGCAGAATTTGGCCAAGCAGGTATGCTTGTTTGTAAAATTTGAGCAAAAATGTGACCTGTAAACTTGACATTCTTGTTGCATTCTTTTGATGACATGGAAAACCAGAAATTCTAAAGCATTCTAAAGTATATACTCTAAAGTATAGATATCTAGAAGTGCAAACGTCAGTAAACAACCAAAGGTTTGTAAAAATTCATAACCAGATGTAGATCAAAAGTAACAAGGGAAAGAATGGTAAAAACAAATTTTGACTGTATGGGTGCATCACCTTAGTACCATAAACTACAGTGGAAAGCCTTATCTATTAGACTTTTAAATCTTTACTGGAAACACTGTCAGTCAAGGTATTTGTTAGTATACAGATCAATTTTTAGAAACAAACTTTTCCCCCAACAAAAATTTTCCCATAAAGCAAGTGGAAATTGCATTTCTTGGGGAGGCATTATCCAAAACTAAATTTTAGGTTCTGAGGCTGACAAAGTCCAGGAAATTATTCTAGATAATAAATATTATTTATCTTCTATTTTACAATAACAACATTTTTCAAGCAAGAGACCTCTCTTTCCAGGGAGGATATTTCTTCTTATCAAGGGTCGTTTATTTGAGGGTACAGCAAAAAGGGTGTTTAGCTGAAGCAATACATAATATGGCCTAACCAGGAGCAGAACATATTTTCAACTTTAAAGAAGAAATATATATGTAAACAAAATTTTAACAAAGGTGAGTGGTCCGGCATTGAATGAGAGAAGCTAATTCAATACATTCTAAGCAGGTATTTAATCAAGATAGATGAAGCTTGTGTTTAATGTATGAACTATTAATGTTAAGATGTTTACCAAAATAAACCAGTTAGAACCTAGCTTGAGATTTTTCATTTTCAATAAAACAAGAACTTTTTGTTTTCAAACTCTGACATTTGAGACATAAGACAAACTAATATTTGGGTTATGAAACAACTAATGTTATAATGTTTTCAAAAGATAGGATAAAAACAAAACTATGAATTGGTATCTAGAAAAATCTAGAGCCATCATTTCTAAATCAGGGATCTTGTACAGTTTTTGAGTAAGATAGAAAACTGAAAAAAATTGAAACACAACACAAACGCCTTTTTAAACATTTTAATTGGCCCTGTCTGCATCCTATGTTTTGAATTCGTTAATTCAACCCAAGGGAATTGCAATTGACAGAAACTAAATGTGATATATAATCAAAGAAATAACGACTTTTTAATGTTGGTAATAAAACGCTTAAAATCCTGAAGAAATTGCTTGCAGGTGTCGAGAAAATCCCAGTTGGAATACATTGAGTATATAGGCTATAAATAACATACAGGAAATAAAAATTATCTGTATGTGTTGATACAGTAACAAACTGCAAAATAGATTGTATTGTTCTGCAAATTATATTCCAATATCTTTAGTAGATGTAGCAACATTAACAAAGATGCCTTCTGGTTTCTTAATAAATTTTTGGTATTAAATGTTCAAGATAGCCCCCAAAAATCCACAAAACAGTAAACTTTCCAAATACATTAAAATCATCCAAAGAATGAAAGGCTGTGCACAAAGCATCTATTATTTTCAAAGCACTAAATTACATTCTTACTATTTTAATACGGGCAAAATACTATAAAGAAGGCCAAATACTGTTTTCAAGGCCAATAACTTGCAATAAATAAAATGCTGAGAAATTATCAGAATGAAAAATTACCTTGACAGCATTTGCATGGTCAATTTTTTGGAAATTGAATTCGTTAATCTTTACAATTTGGTCTCCAGTACATAAATTCTTTTTCTCTGCAATTGATCCTTGCTCTACATTTGAGACATATATTCCGAGGCCATGTTCAGCACCTCCTCTGATACTGAACCCAAACCCATCTCCCTTTGAACTCCTCTTCATTGATATCAGATGGGTTTTTGGCTGTTTGCCCGGTTGAGAAGGAATTCTCAATGATGGCAACGATGCACTGAGTCGATTGCTGGACAAAGCAGAATTTGGTCTTGAGTATAAAGGTGGTCTTTTATTTGATTTCCAGGACTGGGCTGTGCTATGCAACTTTCGTTTTTGATAAAGCTGTTCTTGTCTTTGATGGTTTTGATACGAATTATTATATGTAAGATTTTGTTTCCTCGAGTACCTTCCATTCTTATTTTCCTCTAAACTGTAAAAATGATTGTATTGTGAAGTCCTCATCCACAAATTTAAGAAATGTTCTCGCTCCCTGCTGGGAAGAATAACCAGCAAATATGGTACAACTTCCTGCTTTTTGGGGGTGTTCAGGAGCCTCCTCAACGAAATAACAAATTTCTCACGGTCCCTTCTCGTCTGGAAATTAGAGAGAATTACTGTGAACTGCCTTCTTTCTATTTCAGTTAAATTATAAATCAAGGTGTCGTGAAGCAACCTCATATTCTCAGCTCGATTTCTGTCCACGGCCATGATTGGTGAAGCAAGCAGCAAATAGTCCTTTCTCTAGGTAAACGCCGGCCAAGCTTTCAATGCGATTTTACTCCACATAATCATGCATAACGATTCATGGCTTTCTATCAGTCAGCGACTATAAATAATAGAAGATTTTTAATCATTAATAAATGATAAGATTGTGCTATATCATATTCCAATTGCGTAGTCAGATTCTATACCATCATACCAACAACAGTCATTCAATTCAACATGGAAACAAGAAGCCTCACTTTCAATTAGCCTCCCTTTTCTTGACACTGATTTCTTGATTTTGCGGTTACCTACCAAACACATTCGATTGATGTTGTTTTCCCCTTTACCTTAAATTGTTTTGCAACAAGCCAACCCCAAGGATGATAGAATCAGCAGATATCGCGATTTGATCTACATTTCATTTTGTAATGGTTTGCCCCCTTTACTCTGAAGAAAGGAATAAACTGTTGATGAAAATTGAAGAGAGGTATCCCTATATAAAAAATCTTATTCATGAAAGCAAGTTTATTTGGATGATGAGTCAAAAAGATAATGATTCGATTCAAATTCTTGCGATAACTGTAAGGCAGGCACACAAAAAGCGTATAATTTATAATACCTTTTGAAAAAATTGTGCTGATCAGATTGCCGTTGTATACTTAAGTTGTTATAATTTTTTTAGCCAATTGTAGTGATATTTTGGATGTAGTAACTTTAATCTAAACATTTAAGTTTACGACGTTCTGTTTTGTTGTAGTAGATTGAGAGCCTTTTCGGTCTATACATCTATTATCATATAGTAAATCCTCGAATTGCCCCCCCCCCCCCCCCTGAGGCTTATTGATTAAGGCACTTTTACATTGGGCTAATTTAAGGGGGCCTATTCGATCGGTCTTATAAAGCTCATTTTCAAGCTATCATACAAAAAGCTCCTATCGTAGCGGTTTCGTGGGGGTGGGGGCTGGGGATGGGGCAAATCGTGGATTTACTGTATGTTGATTAATTTCCAGCAGGATATCACATATCAAATGAAAGAAACCACTGACACCAACGAATAAAATATTTCAAACTTTTTATCGACGAATACAAGCAGCGCATGGACCCAATTAACCCATCCCGATGTTTTCCGTGCCTTTTTAAGATAAAATCGTTCTGAGCTTGGTGAAAGAAACTAGAAGGGCTATAAAAAAACTGCCTCATAGTATGAAAAGGTGTCTTAAAATTTGATATCTTGATGCAGCTGATAGGTTTAAAAAGAACTGCTACCCAAGCAAAAGACTCCGAAAACTAACTAATTTACTGCGCTGCACCCTCGCCCTCTGCTCAACTGCAATAAAAAGGTTCAATTTCTAGGCATGGAGAAGTTTTTCACTGGAGAAAAGGAATTTTGTGTTATGGAGTCGACGGGCTACATGTATAACGTATAACCTGGTGATTGGGAAGACGAAGATCGCTAGATTTTCAGTAGCGCTCGACACGAGATACATTACATCCTCGATGGAACGAGGGCCTAATGTCAATCAATGCTAACTGTTTACGTACGACCAACAGTGTTAAAAAAGTAAATCAAATTGCAAAAGATCCCACACACTCGGGTTCAGCAATCAATTGAAAGCCAATGTTAAGCAATATTGCGGGTTGCCACCTTGGCTGCAGCGGCAAGTCAGGAATAAATCAGTCACACAAATAGCATTCATAACTAAATTAGCATTTCGTTTTAGAAACAGAATTTTCCCTGGATTCTGGTTTTTAATCTTGTTTTAACTATAACGGATTCCATTAATAAATCACGACCGATCTGAAAGCGTTCAATTGCAAACTTTGCCACCAGACACGTCATAATTTATTTTAAGTTCTGAATGAAATGACACGAAGTCTGTGGTGTGTTGTAGTATCTTGGGAAACCAAAGATTTCGAATGATGGGTGAGTCAAAGGGCCTGCGCAGCGCAAAGATGACTGAATTAAACAGCAACGAAACAAGTTTGATTTGTCAAGAGAAGAACATACGCAATGGTCTATCGGTCGCAAGAGAGCGGACTATGAACCGATTTCATTTGATCTATGAACAGCTCTTCACTGATAAAATCACCAAAATATTGTGTGCACAGATGATCTCTGTTTCAAATGACAAAGTCTAATCTAGTGTGCCGATATATAGTCTTCAAATCCTAAGCTTAGCCTTTAAAAAAACTTTTTTGGTGTGATAGATTGTAACAATGGACCCTTCTTTGGCATTTTATAAATGAAAAATACTATTGAAAGAATTGAATCAAGAACTTTTTTAAAAATTTTTTATTTGATATTGCAGGTTCTTTTATGCGGTTATTTATCACTTTGAAAATACTACTGAATTCCAAAAAGGAGAGACTTTGTCTACCCTGGAGATATAGTAAGAATTCATGTAAATTGAACTAATATTTTACCAAAACAACAGAACTTTATCAATACTAGCCTTTTGAAGTACAAGACGGCGATGCCTTGAAACACAAATCCTTTATTTTCGCCCCGCAACAAGATACCCATGCCGGTAAAGAACAGAAATTGAATCAGAAAGAAAGCTGATTTGCAGGAACTGTATATTCCGTTGAAATTATTAAAAAGGCTTCATAAATACACAGTAGAATATTCTTGCAAAAACACAACTAGTCTAAAGCTTGCTAAATTCTTCCTGCAAAGCACATCAAATTTCCCGAATTCAACTGAAAATCTGTTTCTAGAACACAAGTATTAAAATACATGTTTTTCTTTTTATATGAATTTCTCAGGCTTAGCCGATAAATTGGGATTTGCCTGCATCTGTCCTCTGCAGACTGCTGTTTCCAATATCACGTGAAGATGACGTCACTGCTATGTAGCATGGGATACCGTTTTGAGAGGGAACTGCCTCGTTATAGTACTGTGATCTCAAGTGCATAACATGGTCTAGAGACGGAAGTGAGGCTGAGCCATATACCGTCTGTGTGGCTGGCGTGTGATATGGATTGGGTACAAGAGAATGGTACATCGAAGAAAAGTATCCAAAATTTGATTGCTGATATGTTGTGGTTGGGATCATTTGGGACATATACGGATTAGTGTAGTTCCCGTTGTAACATCTGAAACAGGTATAGTTTGAATTATAAATGAATAGTGAAAAATGTTACCAAAGTACGATATTGGCTCAAAACATTGGTGCAGTAATGGTTTTTCTCTCCAGTCCACTAACCTTTTGGCCAGGATTGTAGTCAGCACAAGTTAAATGAATTTCGTAAGTAAACTTATCTAAACATTAATTTAAAAATAAATTCGTTATCCAATGAAATTTTTATCAGAATACACCTCCATACAAGAAAGGAATAATTGTATTCCAGAATGCTTGTTCTGTAGGCAATGTCTTGTATTAGTTACCTCAAGGCATCGAGAACCTTTAGATAACTGTCAGTAAGTTGAGTCCCAAACATGGCCTTTCTACTGAAGTTTAACTGTATAACACTTACATGGCACTTCTTTGCTTATCTGTAACATCGACAGGATGCTAAAAGCACTATAATGATTTACTTACCCATTAGAAGCTGTAGTTATCGTTGTGGTTGCTGGCATTCTTTGATATTTCGTTTGTAGCATGCTTGGCATGGCTGGAGTAATTTCTGGCCCTTTGCGCTTCCTTCGGGTTTTCCAGTCATTGTAAGTGACAAAGTTTTGATAAAGCTGAAACAGAATCTTAATGCATTTAAATCTAATTGGCTCACTGTCTTAACCACTTAATTTTCTCTCAAACCCTTATCTATCCATATCGTATAAATTGGAATCTTTCTGACTAAATCCCTTGAATATGGTACCAATAGTCTCGTAAAGCAAGATTTTAGATAAGCAACTTAAAACCATTTTGTTTTCTACGCTAAAAGCGTGTAATTCGTTAATTGATATGAATGTTATACAGTCTTCTACACGTAAGGTACGGTAATCAATAGATAATAATCCACGTGACAATGGTCCACGTGACAATGATTCACGTGACAATGGTTCACGTGACAATGATTCACGTGACAATGATTTGCGAAAGATTTTCTTCTTACTTGTTGGTGTATAACTGCTGGAATGTGATCTTGAACTACTTTTAGGTAGTAGACTGTCATTTCCAGGACCTATGGCAAAATCAACTATTTGAATAAGATGATTTAAATTTGGAAAATTTGGCTGTGAAGATCTACCCTGAACCTCAGGTACTAGCAATCGAATAATTAATATCAATATGTCTGACATTTGGCGAACATAATAAAAACAAATGATAAAAAACAAAAGATCAAGTACATTCTTTTAAACGGCTATTTATCCTTTTTCTTAACTGATGTAGCAAATATAAATATAAAAGAAATCTCAAAACTTTAAAGATATCATGACCCTTAATCGTGACAATTTCATCCATCCTTCATCGTCATACACTTAATTGTAAGAAGTCTGACAAAAAGATCCTTTAAACAAATGCTCAAATCTTTAGTGTCTCTTTGTTTATTTGAAGGCGTTCTTTCCTCAACGAACTCGGTCTAGCAAACGAGTTCTCAGACTCTTTGTTTTTTCATGGAGTACGTCATTAAGAGATGATAAGTGTAATGCTCTAATCCCAACTGAGGTTTTTCTTCTTACAGTTGCCATGTCCTGCCTTCTGCCTGATAACAACTGCTTGGGCAAAATTTTTCGTAACTCATCGCAGCTGTCTTTTATTCGCTCCCTGCAAATAGTCCACATAAGAACTAAACATTCAAGTATATGCTATGTGGCGGTTTTTTGTGCAAACATGATGATATACAGAATAGAGTTATTACATACATTATTTAAGAAGTGCAGCAATTATGGTAAATTACAAAAAAAAGTGTCTTTTAAAGTTAAACGTAAGAAGGCAGTTCCCCCTCCATTTATGTTAAGACATCTTTGTTGAAGATCACAAATGGTTATTCTTTTTTCGAAAAAAAATCTGTAATAAACAAACAAAAATGTCTTAACTTCAACTAACCTTCTCTCTCGCTCTTTGTTGCTATGCTTGGTATATTCGTCAGGTATGAGTGACAACTTCATACTGGAGGTGCCTGGAGTGCCATTGATCATGTACCCTGCATTCTGCGTCAACGCAGGCGCTGTAAATAAGGAGTGTGCGGGATAGCTGCGTATCACTGATGCATTCTGGGAAACCAGTGGATAGATACCTATCGATTGCTGTGACATCACAGGTTTTACTGTTTGTACCGAAGAAGTTTCCGCTGATTGGGTAGTGCTTTTCGACTTGTGCTCTATGTCTGGGAGATTAAGACTTCAATAAACTTTGTGTAAAGAAATATAAAAAACAAATGCGTATTCCCTCAAACCTATTCGCAAGTTAGGTTAATCGTGCCAGAGATTTCATCATCGGAAATGCAAAGATTAGTCTATTCTCCATTATGATTTTACTCCTCGTCAAAGTATAAGCATTCAGAGAAATATATTTTATTTGCCCTGCATGTGTCAAAGCTCTCGACTAAGGTAGGCTATGGTACAGGATAAAGGTGTAAGCTAAAAAAGTTTGTGTCCAGACCTGTAGCTGAAGCAAAATTATCTCGAGGGGGAAGGCTGAAAGAAAAGCAAGCCATCGTTGGCCTCACTTCCCTTTTCACTACTTTGCTAAACAGTGAATAAACAATAGTTTGGCAAAATGTTTGGAAGATCTCAGCCAATACCTAGCCCTAATTCTGATGGCACTGGTATCTGTATTCTCTTCCTTAATGGTTTATTCCCATATTTTATTCATTATTTCATGAATTACTTTACTTCTTAGTCAAAGAAAATTTTGCCGTCAAAAGTTAATTGGATTTTTTGTGAATGTGGTAAGATATAATCCTTTTGAACGTCCCTAACGTATTTGATGCATAATACCTTTCTGTGCATTCTGGTGCAAATCTAAGATTTGCTGAATCACATTCCAGCCAGCTGAATTGCTTTTTGGTCCATTCGTGTCAGCTTGGTTGGTGCTGTAGCTGTTGTTCATTGGGCAGTCTGATGCTGCCTGGCGCCCGTTCGCAGAAACACTCAACGGCGCAACGCAGTTGGTTGCGTAGGAATTTTGACCAGTTGTTAAGTATGCGCTGCACGTTTGAACTGAGGGGGATTTTTCATCAACATATCTTGTCTCTTCATCCAGTTGCACCTGTATATTGACGTCAGAGCTGCCTGACTCACAATATGGCGTGAGTTGGTCCGTTGAATCGCAAGCTGGTATTGGACTGCCAATGCGGCCAGAATTCCATATGCTTTTTGGGCCATTTGCCTCTATGCTGAGCAAAAGAAAGGTTATAGAAATGTTGTTATGAAATTCTTTATCGATGCTAACGCCTCAGGAAGAAGTTAATAACTATGCGGTGGATAGCACATGGAATACGTAGATACAAATCAAGCCATTGATTATTTGATCAGTTTTTCTTAACGAAACTGTATATCAAGAGAAGGTAGAGCAAACCACTTAGGCAGTCTCCATCTCATGAGTAATTATTCCCAGTAAACAAGTGCTACGGCTACGTCACAGGCAGTTCTATTTCCCCGAGTTTATATATAGACCAAATTATTTGAAAGGCGTGGTTTTCCCCAAATTATTCGAAGAACGAACATATGGATTCGTAAGATCTAGACTCCAATCTATTCCAATATGGTAAAGAATTCTTCACAATTTCTTCATAGTTTTATTACATTTGATAAAAAAATCGTTCGTGCTGAAAAAATCTGTTAATTGCAGCAAAGTTAACACTGCATCGAATTTTTCATGTACTAGATACATCAGCTGCAAAAATCAAAATATCATACATTGTTAATAATTTCAGAACAGGAAGGAAAAAACAAGACAAACGTTTTAGACATCGATGCTCTGAGATCATCTTGCTTTGCTGAACTGGTTAAGTTCGAGTTTTTCGGGCACTTATCCTCTCCTGGTAGATCTATGAAGGAGAACATAAAATTTGTATAACCTGCTATAAGTGAAAGACAGAAGTGCTATAAGTTAACACATTCAAGTTTGATTTTAAGTGACCCTAGGCTTCAGTGTCAATGAGGTTCTGAGAGTGACACAATTCTCCACTGAGTCCATCTTGAGATTCTTTTTTCGAGATTCTTTAAAACTAAACTAGAATGCAAAACAATTGCAACGATGTTTATCAAAAAACAGAATTGAAAGCTTTTTCCTTCATGCAAGATTTATTCGGAATACTGTTTACATTTTCATACTGCAAATATTTGTTGACCCAAGAGTATACAATTTTGAATGCATTTTAAGAATTGTTAAAATTGTATTTTCCGTTCTATCTAAATTTTTCTACAATTTGAATCTTTTAAGACTGGGAGACATAATTTCCCTTTTTTTTATAAGTTAATGATTGCTAGTTTTGGTAACATATAATTTGTCATTTTGCATGCCTCAGACAGATGAACATCCCACATCATTCCTCTACTTGCTTTGCATTCTATACATAAAAGCAGAATTGACTCGGGATAACTGGAGCAAAATCATGCTCTATTCAAAACAACAAAACAAACGATATTTGGAATTCAAACCTCGTTTTGCAACTTGATTTAAATATCTTTCGCAAATACGCTCAATGGTCGATTGATACAGAGGGCCATAAACAATCTCAGAAATACCATATTTCTTCCATAGTTCCTCTGAAACTAAGGTCATCAAAAAGGTCATTAAATTTTATCCAGCTGACAAGAGATGCTGAAGTCAAAATGTTTGTTACCATCATACATACAGTAAACCCCCTGCAGAAGAACCAAAGAATCTGTTTGGTTATTAACCATGCTATGCTTAAAGAACCTAAATTTGCTGAAAAACAATAAAAGTTTATTCTATAGCTTAAAAATCTGCTGTCACAAGGAATCACACATCAAACACACATTAAAATTCATCACCAGATTCACCATACAATATGCAAGAACTTTCTAAAGTTTACTGTTCCAAGGCCTTTGCCAGTGCCATTGTGACTTATATTAAAACATTTGACTGAACATTATCTCTTTAGATGAAGTATCATTTCTTCCGAATATCATATTTGCTACTTGGACTGAGAGAACTCCCCACTCCCCGTTCTAGCCCTTTATGAAACAGGTACCTACTTTTGTACGAAACTGCATGCTTCAAAGCCACAATGGGAGTCGCTTGGTTCGCATAAGCTGAGGACCTGTAAGCAACCTCTATTCGATTATCTACTGCAAAAACAAAAATCCATCCTGGAGCTGTACAATTGGTTGCTTAAAAGAATGAGTAGTTTTATTGATAAGCATGTAGCAGTAAGGTGAGTTGAGCGGAGTATCAACAAGCTGGACAAATCAAATTGGAACAAACTTGTACAACATCAACATCATTCAATTAAAAGACGGCTTTATCATTAATCCTGTTGACAAGACCGTTATTGTGAATAATATATGATAACAATAATAACAATAATATTATAACGAATCTTTATACAGGATGTACATTCCAACATAAAAATGCTGTTATCAATATATGTCCTGTAGAAAAAGAAAAGAAAGATAAAACCTTTATAAAAATCAATCGATCTTAGAAAGACTGAATCTTTCAAGCAATACGATGGACTGTTAAAGAAGCATTTTAGTTGAAAATTGTGATATTATAAGTGTGGATCCTTTAAATGCTGTAATTACTGCTAGGTTTTACAAGAGTTTGTATAGGTTTTTATCTTTCTTTTCTTTTTGAAGTGTCCGTTATTGCGATGTGTCCGTTATTGCGAGGTGTCCGTTATTGCGAGGTGTCCGTTATTGTGAAGTGTCCGTTATTGCGAGGTGCCCATTATTGTGAGGTATCCGTTACTGGGACGTACCTATAGTTAACACTGATGTCTTTCTGTATAGGATATGTTCACTGTAAAACCGAGGATCGGGATTCAAGGCTAGATGCTTCTAGTGAATGACGATAAATAACCTACCTTATAGCTAGCGATATTTTGAGAAGGCTGTCGACATAATCAACGTTCAAATCTATAATGATGAGAACGAAAGTTTTCACTGAAGCAATTCGGCATGCTGTGTCAGGAAAGCAATGGTTCACTTCAGGATTGTCGCAATAAAACATGGCTTGGTCCTCAATAAGACGCATTAGGCAAGCGTTCTTGCAGCTGCTTATCAACAGAATGGCCATGTCCTGCAATGGAATGAACTGGGGTATTAGTTTTAAATTAAAAGAGAGGCAGTGGCAAAGACCGCACACCACTCTAAAAGTTGAGGGGTTGAAATGGGTGTGATCGAAAATTTTTGAGGCCACGCCCTCTTGAACACCGGAAAAAGCCCCTTTTAGAAAATGCTTGCTTATTTCTATTGAATTTTTATAAAGAGTCTGGTTCAGAGAAGATATCAACAACTATAAAAATAGATGAAATTTGCTGGAGAGTAATAAAACACCAATCAAACCAAGTTAGAAAATACATCATAGCATTAAACAAGATGAAACACCTAGAAAAATAACAAAAATGATTCCCAGTCAACGAGAACTGCTACAACATAGGAGTAAACTATCCAAAGCTGCGTTAGAGTAAATCTTCAAAGAAATTTTCTAACCTATTATTGCAAAAAGTGGGTGGGCTACAGCCCCTGCTAGCCCATTGGGTGCGCAGTGCCTGGGCAATGAGCCCTTAAGGGGTGGGGTGTTAACGGTTGTCTTTTATGATGCAGAAATGGCACTTATGGTCAAAGCTATTTTCACTCTACCCCTTAATTTCATTCCCTCTTGTCATCACCAAATGAGTGTATGGCTCTTTAGACAGGGTAAACAGACGATGCCATCCTTCACCCTTTTTATCTTATCATTCAAAAGCAAAAAATCTCACCCCTTTCTTTTCTTTGCCAAAGATTTTATTTTCCCGCTTGCCATTCTCTTTGGCATCTTTTTCCCAGTTCTGTGAACTCTGACCACACGTATCGGCAGCACTATATTCCTGAAAGCCTTCGTTGTTTTCTGTGCCATCTTCTTGAAACAGTTTTCTTTTCACACCACTTTGCTCAACCTTCACAAAAGCATCGTCGTTTTTGTCGTTTTCCTGTCCTGGCTGTTGTGAGGTACTCAGCTCCATTTCTTCTTTGAACTTTTGTCTCTTCAATTTCCTGCCTCTCTGCATAAAAAGTACACATTACTTCTTATTCTAGGTAGCTTTTGGTGTTAGCAAACCTTATTCTGTATGGAAAGTATTGAATGCAACTTTAGCATCCTCAAGTCATTAAGTCAACAAGAATTAGAATATTTAGGTATAGATTAAGAAATATGATAAGTCTTTTTCATAAATTGTAATCATAAATTTCAAGAAAGAAATTTCTCCAAAAATCAAACCTTCCTTGAAATCTAAGAATAATCGAGCCAACGGAATGAAAAAAATACAAAAACATTTCACTTCTTAAGGATACCCATCAATTATTTTAGTTCATGTGCAACTCGTTATTAAATTCTATTTATAAAAAAACAAACTCAACTCGAAGCAAAATTGATTAAAAATTCAGTAAATATATGAATTTTTGGGAGAATAAGAAAAGCTTTCAGTGAGAAATACAGCAATAAGCTACCGATACTTGCAAGGTGAAAGCTAGCTTGGTCATCTAAACAAAGGCTTTGTACTGGAACAAATTCTCTGCTGGCGAGCCAGCTTTATAAAGAAACCTAACATTTCAAGCATTTACCTTGTGCAAAAAATTGGCTTATATCGATAGTAGTAAACTGTTTATTACAGATTGTAGCACTCGTCCCAATATTAGGATATTAGGAAAATTAATTGAAACAGGCCTAGCATAAGAGATTAACGACAAGAAAATGACGAAAGTTTTTCTACGCTCATGAAAACTTGTTTCCACACTTGAAGGTGCAAAATTACCGACAAAATAAGTGTAAACACAATTTTCGCTTACCTCTGTATCATGGGAAGGAATGGCAAACTTGTCCTGCAAGTTGTGGCCTTGTGTCCTCGTGAAACCTTGGAAGGAAAATGGAATTTCTGAAGCACATGGAACCTGTTGTCGCTTCGTTGCTCAGGTATGAAGAAACCCCCACTTGTATACGCGAGGCCACATTTGGGATGTGATTGGTCGAATAGGGGTGAAATTGGCATCTTCTTGTAACATGGGAGCACCAGCCGCGCGTGCAAACACAATGAATTCGAAGCATTGACTAAATCCCGAATTCTCTTGAGACATCTTCCCAAAATGGCATTCTCCCCTGAAAATTCTTCACTTCTCGCTATGATTGAATCTACAAATCACATGGTCATTAAGTTATCACTGATAAACATAAATATTTTCAAATGAATTTTGCATCTGGCCTGGTATTTGTACGCAAACAAGTTCCTGCAATTTCTTTTGCGAATAGTCAAGTGCATCCTTTAGCAGAGTGATTCCAACTTAAATTTTGGCAATAACTTGAAGTTTTGGCAGTTGAAGTATTGCATTACTTCATTTTACTTGAGGGCATTAGCTGCCCTTAAAACTTAAGAGGGGGTTAAAATTTTAGGCCCATTCGCTCTCAAAAGCAATGCAAATGGACTATGCTTGTTTTAAGACAGGCACAATCCCGTATAACAGGCAGAGAAATGACTAGAAAGTGTTGATTTGAACTGCTCAGAATAGACTTGTATGATGGCGTAAACAGGCATCAAGGTTTGCGATAGTGTGGTAGGAACATAGTTTGACAGGGAAGCCTCTTGCAAAAGCCAGAGATTTAGCAAAGTTTTACTTTTTAAAGCTTAAATTAACTGTTTTTTATCAGTACATTCCTATTTCTGCATTATTGTGACTCTGTGTGTAAGATTACACATGTGTCCTCTTTTAAGTTATTCAAGCGTTTCCTTGTTAGCTGCTCGCAAGACAGTATAGGGACAGTGGTAAGGATTTTGACGAAAAGGCTAAAGAAACAGAGGTCGGAGGGCATGGTGCTGTATGAAGACAATACTACTAGGACTAGGATTAACGAAACAGTGTGTAAGATTCGATGGTGACAACTTCTTTCATATATCTTTTGGAATTAAGAAAATTACTCTTTCTCCATATACTTATTCCGCTACCTCGAAACTTAACACTGAAAATGTCGCGAAGTTAAATAAAATTTACTGTCATAGTGTTGAGCAGTATCTTGTTTACTAAGCAGACTATCGACACAAGTATTGTGAGACCTTTTGACTTTCGACTAAAAATATCTGCCTGTTTCAAAGTCATTTTAGCCGTCAGAAAATATGTTTGATACTAATGCAGATTCATTCTATATATGATAACATTTAAGCCTCAACAAAAGAGTGAGAATTTACAATGAAAAACGTGTATATCGACTGAAAAGTTAAATTTCTTGCATCCACATTGAATGTTTACATGCATCAAAATGCTAGATTGAAACTTTTCTTTAACAAGTTATTCACCATATTCATCTCTGGTACTTGATACAATTCTGTATTCATTAAAGTGCAAAAAAGCTTCTATCACTAAAAAACCTTTGGGACAAAAGTTACTCTCTGTTGCAGCGACATGTCCATTGTCTGCAGACTTCTACTAGAGGTCATATATATTGCAGAGAAAAGAATTGGAAACAAGTTAATTTGCATTTAATTGTTGCTTCTCGTTGTTTGTTACTGCTAAAATGCTCCTTTACAAAATCATTCCGAAAGAAATGAAAAACAACTGAAAATGTCCGTGGTTAGCAGTTAATTGAATTTTATATATACTGCGGGTCTCGAGTTGACCTGCAGCCTCGTTTTGAGTAGAGCACCTTCCCAAGACTTACACGGATTTCCTTCTTTTCCAATCATTAAGCACACTTGCTCGATATTTCGTATCAAGCGGGATACATTCTTTTACAGTCAATATTTCAGGCTCGCTTAAGCGAAACATCTTGTTCAGCTCGATTACGAGAATTTTGCGAACTGTTACGTCCTTGTTTCGAGGGACTGGGTTGTTCGGAATCCGGCGTCCAACAACAACAGCAGTGTTCACAATTAAATGAGTTGCAGGGTTATAAGACGATATTTTCCCCAGCAATTTTCGTCTGTAATTGTTTGAGACACAGCACTTTAGCACCTCAGTTTTCCCTGAATATGTCGGCTGGAACTTTATTCCGTCTACTCTGCAATTTAAAAATTCATCTAACCGCTCCACCGAGGAGAATATAATAAAAAGGCAGCCGCGTCCTTTGGAAGCGAAGCCATCCCAAGCCCGTTTCGAAAGGTAATGTGTGACGTCAGTTTCTTGAAGAGTCTTTGATAACCGAGTCAGTTTTGCATCGATGCTGCCATAAAAGCATACTTGCATATGCTCCACTGAGTCTTCATTTTGGCATTTCGCCGAACAGTAATGCGTGAAACAAAAACTGCATGATTTAAACGCTACCTGAACTCGACCAAGCAAAAAGTCCGTTTTTCCACATCCTCTTTTTTGACACATGAAAGTCCGTTTCTGTTTCATTCTTGGAGGCTTCGGTGGGTAAAATGAACAGGTGCTGTAACGTCGCGGTTTGTCATCGCGCGGCGTGGCGAAAACCGCATCGTCCGCTGATTCGGAGTCACCATTTTGATACTCTGTTACCGTACTGGATGTCTCTGAGATGTACATCCGGTTGAATCCACGGTGACACGGACTTTCAGTGAAACTCCCAGCATCGGCGTGTACGAAAACATTGTTATTGTCGTTGAAACCAAGCAATCTTTCCACAACAGCTGAGCTTTTTACAATAGGGATCGGCTCCGAAATGTTGCGCTTTCGTTTCTCTTGCAAACTAAGTCTCCTAGAATCCCTTGCGCTGTTTGATTTTTGCCGCAGCCGTGGAAAACAGCCTTTATAACCAAAATATGTGAACATTTTCAGCACTGCAAATCTTTCAAGTCGCTATCAAGCAAATTGGCTACTTCCAGTCAAACGAGAGCTAGCTTTGTTTTTACGCACCAAGAAATACTTTCTTCACAACTTCACTACCTTGCTTTAAAGTTTCTTCGAAGTAACTAATAAAAATCTGGTTAGCCTTTCAAAATCCTCTTTATAAGGAAATCGCCCGTCGAATTAACCGGAAAATGTCTGTTTACGTCTGCGAACATTGTCTGCGAGTGGATGAATCACAAACAGCAGTTTACATCAAGTTTGCACAGTTATCGTGTAATGCAATCCGTCTAAGTTTCCAGGAATAACATGATTCCATCTTGGTTTGCGGTTGCTTGCAGCTCTGTATCTATTTTAGAAAGTAATTTCACATCACAATCGTTGTTGTGGTTTTCCTTCAAAGAAGTGTTTCGGACATCAACTTGCTACGACAGTGGTTTTGCTGAAGTCAAAACTTTTCCTAGGCTCTCCCACCGGCTTTGCAACATCAATACTTGTTTCTAATTCTGAAAGCGATTGACTTGGTTTCAACCACAGAATCAAACCACTGCAGCAAACCAGTAAAACGTTCTTTTTAGTCGCAAATTATAATTTGACCTGACTGCTGTAGACTTGTAATCCAACGCAAAGAATTTCACAACAATATTGTAGCTGTTAGGCCTATACGACTGCTAACTATGGGATTGCAAAGCAGCTGTCCCCGAGCCGAACAACACAAGAATTTGCATGCAAATGAACTCTAACAAGCTTGAACAATGGACAGGTGAATCAGTGACTAACATCAAGTTTCTATGAATCGTTTCTCCATCCAGGATTAGGACTTATATGGTCAGGTAAGATAACTTTGACGATGACAAACACGATGACGAATGCAAAACCAAACCTTTTGTTTCGAGACAGATAGTTACAATATGTTAAACCAAAAAATACTATGATGCCTCGACATTCAAACTTGATAAACTGTCTCCAGAAATATTGGTGAAGTTTTTTTTGTGCAGGTTACAGTGTGATATGTCCACAATCAATTTTAGTAGCAATTTTGTGAGTAGCAGGAGTAGCCATTGACAGCGTGTAAATAAGAACTTCGCCCTTTCATCCCAAATAAGAAAAAGCATGGTGTGCGATAAGGTCGGTGCATGGCTTTTCTTCAGCGAAAGGCAGACTAGAGTTGCATGTCATTTTTTACTTTTATATATTAACCAGTTTCAACTTTATTTGTACATTAATTAGTCAGTTGTAACAAAAACTATGAGCGAGTTTAAGACATCATATTTGTGTACCACAAGCCTCTTGTCTAGACCCTCTTGTTATTGGCCTAAACAACCAAATCCGTGGCAGAATTTAACATTTCGAGAGGTTTGGCAAAAGTACAGTGAATTTACTTCGTTTTTTGACTGGGTGAACTTTTCTCTTGTTTTCTTTTTGCGTTAAATATTTCGAGTCCTATCGAATATAATATTCCAATTTATATAATATTCCAAAATATAGTATTTTTTCTAAGATATAGTCGCAATGTACTTTGTTTACCTGAATCTAGAAAATGAAACTAACTTTCTTAACCGGCATGTAAGTAAAAAAAACAGAAAAGAATATTATCTATAGGCCTAACCAGATAACTTTTTATGATACGATATGCCTTTCAGAATATCAACTTCGTTGTTGGTTGTTGGAAAAACTTCTGACACAGAAAATTTGGATTTTCTATAAGATATTTTATTTTATTCCATAAAATGACGACGAGAATCAATACTTGGTCTCGTCGTCGTTTCACTTTTATCCTGCCTATTACCTTTCATCTAATTGCTCATTGAGAGATTCACGGAAAACGATTCGCGGGCAGCCTATCATGCGTTTGTTCCTTCCTACAAAATACTGCGGAAAGACTGCCAAAATCAACTAGAATATCTTGAAGGCCTGTAGAAGACTACGGTTCTTGGGGGTAAATTCGATACGATATATTCAATATACGTTTCCATGCATAAGACACCCGTGCTATCATTCATATACACATGAACTCTGCAGTGGCTCGATGTGTACTTTAAATCCCTTGGGAATCTATTGCCATAGTTCTAAGACATGTAAGTTTATACCCCATGGTCAATTAATGGAACTTTTTCTGAGATCTCCTCGGTGAAATTTTTATCAATATGACCCAAGGTACGTGTCTCAAAGGGGGCTGCACTTAGTAACAACAGTTTGAATATACACTATGGCTGCAGTAATTGTTTATTGGCATCAATCAGTCGAAACAAGTGAAAACTTGCCAGCTGACAAAACATTGTGCTCAGTTCTTGATACTTATTCGTTAGGACCAAAGAAAGACAAAAAAGATTTGCTTCAGCAATGAGAAATATTGAGTATTTAATGAGAATTTTTCAGCTGTGGGCTGTTACCTTTTCAAACATTCTTTACTCAATATTGGCATTAAAATTATCCGCAATTTCATTTCATGGCTTGTTCATTATTATAATGACATCAGCTCATTTTTATCGATTTCCCCTCGAAGTGAAGCTTAGAGAAAACAAGCTTTGAATTAGAAAATTTGTTATCTTCATCATGTATTTTGAACTTATAAAAATGAACATAATACTAAATTTATTACTTCTACAGCAATAATTCATTCTAAAATGTACCTCTTCGTGGGAACACTGAATCTACAGTTAAAACAATTAATTCAAACAATTTTACTCTCTTATTATTCAGCTGCATCTAAATATACATTAAATTGTGGATCTTTATTCAAATTATATTTACATTGATATTTCGACCTATTTGCTCACTTTGAGCTAAAAAGAAACAAAAATGACACAGAAACGTCAAAAGTCGCCCAATTTTGATTGAATATACAGGGTTTACATCGACTGCGACATCCCATGGCAACCCCAAAGATTAGACCGTTCGTGCAACAGCAGCAACTTATACTATTTGTAAAGTCACTATCCGTTTCTCTCAGGGAAATGGTAGCTCTAATTATTCACAGAGGGAGTACAAGAAATATTTAAAGCCTAAAAGTCATTTTTCTTTTAACAAAAGTATACAATGGGGCAAAACTTGAACCAAGCTTATTCCAGGTTCAGCCGAAAGCCTCGAGGTGGTGGACTATTAATCACTTTCTCTTATATTTATCTTTGGAAACAAAAGTTTTTGTATGTGAATTTTCTGCATCATAATTTCGAATTGACCAGTTATTACCACGGTTTGATAGTTAAACTTTTCTTAAAAATTACTTTTGACTACTTCATTCTTAAAACCAGACTTGAGAAAATACATTTCCAATTTATCTCTACAAAGTCAGGATTGTTCTCTACCAAGATCGCGTTTTCAACTCATTCCTCTACTTATCTTCACCTTTAGAACAAGGTCAAACAACCAGCACGGACTATGCTCTAATCTTCAGAATTTGGATGCGGCGAAGAACGTTTTGACTTGTGGCAACCCAGAGGTGGCACCATTTACGAAGCAATTTCCATCTCGGTACTCTTGCAGTTGATTTAGCTAGAATCACGTTGCCGATGGTCACGTTTCGCTTTCTCTCTCTAAAGTTGTTTCTATACTGATTTTCACATGACCGTTTGCTTCAGTGACACCACGCCCCTCTGGTCTTGCATATTCTCCATTAGCTTGTCTGTGGCCATATAATACAGAGAAGAGTCCACCATTTGAAACGTCACTCTGTAAGAATGACATTTATACATTAATCAAGGTGTAAGGTTGACTGATGTGTATATGAAAAAGAACGGTTTACCGCGGTATCTTCGAGACCAACTAGGCAGACCTGTACGCGCTATTGTGCGTGGAACAGGATGGTTATTATTAATTGCTATTCCTAGTTTCACGCTTCATGAGACCATCAGGCATTTTTAGGTGATGTGGAAACTAGGCAACAGTCTAATGCTGCATGGAAGCACAGGGCTGCTTTTATGAACGGTCCTTTCCCACACACCAAAGCATGACTGATATGTTTATATAATGAATATAGAATATATATAAGTTACAATTAAATGGTTAGAAAGTTCGGCTAAGTTTGCAGTTTGTCTAAGCTTGGAATTAACGTGGTGTTATACTAGAAGAGGCGCTAATTCATTGATAACAACATTCTATTATAGGCATTGAGATAACTTATTGCTGTGACGTCACAAGGAAAGACTAGGTCCATTTCCCCTGGATAGCCTAGAAACTAGCATAAATATTAATCAGCAACAAAGGGAAGCAAGTTGATTCAACGTTTATAGTGAAAGCAGCAAACATTACGCACCTGCATATATAAGTGCCTGTGTTTAACTCTGTGAATGATGTAAATCATAAACCCAAGAACCAGCGCTCCGAATATCCCAAAGATAACAGCCACAGCTAGCAATGCACCATCCAGCGTCTTAGACTTCTCATTTTGCACGGGCTTTTTGTTATCTCTAAAGAAAAAACAATTGAATCAGATCTGATAACTTAAGACTTTCAAAAGTATTCATAACATTCAGAAATATATTTATCTTTCACGTTTCTTTATTTCAGCATCAAAGTTATATCTCACTAAAGGGTTCTAATGTTAATTTAGCTTTTATTTTTGTTAATTTAACTCTCTATGTTCGCAGTCACATTCATTCTATTGTTGAATATTATCGTGGTTAATTCATGCAAAAGTGTGAGGTCAAATTGGCTCCTTGACAATGACTGTTTGCAATTTGAAACAGATAAGCCCAATCATTTTAAATGAGCCGCACATCTCCCCCTTGTGTGGAAATGTGTGGAAGGGTACAAACTGAAAATTTTAACTTACAACGGTTGGTTCGACGGGGGTGTATCCACGGTACCACCAGGCCAGACGATGTTCCTGAAAGAATAGAATGTATCTCCGTCAATAGGCAAAGGTTTTATAAACTAAAATTTTCACTCCATGAAAACAAACTGGTGTACCAGTGATAAGGTGTTGAGAATTCACCTCCGGGTAAGGAATAAGAAAATAGCCACTTGTGTCTTTTAGATGCCTGATAAATTGAGAATTTGCAACAAAGAAGCTAGCAATGAATTGTTAGGCAATTAAAACAAACCTTGTGAAGTGAAGCTTATTTGAGTGAAAGGAGCCGACTGTCACCCAGGATTCTCCCTGAAAGAAAGTTTTAACCTTCATCAACAGACACCTCAACTAGCATCTTTTACCAAATGAATTTAGCTTCTCATCTCAGAATTCAGGAATAATTTATTTGATTTCTCTAGTAAAATTAGGCTATAATAGTGAATTTCTTTTTGCACCGTAACAGTTTTAGCTGCATTGCTATTGACCAAATAAAGATTGCGCTTTCTAGAAATGTTTTGGGAATGTTTCATTTATCAATAATACACCTCTATATGCATTTATGGAAATGCACAATAAAATATTTCGAGACAGCATCTTTTGGGACATCCATAAAGCATACACATCAAAAATTCTGATTACAAAACCTCCAAGGTTTTCCTTGCTACAGGGTCATACGGGATATCTCTTGTCTACAAGTAGAAAAGAACTAGGCAAAAAGCTCCTGATCTTGATAGATCTTGATTGCCCATTTGGGCTTGTTATAAAAATTTTTGAGGTTTTACTCTCATGCTTTGACCTTTCCATCGCTCAGTACGCGGCCACCATGTCAAACATTTGGGGGGGGGGGGGGGGGGGGGGCAAGCCTATTGTTTTGAAAAGATGACATCATACCTTCCCATTGTTTTGAATAAAAGACCATTGTCCTCCAAAATACCGCCCCTCGCCTCCCCCAGGTGTCCGCCACTGCCTGATAGTTGTTCCATTTTATTTGCAAGTGAAATAATTTTTGTCTTGCAAAAGGTTTCAAAGGATACTTACGTTCAAATTAACCAGATCGTAATTTCCTGGTGCATCCTGGTTCGCATCGAAAAATGACACAGTGCCAGTTGTGCTTTCAAAACCAGAGTTTTTATCTTTCATCCTTTGAAGTTCTCTTGCCATCAGATTTCTTGCATCTTTACGTTTAGTTTTCTGCGGGAACGAACGGTTACATTGATAGTACAGTAGATAGAATTCAACATGACGAATATGTATGTGAAAATTCAATTATATATGTCAATAAAAAATGCATTTCGTAATGATGACGACTGGATGAAAAATTGTCTTACCACTGTGATTATTTTCTTTGAATGCAATCGATGAAGTGCTGTCGCAGGGGCAAGTAAGGCATCTAAAACTTGTGCCAGGTACGGTATCTATAGAAAAGTGAAGCTAATTGACTGATATGAATCTATCATTGCGAAATAAAAAGCATGAAATATAAGTGCATCTCTCTCTTGAAGATGCAGATTAAACTTGTGTCACTTAACCGCTTTTAAACGATAAAGAGAGCAAATTGCCTAAAAAATTTATATACAAATATATATATATCGAACAAGAGTAAGACTTAGGTACCAGTAAAAATATATTCGAGATGACTGCCGAATAGATTCGACCGTAGGTCGTAATCAAGGCAAACTCATTTATATATATATAGCTCTAAGCACGAAAAATTTCTACAGAATATGAATAGATACATCTATACACTCTCATTAGAATATTCTTGTCAATTGGATGTATTCTAATTGAAGGAAAGTCACCCGGCTAAAAAGATAACACCAATCTTTGCTTTGTCATGTGCGAATTCTATAAAGCGAAAAATCAATGCGCCAGGCAACTACGGATCCAAAATTATTCCTTTTTTACTGGAAGGTGTCCGCATATTGTTTCTTTGAGGATTGTTCGTTTAGGTCAGAATTGTTTGTCAATCATTTGGAGGTACCCGTTTCAAAAGGTACCGGTTTTCAAAGGTGTCCGTACTATACTGTCCCATAAATTTCGACTGTATTGCAGCAATCAGTCATAGAGCAAGAACAACTGATATATTGAAATGGCACCAAAATACCTTAGTTTGCTTGCTGGAGAACTTCCATTGCTTTATGACGTCTGAATACAAAGAGCCACGCCCAATCTTAGGCCTGAAACCAACCATTCCTTGCATCGCGTGCTGTAAATGCTGCGATCGGGTAAACGTTGACGAAACTGCACCATCAGAGCCAAGCCATGTCCAACCCTTTCCAGTCATTCCCTAAAACATCAAATCAGAGTTATTTTTTTGAAAACTGAAATAATGTATAGGAAAATGTATGAATTGTAGTTACATTATATGCATAAAAGCAGTCCCAAATGTCATCATAGATCATCGTTACAAACATTTGATGTCGTGATTACGGGACATTGTTCGTAAAAGCTTAGATTCCTGTAATTTCCATAGTGAGCCCCCTTCATAACGGACCTCACCCTACAAGTAGAAGAATTACCGTAAGCTGGATGATTTCTCGATAAGAGTTCCTTTAGCCAGATATTGTATTAAACTGTATTAAAGTTATCGTTGTTCTGTCTCAAGCATGGAGAAGGCTCTATAAATATACTATCAATATATATATAATAACAATGAGTGTAAGTAAATTATACCAGGAATAGAAAATAGATTAGATGAATAACGCCGTTTCAGGCATAGCCCGTTATCAAGAAGAAGGCTCCTCCGCAATTCAAGCCGTCTCAGGCTATAAGCAGGCTAAGCAGAAAGGTAGTCAAGGTAAATTGTTGAATCACTAAAAGGTCACCTGTTCAAAGGCTTCTTGAAAAACCCTTTCGGCATCTGACGGCTTGGTGATAATCAGGTTGACACCAGTCCCAGAGCTTTTGAGCTACGAAATGATAAAACGCCGGTTTACTGCCTCTTGCAAATCCCATTGCAAAAATGTAAAATGATGAAGCAGGAATTGCCATTCGGCATAACTTTTTCAAAAGCAATTTTATCTAATCTGCTCGCAGAAATAAAAAATTTCTGCATTATTTCAAATCTGTATATATATAATATTGATAAAAGTTTGTCTGCTTTTCATATCTCTAAGGCTAAAAGAAAGCAATTAAAGAATGGTTGAAAGTATTTCGATTGCAGACGCCTCATGATAACTTGAGTAGTCGCGAGTATCATCATCTTTAATGCACATCAAGAGTTTGATCAATACTTGTAAGATTCTTACCCCAAGAACGTGCTTTGTGATTCTTTCTGCTCTTCCCGGAAGAAAATCCTCAACAGCAGTCACAGATACGTCATTGTCTCTCATCTTCTCCGTGAAACCGTTAAGCAAGCCAGTTCCGTATAAGCTTTTCTCAGAAATAACTCCCAGCTTCTCCCACATAAGACTCTCTACTAGCGCATTCAATGCATTCACCTGCTCTGTGTCAGACGGGCACGTTCTAAATAGATAAGGATACGTCATCTTGTTGGACAATATGGACGCCGTTGCACCGTACGATATCACCGGAATGCCTCTGCGCTCTGCTTTGTGGTAGATTGCCGCTGTGCAGGAGGATCGAAATTCACCTATGATTAGGTCTATGTCATGTGGTAGTCCCTGCAAACAAAAATGTTTCTTAAACCTTACGTAGTAGCATACGCTAACTTGAAATGTTAACTGGATTTAAGATGAAGAGAAGATTGAAAACGAGACTAGCTAGAATCTCGCCGTTGCTAAGCTTGTTGTTTTCACATTTGACGTTTTGTAATAAAACTTTTCGAATAATCTTGAATATTTACCTGGGCAACAGCTGAACAACTTTTATCATCTTCCCCTCCATCGAATGATTCTAATTTGAATCCAACTGAAATCGTTTGGTTCTTGTTTATCCAATCAACTGCAGTCTGAAGCGCATTTTCCTATCAGAAAAACGAGAACAAATAATTCCTTGATAAAGAAAAAATAAACTATTTGCTTGCTTCACAAATGTTGTTAAACTAAAATTTGGCAATTTCAAGTGTGTGAGAAATGAACAGCCTGTATTCAGTAGCGGCGCCATGAGGGGACACTCCCCCCCCCTCCCTCCCCCCAGTTCTCGGCAACATCAATTTCGTATTTCGTCTAAATCCGATGGGAAAATGTTGGGGGAGGGGTAATATTTTGGCAACGTATTTTTTTTATGCCATCCTTTGTTTTTCAAACTGCCTTTACATAGCCAACAGTTAGTTATGGGCGTCCCTTTCAGACAAAATTGGCTTTCCTTCTTTGTAAAAGGTCGTTTTCTAGTTCTAAAAGAGCGTGGCCTAAATTATTTGTTCTGCCCCCCCCCACCAGAGCGTAGTGGCTGGCGCCGCCATTGCCTGTATACCATTAACTGTTGTATTTGGTTTTCCATTCACATAATTTTAATTCACTGTGATTCTACTTTTTTGTTGTTGGAAAACAACTGGCAAAGTTACTGAAACCTTTTGCTTCGTGTCTTCAAACATTTCTTACTTACCCAGATAAACCCAAGCTCTGAAAGTGGTCCAAGTTTGGCGTGTTTTGGGAAAAATGCAGCTATTTTGTATATATGCTTTCCTGAGCCAACAACAGGTACAGTTGTGCCTCCCGGAAAAATTGGATCTTGCGTGAACAATATGCGATCAATATGGCCAGAGTAACCTCCAATCGCTTTCCATTTAGATTCCTAGAACCAATGAAACTCGTGAATATGCTACAAAATATGCTAGCTTTAAAAAGAAAGAAATTAAATTTTGAATCTCGAAAAAACAAATTTTTGGGAGTGATAACATGAAGTGAGCCCAGAAGGAATTAAAAAGAAATTTCAGCCCATACCACTAAGTTGAGAACGTCGACAACAGGAGGTCCATCTTGGTTTTCATCAAAATACATGGATTTGGTTGCACTTGCACTTGGAAACCCTGTCGCAAGGTCTTTGAAAGTCTTCAGTTTTTGATAAAGCTTTAATCGAATGATCTTCTGTCTGGTGTGGTATGTTATGGCCTTCCTGGTTATCAGGTCTGATAGGGAGAGTGCAATTCCGTTCATTGCATCGTAGACTTGAGCGGCGTAAGGTAATGCTGATGGATTCTAAAAGAGATTACACCGTCCGTTACTGCAGGAATCGCATAGATATAAGCGGATTTCATTTGAGAAAGATATTAGTCAAGCATGAATATGTGTATCTGCAAAAGGAAGGGAGCTTTCAAAATCTATCTTCATAGGGCATCTGCTTTCACATTAAGTCTTGAAGTCGGAGCTAAGGCGTTGAGCACCCGTCTTCTGTGATACTTTGATAAAAAATACTTAACTGGCATGTCTTTTTTTTAACATGTGAAACAATAGTTCAGTTGCACCTAAGCTCGTACCTCTTGGCCAGTTCCTATCGAAAAAACATCTTATTGCAGAATTTACTTACAACCATTTCGTGCACTATTCCGGGATATTTTCTTGAATCTTTTTCCAGCCATTTTGAAAGAAAATTCAAGTACACACTGCCCTCCCCCGAAGCAGGACCGGTCCCTATGAAGCCATCCATTGCTTTTGCAAGCTCAGCATTGTCAGTTACCAACTTCGACGTCATCCCGCTTGTCACTAGCCACACCCATCCCTTCCCAGTCATCTTTGCTGTCACAATTTGTTGCAAAAGTGGAAGTGATTCAGGAACGAGGCTTGAGATGAGGTTTACCTGAGAACCATATTGTTGCACCTTGGGAAAAGATTGAAAAGAATGGTTACGAGGACGGCTGTTGTGGCGTTTCGAAAATGGTTATTGATTTCACATTGTTAAGTAGCACATCAAAAGCTTGAAGGTAAAATTTGTTGAGAAAATGCTTTCACAACTTCGAGCATCTCTTACCTTGTTAATGGCAGTTTGCAAAGTTTTTGCATCAGCTTTGAAAGGAATTTTCACAGAAACATCCACATCCAAGCTAGCATTCTTGAGAAACTTTTCAACTTTCTTTGAAGTTTCTAGTGAGGATATTTCTTCTGAGGCTATTGTCCCAATCTAAAATATTGTGAGCAATGTCATATGAAATGGGATTATTATAACGAGATGGTTCTAAAGTTCTACAAAGTTCTGAAGGCCTTAAAAGGATTCAGCTGTGTTAAGAAGTACGACAGTGGAAGTACAAAAACGATCACAGAAAGAAAGTCACCAGTAGCACAAGTCAAGCTTCTCGTAAAATGTAGGACACAAATAAATTCTCTAAGCGACGAAAATACGAAGAAGTAAAAACTTCTGCATCACTTAGCAATCGTCCATATTCTGGCTTATAAATAAAAATGTTTGTAATACGAAAAACCTATCAGTTACCCCATTAAATCCATATTTGGTAAAAATCTTCATCAGTGCTTTTGCCTCGTGGAAGTCTGATGCCACTGTTCTGAAGAAATAAGGGTACTTCTTCTTGTCAGAAAGGACGGAAGCCATCGAAGCATAGGAAATGACAGGCGTATTGCTTGATGCTGCAATGAAAGTTATGGATTAGCAGAGTTTCTAAAATTGCCAAAAGCTCGTTAATGGGATGCAAATGCTATCATTGAATAGAAATATTTGCAAAAGCTCTTTATTAACTTTGTGATAAATCATAATTGACGCTGTACTCTTGACAAGGGCGGGTAAAGGACAGTATAGTTCGTTACACCATACATGCACTGAATCAGATGTCAATTTTAGTCCAAATCTCGTTAAATAATGTATTAGCGACTGTATCCCGCTAAACAACTTAAGCAGCCCTGCTCATTTATAGGCTTAGTTGTATCTGATAGCGTACCTAGCACCTCTGAAACAACCATTGAGCAAGATGACCGAAATGCACCAACAACAGCAACAACATTGTATGCCAACAGATTTTCTGCGGCTGTTTTGCAGGACTGCATCCCATCAAGCCCTTCGTCCATGACCTTCAGATCGATTTCAACCTGTTGTTTCCTGTTCGTATTAATAATATCCACGGTGACTTTGGCTGCCGAAACCAGTTCCTGACCATGCTTAGCCAGGGGTCCAAGCCCAGCATGCAATGGGGCAATGAATCCAACTCTAAAAAGTGGTTTCCCTGGCGTCCCTCTTTCTGTAGGTGTTTTGCGTGTTCTTCCTGGCCACAAGATTCTACCGCTTGGGATGTTCAATCCCACTGATGTTTCATTCCACGATCCGACGTTGACCAATGACTTATCCTAATTAAAAACAGATTCGCAAACGTTAGAGATAAAGGACGAAACTGAATAACCTGCTTGTCCTTGAAAAGCACGCCAGCTTAACATGAAACTTGATACAAAAAACGATGCCATTTCTTGAACTTGCTTTGGAAGATGTTTCAATGCCACCAGTATCAAAGTGGGATGAAGTACAAACGTTGCTAACTTTAAACCGAAATAGATTGGCTCAAAGATATTACTCACAACAAAATTGACAACGTCAAGTGAAGCTGGGACATCAAATGTATTCCCTTCCACGTCAAAGAAAATCTTTCCACCTGAAAAAAAAATTCAAAGATAACAGTCGCTAATACATTATTTAACGAGTTCTTCAGTATCCATTCCATTATCCATATTAAGCTTGATTGATTGAGCACCTAGCGTGTTTATGCTGTCTAAGAACTGAATGCAAAAAACCAGATTTTGTTATTGTTGATATTTGATGGTGACATCAAGGGTACAGACACCCCATATTGAGGGTGAAATGAAAGGTACAAACTGATAAAGCATGCTTGGTAACCATTTAATCAAGTGGCTGCAACATCAATGCATCAAATTGAAATCCTCACAAACTTAAACATAAATAATCGTGGAAAGAAGAGAATAAGAAAATTTTCTATAAGTTTTCATCTAAAATTGACAAGCAGTGGCATTTATAGAGACTAAACCAACAGTCAAAGAATGAACATTTGATCACATGACAAAAGCTACCTGCAATGCTGTGAATGCCACTTGACCAATCTTTGAAGGACTTCAACTCTTCAAGTACTGCCAACCTTGCGTCAGAGCTGGACGTATTCTTTGATAAGGACATTGAACGTGATTAATTTTACAAGGAACCGAAATTTAATTGCAATCTTTCTATATGTTATCTAGCATTCTAATATTTCAAATAATTTCAATCTTTCTATTTTCGTCCGTTATAATAGAAGTACAGGAGAATCCAAAGAAAAGCAGATTTTTTAAAAGGTAATGTTTTTTAAAATGTATTGTCCAGATAACAATTTATAAACAGAACTGATAGGTAATAACAAAAGTTGATGAATTCAGATAAACAGGAAAGGAATTTAGTTGAAGCTGCAAGAAAGAAACGCACCTTAGATAATGTTCCCTTTTTTACAAGGCTGTCCAAAGCTTTGTAGTAAAACCAAACAGCGTCAAACACTTGAGCGTCGTAAGGGCTTATTCCCGGTAACTACAAAGTAAAACAAGTAATTTCGTTGATAACGCAACTGGAAAAGCCAGAAAATTCTATATGTCACCATTACTTGGTAATATGGAAAAGTTTTAATATATTAAACATTGAAATATCTCAAACTTCCCGAATAAAAAATTCAAAAAGGACATACATCAAGTCGATATCCTTGTTCTAGGACGTGGCACCGAAGGGGATGGGGTGGCACCCAGTTTGTCGCAAGTTGGTCAGAGAATATTCAGATGGTCCTTTAAATCGTTAGCTTCTAGGCAAAATCACCTATCGGTTGGGGAAATAAAAAATCTGAAATTTTTCTTTATCTATGTCTTCATCAGTGACTTTTACTATTGATGAACCCGAGGGGCAATTCACTCTTGCAAATAGCGTACGCGATTTTCCCTAAAACAAAAGGATTTCCAGGGATTTTCAGACAAAACAATAGGTTTCTCACAAAAAGTGTACGAGATTTTCTTGGAGTGATTTGCCCCTCGGATGAATCTCCACCCCTCGAATCTGGAGGGTCAAGGTATGTCAGCACCGATTACAGGTTGAAAAATCAATCATAACAGCATCATTGAAGAAAGTCTTGCGAGACTGATTATGTACCTTCAGTTTCCAAAGGACGCCAGGAAAGGCTTCGGTTGACTTTCCAAACCAGCTCATTATTAAAGTAAGTAAGCTTTCTCCGGTTGGAGCTAAAACATAACAAAAACAAAAATTGGAAAAAGTGTCTCGCTATAATCATTCGAGTATCGTTTATCAGCGTTAATTCTATTTTAAAAATTAATCAGCAAGAAATTTTTAGCATCTCCACCTTAGATATCAATAAAAAAGACTTTCTGGAAGAATTCGAAGTCTGGATATGCTCAGAAATTTTTCTCTAAAATTTAGAGTTGATATAAACTCACTTTTAGGCGATACGGCAATCATGCCATCTGCAGCCTTGCTCGTTTCGGTATCAGCATGCAGCAACGAGGCTGCAATACCATCACTCCCAATCCAAACCCATCCTTCACCAGTCATTTTCTGCCAATGCAACAAAAAACGATGATTGGTAACTCAGACTTTTGTTTACTTATTTAAAAAAATATTGTTTACAATTTAAGGCATTAATAAACCATACTTGTTTGGTCATAAACAACTTACTTACCTTTAACTTAGCTCTCTTTATGACTCTCAAGGCATCGTCTCCAATTGCAAGCAATATGTTAATTCTGGTTTCTGCACTTTTCAACTGAAAGAAAAACATCCATGAAAACGTTTACATATGGTCAAAAACCTGGAAAAAACGGCAAGTGTCAATCCATTTCTACAGAGTAACTTGATTATCACGTTTAAGCAGGAAACGCGGAGAAGCAATTTAATACCCTCTTGTAATACACACAAAATCGTGTACACTCTGCCACAGTCCTTCTAATTGTAATCTTCACAGAATCAATTTTAAAATACATTAGTGTCGTACGCACAGTACGTACAGTCAGTCAGGCCTTTTTAAAAGAGTTTCACCTATAGGCCAACTGACCAATGTGTTTATCTCTGTGTAAGGTCATTTGTGACTACTTCCAGATATCAATCAACATGGTTGTTTGCAGACTAAATTATACAACTGAATGAGCTACGTTTATTCTAGTAACAAACATTTTTAGCTTCTAAAAATCATAAAAAGCGACAATTTTCAGATTCAAAAAGGAATTACCTTCTGAAGCCTGTCATCAATGACTCTATCTGAATCACCTGGTTTGAACGTGATTGATTCAGCAAGCATGATTCCATAATCGTGCAATCGTGATCTGATCTCGTCAGTCAAAATCTCACCCTGCGCGTCATTCATGCCAAAAAGACCAACCTTAGAAATATGACACGAATAATAAGAAAAAGATGACACACGTTTTTGTATTATGATAGGCAAGTTGGGCCAAAAAGTCATACTCTTAAAAGGTGATAAAAATACTAAGCTAGTATTAGTCATTAAAAGTGTATAATCCACAAAACATAAAAAGAATAAACCATTTATGAAAAACATTCTCAATACCTTTCTCCATCTGAAATTTTTGACTATATCCGCAAGGGCCTGGGCTTGACTTTCGTCACTAAATGAAGTTCTAAACAAAGTCGGATACTGAAATTTGTCAGTGAGTTTTCTAAGCGTTGACTTGTAGGAGATCTGTGATAACTTTGCTCCTGAAAATGCAGAAGATGGTATATGAAGTTATTTTTTGATAAAAAACGGAGATTTGTGAGTCAGAGAAAAAGACAGGATTTGGTTAAAAGCAACAGTCATACGAAGGATTCTATAGACAAATTGGAAATCCTTTGTAAGAATCATTGCGCTTTGCCTGATTGTAGAAAAAAATGTTAGTAGAATACATTAAAATCGTGTGAAAGTTTTTATCACGATGAATTAACTTCAGAGAATGTTCCCACCTGAAATTTTGATTTGCTTTTGCATGATCTTCGAACAAGCTGACGTCATTGCACCGACGATGCCAACAATTCGCGAGTTATTTATCAACCTTTTGCTGGCCTTACTGCAGTCATTTTCGTCGAGTATGAGTTCTAGGAAAAAAGAATAAAACGCTTTGAACATTCGTTTAAACCTTGCAAAGACTTTTCATAAAGAGAGAAATAAAGCCAGAAAACATTGCAAACAACAAAGGATGGCAATAAAGGCCAACGAAAACAAATGAAACTTCAGAGGAACACCCAAACCAGGGCACGTTTTCATTGTTTCCTTGGGACACTTTCACTTTTCTGGACTCTGCTATAGCACTGTCACCGAATGAATGTAACAAAGCGGAAATGCTTGATTATAGTAGAAGAAATGTCGGAATCAGGGTTAAAGTAGCATCCTGCCATGTAGTTGCAAAATCAGAAACATTTCGTCTCTTCATAGTCCATATATAACCTGTTTATCCCGTTTGCTATTTAGGTCATATATAAACAAAGAAAACAACTAAATGTTTAGGAAAAAAGATGAAACAGCAGTAAAAGATCTGAATAAAAATCTGTATTAAGAAGATAGCGTACAAAATGGGAATTTTTGATAAAAAATTAACCAAACCTTTGAAATTTTCTGATAATCTAACAGGGCTCTTTTTTGCTACAGCATCTTTGTTTACTTCCTCCACAGCCAGCTTGTAAACAGATACCTTAAAGTGAAAGAAGAGTATGAGAGCGTAAAACTAAATGAGAAGAAATGATTCTTCTTTAATGGAGAAACAAACGTCTTTCTTGGAAATATCATTTGACAAATTTTTTTTTTTGAGGCAAAACTCGTAATAACATTTTACCGATGGGTCAGATAAAACCGAATGTAGGCCTATCACTTAAGAATATCAATATTTTCAAATACTCATAATTTGCCACTAGAAAAAGAAGAACTTGAAGAACTACGGCAGATAAAATCTGTGGACAGCAGTGTCCTTTATCTTACTTCCACTGATACTGTTATTCTACATAATTCCATACAGACATATTATAATATAATTTTATTAGATTTAAAATCATTCTACCGTAGGAAACGTTATGGTTTTCACAGATCTACGATCAAAGACTATTTGAAAGGCGTGAATATAGTTCAACTTAGCCTACAACCTATAACTTTCCTACAACCTAACAACTTTCACTAATAACAATATTTGTTTAAGCATAACAACCAAAAGCATTTTCTGACTAGCATCTTAGAGATCTCTTTTCAAACGTCACGGAATATTGATAAAAATTTATTCTTACGATAGCATGCTGCCGATGAACCCTTTAATTATCTACCCTAAACATACTTCAATGAACAAAGAGAGTCTGGTATCCAGAGTGCTCTATACACATCTCTACAGAAAAATTTCCTTTTGAAAAACAGCACTGAACTGCCCTTCAACATCAATAATAAGTTTCAAAAACTCAATTTGCACGTGAACATTATTCAAGGGAATGAAAAAGCCGTCTTTAAAATTGTAATATATATCATGATTGTTACATTGGTTTAGTTTCCAACAAAGAAAACGAGCAGTGCAAACAAGGCTAACCATTTCCTTTCCTAGGCTGGAGAGCGTGGCGTCCGATGAATTCCAAAGTGATACAAATCCAACATCAAAGGTCAAGGTGCTTTTGCTTGTATTTACTGCAAGAAGACAATGTTTACTTATTTTAGTGATGTTCATCAATTACCAAGAAACAGCACGCGGTCAGGTAAGTAATCATTGACAAACATTTTGACAACAATTTCCTTGAGACCAGCTACAAAATAAATGACACTATTATACCGAGCAGCTTTTAAGATAAATTAATGTATCCAAACTTGAGCTACAGTCTGAAGGTTTTAATCGATGCTCCAATATATTTTGGGTTCTATCAGGAGAGCTTTGCACGAAAATAAGGCACTTCAGATGGGCCTAGGCCTAATTTGATGTATTTAAGTAAAGAAGCCCCTACTGAACTAGATATTAACAACAAATGCCTTTGGTTTCCCTATGTTTCTGTACGTTCTAGCCTTTTACCGTAAAAGCTCTATTAAGCCCCCGGGGGGGAGGGGCTTATTTATTGTTTTTAGTCCTAGAGGGGGGCTTATTAAAAATTTGAAGCAAAAAAAGTTTGAGAATACCCTTTGCAATTTTTTGTTATGAAAATGTCATAGAAACTTTCTCAAAAAACTTTGCTAGCAGCTTTGAAAGTTTAATCAATCAATAATAAGGTCATCATCTTCATCAACATCACCAGGATCATTTGATAACCACCCCTTGGACATCTTAAAAACAAACGTCGACTGACTACTGAGTCGCCCAAGATAGTCTTTATATAGGCCGTATTTAATGCACATGATCTTATCATCAAGAGACCCACTAAATGTGCATGATTTCTATGTTTGACATCAAAGGCTAAAGAGGGGGGGCTTAATAGAGAGGGGGGCTAATTCAAAGTTGTTGCTTGATAAGGGGGTACTTAATAGAGAGGGGCTTAATAGAGAGGGGAGCTTAATAGACCTTTTACGGTATTTCTATAGAGAAGGCAAATTCTGAGTTGTCTCTTCCTCGCACAAGATCACGTCACTTGTACCCAGGACCACAACAGCCCACTTTTCCAAATTAATCTTGGTTTTGCTTCTCTACTTTTTTAGCTCATTTTATCTCCACCAAAGTAATATAAGCAATTTAGAATGTTAGAATGGAAAAAATAAATTTAAGTAGGTCTTGTTTCAGAGACAGGCCATAATCATCCATCATATCATTAAAGAAATAGAAAACGATATAAAGAGTCTTTAAAAAGAATGACATATGACATTTCTGAACGATTAAGCTATCAGGTGAAATGCCAAAGTGTTATATATTTTACAAAACGTAAAATGGATTGAACGAAGCGAACAATGGTTCTGATGCAAACAATGAACAAACGAGTTCTAGCTTGTTTGATAGCTTCTCGTGAAAAGGGTGACAAATCAAAGAGGAAAAAACCACATTTGAAAAAAGCAAACACGCTAATTTTACACACAATACTTTTACCGAAATTTACCGAGCCTCGCTCGGTCGGTTATTTTCCTGCACTATCTATTAGTTACCGAAATATTATTTGACAAAAGCAAAATGTTGCAAATTCAGTTCTTTTGAACCATTTGCGAAATAGCCTCAGCACTACATGTAGCAAATTCGCACAGAAGTAGTTGTCAGTGACAGAAAAATCGAACAGCTACATTCCAGAACATTTTATCAGAAAAATTGCGTTTAAATGATCCTTTTAATTGAACCGTTGGAATATTTAGTTTACTTTTTCATACCAGGTGGCTCGACTTGCTTGGCAATTTTATAAAACTATCATATTAGGTAGCTCTGAATTTGGGCGTTATAAGGCTACGTCTAGTTTTGAATCTGACGTTGTGTTGTTTTGTCAATCCTAAATAATTTTAAGAGCTGAGGATTTTGTTATTTCTAGAAAATAGCATTAAAATCTAAAATACTCTCGCATACTAATACAATTCTAACAGATAAACAGGCTGGTAGGGTTCATATTTCAAGGAAACAATTCAAAGATGGCCAAGATAGGAAGGCACAATATGTCTCATAAAAAGGTGGTGCACTTGGGCACATGCCCCTAGCTCTCCTGGTTCTGAAGTCCCGGCAAAGTCCTCAAAATATTTCTTCGGGTCAGCAATGTTGTCCCCTTTTTACTCCCATCAATGGTTCCCTTTCTACTCTCATTGCTCGTTTCGCTCCCTTGAGTTTCTTCCTGGCTGCTTGCTTGGAGGGATTTTCTTACGAATAGCTATATCACACTGGCTTCTGATTTATCAAGTGAAGGAATGAACTTCATTGCTGAAGAGCACTATAGTACACACTTATTGAAAATCGCTGGAGGCATTTGCAATCTGCTGACAGAAGAATGCCTGTACCAGCTTCCTGAATTTGTCATCCTTTCGGCCCTATTGCTTTGACCTGGAATAATATCGCTTTCACAGGATGTTGAAAACCTGTGCTGAGACCCACCAGTAGTTGCTGAATAATTTTGAGCCCTGAAGAGGCACAAGCATGCAAAATCTAAATGAATTTAATACAGATTTTTATTCAGATCTTTTATAAAATGCTACTTCTAAAGCATTGATGAACGTTTTCAACGAGCCTTGGCAACTTTTTTGATTCTAGGAACCAAACAGGTGGAGCATGCTTTTCGTCAGGGCCTATTTTAGTGTACAGTATTACAAACTGTGTGCAGTATTGATTTCGAAAATGTGCAGTATTGAATTATTGGATTTGTGAAAATGTCTATTTGCGGCCACCCCAGATTCCTGCTTTGTTCACAAAATGCGAATTTTCCTCGTCAGTTCGATATAGAGGTCATGTATTGTAAATCTCGTTTGACCATCGGAAAGACTCTCTTATCAAAACCTAAAACAAAACGAAATGTCCAGAACCAAAAACAAAATATCTACTTGTAAATGTCTGCATTGCTGTAAATTTCGTAATTTGATCTTGTCGAAGACAAAACATTCAGTAACAATTTATCAGTTGACCTGGGCATCTAGCAGAAGCTCACTTAACTTAACAAAAAGAAAGATAAAGAGCCTAAAAAAACTTTTTTGTTTTACTGTCCAGACAAAACATGAGATAGTGACTCTGATTACAAGAGATAAATGACTATGTTTTTCTATTCAAGTTTTGTAGCTATTGCTTGTTTTGTTGCTGTTTTGAGATCTTATCGTTGATTGTGTATATTATCGTCTATCTGTTTGTGATTTCTGCGTCATGGCCTATACACGTGTTCAAAATTTGGGGTATTTCCTCGCTACGCTTGCAAGGCTAAGACACCTGGGGTTTGCAAGGGTTTGCACTGATTGCAACAGAAAAATTTCTTATAAAAAATAGAATTATAAATATGAAGCATTAAAAATTTCTCAAAATAGGCCCTGCTATTCGTTTCAGAAAACCTTTGCAAATTACTGTTCACATATAAGACATCTCTTGTTAAATTCACTTATATACAGCTACAAATAGAAGCATTTTGGGCAGCTGTCTTGAACAAACCGGTTTTTAAGTTGTGATACAATGCATTTAAGCGATCCATAATGACATATGGCTTTCTAAAGTAACACATTGACCTTCCTCGTAGAAATAAATTTTGTAATGCCCAACCCAGCTCCTTAAGAGGTTCTAACAACTGTGGCTATATGTTTGTTTTCAAGTAAATGATGAATTGATGACAAAGCGAAAGAATACTTTGGTGTGCATGAATACCAAAGTGGTGATCAAGTGGCACTTAGTCCAAGTCGGGTCTGATTGCTGCATTGAGTCAGTTTGACATACGAATTAGTTAGATTGTATTACAACCATTGCAGAGAGTTCTCGACATAAGAAACGTGTCTGGATTTTCAGCTAGTCGTAGAGCTCCTTTTAAAGTTTTTAGGCCAAAATGTTGCCCAGTCATGGGAATAACATGCCCCTGATTTTGACTCACTGTTTACAAACTCTTATGACTGTAGCGAGTCTTATTTGCAATTCTGATGATGAGAATGGACCTATATATAGCCACACCCTCTATCATTGGCCTAAGCAACATTTTAGGGATGAATATTCAACTTTTAATTAAGATTTGGTCTTCCCTGCAGCCTAGGCCCTTTCCATCCTGCAGCCTAGGCCTATTATCCTGGAAAAGGAATGCTAAGCGAACAGAACACCAAGAAACTCTCTAGGATGATATTTCATCAAAAATAATAGAAAATCGCTTGATGGATATGAAGGTAAATCGATTTTGCTATGATTTGAAACGGAAGAAAAATGTTCTACCCCCGCAAAAATCGAAATAGCATGAAAGCAGCCACTCCCTTCGGAAAACGTCGTGTTTTGCTACGAATGAGTCATTTAAATAGCATTTTGGCAGGAATAAATCGGTAGCATTTCTTTATTTCTAATTGATCATTTACCAATATGAGAGTTTGCAAAGAGATGACCGAAAAATGAAAAAAATGTTACCGTGGAACCTTATCTGTTACCTTGTCCACACATCAAAATGTAAAAAACATTTTTTTAACAAATTTATACATTCATATATCCATAAATTTGTTAATTGATCGGAACATATGGTATACACTCTTTTTTATAAGAACAATGATATAAGAACATGAGACTCCAAATTGATCAAAAGTTAAGAAAAAATTAAGAAAAAGCTGAGGCTGAGCTTTTGCAAAATACAATTTGGAACAACATTTTTTCTCAAAATCGAGGATTTTTGGCGATGGGTGGGTGCTTTTTCGATGAATATTCAAATTTGTCAGCAAATTAAGGCTGTTTTACTCACTTCCTTACACCTCCTTAGAGCGAAAAAGCTAGCAATCGCACTGCTTGGATCCTATTAGATTAAGAACAAATTAAGAACAATGCAGCCTCAGATTTTCGACAAAATTAAGAACAGTCAGCCTGAACTTAAATTTACTGGTTCTTATAAACCGAAGAATGTACAGTATCAACAAGAGACTGATAAAAACGTAAGGTTCTGAAAATTTAAGATAAAATCTTCGGTTTTCCAGAGTCTAGAGCACCACTCTGATTGAGATTTCTCACAAAGATGCTTTGTTCCTTAAAATCAAACATTCATATCACTGTCGAACTATTAAATGAACTTTGTTGAGTTATTGATCGAATAAAGAGAGGATTGCTAAACAGTAAATTTGTCGAAACATTCTCAAGCTCACATTAGAAAGCAAGGCCAAAATGGCGGATTGAAGTCTGACATGTGCCTCTCGGAAAAAAAAGCTTGAACGCTGTCGCGTGAGTTGGGTGAAGGAATTCTTTTGGCTAATCTGTGGCTCGAGATGGTGTTAGTATCAGTTTCTTCCTTGGCTATCATAAGTGATTCACTAATGCCAAGCTGTGTTTGTCTCATCCATCAGCGTCAACAAAAGTAAACGAGGAAAAGCGCAGACAATGCTCGCCAAACAATAAACGACAGCAAATAATCAATCATGGTCATTGCTAGATTCCTTCTCAAAAACGTGTGAAAAAGCAATTGTAAAGACTCGTTGTTTAACTAAAGTCTACCGTAACACTTCGAATTTAACTACTTTAATCACATTCTTAAAAATGCCTTTTATTAAACCGATCAACACAAGAGCAAGGAAGTTCGGGGAAACGCTTTCGACTTTCCTAGCTTTAGTTATTCTGCCTCTCCGTATTCAAACATGATTAGCATCAAAGTGCCACGAATACCTTATTCTTGGTATCAAGAAAATCTAGTAGATTGAAGCACTCGAATCTTTAAGTGTGTGTTGAAATGGACCTACAAAGTCGAGGTTCACCTATCAACAACACCTTGATATTGTGAAAGAAGATGCCATTTGTCTGTGGTACAAAAGCAGCAAGTTGGAGGGACAACTTTTGAAAACAAAATGAAGAAACAAACCCTTAAAATCAGATAGACCTTGTAGCCAAGTTAGAGATACTTTTCATCTCCGAAGATTTGTTGTGATTAAAACCCGCTTTCATTATTCAACTCCCAACTCCAGTAAAGTTTCCCAACAACTTTAGTAAATCAGCTCTAGATTTAAGACCTTAAATTTTATATGACTTTGTGGCTTCGACTCGACGTGACTTTCCAGATAACTGCACGATAAAGTTGTAAATTATCTCACATTTAATCTTCACACTGCAGGAGTGTCACTTAAAAAAACAATTCCATACTCACCGATTATAGAATTTGAAATGACTGCTAACCACAGGACAGAGATTGTCCTTGTTGCCATTTTAGTTTAATATCTCGCAGAACTTAGATTTACAACTTTGTGATACCTCTTCAGAATGATCAACAATGTGCTATGTTATGATGCATTCCATTGGCTTATACCTGACAAGTGCGAATGCCATTTAATGGGTGTATGTACCTGAATTTAGAATGCATTTCATATGGGCATTAACCACGGGTTGTTGTCGTTCGCACTTTCCACATTCGACGCGGGGCTCTTTGTCTTCTACCGCGAACATCAAACTTTGTTTTCCGTCAAAATTTGATGAATGACTCGTTGACAAGTATTATCAAAGTCTGAACTCATAGGGGTTCCATGCCTGTTTTCACGGCCAGGTTTTCACACGAATTTCTATGCAAGAGAAGGGAGACAAATTATAAGAGTATCTGGGGAGAGGGTGATTAACTTGATAAGGGAAAGCTAAGACCCTGTGTTTTTAAGGCATTCTCTGAGAATGGCGTTTTTCTAGGGCCTTTTTAATGGTTCTTCAAGATTTTTGTGTCATTTTCTGTCACGGTCATTACTACACTCTTTGCTATAAGAACACGAGCCTCAAAATTGGTCAAAAGTTAAGAACAAATTAAGAACAAGCCGAGGCTGAGCTTCTGCAAAATGGAATTTTGAACAACGTTTTTTCACAAAATCGAGGGGTTTTAGCGATGTGTGGGTGCTTTTTCGTCAAATATTCAAACCTGTTAGCAAATGAAAGTTGTCTCGCTCACTTTGTTGGCAAATAAGGCCTGAACACCTCCCTATAGCGAAAAAGCTAGCACTCGCGCGGCTTACACCCTATTAGATTAAGAACAAATTAAGAACAATCCAGCCTCAGATTTTCTAAAAAATTAAGAACAGTCAACCCGAACTTAAATTTACTGGTTTTTATAAAAAAGGAGTATAATATGTCGAAGTAATAACAAATTCAAGAAAATGAAACATCATATCATAATGTAAGAAAGATTTGTTTAGATTACATCGGATTTTTAGGCGTTTCCTTTTTTCATGACGTAGATGAGGTCTGCTAAGTGGATTACAAATTGCAGACACTAAAAGAATTGATCTTGCTGTAAGTGGATGATTTTGTGTTCTGTCAACAAGAAATATTTGGTATTTCACAGAGGGTCATTTTGGAAAGTCCAGAGAAGAAAAATCTCCAACTCATGGCTGAAAGTTTATTAATATCATGTTTGACTGGATTAGGGTTTAAAATTAGCCAGAATTTTTAATTGTTTGTTAGCTTAGTTGAATTTCGCGATATGAATTCAGCTAAAATGCCTTTTATCATTTAGGCCGAAGAGAAATTAAATTTTAAAAATGATGAGGAATATCTTCGCAGTAAAGATTAATGAAAGGCAAATCACGTACAATTTTGTAACGGAAAACGCAGCGTAAACTCTGAGGAGGCGGACGCTATCCCTTATCAACTGTGAATACACCACAGCCTCCTGTTATTAGCTATCGCTGCGGGGCATTCTTGAAAAATCTGGCTAATCTAATCCAAAAAGGTAAAACTGTCAGCGAAACATGCAATGCCTAATTTTTGGACGAAATCGAATTTTGTCTTTCACAAAAAAGAAGCGTATTGGAGATTTTGCCCCAAAAGAAATTCGTTATTTTCGACAGATGGTCAGTTCATTGGCAGCCAGGACAGTCAATCACATTCTTCCTGAATCACTAATTAAAAATCGACGCCTTCGCGCGGCACTTGTAAGGCAAAATTAACAGTTCGACTCTTGACATGACAGCCCGTCTGGTCTTGATTGCATCATGGTCTAAATAGGTTTGCCTTCTTCTTTGTATGGGCAACTTGTGTTTGATCAAGGATGAAAACGAGACTAACTGCAAATCAGGATGCTGTTTATGGAGACGTCAACATTGCATCAGAGACACACGTCCTAAGGGTAGACGGGGTGACTCTCCCTTTCCCCGAAACGATATTAAGTCGACCCATCATCATCATCATCATCATCAGCATCAGCAGCATCATCATCATCATTATCATCATCATCATCATCATCATCAGCATCAGCAGCATCATTAGCATCATAATCATCAATTGAATTAACTAAAGTACAATTTAATACTTAAAAAAGCTCTTTACATCTAACTGACAAATTAGAGATATTTGCGCAAACGTGGAAAAAAAGCTTTAAAAGGTTGGTATCAAGGAACTGTGAGAACCACAACGACGAGAACCGGCTCAGAACCAGTCTGAAATCTTAAATATGCAATTGCAAAAGTTGTCAGAAAGACAAGCCACACCCTTATTTGCGGGTTTCGCCCAAAGGTTTCTGAATAAAGCCTTGGAGGTAGAGAAGGTAGTTCAGGCGGATCAAAAGATTATTAGAATTAAATCTGGTTTTACATATACCAGGGCGAGGCCAGCGCATCGTTTTGGCCGAAGTACTCGGTTACTACATCTTTTGTTTCAAATCCAGCTTGCATAAATTCTTATAATTATAAAGCAATATACATTTTAATTTTGTGAGTGATCAATGCCGTTCCTTGAAAATTGGAATTTATAGCATTATTTGTTACCGTCTAATCAGAGTACAATCATTGAATCACATTGTATATGCGTTATCACAACATTTAGGCTCAATTTAATAACCTCAGATGGAAAATAAGAGGTTTTAATAATGTGTTTTTGAAAATTTTAGTTCATTTTAACAAACATAGCCGATATTAATTGCAAATCGGGCGAGCTATTAAAATTTCATGCAAACTGTTGTTTAGTTGTCTTGTCTGCAATTATCTTGATGCAGAAAAAGGTTGAAATTAGAAATTAAGAACACACGAGCAGCAAATTTTTAAGATATAAAACATTGCGCAACAGTGGTATCTGCTTCTTATAAAAGAAACATCAAATGAAGTATGTTATTTGCGCATTGTACTTCAAGTAAGCGACTACATGGCACGAAACGTCCTGTTTTTAACAGTCTATTTCATTTTGGCACTAAATTTAGTATTGATTATTTTCCCTTATAAAATAAGTTTTTATAAACCGATCCTGCCACATAAGAAACGGGTTACGATTGCACATTGAGCCGTTCTCTTGAACAGCAAATCTTTAAAACTTTTAACTAACGCCAGATTTTCTTCTAACTATATTCAGCTATTTGTGGCAGTTTTTTTCGGGGTTGCCAGGTGATATGGGTACTAAGTAGCCAAACTGTTTATGAAAAAGGGCCAAATCATGTCAAAATAGGCCAAATTTACCCATAACACAATGACGTCATAACGCGCAGGCGCAGTAAAAAACAAGCTAAGTTTGCTGTTTATCCGTTGCTCTTCCCGTCACTAGACTCTGTAAGCCAAACTTCCTTGCAGTGTCATATCTACATTGCCATTTTGTCGTCATAGATCATTAAAAACTTGAGAAAAATAAAGGATTATTCACTTTTCATTTAACTTTTTAAAAATGTGTAGATCAATCTCTGCGATTATGGGTGTTATTGATTGCTGAAAAATTGCTAATTCTATTTCAAAATGGGTTTGAAAAAAGCAAACATTTGAGTCATACTAGTCAAGCTTCTAGTCAAGCACTCTTCAGAGTATAAAACGTTAGAACATAGATCGAAAACGTTTAAAGTTTTGTACCACCAAAATATTGTTTGCAAATTCTGTTTAAATAAATTATCCATGGGATCCGACATAGGTTGAAAAAGGGGAGGAGGAGGAGCTAAGGGAAACTTTAACAGCCATAACAGGAGATTTTGAAAAAAGCTCTATTGTTTTCGAGGGAAGTGGGGGGCATGGCCACTCGGCCCCCTATTCATCGGAGGAAGAAAATACTCAACTAGTTTGTTAATCAAATGTCGAAAAAATAAGCTATAGCAATGACTTCACGTCATTAAATGAGAAATTCAGACACTAATCCATTTGGATTAAATCAATCTGATCCATTTGGATTGAATCAATACCACCTCAAGTGTCTGTCTGGTTCATGGACATATCATGATTATCCATTTTATGATTTTATGGGGTTTTAATCTCATTTTCGAACATTCCTTTAGGAGGCCAAAAAATAGTCAAAATAGAGTAGGAGGCCAAAGGTAAAATTCCGTATCCAAACATTCTTAGAAAAGGCAAGATTTCTCAAATTTTGCCTCCCGTCCCAGTAGGCCAGTTGGTAACCCTGGTTTTGTTCTTGACTACATATAAAACGAGGAGAATAATGGCGAAATTTGAAGCACATAGGGATAATTAAACAGACTATTGAAGGATTGAATTATCATCATCCTTTCTTTTTGCTACGATACAAGCATCTGGCTAGAGAAAACTAATTTCTTGCTTGTTGAAAATGATTGTCAGTCACTGATTGGGCAACCTCAACAGTCATGTGCTCGCGTTTCTGACTGGCCTAATTCGATCCGCAACTGGGTATATATACACTTACATGCAAAAAGTATTGGGACAAATTCGATAAACGAATTATGGCGTTGCGTTAGATTCGGCTTTGCAATTGAAACTTTTTCAGATTTTGGCAGTCTCCAAATAATTTAGGCCTACGTTTCCCCAAACTGGAATAAAAAGTTAAGAAAATGCTTCAACTTATAAAGTATATCCTTGAAAACATAGGATTCTCAAGATTTTCCTGAATATAACAACAAAATATGTAGTTTTTTGATGGAAATGGCTGCCGTACTTTTTTGATGAGAAAGATTTTAAAAAAGTCTTTCCAAATTTTTGCATAAAATGTCTTCAAAATTTCGAAGTTTGTCCCAATACTTTTTGAACGCAAGTGTATTTCCTAGCGTACAGTTTTCGGTCTATGTTCTGACGATTTATACTCTGAAGATTGTCAGGCGAAAAGCTTCAGTATTGCTAAACCAAAAGATTACTAAACCATTTAAGGTGGTTGAGTACCAGATAGTCAAGATCTCTAATCTAACATCCTATTCAAAGAAACCTTCATCCAATAGTACTAGTTTCACCTGTAATTTCGTTTTCATCTGTTATTTGAAGATTGAACATAAATATCTAGCTGCTATCCTAACTGACTAAAACATCTCACTAGTTTGCCAAACTAAAAGTTTTATTAATAGTTTACGGACATAATATGGGCTCCTCCTAAGAACTTCGCAGGGGCCCTAAATGATGAGCCAGTATGCTTCCTTGTTATCTGGCTTGAGCCGCAATACCTTAGGTACCAGAGTCTCCATTATTTAGTCTTGCTACCGCAGCCGTCTATAATACTTTATCCCCAGATTCATGAGGCTCTAGAACTCATGATGGTAGAGCCGCAAGTCAAGGTACTTTCTTCATAAAAACAACAGACTGAAAATTCCTTTTCAAAAATTCCAATAAACTCTATTTATCAACAATATAACACCAAAATCTAGATAAATTATACGAAATTTTGAAACAAATAGTTGCAGTTTGTTGTAAAAAGATTTTGATGAGCTATTAGATAATAAAAATACTGCAAAATCATAATATTGATCGACACAATATCGTTACCAGAATAACTGCATAATATAAAATGCGACTTCTTAATTTTGCGCACAAAACAAAACAACAAGGGGAGAGTGGGGTTCATAGGGACGCTGGATGATGATGCGTTGGGAGTTGTTGTTGTCAAGGAGGAAAAATGAGTTTTAGTTCTAGTTATGGAAAATAATGAGTTTTATCCAGTAGTGTAGAATGTAACAAGGGGAATCAATTTAAGCATTCTTCTTGCTTAAATTATACCAATCTAAGGCACAATGCCTGACAACAGAAAAATTCAAAGACATTCGCGTATCCACCAGGCCTAACATAACAGCCCCAGTTTTTCTTTTTGTCAATTGCTTTGCAGGCGATAGAGCATGCGCAACAGTGATAGCATTCAGAGCACATGTACTCTTGATTGAAATGACGGGGGTTGGTCATCCATTACATGTCTTGAGCCTGTTCATTTCTACAATAATCGGGGTATAAATACATTATCAAAATAACTAGATTTGAAATCGCGCATGACTCCCACGGCTTGACTCCCGCGGCTTGACTCCCACGGCTTGACTCCCGCGGCTTGACTCCCGCGGCTTGACTCCCGCGGCTTGACTCCCGCGGCTTGACTCTCAGGGCTTGATTGTAGCAACTAGCGCTCCTCTTGCATATTCGATGAGCAGGCCTCGCCTTCACTAGGCTGCTTTGCGTCATTCAATAAAAGATTGACCAGAAGGCGTTTAGGTAACGGCCCGTGCTCATGGTCCATCCACTGCTCAATTGTCAGTTCGTCTTTTATATCTGTTTCAACCGGCTTTACTGAAATGTCTCTCACAGCACGGAAATGACCACAGTTGTTCAAGTGTTCATTTTCTAGTCGGAAAAAGTTCCACACGAAACGTCTGCAAAAAAGAAGAAAATTCTCTAAAATAATTTACAGAATTTTTGAGCAAACTTTAATCAATTTCTCTTCAACTTGAAAAAGATTTTTTTGTGAAAAAACTAAAAAAACCGTACGAAGACATGTTGACTCCAAAATATTCTTTACTCTCCACGTTAGTTACTAAGGTAGAGTAATGCTTGGTTATGACGTAATAACTTGATTTGGTAAATTCTTCTTTTTTTATAAGAACCAGATAATTTTTGCCGAGCCTCGATGTTCATAATTTTTTTATAATTTTAGGCTCAAATGTTCTTAAAATTGTTCTTAGTTTAAGATTGATTTTTGCAAATATTTGAGAAGTTACATACTGTTTACTGACGTTTTACTGATCTAGGACGTTTTACTTGGTAAAGTTTGAAAATAGAGCAATGACTGCTAGTGTTTATGGACAAACTCGCATAGTCTTGTTCTGTTGGCATGACATAAATTTCAAAATTTGAATTGTTTTTTTTTAATTTCTCATCTACAGCTGAGCATGTTCTAGCCTTGTTCTCATTTTTTGGGAAAATCGAGCCTCATTGTTCTTATAGAGTGTGTTTTCAAAAAAAGAGTGTAAGACGTAACAATGAAAATTCTGGCAACTCAAGAGAAGAAATTCAAACAAAAAGGGGGATGGGAAAGAAAGAGCGAAAAACAACAGAAGCTAATGCAAAATCGCTGAAAGTATGGATGAATAATAAGAATATTGATAATAAGAGGAAGCCTAAAATCGACAATTCATTCGACCACGTCAAATTAACATTCAGATCTCGAGAGTATAATAACAGATGTTGCATCATAAGCCACATTTTATAGAACAGAATTCATGGTTATAGGGAATAATAACTGGACAATAAAGCACAAGAAAGAAATATATTACATCACAGTACCAGATGCAAATATGGCCAAATATGGGCGGGCAAGTATACGTAAATAATGAAAAATTGTCTGCTTCAATCGCTGAAATTCTAAATCAAACAAAAGTGCTTTTTCGCAATGGTTTGAGTGTCTTGTATGCAGTGCTGTACATCAGTTTTTGCAGCTGATACAATCATTGTTTGATTAAAAGATATATGAAAGAGGATTCGAATCCAATGTTCGTTTGATTGCTGATTGGAATAATGAACCCTACTTGCGGAAAGTTCGAGCCCTACAATCTAATGCTATTAAGATAATACTATTTTTGATAATGGACATGTGAGATCAAAATATCAGAAGAAGATGGATTTTTGTTTTTTCCTGTCGATACAGCGGCCAGTCCAACTGCTTTTGGCGGTGCCAAATTCGAATGGTGTTGTGAAGAAGATGGACGTACAATCGACAAGATACCACAAAAATGTAGACCTGACCGAATGACTACATGAAACCGCCTTGGGAGTAAAGAAACCAGTAGAATACAAATATAACTTAAAGCAGAGAAAAGCGGCATCAAACGTTCCTGGAGCCAAGATAGGCAATAACATAATGTGAGCATTTGAACGTACCTGAACACCTCACAAGTTGCGATAAAAAGGACAAAAAGTTCGCTTGTGATGAATCCCGCTTCGCCAACGGAGACCGTGAGCGTCCACATGAAGCGAAAAATCATGTCCGCGAAGGCCGCGAGGTAATAGAATATCTAAAAAAAGGAATGAGCATTAGATTTTCTTGCAAATAATGAAAAGAATTGATACAAAAAGACGTACAACTCAGCTGTTTATACAATTACTTACAAAGCTAGCCAAATTAGAGCTTCCACCAGAAAGCTAGTGTTCATCAACGAAGTCGAAGTACCGTTGGAAACAATGCAGGTTATGACAATTTTTCTGCTTGAAAATTTGAAAATAAACCAGAACGATTAATGCAATTAAAAACAGAAAGATAGTCCTAAATGAGTTGATTGTACTGGCATATTTGATGGATGAGTGGTGTTCCTCCGTCTTCATGATTAGGGCCTATTCTATTCCTTGGCTATATAACATTGCTTGCCAAAACATATAAAAAAGAAGAACTACATATCAATGCAGAGCGACATTCAGGAAGAGTCAACAAGTTTATATCACTCATGCCGTGAAGGAGAATGGCGTACACTCCTTTTTATAAGAATTTTATAAGAACGGGAGCTTCAAATTGGTCAAAAGTTAAGAACAAATTAAGAACTGTAAAATGCAATTTTGAACAACGTTTTATCTCAAGAATTAGGATATCTAGCCACGTGTGGGTGCTTTTTCGGTGAATATTCAAACTTGTTGGTAAATGAAGGTTGTCTCGCACACTTTGTTGGCAAATGAGGTTTGAACACCTCCTTAAAGCGAACAAGCTAGCAATTGCTTCTGTATAAACTTAACTATTCAAGGACGTATTTATCTATAGACTTAACTTTTGAAGGACGTACTTCTCTATAGACCTTCGTGACTCGGATTATAACAAAAAATTACCGCATCACAAAAGTTTGAAGGCCAATCGTTGGAAGAGTATTTTGAACCAGACAAAACCATTCAACACATCGTTAAACCAAAATACCCGATTACCTCGAGAAGGAAACAGAAATCTAGCCTGAGCTTTACAAAAGAACCGCTTGCGAACGTTAAAAGAAAAATGATGGGGATTTGTTTACGACTTATAAGAAAAGCAACGAATGTAACAACAATATTGGCAAAAAATGTCACTTTTTTCAAACTCTCTTAAAAATACCATCCACAGATACTACGAAAGTCAATCCAAATACAAATTATACCATGTTTGAAATTGTATCAGTGGAAAAAGTAGCCCATTTTACGGCCTAAAGTGTCAAGATTGCTAAACTTTGTAACCCAGATAGACTTACAAAGAATCTTTTTTTAAGTGTTAAATAAACAAGAAATTCTTGTCAAAGTGAAGATCACGTAAATTTTCCGCTTGTCTTAACGAGGATTGACTTTCAGGATAAACAAAATATTCAGGCATTTTGAGGTTGGTGACAATTTTAACCCGCAGGTGCCGTGCTATGCCAGTATCAGGTGGGATTCAGCTAGGTCAAAATCCCATTGTGCCACCAGACCCCCATATAAACATGGATGCTATACCCCTTGCAAGAAGAGTAGCTTGGAAGTCACAAAAATTTTTTGAACTGCAGCCAATGGGGTAAAATTCTCCTACAAAGCAGAACAAAAAACAAAAGGCCATCGTCTCGAAGCTTATCGATTAACAGCGGACCTTAAGACATCAAGGTGTTGCTGAACATAGCTAACCACTGGTTGATCAAACGGAAATGTACCACGAGATTATACCAAAGGGCTGTCGTTTCTGGTTCATCAGGTGATGTGGATGCCTTACAGAATCAGAAATGATGAATGTAACGGGTTGGACTAGCTCAAGGAGATCCGATGTATACGGCTACTCGGTTGCAATTACGCGGATGGTACAAGACAATAAAACCTGCAGTTAGAGTATTTTCTCTTGAAATATAATGTGGATGCACAGTATCTTTAATGTTCAGATACGCTTGAAAAGAGGCTTCTGAGCTCGTAAATAGAGTACCGAAGTGTGACGTCTTAAAAAATCTTTTTTTAGAATTTCTTAAATTTGACCACATTATCTGAAAGAGCAGCATAAATACCTCACAATATGCAAAATCAGTTAGAGATATGGTCAATGGAAGGTTTAAAGTTTGCTAACGGATTACTGTTAATTTGGCCTGGTTATCAACCAAGACCAAATTACAGAGGTTTGAGGCAAGAGCCTGTGCTCAAGTGGCCATATCTCAGCCAATTCATAATGCTTTAGATTGAATTTGCAGAATTTAGGGGTATTTCGCGATGCTCTTTCAGGTTCCGGGAATAAAAATTCAGAAATTCTAAAAATAGATTTTTATGACGTCATCACTTCGGTACTCTATTGGGGGAATAATCTGCGATCACAATTGAAACCTACACATCGTGTCAACTGACTGCATTTAAAGCAGTGAATCGGCAACAATAGTATTGCACAATGAGGTGCCAACTCCGTCATTGAATCGAAGATTAAAAATGCCATTGAAATAATCCCATGGCCTTCAGGCATCCACGACCTAATCGTGTTAAACTAAGAGCATACCAACCGAATGTCATACATGTAGGGTCCCAAAATTATTATTTAATGTACATAAAATAATAATTCATCGTGCAGGCAGCATCCAAAAACCATTACTTTTAATATATTTACATATACCAATTTGATAAGAATGAGTAATGAAATTCTGTATAGAGAGACGTAGTTGTTTTCTCAAATGTCGATGTTTTCTCATTGTTGCTCTTACTGTTTTCGTTCAGGATTTTATAATCACGGCAGAGAGGCTAGAGATAGCCATTTTGCCAAAAGAAGGCAAAAAATGGTGACGTCATAAAAAATAATTATTGAGCAAATACTTTTGACCAAAAGCCTACAAGAATACCTTAAAACACCTCAAAAAAGAAATATTTGAAATATTAAATGTGGCCATATTTCAGTCAATTCTAAATACATTTGACTGATTTTGCACATTTAGAGGTACTTCACAATGCTCTTTCAGGTTATGTGATACAAATTCGAAAATTCTAACAATATATTCTTGTGACGTCATCATTGAAGAACTCTATAAAACTAACCTTGCTATCGTAAACTATTTGTTCACGCAATAAGAAATTGTCACCGGCATTCTTGTCAAGCAGCCCCCAATCCATTCGAATGTCCCAAAACAACGTGTAAAATGTACTGAATATCAGCGACCCAATCCACACATAGAACAACGCACCCGATTGGTTTTCACCCGTTTTTGCTGAAAAAGAGAAAAGACAGAATGAGTGCTAGACTTTCAAAAGACTTTGAGAAGAAATGTTTTTCAGTGCTCTTAAAAGAATTAAGCCATAACACCATGTAAGGAGTTAGGCCATAATTCCATTATAAAAATACATGGAATAAAGGCACAAAAGCATGGGGATTACCACATCCAGAAGAGGCTGAAACTTTTTGAATACAGCTGAATACTAAAATAATTAGCACTGCTTTATACCAAGAAACTATACATTTCCCTTCCCCTGCTCCCATACCCTGAGTAGGGGTTGTCCCCCAAGCCTGTCTCACCCTTCCAAAAATGCAGCATTTTTGCTTACATGCTGGCAAAACAACTCTAACAACAACAAGATTTATAGAATTTTAACAAACTATGGCAAAAACACTATTGAATTTGTTGTTCTGTACACTCAGCACTAAATGACAAAAATTATTTTATACTTGTGCATTGAATGGGTATATGGCAAACTGCAAACAGGTTTGGATAAATAATCAGAATTTGAAGGTAATAAGCTTGTTTGGAAGGAGGGGGAACATTCGCGGTTAGGGTCCTGTTGAAGAATTGGAAGAAACTTGATCAAATCATGATCAAACACACAAATTTCAGGCCATCTTGCGGAAATAAGCTGGTTCAATAGGGATTGAAAAAACGTAAAAATATTAATCTTTCTCAAATAAAGCATTTCGTTTATAAGAGGAAAAAACTTTTGGGCAAAATTAGTTTTCCGCTGTTTGAAAGTGTCCTAAATTAGAATGATTTGTTTATCGGAAATCGATTTTTAAATTAAATCAAGAAATTTACAAACCTTTGTGAATAGCAGCTATAGTAGAAAAGATTGTAACAAAAATTGATGTTGAATATTTCCCAGCATTGACAAGATGTGGCCAAGCATCTCTAGTATCCTTGTACCTGCGGAGGCACTGTGCCAAGCGCCACCATGCCGGCAAGATGGCAACAAGTGGGCGCACAACATTCTGTGGATTTGTGCATTGCCACTCCGCTGAGGAGGAAACAGATGTCATTAGTGGCACAAGTCATTGTACTGCAAGGGCTTTTCTAATGATGCGGGTTTGCTAGGTCAGCATGTTTTACAGAAAATACCTTTTGCTGAATGCAACTTTATAAAAAAGATGGAGATTTTAGATAACGATACAAGATAACAATTTTATAGTTTTGTCCAGAAATAGTCTTAGCAATGATTCCCGCATGACACTTTGTCTCATTGGTGTTGAAAATTTAAGGATCATATTTGTAATCGCATAATAATGGAATGAGGCGGTTTACTGTAAAGCTGAAAGCCGCAGGTTTCGCTCCAGACTCAAATTTGTTTGCACACTCCCCTTTTCTCTACCAGGTAGTGCTTTTTCGCATATTGGCGGGCATAGGGAATCTGGATAGGTAACATGCTTTGCTGGATGCAATATTACCAGAGTGCGTTTCCTGATCCTCGGCGATCTGTGATTCGCTTATACATTTAAAGAACTCCTCGACATGTATGACACGAGGTTAATCGAATCATTCTATCCGGATTCGCTATTTTGGCCTGTACTCACATGGATCTTATACTAGACTCAACTCAACAGGCTATTGACCAACCGTCATGCTTTGCGGTAGCTATCATTTTACACCAGATGAAATGGGCTGTTTTCTGTATTTTCAGGCAGGAAGATATTAGGCCGGTTTTGAAAACAAAGTCGCAAAAAAGCATGCTGGTTGCGAGAATGCCCTGGGGTTGCACAAGGGCCTTAAATTTTTTAATTTCATTTTATTTTTAACTATTTACACAGGGTAAAGCTATCAACTACATACATAAATTGCTTTCCAAGCTGCCCTGTACAAAGAAAACGATAAACGCTAAAATTAAAAAATACAGATATACAAATATACAGATTAGAATAACAAAGTAAAAGCATTTAAAATAGTGGAACTAGCGCCAGGAATAAAAAGGGTCCCTTTATGTTCTGGAGTTTTCGAGATAACATTTTACTTGTTATTAATGTATTGATCAATCGATGCTATTTCAATCAAACTGCGATTCAAAGATTCTAAAATGCAAATAGGCTTACCATCTGGACGGTGCCAGTCGTAGGCATAGAAGCAGATCATGTATTGGAAATCAAGCAGAGGCACAACCATACTGTTCAGCTGATCAGCCAGCCAGAAATCGGCGAATCGAACTTGAAATAATGGCGCGCCAATTATTCGTATCTGCAATAAAAAATTTAGTTAAAGAGTTTTTGGATTTTGCTCAATTTCACAACCAGTTTGGTTGTTTATACCAATTCAGGAACAGCAAATGAAAATTTCCTTGAACAGTTTTTACGATAGAGCTGCATTAGCCTGATTTCTAAAGTCTAATATATTGCTCATACATAATTTTAAGAACATTATATCAAAAAATAACACATGCAAACTTTCTTTCTGATTTACTTTATTAAAAAACTTTGTCCGGTGAAAATAATGTACAAAACTCTATGAAACTTCTTAGATATTTCTGTGATGCTTACATTAGAAATATATATTTTACAACACAAGGAAAAAACTGAGAAATATTGAAAACCTGAAAAGTTACTGAAATCTTCTTTTATGACCAACAGTGAAAAAAAGACAAGATTCATTTATCATTCATGATGACTGAATCTAAAGTTCGGCAAACTCAAATTACAGGTAATTTAATTAAAAAGAAATTCTAATATTTAAGTATAGAGTTAATTACCATCACTTTGATGAACCAAAATCGTGCAGTGTAATGAAATGTTTTGGTTGGATTTAACAGAAACAAAATGATGAAGCCAGTGAGGACTAGCGGTTGGGCGAACTGCGGCAAGTGAAAATCCGCGCTGAAGAGAAAGGCCAGCGCGCTAAGGCAGAGCAGTGAGCCAAACAAAGACGCTACCTGAAAAGAGATAAACGATACGAATTCAGCAAGTTCTATCCTATTGGTTCATGTATATAGTCTGATGGACTTTTGGGGAGGAGATGAAGGGGTATTGAAATATCAGACACTTCGAGAGTCACCCGCCCTTATTATTTGCATCCAGAGTTTCGAAAAGGAAGGGCCTAAAACCATCACATTTACAAGGCAATGAAACAACTATAAACCATGGTATTCGAAAAAAAAGTCATTAAATATAAAATCAGAACATCAACATTAAAATTTAGTCTATTGACTGTTCACATTTCAAGAACAACATTAACGTTGCAAGACCTCAGAACAACCGAATGGATTTACGAGCATGGAAGTCTTCAAAGGCACCGAGCTACGGACCACTTGGTACATTGTGCGAGGATCTTTTCTCATTGGACTCAATTACGGAGACAGAACCAATTAATTAAATTTTTGCAATATTTTTACAAGACTTTTTCTATTTACTGATAAGTTACTGATACTGATAACTATGTGACAAGGATTCAAAAAATGTTTACAGGAAGGTAGACACTGGTGATTCTGGCGAAAATATCTGATGCAAAAATGGCATCGATTTGATCATTTCAAGACAATCTAAAGCAAAAAAGCAATTTCGTTAAATTTTCCTTTTGGCGTTCTATTGCGGACGGTTAAAGCCTTATTCTAAAAGGCTAAACAAAACCTCTATGTACCTTACATTGTCCCAAAAATTATTGATATGTATAATTAGAAGTGAAAGTATCAACTTCGCAAGACATGGTTTGCGGAGCACAGATAGACTGATTTAGCAAGTTTTCTTATGAGAGAAGACAGTGGGGGAGACAGTGGGCAAAACTTAAATTTACTAATCGCAAGGAGAACGAGCTGCAACGCAGAGTCATTAAAAACCCCGAAGGAGGACAGAATAGAGTGGAAGCGAGTCTCCTTAAACTTAGCTTGGTTGAACATGAGTGAATATCAACGAAATGAACATACCTTGAGTAAATCTATAAACGTAAGATGATCTCTTGGGTTCAGCTCAAATATCAGTATGTGATTAACGCCAGCCTTGCTCCAGCCATAAATGTTTATTCCAAGTAGGCCTATCATGGTAACGATTAAGAACCAGCCACGGTACATTCTCAATGCAGGCTGCCAATTTTTCTTTGGTCGTTTGTAGTATGCTAGGAAAAATGACAAAATGTTTATTAGGTTAAAGAAATGCTCAAGGTCAAAAGAAAGACAAAACTATTTTTTTTAAATAGAGAGATGACGCAAGAGGCGAGTATTACATACAATTGTCTGAAAGATATTTTTAAATTCTGTAAGAATTTGTCATAGCACGCCTTTTACAAAGTTGGTTAGTTACGAAAAAGAACATCAATGTACAATAAAGAATTAGCTACGCATAAAATAAGAATTAACTCCATGTGGAAGTTTAAGGACATAAAAAACTTGTATACAAATGTTGACCAACATGAATTCTACCAGAACATAACAAGGCTGAATTCAATTCATATTTGTCTATTTCAATTGCCATAATTATCAGATTAGAGGGATCCCAGTCAATATTGTCTGCCAATCTTGGAACTAACGATAAAGATATGTTTTGCAAATCTAGGAAATGAACTAAACTAGAAAAATTAGATATATATATATATAAATCGATCTAGGTTCGGCAGGTTTACTCCTAATGTACACAACGAGAGACAGACCTTCTAGTTTTTACTTAAAAAGAAAAATCTGAGTAAACTCACCAGTTATTATTACCACGACAAGAAGAACAAAAAAGATTCCAGAAAATAGACCCCAAAAGAAGGCCGAGTAATTTGTTTGCTAAAAAAAAGATCGAGAAAATACTTTACTACAGATTTCTTAGTTAAATGCGACAGGTATCTTGTAGTGTCGGTTAATAAAGAAGAATTCATACATCAGCGTTGTAGAAAATCCTTTATTAAATGTTTATATACAATTCTTGATTTTCGCAAGGGCGCGTTAAATGGTGGATGGCGTAAAGATGGCTATTGGTCAATTGTTTAGGCAACGAAGGATTCCACTGTTATTGTCCCTAAGTTGATTGGCAGTGTCAGTAGCGAAAGGCCAAAGACAGCAAGGACAAAAACTGATCACTCTTCTTCGGCATTTTATTGCCGCAGGACAGGCGGTCTATTTAGCAGTCTTATTGGTATTTATCAGAAAGATGTTTAAGGGAAAATTTCATCAACTTACGGAAATATTAGTGCAAAGGTTTCTAATGGAGTTACTTTATAAGTGGCTCCTCTCTTTCTAAAAGTAACGAACGGTGCATAATCTTATCAAAACCGTCCTCAATCATTGGTGAGTCATTGGTGAAAAGAGGGGATGTTCTATTCAATCAGCTTAAATTAATGGGATGCGGGTCAAAGGTCCTGTGGATTGCATTAAGAGTGGAACTCGGTGTAGCAAATCAGAACCGTCCTGTTCTATAAAACAAAATGTGTACAGCTCTGCCTATATGACATCAAAAACTTGATAGTGGACCACTTAACAACAATTTTTACAAGATACTCATATGCACCGTAAACTAGTAACATTTCAAAAGATAACATCTAAAATTAATATCAGTTGAGAAGTATCTTGCAAAGAAATAACATGTTTGTAAATATATGCTTATTGTTTGTAGAAAAGGACTGTTCTAAGTTGCAACTCTGAGTTTCATAATGCAACCATAAGGCAAAAGTACTGTATTTGTAAACATGTTCAATTTAAGATTGGTAAATATATACATAACATACTTGAAATTCATCTTTAAGATGTAAATAAACATTTTATAGTATATACTTCAAAAAATAACATGCTTAGAGAAACAAACACAATTTCCATCAAAGAATGATAACAAAAAAACTAATTTAAAAACATGTGACATTGAATTCATGCAGAGAGAGTGGTGTGAAAGTGGAATGATTGGGTAAGATAAAGATTTGCATAAACTAACAGCCAACTATGAATACAAAACAGTGAAAGAGGAATGATTGTGAAAGATAAAGATTTGCATAAATTAACAGCTGACTATGAATAAAAAACAGTGTAAGAGGAAGGGGGTAACAGCCCCCTCCCCCCTCAAATCTAATATGGATGGAAAATATCAAGACTGTCAGAAAAAGCTAAAATTTACAGGCATAGTCTAGTTGCAACAAAGCATACAGGCATATTATTTTGCTCAAAATCTGAAACATTTTCTTATCGACGATCTCTGCAGATTTTCCTTCACCTTGGTGCATGATTTTAGTCATGTCAGTAGCAACTAACTTTAAGGATGGCCAATTAAAATCAAATTTTCTCAAAGATCAAAGCAGAATGGCTCACCTTTTCTCCAAGGGGTGGCACCCTCAGCCTCTTCATCGCTTTACCTCTATCACCCCCTTCCAGTTCATTTATGAAAATACCCTGGAAAAAATCAGCCAGCATAAATCATATCAGATAAAACTGATAACATCTTTGTTAAAATTAGGCCTTACATCTTATGTTTCAGTTATATACAAAAGAGAAATGAGGTACCTCTGTTTCCAAGATCAGCTCTGCAACAAGCTTATTTGTGAAGAATGGGGCTGTCTCGACTTTCTCTTTTCTGTATTGCACCCCACTTTCTGTTTGAAACATCTGACCAACAAAAGAAAATGGCAAAAAATCTCAATTAATTTGATTCATTCAACATGCCATGCCATTCAGAGTTTAAATCGTTGTTCCATCTAGCAGTTTTGGAATCTATCAACATAAGCACAAAAAACTGCTATTATGTAGACAACAGGAGTTCGATTTTACCTTAGGAATCCATTGGTAACATTCTCAATAGGCAAGCGGCATTGATTGGTCAACCTCTACCGTGATGTACTTGCGTTTCTGATTGGCCTATTTTGATCCACAACTGGGTATATATATTTCCTAACGTAGAATTTTCGAGCTATGTTTTGACATTTTAAACTTTGAAGAGTGTCAGACGAAAAGCTTAAGTTTACTCAAATTTTTGCTTTTTTTAAAACAACTGCAGTTATTTTTGCAACAAAGAGGTATAAGATAGAAAATTGAAAGCATGATCCTTTCAATAAAAGGACTCTAGATTATCAAAATCTATCCTAACATTGAGTTTTTAACGTAATTGTTACAAAAGAGATTCATGCAAAAAACAACCTTGTGCAAAAATTTTCATTTGCCATGAATTATTGGCAAATTTTGAAGTTATTGTCACAGAGAAATAAGTAACAAAAAAGAGTTTTTTCCAGAGTTTTGGGACAAATGTCTTTTATCTTCAAGCACATTCCAGTTGCTAAGTCAAACATAAAAATGTGAAGAGGAACAAACTTGATAATTGAAAATGCAAAATCAACCTTGTCATGCTTTTTGAGTATCTTTCTAAAACCAGTGAAATTGAGTTCCTAGAAACAAGAGAGACATCATACCCTATTTCATAATAGAAAAATATTAAATGAAGGCTTTAAACATCAAATACAACAGTAACTGAACCTTTCATGTGATAGCTAATGTACCTTAAAGGGGCTTGGTACATGAAAGGCCAAGGGGTAATGTTGCTGTATTTATGCTTGTAGATGGCATGAATCCACCACAGCAACTGAAATGGGATTTTGCAGGCCACATAATCGCAGTGCATCGGGGATATTTTAACCTTTTTGTTATTAGCAAATCATTTTGTAATTGCAGAAGCCTTACAGATTGATTTTAAAAGTATATTTCAACATTATTTCATTGATCAGTCCACAAAAAAGAAGCCATTTTTCCTGCAGCTGGTTCGAAAAAAGTGAACTAATGGGCTGTTTGGCCAAAGGGACAGCACAGAGAAATCTGTCTTTGAAAGCTCAGGTCAACAAACAGTAAACATTGCTGAAAGTTATGGTTTCAGAATGATTCAGACTTGGCAGCACTGCCGAGAACATCAAGAATTCATGACCTGTCATTTTGTCAGATACTCCACTTTGACGATTGGTAACCATAATCCTTCTTACAGGGAGACTGTCCTGCACAAAATTTTTGTTTACAGTTATGTGACCCAGGAACAAAAGAAAATATGCTTACAACCTTTGAAAAAAAATTGTGCAAATCAAATTCCAAAATCTTAGGAAACTAAGAAACTTAATAACTGAGAAAAGAATACCAGGAGGAAGATCAAAGGAAAATTTATTAATGTTTTTTATCACAATTATTTAAAATGTCTCTCAGAAGGATACAAACAACTACACAATACTTTGAGATACTGATTGATAGTTTAGCAAAGAAAATAGTTGCTTCATTGAACTCACTTGAAAATTCTGGATAAGTATGAGGCTAAGGTAAAATTCACTGACAGCAAATTTCAGTTCCTTCAACTTTTTTGCTCCCCTTGATTTTTGCTTCTTAGATTTTATTTTTGTTATCAAAGTTGTCCCATCTTCACCAACATTTGTGTTTACATTTGCTCCTCTTTCAATATCTTGTTCTGTAGAATCTTTCACCTGACTTGTTGTGCCAATTTCAGTTTCCAGATCATGAAATCTTCTTGTTGCTTCAGCAAGTTTCTCTTCAAAAAATAAAAACAATTGGAAAATAAAGCAAAATAAAGGTTTCCAACATGATATTATTTGGATATAAATTATTATTTTTAGTAGTTATTAACTGTTATTTAATGTTCTGCATTGCTATAGCAAAAAATTATTTAAAGAAACCATACCAGCAAAGAATGTGCTGACTTTTGAAAGCTCTTTATCACAGAACACGAAAAATCCTTCCTCGTATTTTGCATAATGTCTTCTCAGTATTTCTTCATTGACACCTTTGAAACAAGGGTACAATAATCATAAAAAGCATACATGTTATAAAGCAGAAGGAATCAATTTTAACAAAACAACAAACAGCAAATATGTATGAGGTTATTTCAACCAAATACTCTGCTAACTAGATGGCTAATACATCGTCGATCGATATGAATACATTGATGCTAATACATCTGCTAACTAGATTGATGATGCTAATAAAAAACTTTAAAATTGTAATTGAAAAATCTGCTTGATAAGCTGTATTTGTAAAACTACTGCCTACTTGTCTTATTTTGGTATTTAAAGAAAGCGACATGTGATTCTTCATGATAGTAAATACCTATATTCAACTGAAAATCAGCAATAAAAAGGAGAGAAACAAAAAGTAATCACAAGGAAAAAGTTTTCAGTCTCTGTCAATTGCTAAATATTTCAAGAGTTAGAGTGCAGCAAAATCTAATGGCTTTTGTTTTCTGTAACCAAGTTTAAACTAATACCCATAAATTAGGCTGCTGCGGGTAGGTGTCAAGATACAGCCATTGACTTTCTTTAGCAGACAAAAGGTTTGTAATTCAGAACTTTCTTGCTATGGAGGACTTCTAGGTCTCCTGCAGCCATCCATACAATAAACTTCAAAGCTACTGCTACATTTAGTTGCTTATATCAAGACAAAAAGATCTAAATGAAGAGGCATAATATATTTTAAAACCAGACTATGAAAACTGCAAAAATATTTTTAACAGAAGCTAAAATCATTACATATCATGATGTTTAAAGTAGAGTTATTTTCATTAAAACAATCTTGTTTATAAAAGACCTGTCAAGTGTAAGCCCCTTCCAGGAAACATTTGATACATAAAACAGGTCCAGAAACCTCTCACGTCAGCCAGGAAACCCTCAATATATTGAAATAGCTAAAGAGCACTTACCATCCTTAGGAGGTGCATGTTCATCTGCATCATACAGTATTTTTTTCAATTCCTGTTATAAAAGAAAATGATACTCACAAAAATGTAGCCAGTGTCTGCTATCTTTTGGTGAAATAGAACCTATTTTTTTTCTTTTCTCAGTCTTTGTTAATATATTTTACTCTTAATGACACTCCTAGTCTGGAAAATGAAGCTTTGACACTGGCACCAGCAATGCACAACACATTAAGTTTTGAAGAAACTGTTTTATTAAAGGAGGAGGATGATACACTCCTGCTTTGTTTTGTTACACTGATTACAAAACAAATACACAACAAACAAAGTAATATCTTGGGCAAAATAAAGTGCCTCATACGTCAGCAAGAATTACATGAGAAATGCTGAGCTAGTAATAATAATGAGAGATGTAGAACCAATCTCAAAGTCAAGCAAAAACAAAGCAACTTAAATGACATTTAAATATTTACAGAACAATACCCCAGGAAGCATAAGTGCGGCAACATTTTAGTAGAACAGATACATATGCAAAAGAGAAGCTATTTTATTTCTTATTTTATTCCTATTTCTTATGTTACGTACCAAATTATCAAATTTGTGGTGATTTTGCTACAATAACTTTACACTTCTCAATTTCAATACTTGTCAGTTTCATGCTGCTCATTGTCCTGAAAACTACCTTTGAAGCTTAAGTAGTAATAAATATCAACAAATCAACATGTAGAAATCAAGACGATTTTGAAAAATTAGTTTTCCTAAAAAATTTATTCCTCTGATACACATTATCAGAACAGGTTTAAACATACTCAATTACAACAAATGCTGTAACTTAATTGTCAATTAATATCATTTGATGTTTATTAAAAAATAATTGAACACGAAATGTCCCGATTGACAATTGCGAAATAACCATTAAAGATCGTAAGAACATGCTGGTCTAATATGGAATACCTCATACTGAATGTACTGACTCCGCCATTCAGGGGTTAGATGGGCCCCTAGATGCTCCGTGAATTTCATCTCCAATTAATATCTCTCACCAATCGTCACTTTAACCTGATCTTGGTGCTTGATAAAAACATGACCTTCTTTGTTATTCATCCTTCGCCATGTCTCTCAATTCACGGCTTGCTTCAAGTCTTAATTGTTCAAAAACTTGGCGCCGAATAACGAGTTATAGCTATATGAAAAGAGTGGCTAATCCTTATTTAACCTGCAAACAATAAATAACTAATTGTTTCCTACTTTTCCTATCATTTGCTTCTTTGTGTTTGTTACGTCAAATTCAATATTTTGTCCTTGTGATCAGACCTCCAATTGATAACGAGACTGACTCAGCAGATGAAAATCAATAAGATGAAAATCAGAATGATGTCATCAGAATGATGTCATTAGAAATCAGAAAGCTTTGGGTATTTCCTAAACAAAATATAAAATTTTTTTCATGAGAATTTTTGGGTAATATTCTTGAACCTTTCCGGTAATTTTCTGTTCGCGACCTCCCTAGCGGGAATCAAATTGGGAAGTTACTTTCCAGGGGATTGGATCCTACCACACATACGTCACATCCGCTATGCATCCTGTTATCATTCCTTCACAAAATGTCGGTCGTGCGAAGCAGATGATGATGGGAAGGTTCAGTGTCGATGTTTTCCTGGGAAGTGAGAAGAAAAACTGCAGCTTTTAGGCAAGGCTATAAGTGAATAATCCGTATTTGAACGAAACTCGTGGCAATGGAAGACCCGTTTTTCGTCGTCAGAGAGTAAGTGAAGGATTTCAGTAACAATATTTGCGTTCCTCTTTCTTCAAATGAGATTTTGCAATGGTTCGACTGGAACGAAAACAATATCAAGGCCCTTGTAGTAAAGACGGACTCGCATTGCCCTTTCTTTTGCATTACTTACATTCGGCATTTATCTTTTACGCGCTGAAATAACAATTTGTTCAATTTATAAATGCATTCTTAGATGTTGGGCCCCAGGGATCGACCGGTGATTTTGGTCGCTTTTCACCCGCAGTTTCATGGCGTTCTTTTTGACTCTGTGTTTATTATTGCTCGTAATTATGATATTTTTTATTTCATTTGAATGGTGTAGCTAAAATAGATGAAGTTTTCTGGTAGCCAGGTGTGCTATTTTAATAGTTTTGACACCGTGAGGTGTGAGGAGGGACGTTTTTTGGTGACTGGTGTTTGGGCAAAGGTGAACGGAGTATGCAAGACAATTAAAACCATCATTACTATTACAATAAATGATATATGTTTTCTTTGGAAACAATATTATGAAATGAAATTTTAGTTTTCAGGAAATTATTCAATTTCCACAGTCTTAAGTTTCTTCACAGTTCATATACACAGATTTGTCATTTAACTGATGGAGGAAAATAAAGTTGAAAAATCAATTTAATACACGAGTGTCTATTGTGGGGAAGTTTGATAGTATTACCCATTGTAATTTCATGTAATCAGTAAATTGCATCCAATATATGTAGACAAGGAGAAATTGTTGTTTTGTCCAGCATGTTACTTTTTCTCTTTTCTTCAACAAAAAGAAACCACCAAAAATTTTAAGAATAACTCAAGTTTCAATAGGTTTGTTGAATACTTTGGTTTAAAAAGAATTATAAAACAATAAACCTTTCTTTTGCTGGAAAGCATAACCCTCAGGGTATTTCTTCTGGATCTACCTCACAAGGTCTGCTGTACTGGAATAATAATTAATTTAAAGGTTCAATGAAAGTTTCGCAGCTTAGAAGGAGATTAAAAACTGTGGCTGGTACACTACATGGTATAATGAGATTTGTTGTGGTTGGGCACAGTCACAAAGATTCTTTGTCTGGACGAAGTCTGTTGTTATTGTAATTCTTCTGAACCTTGACTTTTTTTATTGTATATCATCAATCTGCTAGTAAAGGGATTAAACTTGTTTGTTTCATGACAATACTTATTGTATATAATATGAATACAGAATACTAGCCTTAAGCTGTGGTCGAATGTATTGTTTTGTTTTTCATTTTGAGTCTACAAAAAGTACCATTGATGCTAAAATGTCAGGAAATGTCTATGTGCTTGCCTTAAGCTGTTTCAATATGTTTTGACTAGTAAACCTTTCCCATGTTGGTGTATATTATATTTCTAGTTTAAACATGATTTCAAGCTAGAAAATTGAATTGTATCTTTTTTATCCACTATATTTTATCTTATTTTATATTTGAACATAAAGCTTTTGCTATAAAACAATACGTGTTATAAAATGCATGTCAAATAAAAAATGTAACATTGATTATGTTATATGTTTATAATTATAGACTAATTTTAGATAATTTCAAGGGGCTTGAATGATTTCCATAAAGAACATGTTTCCTTATTTTTTCCAACTGTGCTTATCTTTCATAGCCAGCAAATCATTGAAATGATTTTTCTATTATTTCACCCAGATTTTCTTTGGTTTGAATCAGATTTTCTGCCAGTTTTATTATTTAGTTTGCAAAATTAATGTATGATTGGTTACTAGTAATTGCTAGGTCGGTAATTGTTGGCCTTTGTCATAATTAAAAAGAAATTATCCCTTGAAAGAAATATTGAGCTTTAGTTCATTATGGATTGTTATTTCAGCTAAAGGAGATTATAGGACAAAATTGAATTTCAAAATTAAGGGGATGTTATTCTGTTCTTTTATTGCTAGTACTTTAGTTATGTTCAGTTTTAATATCATTAATCAACTTTTCTCTAGTGAAGTGCAAAAAGCTGTCAGTAGCATCCAGGAATTACACAGAAGATGGCAAGATCTTCTCAATAATGCTAACACTTCAGGAAAAGAAGAATTGAACTGGACAACAAATGAGATTAAGAACAGTATCAGAAGTGTAGAGTGGGATCTAGAAGACCTGGAAGAAACTATTGGCATTGTTGAGACCAACCCAGGCAAATTCACTTTACCAAAAGATGAAATTGAAACCAGAAAAGGATTTATACAAAATGTAAAAAGGACTGTACAGTCAATCAAGGAGGAGGTACATAGTTCAGAAACCAGAGTTAAAATAGAAAAGAACAACAGACAGGTAAGAAATAAGATTATTGTTTTTTATTTAAAGTATTTAGTAGAAAATGTCAGTGCCAGGAAAAATTGGCATGTGTATGGAAAAATTATAGTTATATGAAAATCATTTATAACTTCACAAACTGTCAGTCAAGAGCTTGTGGTACTTGACAAGACATTTACTATTATCATGTTTTGACTCAATGTATCATTGATTGACACTTTAAGTTAAGCCTTGCTTAGTCCTGCTGTGAGCACATTTTTTTCTACTCTTATGCTCAATACGTAATGTGGCCTAGTATTATATTCTGATCGTATAAGTTGTTTTGTTATGTTCGTTCAACCGTAGTTTATCTTTCAAGATACTCTCCGTGGAATTCTAATAGTACTCATTAAATCTTGAACTGTTTTAGGAGGGTGCTCATTTGAGCATGTCTCTTATTTGCAAGGGAAATTCATTCATATGATGTATATACTCATTAGGTAAATAACATTCTATAAGGGTTGCTGTCAGTGGCGGACACTTGGGTGGGGTGAGGGGGGACGATGGCCCCCCAATACTTTAGAGGACAATGGTCTTTTGTTCGAAAACAATAGGAAACGTGACATCATCTTATTAAAACAATAGGCTTGCCCCCCCAATATTTGACCAAGTGTCCGCCCCTTGTTGCTGCTTGTATTGTTCAAATGCATGCTGATGAATTTGTGATATACATAACTAACTCATCATGACAAAATACACATCCTAAGCACTTGAACAGCCATAAAGAATGCCATTCAATCCAACTGTCTTTTCATATATCAAGCAAATTGAATAGAGAGAAGAGATCTTAGCAATGATTAATGGAAAAGTAAAAAATGAGAGGTCTTACCTTCAACTGCCTATAAGGAACAAATATTCCAACGTTTTCATCATACACTTGTAAAATTAGTCCCAAAATTGTGATCATGAATGATGACACAGCTCTTTTTTGCCACTACTGATAAGCAAAGCCACAAAAACATTGTTTTGGTTTTGAGGATCTTGGTGTTTTAATGAACTTATCAGGAGATTCATTCCTCAGGCAATTCATCACAAGAGATACAATATTGTCCTTTTTAAGACAAGACTAAAGGAGTACTTTAACTAGAAATCATTTTCTGCAAGCAATATATGTATTCTTTCAAAGGAATTTTTGTAAATATTTGTGTAACAACCTCAACTTGTTTTTACATTAGTATAAGAAGAAAAATCAAGTTTGTTTTTTATTTATTTTTTTAAATGTTGCCCTTATTGATGACAATATTTTATGTGATATGGTTTCAAGAAGACACATGTATATTTCTATTATCATTATTTTTTAACAGTTTTTATAAACATAAATTACCTCATGGAAAACAAATGGTCTAATTTTTAGGCGTTGGTTGGTCCTGTTAAGTATCAATCAGGCAACAAGTACTCAAGACTTGATAATGAAATGGAAAAGTCAAATCAGAGATTTATAGATGATGCACAGAGCCAGCAACAAGTGAGTCTGACACATTTCCCTTTTCTTGAATGCAGCTTCAATTCATGTTTATAGTTTTTTTTAAATGATTGAAAATGATTGCTTACTGAGAGTTCAGTGTTACAACGTTTGTGGGTGCAATGCGAGGTGCAATGTAATATGTTATTATGCATAAATTCTTGATCTTAGAGCATCATTTAAAGTTGAGTTAGCAAACTTAATTTATGACTGGAATTCCATAAATTAGTTTTACCCAAATTATTTTAGTCAAAGTTCAACATTATTTAGAAAAAAAATCATCTGTTTGGTTTATTTAAACAGAAAATCATTTGTTTATAACCTACATCATTACTTACTTTGCTTAACTGTTTCTAAAAACTATTGGATCCTTATAAAACAATACCTTTACTTTAGTTACTTTAGGCATGGCTAAATGTTTCTTAGCATATTTGTTTAGGACCCTCTCAATTATGCCCCTTTCTCTTATAAGCTACATTCTCAAATCAGTAATTTTAAAAAGGCCCACTATGTTAAGCCTCAAAATTTTACACAAGAAAGTGATAAAGTAATGTTCAAGAGTCCAGTGGCAGTTCTGTATTATTTTTTGACAACCTCCGAGACTGATGTAGAAATGCATCCCAGCTGCAAATACCTCTTTTCATACAACACATCTCTCTTCAAATTAAGAAATATGCCTTCCTCAATTGTAATGCCCTTCTAGAACCGCCAGAATTGAAATAGCTCCTCAAAAACTTAAAATAGCTACTCCTAAGAATAAGCTACAATAAGGTAGACTTGTAGATTTTACCTGTGAATCAGAGTTGTTCACTAGCAGACTCACTTTGCCTAGGTGCTGATGAGAAGACAAGATGAACAGCTGACAGATGTTGGTCATAGTGTGGGTGTTTTAAAAAGTATTGGTGTTAGAATCGACAATGAACTTGAAGAACAATCTGTGTAAGTTAACTTTTAGTTCTTAAAGGCAATAGAAAGATACTTAAAGGGCTTAAGTTTGCTTTCAATAAAAATTGAAACATATTGAAATGTGATTAAACTTACAGGCTTATTGATTGGCTAAAATTGATGTCAAATGACTTAAGCCATGACATCACCCATAGGGATATTTGTCAAGGTGTTAAAGGTCTTTTACTTTAAGTAATTTTGCTTCTTTTTATTGATTATCTTTAAACATAATGTTACAATGACTGATATTAAGAGCACTTATTTTTCTGCTCAAACAAAATATCTTTGTTTGCATTTACTGATAAACTAGCTTTCATTTCCATGTTTCATTTCGTTTTGAAAAAAAAATTATTCTTGGCAAAGAATACCTTGAATCTTAATTAAAGAATTTAATTTTGTTCTTACAGGCTGTTAGACGATCTAGGAAATGAAATTGAAATGACCGACTCAAAGCTCCAAACCATGCTTGTCAGAGTTGAAAAAGTCCTGAGACTAGCTGATGGTGAGTTCTCAGAAATGCCTTTGTACTGTGTCTTTTGTGATATGAAGATTCTCAATAAACAGTTTCTGTAATTGTTTGTTTATTTGAGCATATGTTTATTTATGTTAAATGCTCTTGAGTAACTGGGATGCTTTGCTGTAGCAGTTTTTTTATGTGAATAGAAATGGAAAATGTTTCCTATTTTCATGCAGTGCAATATTAGACCTGTTTTGATAATACCTTGAAATACCGTAATATTTGCAAAGCAAGCTGGTTGGGCAAGAGCAATTAAGCTCAGTTGAAAAAATTAAAGTTGCATTTATGATTTTTGGAAGGGTTGCTAAAAATTCTTTGCAAAATTTTTTCCAGCATCATTTATTAACAGCAAACAACATGCATTAGCTTTTAAGTCTTCTGAAACATTTTGAAAAATTGTGCTCTTTTTCTTTTGCCCAACACATTTCAGTTAAGGTTAAGGTAAGCATTTTTGACACCATGTTTTGTTTTCTCTCCCTGAAAGCAAGCTAATATCAGAATCCAATTAAGCTATACTTCATTTGATGCACAAGAATGTGGTGATTCCAACCATATCAAAATATTTGGCAAATATTGTGAAATGATACTTTAAAGGCAAATTTATTGCTTGAATGAGTGTACCACCTTCAAAACCTATTTTGTACCCTTGGGTTTAAGGTAACAAAAACTGACTTATATTAACAGGAAGTGCAGATCCCAAGCTACCAAAAGAGGGTGTCTCAGATTTTTCAAATTCTTCCTCTCCTTGAATCTATTCCCTGTTAAAAATGGGCAAACAATTTTTTCTTCCCTCCCACAGTTGTATTTGGGTATGAAAAGACAGACAGAGCAAATACAAAATTTTTGAGACACACTTTGGTTACCCGACAACTGTCCCAGCTGTGTGCAAATTTTTGAGTCATTCAATTGGTTCCTTGGGTACAAAATAGCTTTTTCATACCTGTATATAGAGAAATTGTGAGTCCTGAGAAAACAGGATTTTACTGATCGCACTTGCAAGGTACACTTGTAAACTACAGTGTAATCCAGATCAAGTCATTTAAAGTTAAAGATCAATGAGCCTGTTTAAATAAACATAATGGTATATGGGATACATTGATGTGTCATGCGATTGTAACTAGTTTTTGCAAATGAGACATGTGACTACAAGCGCCAATCAATGACAATGGGCTTAACAGGTCATACAATTTTCAGACCTCAACCTAAAGCTTTATGGAAACCTTCATTTTCAGGGGTTTTTCGCCATTTTCAAAACTTCTGTTAGTTTTAAACATGATATCATTATGTGCCTTGAAAATCTGGTTACTAGAATCTGAAGAAATTGAAAAATGGATGTTCTCATCCAGAAAACGTTTACGGTAACCTTAAATTAAGTCACAAGGGAATTTAGATAAAATTCAAGGTCTACAGTTAATTCTGCTGTAAACTTTATGAGTTACTTTGTTTCAAATGTGATTGAGGTTGCTTTATCATTTTAGCTATATGCCTGTAAACATCATTGACACATCTCAACATATGACTAAAGACCATGTTCATTATTTTTATATTTATTGTTCACATTAATATGGTGTGTCTTTTTACATGAATACTAGTTATTATATGTCCAATTTTTCTTTTTCAGATAAAAAGCAAACATATGTCCTCATAGCGTTAATAGTCCTTATGGTGATAGTCATCATTCTCTTTATTGTACCTACTTAATAATTATTTAGTTATTTGTAATATAGATCACTGAGATTAACTACCTGAGATTAAGACACATATATTTGAATGGCAAACTGTCATTAGAGTACTGGCGAAAATGTGTCTACCATACCTATGTGTTATTGACATTGTAATATTGCAAAGTCTACAGCCATAATAAAGACAAATTATAGCTCCTTTATAAATTAGTTCAATAGTAATGCTGATTGCCATATTGCTGGGAATTCCCCTAAACTAAGTTCATGATTTCTATGTGAACGATGATGATAGTCAATGGAAAGCCGCAATGTGAAGTATAGTTATTCAAAACTAGTGGACATATTTTCTGCGCTGTATGTCAGAATAGCACGGAGATATATTCATATGTCTCTAAGTTGGCAATGTTGCACTAGTGTTTTTATTGTAATGTATAGCACCAACACCTTGTCATTAAATAAACTTTGACGATCAAGTGTCTGAGAACTGAGAGAACCTTTTGAAAGTAAAACACTGTTGTTGGGCTTTGTAACTAAAATATTTCTGTTTTTGGTAGTATTTCATTTTTGCGGAATAGTTAATGTGTATGTGTACAGGTAATTGTACTCTTATATCGAAGTTTAATTAATTGACTTTCCATAAAGATTCTGGACATTTTCCAATAGTTAGAAATTTGCTTTGCCTGCCATTACCTCCAAAGATGTGTTGCACTATAGTATCCTAGCTCGCTTACAGCATTTCAGTCAACTAAAACTGTATATTTATGTATATTTAGACCCCCTTTGTAAGGTCGAATGCCATGTCATTATGTAGTGTAAGGCCTTACTCTACTTATGAAGTCAAAGGAAATTATGCTTTGCATGGTTCACCTTTAAAGACTCATATTTAAGCGACCACAATCTCAATGCTTTTAACTCTGAAATGAGATTTTCAACATTTCTGTTTGTATAGTTAACTACTTAAAGATCTGTCTCCCCTCGCTAATTTCCTAAAATTTAGTTGGATGTATTTTGCAATATTTAAAGTACATATGACCTTGAAATAACGTCAAATTCTTCATATCCTTTTTCTGAAGGCATATTGAATTGGTAGTTACAAGATCGTTCTGTTGCAACCAGTGGTATGGCGAGTATGGCCGGGCCGGGCAGTAGCGGCTCCAGCCTGGGGTAATTGGGGGGGGGACAAAAGGTGTGTCAGGGACAACGCCCTTTTGGACCACGTCCTTTTCCCCTGTTTGAATTTTTTTCTTCCGGAGGAAATACCTGTTCTCTCCCAAGAAAAATCATTTACATGTGACGATCTAGATAACGTACATACCCCCCCCCCCCTGAAGTTTTCTCATCAGGTTTGCAAGATTCTCAAGGACCAACTTTCTGAAAAAGTGGGGGGTTACTAGTCCCCCCCATTCCCCCCCCCCCCGTAATGCAAAAGCATGCCTTTTAGATATATCTCTATTTTGCCCCATTAATCCATCTACGTCACGCCGCTGGTGACATACTAAACTTGCTTTATTTTGCAAACATAGTTAAACAGAATTTAACAGTTGTTGGGAGTTTTTCATGTAGCAAAATCCGTAAATACTTTAGGTGGGCATTCTTCCGTGTAATTAATGAACGACTGAACGCCCGTGAATGTCGTCTCTGGCGTCTCTACTACAGCACCATGGTTTTTATATTTTATACAAGTATATCCCTAGGTCTGTGTTTACATAATTACTGTATTGAAATTAGGTAAATAGGCTGGTATTTGTGTAATCATGTAAATCGATTGCAAGAGTTCTTTAAAATTAGAGATTTATTGATAGCAAAGTGGTGTTTTTTGCTTGCTACTTCATATTTGTAAACTTACCGCCGCCAGAAGCCATGCAACAGCGTGAAATGAAAAATTCTCATAATTGCAACAATCCTTGTCAAAATTGTTGGAATACTTGCGAAAAGCTGAAGCTTTTTTTTAACCCCCCCCCCCCCCCTACCCCCCATTACAATGATGTTCAATTGGGCTATTTTGATCCTGAAGGTAAAAATTTGTCCACTGAAAGCTGTATGAAGGTATTGAGAAAATAAATCAACATTGTACGGGGGGAGGGGGTCGGAAATTTTGAAGCAGTAGTGGTATTTTGGTAGGGTAGTTTTAGACTTGCTTTGTTTATTTGCATGCTGCAATGGGAAGGCGTTTCAGTTATGTTTGGCAAGTATTGAATTAAACCCTGTCACTTAATTGTTGGTATTTATTGAATGCAAAAGACTTTTCATATCACATTTATTACTTTGAAACTGGGTAGACCCAAGCTTTAACAAATTTTCTTTGCCCTTTGCATGCCCCCAAGTTTTTTCAAAGGTTCTATTAAAAATTCAATGTTTCTACCAAAGCCATTTAATCGTCTTTTGACTTTGTTAGGGCTGCTCTCTTTATTTTATCCCACTCGATCTTTATTGCTTGTATTTAACAAGCTACAATCGTCTACAAAAATTGTGAGACTGCTTTCCTTCCAACCTCACAGTAATGCAAACGTCGGCTTGGTTTACTTTGCCCAGAAGAAAACTATCGAAATTATCTTGTAAACCATTCGTAATTTTGACTTGGGCTTCAGACGGACTTATTTGTTGTTCAATCCTTCCACCGCCCCCTTCCCTCCCCCGACCCCTCCAAGCAATGTTGTTTGTTGAGATTTGGTGAAGTAGTTGCAAACCGTGTGTGCAAAGATCGTATATAACAACAAGATCTCAACGACATTGCTTGAAGTGGAGTGGGAGGGGATTAAATACAGTTCTAGTAGATGGGTGTCAAAAAATTTGTCCTGGTTTCATCACTGGTCTCAATATATCTTGTGAAGGATTGTAGGGGCCCTGATAAGCGTTTTGGTTTGTAACCGAGGTGAACATTAATAAAATTTTGGCCCCTTTCTGTAGCTACCAAGAAAAAATCATACTTGAAAATCATTTAAATTTTATATTTGTTATTTGTTATCACGAAGATACACTCTTTTAAGGTGGGGTGCACAGGGTAAGCCCAAACCAAGACTATCCGTATCCCATTAAAAATCCTTTTCGATCTGGAACCCAGCGCAAAGAAATACCAATACTTTCCCAGTATACCTTGGCAATCTACTATTGCTTATCAAAAATCTATGACTTTAAATTCTGTGTAACAGAATGATTTGCTTGATCTCATGAAGATGACATGATTGGAAGATAGACGTTGGAACTTTATATTTCGTATCTTTATCTTAATTCTTATCGAAATACCAGTTTTTTGACGACAGGATGCATTCATTTGCAAAAACCAGGCACCGCGGAGCGTTGAGAAAAGTGGGGGTCTAAAAAAAATGGAGGGGGGGGGCTAAAACCATATAAAAAGAGGCTTTATTGGTAGTTTATTACTTAATATTTGGCATTTTTTTGCAAAAAGTGGGGGGTGGCTAAAGCCCTCTCCGCCCCCTGCTCAGCGGTGCCTGAAAACCCCTATCACATTTTGGGGCAGGGGGGGGGAGAAATAAGGGTGCAATTTTTCAAGTTGCTGCTCCCTGCTCCCTCTGTAGTTTAGAATCTGTTGTGCAATTCCTAAAATATACAGTTATGGAATATTTTCAAGCCTCTGATATATTTAAATTTTTAAGCCTATTTGAACGCACTGCCTTGCGCTTGCCGATTTGCCATTGATCGGTTTGTGATCATCTGATCTGATCGTCAGTTTTCTTGAGAGATTCTGCTCATGTTTACATAGAGTACCTGGTAAGGCGAACTTCAGTGTGACAAATGGAGCCGAAGGTTGAGAGGTGAAGGAATATAATGTTTTTTTAGATTTTGTTCGTTTTCTGTAAGAAAATGGCTGCTCAAGAATGGCAGATGGCGAAGGAATGGCTCAGTTCCACTGGGGCTGTGCCTTTGTCAAGTAAAATTCATTCAGACTGTGATTTGATCGACTTTGTACAAGCCCTTCGTGATGGAGTCATTTTATGTGAAGTTGCAAACCACATCAGAGGAGGGGCTGTTACGGATTTGACACGAGCGACACACATGTCAGCGGTGAGTAGAAAGGGCGATTTTGTTATTCCTTTGGCATAGACATCCACAAAGCATTTTTGAAAAAAATACGTTTGGAAATATTAAAGGACAACGATCACCGTAGGTCGTTGTTTCAATAAAATACTGAAGATGTATCTAGTACTGCGCGTCCCGCGCGCTAAAGAAAGGGATTAGTGGATTTTGAAGACGCAATATAAAATACACTGTATAACGAATTTTGCCAAAACTTTAAGAACTGCTATGCTTTTTTCTTCGTTTAATAAAAATGTTTGTAATTTAGGCCACTACACTTGAATGTTGCGTGTAGCTACTTCCTGTTTCGAAGTTATGGGAAAAATGATTTGTAAACTCATCTAGTTCACAAAACGACCATAAAAGTTAATGATGCTGTTTGTTTTTCCAGGAAATTGACTAGCTATTAAAAATTAGACTAGGAAAGAACAGGTTTCCGGAGTAATCAATTTTTAAACGAACCCCGGCAGGGAAACTTCAAAACAGAACGGAGGACAAGAATTGTGTAAATATTTTTAACAGCTTAAACAGGCATGCTGCCTCGCAAAACTTTTTATTGAAAAAATTTTCTATTTTATTACTAATCAAAGATTTATTGCAACCATAAACAGTGATGCGAAAATTTCAATACAAATTACAATTTCAAAATTACAAAATATAGTTGCTATATATTGATGCAACTCTTGCAGATATTTCAAACTTCAAGATTATCATATCAGATTTTTTATTTATTATATCAGCTAAAATTTCGATGACTTGTCATGTGTTATAAATACTCTAATTTCTAGAACACTTATATAGATAATAAATGCCATAGATAATAGAAATCAACATAATTCTAAAATATACAGTAGCAAGTTTTGATTAAATTTTGATTCAAACATTTTTCAAATTGAAGCTTCAAACTTGCATTGCAATGCTCATAAACTTTTCTGTTTACAGAAATTCTAGTTTTGAAACTAGACTCCTGTCTAAATTTTATTTGATTTTCATTTAGCACTTTTTATAACCACATTTTCCATTTTTAGTTCTTTTGCAACAAGAATATCGGTGGATTTTTGAAAGCCTGCAAAGTCACTTTCAAAATTCCAGAACAAGAGTTGTTTAGTCCAAGAGACTTATATGATGTGTCTGATTTTGCCAAGGTAATCACAGTTTGAGCTTAAAACATTTATTTGACATTTGTTTATAAAAAACATTATTTTGAATCTTGGGTTTTTGACTGAAAGTATGACATATTGTCTAAAATTTGTTTGTAATTAATCAATACCTTAGTGTTGTGATGGAAATTCAATATTGATTGCAACAATGCATTTGTTGTTATCGTAGTTACTTTGTTTATTGATATCACATTTTTTTATTTCTTTGAGTTATATATTTACATATACCATATTTGATGAGCATCTTAGATAAAAAAACTTATGATCTGATAGAAAATAGAAAGTTATTTTGTAAAAATGTAGAACCATCACATTAAGCTGTCTGATGATTGTATTGAAAGACAAACTCTGAACCAAAAGCTTGAGCCATCACATTTATTCAAAAACCAAGTAATAACTTTTTATTTGGGGGGGGGGGGGCGAGCTGTGATAAATAGGTGAACCAACAGCCATATTTTACAAAATAAAAGTAGTTTACTTGTGCTACTTAAGTTTTTTGGGGAGCAAATGCCCCCCGGTATCTTGGTCTTTGCATTTATTATGTCCAAAATACATAGTAAATCTTTTAATCTGGGCTATCACAATTATCACCTGCAAGCAAAGATGTCTTTAATATTTTCTCCATTGCTAGGTTATTCGATGTTTATCATTATTATCAAAATCACCATTGGCAACACAAATGGGACTAAAGTAAGAAAATAAAAGCTTATTTATTCTCCTTGATTATGAGATAATTTTGCTTTTTCTTACACATTATTAGATTAGCTTTATCAGGAATTCTGATTCAAATGTTTTCATTTGACAAAGCCACAGCATTAAAGAGATCTGTTGGGAGACCTACTTGCAAGATTCTTGGTGTGGCATATTTAAGATATGACATTCAGGCCTTCGGTTGTCTGTGACTGCAGAAAGGACCTTTTATAACCCCTTTTCTGAAATTCAAAAGATCATACCAGTGCATATGTATAATTAGATGCATGTAAGCCTGCCCTGGATGATAATAGGAAGAAAAAGCTTTGTACTGGCCATCTTTATAAGTGTTATCAATCAAGCAGATTATATATTTTTTCTCAAAGGAGAAATGCTCCACTAATCTTACAACAAAACTAACAATATGATTTATTTTAGCTATAAACAGCCATGAAACAATGAATCCCAACAATTTTTATACAGTATTGCTAAATATGGGTGCTCTCTCCTTGATTAGGTTACCTTCTGAGAGAGCTCTTCCTTAAGAAATTCATCTGCAGACACTTTTTTTTCCATTTAGTTTTTATTGTCTCCTGTATTTGATATTAAAGTTTCTTTTCTGTAGTTCTTTTTTGTATATGTATATGTAGTTTAAATTGAAGTTGTATGTAGTGCAATTTTAAAAATGAAACTGAACTGAATTGAACATAATTATCATTTTGATATAAACAACTATAGTTAATTGAAAAGTTGTGCTTAAGTTTCAGGGAACCAAAAGTTGCTGATGTTATTTTGTCTTTGCTTTTATTTTAGGCCATTTCCTCCAGAAAACAGCGTTCAGCAACCTCAGCACCACTACCACTATGATGATGATAGAGAGATTTATTCACGGTTGGAGGATGCTGTTGCATCACAGTAAGTCATTATCAACTAATTTTTGTTTACCTGACAGCTATTGTTGTTCAGTTGGTATAGTCATGAGTAATTGATGATTTGTTTGTTTTTGCTATTAATTACAAGCAAGGGCTTTTATGAGTCATACCTTCCATTTTATGAATACCATCGATCATGATCAAAACATTATCATCATAAGTCAATCATTTTAAATTATTTATTTTTCACAAGGGTACAGGTTTTCTTTTTCAGAGAGCTGTATTATGCAAATGAAATATAAGGATTTTATTAGAAAGCGCAAAAATGGCACAATAATGACACAAAACAGAGGGTTTTTGAAATGCTATCAAAAGTAGAGATCTTCCAAAATAGAGTTTTTTTAAAACAAACTGGATCAATGGTATACAAAAAACAGAGGTTTTTGAAAACCCTCTAAATATTTACAAAATGTGAACGGTATAACACAAATACGGACATTTTTTACTCTGTTTCTATGAGTGAGCAGTGTGAACGCACAAAAGCAGGCATTCTCCTCTCTGTAGACAGATAAGAATAAAAGAGGCACAGTGAATGGGGCCTTGCTTGAACGATACAGTTTTCATTTCATGTCGATTGGTTTTGTACTAGATCTGTTGTCTTTTTGCACAAAAACTATCTACTCTGATATGGTTTATACCGTTTTCATCTTCAAAATGAAAACGCTATACTATGGGATGAAACCAATCCAATACACATCTGGTCAAATGCACATCTGCACATCAATGCACATCAATACACATCTGGTTTAATTTGATCAAATGAAAAGACTGCTGTTCAGAGTCCATAAAACAAAGGCAAACCCTATGCAATATAGCATTCTGGTGCGCCTCAGCGTACGCATGTAAACAGTGCCCCTAATCCCAAATGAAATGCATAAGGTAACATGTATACAGGCAAAAAAATTTTGTGTCAAATTAGGAATATACATACAATGTGAAATGGAAATTCTATAGTTTAAGCAGGGCCTAAGAATTTTACTGTAAGGGTGGTAATCTATAGTAAATAGTCATAGCCTTGATAAGATTTGCAATAAACCACACTTCTCACAGAAATGTAGCGGGTGCCAAGGTGTGCACAAGGTGTAAATTCTTATTTAAAATTGAAGGCTGTTTCGTGACCAGCATGCTGTGTGGTAGCTGTTTAAAGAAATTGACTGTTTTGTATTTTTGCATATATGATTTAATGAGCACTAAGGATAAAAGTTAATAGCCTACTGTTTTTAAATCTTTAGTGGAAGAGCAAAACTTGATGAAGAGGAAGATGATATTTACAATATATATGATCCTGTAACTGTTGCAGAAAATGAAAAAATCTATGATGACATTGTGAAATGTGTGAAACAGAGTGTGAGACATTTTGATCAATCTCTTTTGTACCATATGCATCATATTAAATTTTTATGACTGTCTGGTTATTATTTCTTAATCAAGAGCTTTTCTACTCTTTGACATAAATTTGCGAATCTTGTCATCTGTTAAATGAATTTAGTATTTTGTTTGAATAGAGATATATTATTTTTTAACAATAGTGCCTTCAATTTTCTACAGATTTTATATCAATTTGTTTTCCTATTAGTTTTCTATGCTAATGTGCATTGTTATATTAACTGTGTTTTGTAGTTATTAAACATAAGTTGACATATTTTGACTATTCTTTTATTTAATTTTTTATAACATTGCAAGTCATGTATTTGTTTTTTACTTTCTTTTGATGATTTACATGTTTCTTGTTTTTGTCAGCAAGCAATTCTAGCCAGGGAACCTGCAGCTCTTCCTGATAAAAGAAGCCACATTATCAATGAAATTTTACAGACTGAAGAAAATTATGTCAACGCCCTTAGTGTTATGAAAGATGTAAGTCAACATTCATTTATAAAAACAAATTATTCCATAGCCCTGTTTACACTACACAAATTAACCTGGGTTCTAACTAGGTTAAAAGTAACCCGGGTCGAACCCTGATGTGTTTACACTGGAAACTGTCGACTTTGTAGTGTAAACGGAATCAAGGACGAACCTGGGTTAGTTTGATATCGACGCATGCGTAACATATACAAATTGAAGGCGATGATAAACAAAATTGCGGCGGTCAACGTGTATATTGTTTGTGAACTTTACAGAATAAAATAAATCGACTTTAAAAGCAATTATTCCCAGTGTGGGCTTCGTACAATCAGAGAATTCTGGATTCGCGCTTTGCTTCGTTTTGCATTTGGCGCCATTTCCGTCACTACGCGCCTAGGTTCGCCCCAGGTTTGCGTTTACACTACACTTTATCTAAACTAACCCAGGTTCGACCTAGGGCGAACCCACCTTTTGAGATGGGTTGACTAACGCGGGGCGAACCTGGGTTAGTTTGCGTTTACACTACAAAAATCCAACCTGGGTTAGTTTTAACCTGGGGCGAACCTAGGTTAGTTTGTGTAGTGTAAACAGGGCTTATGTGCATATGCGAAGCTAGGGTAATTGGACCATCAAGCAGTCTTGTCACATATGCAGAGTTTTTGTCATCATTAAAAATTCCCTCTTGGATAAAAATACACTTTGGCAGCCTGCTACTAAAATGTTTCTGCATCACCAATATCGATCCAAATCATTTTGATCATAGACAAAAGTTTTAGTGGCAAACACGGGTTGTCGTTTTAAAAGCTGTTTTGTGCAATTTTGTGCAACTTATTGCACCTTTCATAGATATATTTTTGCCAGAATATTTCAGGTTTTGCCTTTTAAAATGATGCAGCCTTCTTTCTCGGATCTTCTTACTATCCAGTGGCTTTTTATTGAGTATAAAGCTTACAAAGTCAAGTTGGCTGCTTGTTTCTTACTATCTATTCTCTTTTGATGAGAGAGATCATTCGCAACTCCAAGATGCTTTTCTCTGGGTATTATGTAATGACTTGTAGAACTCATTCGTGGATGGAAGGTTGCAGCAAGCATGCCTCTTTTAACTTAAGTCATCAAGCATGGTATCTTTTAACTATAGCATTGTTCAAAGTAAGAGAAATAAAGTAAAAGTTTAAGTGTGTATGTCCGATGTATCAGGGCAAAATAAAAATGCCCCTAACTCTTCAATTTTCTGAGATAAAAAAATTTCACATTTAAACCTTATGGGATTTATAAACTCCAACGGACTTCCGAATTTGGTAGAAAGTCACTAGGTATTGAGTGAGAAATATTTTGAACAAAACTTTTTGGGAAAAGATTCTCTCAAGGCGAAGATTTATTACTTTGAAATGAAAAAACCAGGTAATTTGGAAGGTTTTGTAACCCTTGTAAATGAAGCAAAAACCAAGTCCCGAAATCACCAACTTTGTTAAAAGATGTTAAAAATCTAACAAAATGCCTGTTTTTTTTAAAGTGAAGGATTTAAGATATTGGAAAGCCTTTTTTTAATGAAGATGGCTTTATTTGATGAAATCGATAATGCCTACAGGACTGCTTGACAAGCCAAAACACCCGTAGATACGTAAAAACTAAATCGAACTTCATTTCCTTTCTAATGGGCCACATTCTTTCATATCGCTCTCAGCAATTTTTATGCTATTTGTTCAGTTTTTCATGCAGTTGTAGTTCGTGATGATATTGATATGGTATCTGCTTTTGATAAACATAAGTTTATGGAACAGTACTGGGCGTAACTGATGTTTCAGCGAAAAACAGATTCAGCGCAGTTTAGCAATCCTGACCATAAAGTGCAACCTATTTTGGTTGCATTCACATTTACTTCGGCTTTTCGCTTGCAGGCACAAAATATTTTATAATGAGCTCTGGCTAGAAACATAATCACTCGTTAGAAACCTATTGTTCAATCAATCGATTGTCAGTGCCAAATGATAAAATGTTGAAAATCGCAATAGCAGGGAAGCTCTAAAATGTCTTGTATAGCTTCATTGACTGGGCAGTGAGTTTGACCAGGGGATGCTTCTGTCAGTGCTAAGGTCATCAATGTGGATAGCTTGGAGAAGTGAACAAAAGGGGTTATTTTCAGTCTGTTGGGTTTTTGTTATCTCCCTTTCTGATGTCTCTGATATTCATATAAATTTGAATATTTTTTTCTGTCCAAGAATCACTTATTACTTGACACTGTTTGATTTGATATTTCCTGGCTAAGATGTTTCAAAGATTTTTAAAATTTTGTTCACAGTTTTGTCCAGATAATCAGTAAATGATAATTTCATGAACGCAGGTCTTGATTCATTAAATTTTGAAGTCGAATTTTAAATGTCATGTTTGAATTTTGCAGTTTTTCATTGGACCATTAAAGATGTTTTTGAAGAAAGAAGACAAAGAAATCATTTTCATGAATACAGAGGTAGTTTCAACTTTTTCATTGGTCTTTATCCTTTCTATTTGTCTTTTCTTAACTAAACAAAATATATTTCTCATTTAATATGTTTTTCTCACTCTAGACGCTCTACAAACTACACTACGAATTTTTCAGACTTTTAAAGCCTAGGGAAGCTGGATTGAATTTGCAAAGCTTCATTGATTTTGTAAGTAAAAATGCACTTTTCGGATAGGCGTTTCACTTTAAAAAGGGTGTATGCAGCATATAACATAACTTTGTCTGCATAATGTTTTATTTCATTGTGATGTGGTCTTTTTATATGGCGGTGAGTTTGAAATTTCGCCAAGATACTGTGTCATTAGTTCGTTTATAAGTTTATAAGTTTATAAGTTCGTTTTTATTTTGTTCAGAACGCATTGCTTGCTAAATTGCAAGGGTTTTGCATATCTGTAATGCAACGGTTACTTTTGTAACAGCAGTAGAGTGTAATCTCAATATCTCTAACTTTCAAGGGAATGATAAAATTTGTTTGAGTTAACGAAGGATTAGAGTATTTTGAAAGGTCCAAGAGCAATGCAAAACAAATTCGAGTTATTTAATGGTCGAGTTGACGAGTTTTGGATAAATGTGTTGGGTATTTTTGAAGGGGGAATGCAAACAGTTCGGGTAATGGAGGATTTGATTAATCGGAATTATAACTGTATTTCCCATCTTTTTGAAGACTAAATTTACAAATTTATTTCTATTTCGTCATTCTGTCTTTCTGTATTTCAGGCTGATAGGTTTCTGGAGTATGCATACTACTGCTCAAATATGCAAGAAGCTCAACAGCACGTGAGACACAGCTATTTTATTCTGGAGTTTACTTACTATCTATTTCCATGTAAACACTCTTTATAAAATACTTTAACCGAGTTGTTTGAAATTGTTTTCGGCAAAGTCAAATTAAAGTCAAAATGGACCATCGCATAATAAACTTAACGTCTCAATAAAGCCCACTTCGCGGACACCCTATAGCCCCTAAATCCATGGGATGAGAAGCATAAGGGCAGCAAGAAAGATCTGGCTTGGTAGCAGATTTTTAGTGATTTTTGACGTTCGTGATCTTTTGCTATTGAAATTCATTGAAATCTCAAATAACAAAATTATAAAAAGTAAGCGATAGCCTCCTGGAAGTAATTCATGCTTTTATTTTCAAGCTACACGAAGTATTTTGTACCTTTTTACATGTTAGTTTGCGATCACTTACATTTTGCAAGCAGCGCTTTTAGAACGTTCGTTACAAAAGTTAGTATGTATTTGGGAATGGGATACAAGATTTGCAGGACGATTAAAGCAATTATAAACCTGATTTCGGGAAGTCCCATCAAACCTGGGAGAGCCCTTCCATCCATTCAAAAGGATTAGACAGAAGGAGTTCGTTTTCTCTCTTGGACTTCAGTGGTAATGTTTTCTTTAGGCTCGCGGCATTGATTGGTCAACTATACCGGTCTTGTGCTTGCGTTTTTTCTGATTGGCCTATTTCGATCCACAACAATATATTTTTCATCGTGCTCTTTCGGAACCTTATTCTGACGTTTTATTCTCTGAGGAGTGTCAGACGAAAAAACTTTTAGTATGTTGTAAAATGTTTGCTTTTTTCAAAGCCATTTTCAAACTAAAAATAATTTTTCTTTAGATATTTTATTGCTTTAAATGAAACGATGTGGTTTGTAAAATGCAGTTACCTAGCGTATTCTGCCCAAAAATTAAAAGGTTGCCAGTCCAAGTATTGGAAAGTTAATTTTCCTTATTTACCTGTTGCTTCGTTATTTCTAACAGGTCACTGAACTCTGCAAAGATTCCAAATTTAATCAATTAGTCGAGGTATGTTTTGCTGCCTGGAGTTCTTTTGTAAATATTTATCACTGTGAAATGTTTCCCTGCTGCAGACTATTCTGAGAACTGAGATTCTCGTGCCATTTTGTTTGACAGAACAAGCTAATCTTTTTTCTGGAATGTATGCAGTTACCATTTACTCATGACTTAGTCAAAGAATTTATTTTACTAGTTATAATCATCAATATGTAACCTTACTGATCAAACTCGGATTTACAGCTCTTCTCGGTTTATTTTTTTAACTTGACACACAATTGTTGCATTTTTTGTCCCTCCACATATAAATTTTTTTTGGGCTCATACATGATTATTAACTAAAAATGGTGAAGTTATAACTTTATATGCTTGCCAAAAGCCGTAACAGTGATACAGTAACCACAATGTCTTAACCGATCCTTCGTTTGTTCCTTAAACTGATATACTCCATTAGATTAGCTTTATCAAGTTCTTCAATTTTTAGGCGTCTCAAAGCTAGATTTTTCTACTATATACATGTACTCATAATTGCAGGTTGAGTTTTGAAAGATGGTTATAATAATAATCATAACAATATAGAATTAGCAGATTCAAATATCAGTATCCATTTGCAGGAATGTCAGAGAAATTCTAAGAGGAAATTTCCACTTCATGAGCAGCTTATTGTACCGTTTCAAAGAATTTTGAAGTATCCTTTACTCTTAAAGGTAAGAATCGAGCACACATGACTGTTTTGGTCCACATCGCATGCAGATTCTTGTATGCTCTATATATACTATAGTCTTTAACGCTGTATGTTTAACGAACCTTTTACCACAACCAGAGGTGACTGGGAGCAAAGTTGAATAGAAGGTCAAGGCACCAGCAATCTACTGGAACAAAGGCCACACCCAAAATATTGAATCGCTAATGCCATGCATTTCAATAACTTTTTTTCATAAAAAGTATTTTCAAAATTTGCTTTTCAATAATGCGTGAATAGATTTAATTGATTACTTCGTCTCTTTATTTTCAATCTTCCAATGAAAATAGGTGTCAGCAAAAGCCCAAACATATTGCATGTTTTTTAAAGTTATATCAAGCGTTTGTTAGTATTTTTTAGATCTATTTATAGTGATATCATCGGAAAGATTTATTTGCTAGATGAAGGTTCATTTGCTTAAAGAAGCTGTTTTGACCTCTATTTCAGGGGCTTTTGAAAGATACCCCTCACGACCACCCGGACAGGGCCTTGACGCAAAAGGCCCTTGAAGCCATGGAGGTGAATTTTGATATCTTCGCTGTAACGCTAATGAATTATTTGATTTATTCCTTTATTGTGGTTTTTTCATTACATTATATACATAATTTCTAGGATCAATATCATAATATCAGTATAATACAACATTTGTCAAGAAATTTATTAAACCGTACACACTATATATGACGAAATACACAATTAAATGAAAATCACAGGACAACGAGTTCAGTAAACAGTAACTGATTTTATTCAATTTTTTATTTGTTTTACTAAGCATCCTGGTAAAGTCAGATTAAATAAAGAGCCCTCTGTATCCTTTATTGTGCTTGCATATTGTCGCGAAATCACTGTACGATTAAAGCCAGTTTGCAAACCATGACAGTATTCCAAATCAAGATTCGCTACAGTATTAACACAATGGCGGCTTTTTCGTTTGTATGTAGATCAACTACATACAAATGAAAAAGCTGCCATTGTGTAGACAGAAGGAGTTCGTTTTCTCTCTTGGACTCCAGTGGTAATTTTTTTTAGGCTCGTGGCACTGATTGGTCAACTATACCGGTCTTGTGCTTGCGTTTTTCTGATTGGCCTATTTCGATCCACAACTGGGTATATATTTTTCATCGTGTTCTTTCGGACCCTGATTCTGACGTTTTATGCTCTGAGGAGTGTCAGACGAAAAAGCTTTTAGTATGTTGTAAAATGTTTGCTTTTTTCAAAGCCATTTTCAAAAAATATTTAATTGATTCATTAAAATATACCTTTTAGGACGTGGCTTATTATATTAACATGTATAAAAAAGATGACGAGATGAAGAAAAAAATTGCAAAAATAGAAGCAAGGTTTGTCAAAGTTACCCATAAATTTTGTTATGGCTTTTCGGCTTTGCCAAGGATTTTTTTATTTTCTTTTTAACAAATTCTTTAAGCACAGGTTGGCTGCCATTCGTTTAGAAGTTATTTGTAGATTCGCTAGTTCTTCGCCCCTTCCTTCAAGTTTTTTTTGCTTTAACTGTTAGAAAATTTTCGTTTGCTTTACTGGTATAAGAAAATAACCGAGAACTTCATTTTTCTATATTTTTGAAAGTTTAGGCATATATTTGAAGACAAAAGAACTACAAGCGCTATCACTTGATTTGTATATCTTGTCAGTGGCCGGCGACAAATTCATAATCCCATATTTAAAGGCAAGGTCATGCGAAACAGTGTGTGACGTCAAATCAATGTGTCAGAACACTGAAATGTCCTTTCCTCATTGAACAGTTTTAATCGTCTAGATGCAATAGATTGTAATTGAAAAACCCTGTAAAAGGTTAAAACCCAAATAGGTTATTTCATGATAAGCAGGTCAAAATTCATTAGATAAGCTTGTAAAATGGGATTTCAGTGTTTGCCAGGAGAGGCCATAGAAGTTAACCAAATGGTACAGCATCTATGCATCTAGTTGCAAAGGAAAGGTGCTACGGAGCGTTGGGAAATGTGGGTTGGGCGGGGGGGGGCTAAAACTGGTTGTCAATTTCTCAATTCTTTACATTTTTAGCAAAATGGGGGGGACTATAGCTGCCTGCTCCCTGGTGCCTCCCTGGCAATGGGCGTTCTTTTTCTTCTGCATCGCTCAAACTGATATTGATACTGTCTTTTTTCTTTCTCAGCGTCAAAGATGACCCTTGTCAGAATGTAAGCTATCTCATAATAAATTTATGTTAGAAATTGTTCAATATCCTTACTGTGATTTGAAATGTGTTTGAAGATTCACCCTGTATTTCAAATTTCATTATGAAATTTTGAAAGGAATTAATACCATCCCATTGCTGTCAGGGGCAGCTTCCCAAATGTCCTATTGATACAGATTGGCCACATCGGATAAAAGAAATAGCTATATTTTTCTACGAGTTAGAATGAAAACACAAATTCCAATATGATCTTGTTACACTATATGCAGTCTTCCGCAAATCGTAATTTCTTATCGTCCTTAGTGTCATGTTTTGTTGACTAAAGATGTAGAATATTTTTGTAATTTTCCTTATTTAAGGGACAATTTTAAAACACTGAATTCTCTAGACTGGTTTATGGATAAAGAATATTGAAGATCTACCTAAATTCTATTCTTTCAAAACTTCAGGAACGTGTTTACGAGTACGGGAGATTCCTTAATGATGGCGAAGTTCAGGTCAGGTTTACCAATGATGACAACAAAAAAGCGTAAGTCGATGAATTTTTCGATTTGCTAACTGGATTTCAATTTTGGGTTTAATTACTTTTAGATCGCATGATTTGGAACAGTGAGATCCAGCTAGTGCGCCTTCTGAAATTCCCCAGTGCTCTTTGTAATAAAACTGACTATTTTCTTGTGAAATCCATTAAAAATGCATCTCCTTTCCAAAGAATTGATTGTTTTTAAGGTTCTTTTTCATTCTCAAATGATAAACTTGATGATCAAATGACCAAATGATCAAATCAAAAGAGACGAACATATAACTTCAGAAATTGCAAAAAATTATGAAAATTTTCGTTGCAGCTATTTCAAATGTGTGTACATGTTACAAATAAGTACATTAAAAAAAATTGTAGACATTGTATTTAAAATACGTTTGTTTCGCCCCTAATGCATAAGGACATTGATTTTAAGATTTTAAATAGTATTTTGGTTCTTGTTTCTGTGATAACTTTATGTGTCCTTCCCAATCGCTCATTTTATTCTCTAAACATTAGTTTTGTGGACGATCCGAGTTCAATTTCTATTGTTCTTTGCCTATCCAAGGGGAAAGATGTTGGAGAGTTATATCGGGGGTCGTGTCAAAAGCAGACTTAAAGCCCATGGTCCTCGCACTTATCGTCAACCTATATTGTTGTCTAACCAAGCTTTTTCTACTCTAAGCCTTACCCCCCCCCCCCACCCCCCCCCCCACCCCATTTTGATGCTTGTGATGCGGCATCTGTGTAACTATCTGGTTGGATGGATAAATTAACCATCTCCATGAGTTAATTTGCCAACAGAGAAGCGGCAAAGTTTCATGAAGGGGCGCGTGCAATCGAGACTCAGAGAGCTCAATCAAATCAGAAGGGGGTGAACCGTAATCCTCGTTGTAATCTGCGACTTTTTAATGGTATTTTGATCACGTATTTTGAAACATTTATTCCGCTGTTCACATTTTGTCGTTAAATATCATCAAGGTCAAGATATGTTGCCGCCTCGAAGCATTAGAACGAAGCTGTACATTATTCATATAACTTCAAAAGGGCATTCGTTTCAATCTTGGATTTTAAGTTGTGTTGTTAAAATATTGATTGATATATCATTCACTCTCTGACCATGTGTATAACGGATAACCGGTCCTATCCTCAAAAACGTATACAGCCCTACCAAACCGGCATTGAGCACTATATGAAAGACCGGTAGAACAATTATTTTGATTAAGTTAAAAGTATGAATATACGTGTTCACGTAATCGTTTATAGTCGTTTCAAAACGAATATGTTATCGAGGAAGTCTCAAACAGTTATAGCAATTGTACTCTTCCTTTTTTCAGGACTTCAAAACGTTACGCATTTCTATTCGACAAGTTCCTTCTTCTTTGCAAAAATCAAAGAGATACCTACGAAATTAAAGAAAAACTCAATTTGAAAAGATTCAAGGTTGATGCTGAAACTTCGGATTCAGGGAGGGGAAAAGTAAGTTTAATGTGGAAATTTAGTTGAAATAATTAATTTATTTATATTAATTTTAATATTAATTTTTCTGTTTTAAGTTGAACCCTTTTAAGTTGATCTCTGAAACGGAAAAGATCTGCTTACATTAATTTACAAACACAGTGGTGGTTTGAATTTACAGACCAATCATATGAGAAATTCAGCCCGGGTTGAGTTTGCCTTTTTTGAGCTTCAACCCGACTTCTAGAAAATTCATTAATTTTGGCGTTAACGTTCACGTTATACTTCGAGGGCAATTTCTCAACACGGAAACTGGAAATTTTGCAAACATAAAGGAAAGACTTCTCAACCCGGTGCGAGTTGAGGGATCTGAAAGATTATCCAAGGAGACACAAAGAGCTCAAGAACAGATTACTAGAAATTGGGCCGTGAGATTTTTAAATGGATTTGCACAAATTGAGCATCGCTATTGCCTTGTAGTCCGTTGGCGCTACCACTGTAACATCAAAAACATAAGATTCAAAAGCTGGAATGAGGGGTAGCAGAGACTCATTTCCTTATTTGCGCAATATAGGCAGCGTAACCTGAATGAATTTTTATTTGATGCCAAAACGTGCTGGCGGGTTGTTGTAATTACAGAAAGCCAAAGAACTTGATGCTTGCTTCAATATTTCATGAAAAAAGATTGGGATTAGGTTTTTGAAAGCGGAAAGGCATCTTGCAATTGGTGCAACTTGAGAATAAACTTTTCTAGGAATGGGTCAGCTTGTAGGCTCGTAGACTTGTAGACTCAGATAAAAGTATGATAATGGATGTCTGCCGGGAAAATAATATTAACTCTAGATCAAGGGTTTTGCTCGTCTTTTTGCGATCTTGTTGATTAACCTTGCGCTTAAACTAAGCCTGTTGCTGGGATCTGCCTTTGAAATCAAAACTTTGTAATCGTCTGTACATTTTGTGTCGATTGGTTAAATGGTGAATACTTTACATGAAGTTCCTTTTAATAGGCAGTAAATGTGGTCTATAGATGGCAATGCATTTTGCTAGGCGTTTTGATGGGGTCATTTTATAACAATCGGACAAGCATTTCGTCCTTCCTCTAAGGTTCTGTTGATTTTTTTGTAAATGTAGGTAACTATGGAATGAACAGAAATCGAATATTTCAAATGAATATCCCAATTAGTTCTGAAAGTAGAACCATTTGAAATTCCCTGTTTTTCATCAAAATGTTTCGAAGTCCACCATTTTGAACTGTTTGGACAACATAACCTGCCATTAAGCCTCGTATTCTGGAGGTAAAATGACCAAATTGTAACAAATAGCGAGCTTAAACAAGATGAACTCAAAGTCACTGTAGTTGATTTTTGATGATTTTTCTGTCTATTCTGATCTTGAATTCATTTTCCTTTAGTTGGCCTATTGCTGGAACATGCAAGCCGACAGTGGAGATGAAGGTTCGATACATTTTGAATTTATTTTGAATCAACTTTATATCTAAATGGACTTAATATCAAAAGTTTTGTCAGCTGGAGTCCGGATAGGAAACATTTGAGTTGTTATAATTTAAATTATAAACATTTGTAGAAGATATGGGTATGTAGACAGCGTTTCCTTGCCTTCAGGGATGTTTGATTTCACATCCGTACATTTTGTGGCTCCGCAAATGCGCTGAAATTCCACAAGTATTCGGGTTATTTTGAAGAGAGGAAAATTCTCTCAAGGCGAAAAATCTATTTTCGCTAGCTTGTTGCATTGTTTGTAATTTTAGTTTCAATTCCATGTTTTAATTTTAAGAAAAAGATTATCCATTGTTTGTTTTAATGTTGTGGTAAAACTTTGAAAAGGTGATCGCCCGACTGCGGTCCAACACTGTCTGGCCTTCCGTCAGCATCAGGCTAATAGATCTAGCTCTGTCCGGATCAACAGGCAGTTTCAATAATCCGAGCCAGGACTTTTTCGGAATTCCAATATGGAAGCAACAGTACTTCCTAGGAACGGGCAGATTTAACTATTTTCGTCCCGGAAAACAGCCCTACTTACCGTGAATCCAATTCTTATGGGAATATTAATTCGTCGGTCAACGCCCAGATAGTCGCTATATATTCTCTGATTTTTGAGCTCTTAACAGTCTATGTTATATTCATAGTAAGACTATATTTAAAGTCGGATACAGCTCTGTTGAACTTTTCTATATCGACTATAATTTTTCCCGTTGGCAGTGACGGAAACAATCAACTGTACTATGTTTGTGACATCGAAAATGTTGAAGGATGCCTGGGTTACAAAGCTACAAATGTGCATGTGAGTAAATCTATTCGAATTTGATATTGAATTATTCATCATGTGACTCTCTCTACTCCGACTCAATTTGTTGTTATGGCGATTACTCGGAATCCAGCAAAATCCTAGGTGTATTTAATATTTTAATTAGATCTTGGATGTTTGATATTCCTCTTTAGCGAATGAATGCTCAATCATGGCTATCTGAACTCTTTTTTTAGAAAACTCCCACTAACATACGCCCAACAGCCAAGTGGAATATAAATGTCTCATCTTTTTAAGCCCGTCTAAAACAATATAATTATTACATATAGAATTCAAATTTCACGAGAAGATAGAGAAAATTCAAGACTTTTTTAACCATTTCCTCGTCTCCATATAGATTCATGAAGACAACAAATTTCTAAAATTATTTTTCTTATTAATAAGGGTAAACATCAAATTAGCCCTCCTTTTTAGCGCCCCCTTTTTACCCCCCTTCATTCAAGAAGTGAAAGCTTTTTTATGGTCGGGGTTATAAACAGAGGATTTGTGGTACCAAAGATTTAGATATTTTAGCTACATTGCATGTTCATATAATTAGTGATCGAAAGGAGCAAACAATCTCACAGGTTTTGATTATCTCCTTATAGCGATGCTGTACAGCTTCCGAGATTTAAAGGAGGTGAGTGAATTTATTAATGTAAAAAGCATATGACTAAAGTATTCTTGAGTGAACAAATAGGTTGCACGAGATTCCTTGATGTTTCGATTGTTTTAATGTGTACTTCAAAGCAGTGGCCGTTCTAGTTAGCAGAATATCTGCCAAATATTTTGTCACCCCAAAACAATTCTGAAAATTTCAACAACGACCCTTGCACGTAAATAATTGTCGTTAAAGGCATTACGAATTGGCTGAGATATGGTCACATTAGCTCAGGCTCTTGCCTCATCAAACCTCTATCTTGGTTCATAACTTTATGAACCAGGCCAAATTAACAATAATAACGATAATATATTTAGCAAATAAATTTAGTACCAGAATGAAAATAAAATAGTTTGATTGTTAAATTATGATAATTATATTTTGATTTTTAACAACCAAACTATTGTATTTTCATTCTGGTACTAGATTTATTTGCTAACTATATTATTGCTATTCTGGATGAAGTACCACACGCAACGTACATATTTAATCAGAATAACAGTAATCCGTTAGCAAACTTGAAATCTTTCATTGGCCATATCTCTCGCCCAGTTTGGAACATATCTAGCTAATTTTGCGCAATGAGAGGTATTTTTTGCCGTTCTTTCGGCTTATGCGGACAAATTCAAGAAACTCTAAAAAAAGATTTTTGGTGACGTCACACTTTGGTACTCTATAGATGATGAATTGGCATACACTAGATCTACAAATTGTCTTATTTCAATACTTTTTTCTGCCAGGTCGTCATAAATTTGAGCTGACGACTTTTAATGGTCCTAATCGCTGTACAGTTTGTGAAAAATATTTAAGGTAAGCTAAGCAAAACTTTATAATTTCTAGTTTAAGTTTGCAGGAAATGTCTTGAGTTTCTTAAAAATTCTGCGAACTGTCGTCATGGCATCACATGAAATCCTCTATTACGTTAACAAAATGACGTCAGGCATGACTTGAATGTTTTCACAGTATAAATTCAAGACAGTGGCAGTTTGCTAGGGCCGTTCCCTGGACAGGGTTACAGTATCCATTTCTACCAAGGATTTCTATCTTTTTAATTGTATCTTTTTTATCGGTCTTTCGTCGGTTCAAGCGTTTTTTACTTGTTTCTTTTTTATTTCTTTCTGTTGTAAGCATTATTCCTTCAAAGCCTAGACTGTACATGCAATATTTTGAACATAGCTTCGGTAGAGCGTAGACGTGAATGAAACTCCATATCGTTGATTTTATTTATAAATATATACAAAACGTGGCTATATACAACTATAACGTAAACCTAACTTGTTAGCCCATCATAAACTTGTAGCGTGACTTTATCGTAACTTCACTTCTTCAAAAAACTTAACCTTACAAGATAGGGCGGGAATATAACACGTAAGAAGACTGGGACGAGTAGGAATCCCCCATAATGGCCTGGGCTGCGAAATATACTGACTTCACAACATGCAGTTTTGACATAAAAACTGAGAACATTTGCATATTTTTCGTATAGCTACATTCTCTGTTTAATGTCCTTGCTCTTTTAAGCCCACCTCTGCTTACGCTACTCTCAGCCAAGAGAAATTTACCGCTGTGTCTTTCCAGAGGTTGATAACTGGGAGTTAGTTAACGGCAACGATCGTTATATAACAGATTAGTTTATAGTAACACTAATTAATGTGCATTTTTTGGTATCATGAACAACCATACCTTCTGTCCTAATAACTTTTTCTTTCTTTATTTTAACAGTGGTCTAATTAGCCAAGGTTACCATTGTCCAGGTTGGTACAAGTTTCAGTTCCATTCCAATATTAGAGTACATGGAATTATGTCATTTTTTATCAGATCTGTCCTTAAAAACATACTTTACCTTGCCAAGACGATTTGTTTTTCAAGATAAGGCAATTTAGCTGTTAATCGAACTATAGTGTTTCCTAACTGCAACCGTGCATTCCTGTATTTTCAACTTAAACAGCAGCACATTGAATTTTGAAAAACTTTCCTCAGAACTTCAGTTTTTAGAATTTTTTTTATGCTACACGATCTTCACTGCTTAAATATACGAGCCATTCTGTTACTGCTTCATTCCACTATATTTTGTAAATTTTAAACATTTTTGTAACGTTTAAACACGCTAGTTTCTTTAATTTTTAGCGTGTAGTAACAACGTTCACTACGGTTGCATCGAGAAAACTCGAGACTGTCTCGACAGGAGCACAAAACGTAAGGACTTCTTTGCTCTCATCTCGTTACATATTACCTTTAAGTACAGTAAGTGAATTTCATGTCATAGCGCGAACCTTGATCCATAAACCGCATTTCGTTTGATGTGACTATGCCTCACAAAAACTAAAGCTCTATCTGCTATCTGAAAATAGAATAATGGGAAAGTACTTTGAATTTCGCAAAGATGTATAGATTGTCCACAAACTTGAAGAATAGCCCCCCCCCCTCTCCAATTCCCCATTCCATTTTTTATCTTATGCTCGACCCCGATATTATCTGAATGCAAAACCAACTTTTATCACAAGAAAAGGATCTCTTCTGATTTCAACAAGATTTAGATTCAGAATGTTTAAAATGAAATTTTGTATGTAATCTCAACTTGGGACGAATTTTTTAGTTCATAAAGAACATCGTTATTTTATTAGCTGGGTCTTAGAACAATCTTTTTTTAACTTTATTTCTGTTAACTGTCCTTGACTCTAAAAGGAAACGCATTTTGTAATTTCAAACACCCACAAACGCTACGACCCACAAACGAAAAACACATGCTATTAACTTTTAGGCCCAGACAGAAACTGTTGATCAATACGTCATAAGTAATGATAACGCCTTTAAAAACATAAAGGCATCAATTCTAACTGTTCATTCCACTGTGACGCAAATTCGATGATTCATTTTTTTAGATAAACCTTCAGGAGCTTACATTCCAAACGAAATAAAGACGAAGTAAGTTTCATGTTATAAGCTTGTTATTCTGACTTTTCCCGTCAACCAGCCACGTTTTATGCTGATAATCCAATTAGAACCTTTGCTTACCTATTGAACGTTGAATTAAAATATTGCGAAAAAAGATGGATCTCGATATGCAACAGCAGCTCTACTATTCATCACATTCAAAAGTTGTATGAAAATAGTATAAGCAATTGTTGAAAGTTAATGAATTTTCTGTTCTTCGCCAGACCTTCAAACGAAGAAGCACCCGATGTCAAAGGAGTGCTACGAAATTGTACCTGGTAAGTTGGCGTTTCACCCAATTCAGGCAATTATGCAAAGACCGAGTTTTGATTTTTTGCAATGTCTGAGGACTGCAGCGATCTAAACATTTAGGATTTTAATAGACTGTGTTATGGAAACTAATTTCATCATAAAGTTAGAAATATCATGATTTACGTGTGATTGATGTCACAGTTAACATCATGTTAATTTTATTCAAAGGTACGTGGGTCTGATGAACAGACACACGGCATCGGAAAAACTGCAGCTTCAGCCAGATGGTACATTTCTCGTTCGAAAGAGTGACAACCAGAAAGGAGGTGGCTTGGTTCTTAGTGTTATGTAAGTAGGAAGTCCTCGTGACTTGTCCGAATTCTCTCCCAGGCTGAATGCCGGGTTTTTCTTTTCATCCAAAAGCGTGTATGGAATCCCTGATACTTGCATAAATGGGAGAGATGAGGGATGGGAAAGTCGGAATTCCCTTACAATTGCTGACTTCTAGAGTTCTAACTTCTACGTGCCGTATAGACCAACTCACTGGCAAACTGCCAATCAATCCATTGTTTGTTATTTTGAACAATCAATCTATTGTTTGAGTTTAGTTACGATGAATTAGAAAATCTTCGTCGTCCTTATCATTTTGTCATGTATGTGTATTTAGGACAATTCGCTTCACTATAAGGTATTTATAACGAAGATGGGTGAAAAATGAACTCTTTAGCAACTTTTGCTGATTGTTGAGACATTATCTTGTCCGTGTCGCAGACTTGAAGGAGTGCCAGAAAATTCTGATGACTCTGTCAATGTTTTAATTTCTTTTCTAGATATCGAAACGAAGACAAACATATCAAAATCCATTATGCTGATGGAGCTTACTTTCTCACGGAAGGAGTTCAGTTTGGGACGATACCGGTAAGTGTGATAACAGAAACGGTTTTTAATTGGTCTTTGAACCGCGTGGCCTAAAAGCTCTTGTAAGTTTAATCTCTCTTCAAGCCTTAAGGCCGATTTCCAGTTGACGTTCTTTGTGCGTGCGGGCGTAGCGCCCAATTATGAGCATGCGTAGTTAAAATCAAGTGGTTTCGATTTTGCGTCCACTATGAGCGCCAGAAAGTTGATAGGATCTCAACTTTTTGTGCGCTCGGCTCCTTGACAGCAGCACTTAGCTACGCATGCTTAGATTTGGGCGCTACGCCCGCGCGCACAAAAACTGTCAAATGGAAATCGGCCTTTACTGTATTAAATATGCGTATCGATAAGAAATCACAGGCAAAATTGTTTATTTGCCCGAGTAACGTTTTATTTTTCGTTCCTTACAGGAGTTGGTGGACTACTACCATCGACAGACCCTTGGCGTCAACTTCCCAACGCTACCAACAACCTTAACCGGATCGATACCGCGCGGTAAGAATAACATCCGCCTTTTCTAAAACATGCGGCAAAGCATCTGTCCTGAATGTTTATTCGCCCAGGTGCACATCCAAAGGCCTGGTGTTTGGATCCCTGGCATGACCAAACTTTCACTTAGGGTGGGGACAGTCGCCAGCTCTCTGTTATTCACTCGGGGGGTAAACTAAGCCTAATTTTTGACGGGGACGTCAAACATTTGGACCCCTAAATCCGCAAATGTCTGAAAAAATGTGACCTATAATTCCGCAAACAAGATGAAAACTTTGCCTATAATTCCGCAAAGAAAATAAAATTTTTAAAGCACATAAAAATCATTAAACAAATTTGCATGTCCTTTTCTCCAAAATCTTGATATTACACCGATTTCATAGTTTTTATTTCTAACTGGTCATTCATTCTGTTAATGCTAAATATCCCTCCTAATAATTTTGCAATATTTTCCCAAAATGGAACCCATGTTTTTGCATGTTTGTTCGAATGGTACCCATAGTTCCGCACATATTTCACAAATTGATACCGATAATTCTGCACTTTTCAGAAAAAGGTACCCCTAAATAATGGCACGTCCCCGTACCTTCAAACATGTTAAGTTACCCCCCCCCCGAGGTTATTTAAGGCATAGGAATCGCGAGGTGCGATCACATAGAGCGGAAGGACTAGTAGACTGGTCGATAAGTACAGCTTTTCAGTGTTCAAAAATTACTTTGAAAAGGTATATAGAAACAAATACAAGCAATAAAATTTTAAAAAGGCTAAGAAGACCATTGGTTCCTTGTTACTGAACAATCAGCGACCCCCGGATTTTCCAAAACAGCGAAGTGAAGCGAAAAGATGATCGTGCCTGCCCGATGATTCTGTCACACCTTATTTGGGCATTGTCGCTTTTACAAATGCATTATGGTTCTTTGTCGTCTCTTTAGCCCGCGGGTTTGTCATTTGTCTTTTCGGATAAAAGCAGAATTTGTCTGTTAACTATGAACGTTCATCTCTTTGCTACTGTTGTATATTTTATGCTTTAAGAAGATTTTTATCACGGGCTGAATTCATTTTTGTTAAAGATTAATATGTTTCTAGTGTTTTCTATAGATGCAAATTTGAGATTAAAGATTAATGATAACGAAACTTTTATTGAATTTCAGGACAGAAAATCTCCGTTTTTTTATTGAATATTTTTTTCAAAAAAGGAGATTCTGGTGCTTCTCAATTTAGTTTCAAAGTGACTATCTTTATTTTTCAGATTTCGTGGTCGCGAGGCATTCATACAATGCAAGAAACCAACAAGAATTATCCATCAGGGTATGTTTTCTTTAACAACGTTTTTCTATATTTATTTTTTTGTCTTTTCAAGTTGTTTTGTTTTTGAATAAACATGATTTAGGCAATCAAATTGACTGCAATTTCTTTGAAGCTAATTGCATTATCAGATTAGGTGCTTTAAGGAATAATTTGCTTGTAACTGTTTTCCTGTTTTTTTATCTGCAGAAAGGTGCTCGAATTGCAGTTATTAAACGAACAGGCAATTGGTGGTATGGAGAACTCGACGGAAATGTAAATATAATAATTGTGGATTCTTAAAACTCATTCGTCTGCATACTTCCTCTTCTCAAAGATTTTCACATCGATTCGAGGTGCTGCCATGTAAATGTTATCGTGTGATAATTCTTTTAACAACCATTTTTTATGTTCGTCTTTTAAAATTTTTAATTGCTTTTCAGGTTGGATTCTTTCCCAGTATTTATGTGGAGGAAGTTTCAATCGCATCATAGCTGCTATCCACTGAATTAATTATATTTTCGCATTTAAGTTCCCTCAAATACAGCGCCATTGGTCATGCCAGGCCAAAGTTTGCCTATCCGCGATTTCTCTTTTCTAAGAGATTCTTATTTTAATTATCCGAGTGAAAAAATGCCTAGATGTATAGAAATTCTTTGCACGTCGTATTTTTCAGATAGAATTAGTTTATTCTATACAAGTATGTGTTAATAAGGCTTCATATTTTAGATTTCTCTGCGATTGTTAAAAACATAGATAATCAAAAAGCCTGCCTTTGTACAAAAATATTACCTTTTTACTGGAATCTGTTTGTTTTATTGTGGGTATTTAAGTTTTCGTTTAAATGCAGTTGAAATCCACCTTCTCGCCAATTATCGCTGCTACTAACTTCACAATATTTTTTAGAAGTTTTAAGATATCGATTCGGGTAACTATGATTTGTGGGGCATAGATTTTAATGAAAGGCTAATACACTTTGTTATTGCTGAGGGTTTTTCTGTGCGTTGCGATGATTTTTTTTTTGAAATGGTTGTTTGAAAAGAGAGCCTACCTTTTCAAATGCCCTCTATTTTTTGCGAAAATATTACCTATATCTTGTAATTTGTAGTAGATTCCTCTTCGATGCATAGAAACACTCGTCGTGGTTCATAATTATTTAATACCAGAAAAATAAAAATGGCGTCGATTATGTTGGCAATCGTCTTTTGTTAATTGCCCAGGGAACTGAACTTTATCAATTATTCGATATTGCCTTTAAGCTGTACAGTCCTCTTGAGAATGAAATGCAGATCGGAATTATTCCCCTGTTGATTAAATGTTTTTATTCTTTCTTATTCGTTTTCAATTGCTTTGATTTGCCTGTGTTATTGTCAAATATTTAAACAGCTCTAAAATCGAAGGTATTATTGCTAACTTAGTGTGACTAGAATACCATCAGCGTTTCTTTGTATTTTAACTTCCACACTTGCAATTATATATCGTTTGCATGTAGGCCTAGTGTTGGAGCAATGATCTACGTCTATTTTTTTATCGACACGCATAACTTCCCGCCAATAATTTGTAACAACATAGAGCTCAAATTTTCATTGGCTGAGAGCTTACGCTTAACCACGTTACCGCTCTCGCCGCTGAGCCAATCGCAGCCCCAAGAAATGTAAACAGTCTAAGAAGATTGCCAAATTTGGGCATGTTTCGCCCTCTGTTAAAAACACCTTGACTGATTGGCTTAGCGGCCCGAGAGGGGACTTAGCATAACCTTTAAGCCAATGAAGATCTGTGTTATATGCTATTTGTAACTGTTGCATAGATATCATATAGCGTGTATGATTGAGTTCCAAAGAGGTATGTAGTATGTCAAAATCTTATAAATCTCGAAAAAGGTTGCCTTCATCTTGAATAATGATGAGACAGTTTTAGGGAAAAAAGAGACGCCTTTTTGGTCAGTATGCAACCTTTTGTGGGCGAATAGTGACGAAACACTTTGATCAGAATAAAAATTAGACATATCAAATGGCTACATGGTTAGTAGAGTAATCATAAGTTACTATCATAAGTTACAAGTAAAATTTCGACTTAAAATGACTTTTAAAGGATGAATAACATAATAATTAGGAGCCAACTTTCGGTCAGTTTTTGAAATTACCCTTAGTAATAACTCTTCTCTAAAGGAGTACCCTGAAATTGGCCCATGTTATTATCGATCAATACCGTTGACGATAATTTTCCTATTTTAGTAAGTATCCGTTTTACTGACCAGCTAGCCATGTTTCCGATCACCATGCGAGAAAATAGACGAACTTCCTTTACGAAATATCCAGTACCGTATTTCTAATCTTCACGAAGAAATTAGAGAGAGATAATTCAAGTTGTAATCGTAGAAAACATAGATTTTTGTATAGAGCATATTCATTGAGTCAAGAAGAATTGTTAAAGAAGTTAAATTATGGTTACTTTATCTGTGACGCTTCTGCTGGTCAGCTTAATGATTTAAGGGGAACCTCTAAATCCTCTTAGGCTAGGACAATCTCTAAAACCTCGTAGCTTCCATTTAACGATGATCTATCCGTAAGCAATGAATTTCTATCAATTTTTGAGAAGCCTCATTTCAAAACTAGCATTTTGTTGCAAGTGGAACTGATATTTGAATGTTGTCAGTCAGGAGTCAGGAAACCGATTTGTTTCAATATGTGTGTTGGACGATAAAGGAAGACAAGCATGTTTTCAGCATAAGGCAACACAAGTTTAAAAAAAAGCTATGTTGTCTGTCCCAAGCTCTTTGTTGTTTCAACTGTGCCAAACGAATCCCTTAACTTCTGAAATCCAATAGTTGCGAAGTGAAAATGTTCCTTAATTTTGTAAACTTTGTAGTCAACGGAAAGAAGGGGCTTTGGAGCTGCATTGATCTTGTCAGAGCTCCTTACCTTCTAAGCCAAAGAAATTGTTCGTTCTATTGGAATTATTTATCGCATATTTTTAGAATAAGATTTTATGAAACCGTCAATTTGATTAAGAAACTCATCATCAATCTTTAAACACTCCTTTATATTACCTTTCAATCCAGAAATCTCCTTGAAATAATACTGTTCTGCATCCTCCTTCCAACGACCTTAACTTACGACCGCCCTTCCCCTCCAACTCCCCTTCCCCTCCAACTCCCCTTCCCCTCCAACTCCCCTTCCCCTCCAACTCTCCTTCCCCTCCACTTCCCCCTACAACTCTCCCCTCCAACTCCCCCCTCCAACCTCCAACTCCCCCCGTCTAGAAATTGCGTAATCAAGCTCCGAGATCGTCATTCAACTAAACAACCACAACAACAGAAGAATACTACTACGGCGTGCGGCGATCATGGTCCTAATGTCGCAACTCGACTGAGATTTCTAGCTTCATGCGTCTTTTATCTTTGCTTAGAAGAGCATCCTCTGGTATATCTGCTGTGTCAGAAGCCATGGTTCTTGGTGGAAGTGAAAGTGTTATTCGGAATGAACGCAGCTATGAGGTATGTTGTGAACCATGTTCACGACTTTTAGGCCGCCGTGATCATTTGATATTTTGTTGATTGGTGTTAAAGCCTTTTATCGCATAGAATAGGGATATATTTGAATGAGCGACTTCATCTAGGTGACTGAATACTAAGATAGTTCATTATCAATCTTTGCAAAAGACTGAACTCTTCATGCCATTTGCCGCACCCCCTCCGACGGCTGCTGGCATGCTCGAAAACAAAATGAATTTATTAAAATAAAATATGCCAGTTCTGATCGTAGATCTGGGAGTAGAGCACCAGTCGAGACACTGTGACTATGATTAACCAGTTTCACAATTTCATATAATTAATAATTAACTCCACTACATGCAGCGCAAAATGACAGAAGTTAGATAAAATTAGATATAACATATTATAGCATGGCACTAGTTAATGCAAGACAAATACTACAGAAAGCAAGACCAATCTACAAAACCAATAAATCTTCATAAATAAACTTTCTAAATAGCTGCTCACAGATATGGTTCATTGTCAATGATCTCTCAGCAAAATGCTGTGTGTGCATGCACTTTAGATGTGCAAGGATAGCTCAGTATCATCCAGAGGTGCAGACAAAAGATCAAAGGTTCTGTGGTTTGAGTTCCTAGCATGACCAAACTTTCAAATAGTGTGAGGAAAGTCACTGGCATAGGATTCACTAAATGTGGTCACATTGAGAGTCCGAAGGACCAGGACACTACTTGATAAGTACAGTTTTTCAGTGTCCTAAACTCTACCTTCGGAATGCTAAGTAGGAAATACAAATACAGTTGAACTGAAGTGTGACCTCAAGGTGTACCAAATATGAAAACTAGTGCTATCTCTACATTTGAAGCACATGTGATGAGCCTTAACAAGCTGCTATTTTATTCCTGTTGACAAAGTTTTTCATCCTCGAAAGACCCTTCAAGCTGAAGATAATGCTAACCATTGCCCCAAGGGGCATGCACGAAACACCAGAATCTTTATCCCACAAATCATACTTCTTTTCTAGAGCTTATGAACTCTGAGATGCTTAAACCTCTTCTTGCTTCCCATACTCTTATAACCCATTTTCTTTTAGAAATTAAACAAATCTTTTTTAAACATCAACAATCTTGATATCACATTGAGTCTCTGCTAAGTCCTTCCCTCCCCTCTCTTGTTAGGGCTTTGCTATGGCTGCACTGTGCACATCATAACCAATCAAAAAGGAATGGGTGGGGAAAGGAATGGCCCCTATTTTTTGTTTGGCTGCTATATTGGCTAGTAAAAAACATTAGTCAGATCTTATGCCGAGTCAAGAAAAGTTGTTAACCTTCCTCCAGACTAAAACATCCTAAAAGGCAAACCTTCCTTACAAACAATAGAAAAGTGGGCGTGGCATGGGTGTGTCATAGAAGCTTCTATTGATTTTTGTGGACCTTCCTCCAGTCAGTGGCTATGAGACCATAATGCTTTCCTGACTCTGATCTTATGATATAGAAAATGAGTGCAAGTAGTTTAGAACCAATGACTAGGACCTATATTTTGACTTTTCACCCATCAACTTCTCAGATTGATGTTGGCAGATCACAAAGGAAAAATAATTGGGAAGGAAATCTGAGCAGTCTCTTCAGGTCCAAAAAAACTTTCACATCTTGTAGAGTGGTTCCAGCAATCACCTCAACCACCCAAGCAACTTTTTACTTGGCAGACAAATTTTTCAATGCTTCTTGGTTGATGCATTAGCAAAACTCTATGTTTAAATATATATGAAAAAATCCCGTTTCTTTTCTTGCAGGATACCATACGGGCACTTAATTCCCTGCAAACTAATGCAGCTGTCTTGGATCAAATTAGAAAAGAGAGGGGAAACAGAACTATGTTGAACAGTATTCCAGGGATGGAAGTATTTCTAAAGAGAATTGATATTGAGGTAGGGATTTTAAAAATGTTTTCAATCCTAAAATATTTTTTGCAAAATAAGCCCCCAATGGCTTATTTGAGGACTTATGGCAATTCATATCTGTGGTTGCTGATTTTGAATTTTTTTCAGTTGTGTCTGGTTCTTTTCCAGTGTAGCCTCACACAGTGGCGGACACTTGGTCAAATATTGGGGGGGGCAGGCCTATTGTTTTAATAAGATGACGTCATATTTCCTATTGTTTTAGAACAAAAGACCATTGGGGGTGGTCGCCCCCCCTTGCCCCCCCAAGTGTCCGCCACTGGCCTCACAGCATACAGAGAATCCAGGGAAGTGTGTTTTAGTGCTGTTTCAGAAAAAGATGACAAGTAAATGATAAACTGAATCATGTTGTTTATACACACTCCTTCATATAGATGCTAAAACCTTGTATAACCCTCAAATGGTTTTTCTTTTGACAGGTTGATGAACTTGATAAGTTAAATGTCATACATGTGGCAGGGACAAAGGGAAAGGTAAGGCACAGGTTTGGGTTTCATCATCATTATTTTCTGATTGAATTGAAACTGATTGATCATTCATAGCATCTTGTGTCCTGCTATGATGAACTTTAGTGAACTTTTTCTGCATTGTATTTTTTAATCCTGTTTTATTATGTAATATTTAGTTTTGTATAATGTTGCATGATCTGTATGTTTTGATGGCAATATGTCTCTTTGTTTTAGGGTTCAACATGTGCATTCTCAGAATCTATGCTAAGACACTGTGGCCTAAAAACAGGCTTTTACAGGTAGTTCACTCATTTTAGATGTGTCCCTCAAACAGCATTTTGAAAAGATGCAAGCTAAAGAGCGAAATTGTTAATGAGATCATAATTGCAAAACCTTTTTCCAAGCTGATGTAATTCAAGAATTATTAAATGAAAATGGAAATTAGCAATGTAAACAGGAAAAGCTAGTTTTCAAGAGAACGCTAACATATGGTTTATTACATTATTTTAGTAATTGTTAACACCCATCATTTTTATAACTTTTAACATGAAAAATACTTGGAAAATTGATGGAAGTAATAATGAAGCAAGTAAAATGTAGAACAGGGTTAATGTAATTATTAAAAATGAAGAAATGTGAACATAACCTTATATGTTTCTTGGGAACTTAAAATGATTTCTTCTTGTAGCCTTCTTACTGTTACTGTAAATCTTAATGCAATATCTATTCTGCAATTTTCAGCTCTCCTCACTTAATTGAAGTGAGAGAAAGAATAAGAATAAATGGAAAACCTCTTGAGAAGGAAAAGTTTGTAAAATATTTTTGGGAATGCATGGACAGATTGGAGGCAACTTTAGTAAGTGGATATCAAGTTTATGTGTGTATCAGATTTTTCATGATTTGTTTTCTTAAAATCACCATATCATTAAGGGTCATATTTAAACAAGAAAAGCTAACCTCCTTGCTTACCAGTAGGCCCCTCTTTGCTTATGGGCCCAGGAGCAACTGCCCCCTTCCTTCCTCTCTTAGAGGGCCTGTGTGTATATAGCAAGCTTGTCACTGAAAATTAAATTGTTAATTCGTCTGGCAAATTAGGCAAAAAAGCCAGGCCTAGCTCTTACAGAGTAAACCAAGGCAGTAAACCAAGGTCTACAGAGACAGTAGCAATTATTAACAAGTCCAGGCAGTTTTGAGAGAAAGAAAGAAAAATTCAAAAGTAGCATGAGAAGGTGGCATGAGCTGCTGTTGTTAAACCATCTCAACAATTGGACTTCATGACAATAGATAGTGATTTCTACAGGTTTATAATTCAATCTTATAAATTTAAAGGTAAAAAGGAGGGAAGGTAGGAAAAAATGGTCTTGTCTTAGATGTTGGCTAATTTCTACAGGTTTATAATCAAATCTTAGTGTTTTTGATGTAGTGAAATTGGCATTTTGAATTAATGATGCTCAAATGCTATTGATATGCAATTTGGCTTTGATCTACAGTAAATTATGTATTGTATTCCAGTGTTTGTATTCCATTCCAATTGCTGAATACTATTTTATTTCAATTTTAGATCGAGAATGATGGTCAAATGCCTGCCTACTTCAGATTTTTAACCCTTTTGTCTTATCATGTGTTTTTGCAAGAAAAGGTAAGTTTCACTTAAATGTGACAATTAGATCACAAGATGCTGCCTGGTTAAAAGATGTAAAAATATGTAACCTGGCTAAAAAGATGTTGCTTATTACTTTGTAAGATAATGATTTAATAGTCCTCATTTCAATAATTTGATCAATTGATATAAATTGATGAAAAGAAGAAACCAAAAAGGTTGATGAGGTGAAACATTTCAGACCAGACATGACATCACAAAATACATTTTCTCAAATTTTTCAGTGGATCTGGATGAACATTATTAAAATCATTCATGTATCTTTAGGCAATTGATAAAATCAATGTTTTGAAAACACATAGCAAGCCAGGCCTCGAAGCAGACTCATTTCTTGATACCTTATTGTTTATTTTCCAAGGTTGATGTTGCAGTCATTGAGGTTGGCATTGGAGGTGCATACGATTGCACAAATGTTATCCGAAACACAATTGTATCTGGTATAGCTATGCTTGGCATTGATCATGTGTTGAGCCTTGGAGACACCATCCAACAAATTGCATGGCACAAAGCTGGAGTTATGAAGGTGATTGTCTCTCTACATTAGTGGCTACAAGGTTTTCTTAGTCCATCAGCAAAGCTCATATTTGATTAAATCTGTTTAGCTACCTACCCACCTTAATGACTGATCACATTTTACAGGAAGGTCATCCAGCTATTACTGTTCCTCAAGTGGATGAAGCCATTCCTGTTCTCAAAGATCGAGAGAAAGAACTTAAGGTAAATATCTTGAGAATTGTCCTTCTTAATTTTTTCAAGAAATTATTTATCAAATTTCTATCAATTATACCTCTTCATACATTATACCTGTTGTTTGATTTGTCATAAAGATATTTGGTTTATTTTTAACAGGACTGATTTTAAAGCAGTTTTGAAACTGAATTTTTACTCTTTATGAACAAGTTTTGAATGACATAAAAATATACAATCATTTGAGTTATGTCATATTCAATGATTTGTCTTTAAAATGTATATATTTTCCATCGTGTTCTTTCGGAACCTTATTCTGACGTTTTATGCTCTGAAGAGTGTCAGACGAAAAAGCTTTTAGTATGTCGTAAAATGTTTGCTTTTTTCAAAGCAAAAACATTTTCAAATTCTGTACCGCAAAAAATTGTTCTTTAAAATGTGTTAAAAATCCCTGCTTTTGTTTTCTCCAGGCAAATCTTTTTATGGCTCCACCCCTCGAATCTTATGAGAATGAGCTACCAGGTATTCTTCCTTCAATTAATTGTTTGTTCAAATACAAATAACGTATGCGTGTTTGAGTTCCAGGTAGAGATTAGAAAGAGTTTAGACAAAAACATGGTTAGGCTACATATCATTTTAAAAAGTAAATACTGACTTGCGAAATCATTTCAGCTCATACACCCTTTGTAATTGTGAAATTCAACTGTGGTCTTTTATTGTCTTTATAAGTGATTGGGTTGGAAGGCACACATCACAAGTTCAATGCATCATTAGCACTTCAGTTATGCAGGATGTGGTTCTTGGAGAAACAAGCCTTCGGTAACTTTACATTTTTTTCTTGCCCAAGAAAAGAAATCTCGATCCATAACTGGGTATATATTTTTCATCGTGTTTTTCGGACCCTTATTCTGACGTTTCATTGTCTTAGGAGTGTCAGATGAAAAAGCTTTTAAATAATATGTTTGCTTTTTTCAAAGCCGTTGAAAAGAATCTCCACAACGGGTATAGATTTTTCTTCGCTGAAATCCACAATGCTAGTCACCAACCTAGCAAACCTTTTTAGCTTTATATGCAGTAACAATTTCGAAACGATACCCAATTCTTTGTTTAATCTTCATCTCGCATGCATACTTTTCAGTCTTTCGAAGCCTGGTTCCACACATTATTTCCCAAAGTTCTTGGACTTAGTCCTTGGGACCAACGTAACGTCAAGACCAAAGAAACAATGGAATAAGTCTTAGTGTTGATGATTTTTTTAATAGATTGTTATTTTTTTCTTCAGTGAAGTCCAAAGGGTTATCACATGTAACAAAGATGCTGGATCTACCAAAAAGCACAAAGATTGACGAAAAGTCTGGCATTCCTTTTGCATCACCATTTTTCATACCACAGCCGTTTATTGAAGGTAAAACTTTGGCATTTTCTGTTAAGCTTTTGCTAGAGCTCTTCTTTGAAGTTGTAAAAAGTCCTTTAAACATTGTTCTTCTTAAAGCTGTTCACATCATAATAGTGACAAAGTAAAAGAGAGTCTGCCTTTGAGTTAATTAGTATGAAAACTTTTGTTCCATGTTAATGCGTTTAGAGTGGTGCCTAATGCATCTGCGTTTGCTAACATCAGGTTCATTTCTCTATTTGCAAGCAACAATCACAGCGACAAAGTCTTAAAACATGTCGGAAAACCTGTTCTCTTTAGCAGATTGGTTATCTTTCTATGTTAGTTGGCACTTAAGGTTTAAAAATAAAGCTTTTCAAGAACAAAGTCTTCTCAGTGCTAACCTTTAGCTACAGTTCAAGCCAAAAATCTTGGGACAATGACGTCATTTTTCAAGAGCAAATGCAGCCATCTCGCTCTCTCTCTCTCTCTCTCTCTCTCTCTCTCTCTCTCTCTCTCTCTCTCTCTCTCTCTCTGGGAGTAATGTTGGTTTTCTATCAAACCACATAGGAGACCATGAAGTACATTTTTGCGTGGCTTTTCTGATAAGTAGACTTGCATTGCCTAAACTATCAATATTGTTCTTGGGATAAGAGGGAAAAACAAGTAGTAATATTTAGAGAAAGAAATGGAAGTACAGCGCCAAGTGCAAGGTCTTTCAAGTAATTTATATCTGAGCACGTGGTTAGTATAGACTTTCTCTGGATTCAACAAGACGATTTGAATTAATGTCATCTTCGTGTCTGGCAGGTTTGCAGCGTGTAAAATGGCCTGGAAGGAACCAAGTTATATCCCGGAAAAAGATAACCTTTTACATCGATGGCGCTCACACAGCTGAAAGCATCAGAGTGAGTTGTTTATTTAAAATTGTTCGTTAATACTGCCTGCATCAATTTTTTAAGCCAAGTCTCAATACCTTGCACCTTAAACACATGGAGTCAGTCTTTGACAAAAATCTTTTCGTTGAATGACTAAGTGAATAGCTTCTGATACAAATCTTTCTTTCTTAGGCTTGCAGAGATTGGTTTTCATCTCGGAAGGATGTTGACATCAGCTTTCAGAGGTCTGTTGTGATCACAAAGATATTTCATGCTTGCCCTGCCTTTGTTTCTTAAATCTGTTTCCGTCACTTATTGTTTTCATTCATCACACTGTTCTATATATTGTTTCTTAACCCCCCTTTTTATGCCGGGGACTGATTTTACGGTAACGAATGATTCTAAATCTCCTATGAAAATTGTCCTATCTGTTTTCTCCAAATCCTCAGCTGAAAAACATACCTTTTTTCGACAGATTCTTAAAACATAGGCTATACTATATAGCCTTATTCTGACTATGGAACAACACTTTGGAAGATTTAGTTGTGAAGTTCACTCGGATTTCCAGTAATATTTTGGTTTTCTTCATTCTGGCGTTTAATTCTAGTTAACACCTATATAAGAGATGCTTTAAGGTGTAGAAGATTTGTTAATTGCAAATTTCATAGTACATACTGGCAGAATATCAAATAAAATAAAAATTAATTAATAATTAGAACTATTTGTTCTAGGGAAGATGTTTTCAGAGTTTTGGTGTTCAATTCAACTGGTGGAAGAGATGCACACACTTTACTTCGTCCAATTTCAGTAAGTAATCTCTCTCGAAACTGTAACCAATTCTGGGAATTTGGATTGAAAAAGTCCTTTTTCATTTTATCACATTAAGTAGTAATTTACCGATCTGAAAGAATCTATTACTGCCAAAAGTATTCAAAACCGTATTCAATCCATTACATCAGATCACCCCCCCCCCACCCTCTTAAAAAATGCTTGTTTACTAAAAAATCTTATAGAATGTAAAGAAGTAGATTTTGCTTGTGAATTGTATGCTGTTTGCCAAAAGTATCGTATTGATCTCGAGAAAGGTATTGAAAAATATAAAAACATGATTAAAACCGCTGTGGCTTCGAAGTGATTTTGGCAGGAATTTTGGAGAGTTGTATAAAAACTGTATATTTAACAAATCAGTTGATGATATGATGTTGAAATCACTTTACACTTCCCAACCGGATACAATTTTATAAATTTTTTTTCTTTTAAGCGTGCATATTTTAAGCATTTGTGAAACCTGCTTATTTGGTGATATTTTTAAACGTTAGAGTGAAGTCATCTTTGGATCGCTATCTTATGTCTTTGAATCGATGAAATTTTTACAGAGTCAGGAAAACATTACGGTCGCACGGCCACTGACCAGAGGAAGGTCCGCGAAAAACAATAGAAGCTCCAAGGATACGCCCAAGCCACGCCCACTTTATTTTGTTTTATGAGGAAGGTTTGCCTTCTGGGATGTTTTTGTCTGGAGGAAGGTCGACAACTTTTCTGGACTCTGAATTTTTACTAAAAGTTTTTGGGAATGTGCAGAGAGTTTTGTATAAAGCATCACTGTTTTTAATTATCGTTCATTTATATTGCCGTTAAATTTCCTTCGATGCTACGAAAGGTCTTATTTTGGTTTGATATGACGTTACTCTTTTTTCTTCATAGGACATTGACTTCGATTTTGCAGTTTTTTGTCCAAATGTCGTGGAATCAAACAACAATGAACCTAGTTCAGGTATTTCTGCCGAATGTTTTTCATTAGCAGTTTACAGACTAACATCAATCTTATATTGAAACTTGAGATTTATCAAAATGATTATCGCCTTTTTGCCAAGACAGTGACTGTTATCATACCCCCCCCCCCTTCCTACTCCTTGGTTCGTTCTGGCTTGTATTTTCAAAAATCATATGATTTAGTTACCAAACCTAAATTTATTCTGTAGATGGGTAATTTTGTTTCAGCGTTGGTGTACTACCTTGGTTAGAATTTGACAATATATTTACATTTATCCTTATCTTTTGGTCATTGTCCAAAATTTAATACTCTTAACATGTTTCTCAGTTGTTGGTAATATTTTCAATTTATGCAGTACCCAATACTTATTTCAACTTTTTTAGTTATTGTTGGAAAATAGTTTCTTTGTTCATAAAAGTATCATAACCTACTATATCCCAGTTTGTTTTTTCAATAACCTCGAAATAATTCTTTTTTTTAAACAGCAATAAGATAATTTAAATATCTAACAACATTTTTGTTTGTTGTCAAAAGCTACCTTTCAAAACTCGATTCGTGCCATCTTTTTCAGATCAGACCAACTTTACAGTGTCTAGGGACCGACAGTTGTCTTGGTGTGCACAGAATCAGGTAGCTTGGTTGGCATCAAAAGGCCTTGGCATATCTCTCACAGGGTCATCAATAGACACAACTAGCTCACACTTGGCAGGGCTGTCCCTGCAAACAAGTGACAATACTGCAATATTTTCTAGCATTTCAGATGCTATAAGGTGGATTTCATGTGGCAAGGACCCCTTAATTGAGAAGCCTAAAAATGGTGGACCGGAAGTTCCGAATAAACTCGCCTTGGCTGAACACGTCCAGGTCCTTGTGACAGGCAGCCTCCATCTCATAGGCGGTGTTATGACGTATTTAGGCCCGGATATCGTGGACCTGATCTAAATATTTTAAATATATACATTTTGGGATTAATCTACACAGTATCTTATTTATCCTGTAACATAGTGAGATTTTCATCTGTCAACGTTAAATTTGAAATTGCAAGGTGCCACCTTCATATTTAGCTATAAAGGTTGACCCAAAAACATTGAAAATGTTGAACTGATCTCGTCCTACGTGGAATTGACTAATGTGTATATACCTTTTTTATTAATCTTTTCCACAAAAATGTGACTACCTTTAACTTGAATAAGGTACCCAATATTTAACTCTCCTTTTCTGTAAATAAATTTTGCTCTAAACAGAGATGCGTCAATACCATAGTTAAAGAAAGAGTCAAATTTATTCATTATTAAAGAGGAGATAAGGATGAACAATTTAAACCTTGGTAAAAGTTTTACAGGGCCTAAAATCTTAAAGACGAATTTGGTAATCTTAAGAAGTTTGCCTTCCTCGAAATTCATAATCGTGTATTCCACCTTCTTAGCAAGGTTTTATGTCATGTCTATGCGTGTATTCGTGATCGTTACTGCGGTTTAATCGTGTAAATTTTCGCGTGTTTCAGTTTGATATATGCGGTCGTCCTTTGTTTAGAAATCATTATCTTGCGGAGATAACTGTCGTTTTTTCACGTCTCTACTCTCAAAAGAAACTTTTTGATTTTACAGTGCAGCCTTGTTTACCCGAACAGCTCGGAATGAAATTTCAAGGATAACATTTTGTTCAGACAAATCACACACAAGACACGAGAAAGAGCAAACGACATCATTTCATCTTTCACATCGATTTGTCAGATGTTTGCTTTCACACGTGATAGGGAAAACGTAAAATAAAAAAATCATTTTGAAAATGAATTTTAAAAAAGCAAACATTTTACAAATAATTTATAAAAGTTGTAAAATGGTAGCTTTGTTGAAAACCTTTTTGGTACTTGAAAAATTGTTCAAAAATAATTTTGTGTACGCTGAACAGATAATAACTGACACACATGTTGATTGATCTCACAGATAGATTCGCGAGATAACAAAAAGATAACTTTTGGATACTTTTGTAACTTCCTAGTTTAATTCAGGACTTTAATCGGGCATTAAAATTCACACCTAAAACAATGTTATGATACACGAGGTCTGATAAACGAGGGTGCACTTGTTTAAACCATACAGCTAACAAATAAAGGAGTAACACAAGACTCCCTGTCACAACTACGTTCGATTACTAATAATGGCTGGCGAACTGGTAGACTGGGGGCTTTCTTTTCTTTCTAAATATCACTGCCTATTTTCCCTTTCAAAGATCAATTAGCCACTGTGTAACTTTTAATATGGCAATTGGTGCAAATTGTTCCCTATGGTTGTTCAAACATGTGATGTGTACATAAAAAGCTCCATTGAAGGGTACAGAGGACCGGTTATCGGAATAAGGAAGAAAGCTAGATGGATAAAAATTGCTTCTAGAGAAAAAAGAAGCCTGGAGCATAAGCAGTGGTGGCGCCAGGCGGTGGTATGGGGGGGGGGGTAATTACCCCCCACTTTTTTCGAAACATGGTCTACATATTTCGTCTAAAAACAGGTTAAAAAGCACTAGGTAGTAAGATCATATTTCCTAAGGAAATTTGACCTGGTACAAAGCACTGAGACGAGGCGATTAGGGCGTGGTCTCACTGGCCACGCCCATTACCCTCCCACTCGGCAGTAGCTGGCGCCGCCACTGAGCATAAGCATCTGGGAATAACAACTAAATGTAGTCAGGTAATTTTAGCCTGGCCCATGGAAACTAGAGGATAGAAAGGGGGCAGCACCCAGACAATTTATGCATAGAGGCAATCATGACATAAGATAGTACAAATATATTCCTTATGTTCAATTAATTCAAACTTGGATCTGTTCAGCTTTCTTGACATTTATGACTTGAATTTCTTTGTTGCTTATTTGATGGGGTCTAGGTCACATGTGCAGTTTTAGCCTGACCCAGTGAAATTGCAGTTTTTCATGGGGACATGGTGGAGAAGCTCAGAAATCAATGAAGAAAAGAATACAAAGTACTGATATTTTTCCATATCATATACCTTTAAGTATTAGTACTAAGTTAAATAATTTCTACATAGCACGGAACAAACTAATTTAATTACATAGATCCTTTTGCTCTTAGTTCCAAATTATGCAATTACCTTGTCGTTTTTTAAATTGCTTTCACAGTTTTCACAAATAGTCATGTGGAACTAGAATGTTCAGGTAGACTAACCAGTTCAGTTCAACACCATTTGTACCAGGTAATGAGGCAAGACTCATTCAATCATTCTTGGCTGGCAGTTTTCGCTTTCTCAACAGCAATTTCACATTGTGTGATCACATTATCCCATTGAATGAACTGCTTTGAAAGGGATGAAATCTATAGTTTTATTAAGGACACAAGAAAGTTAAATATTTTATTAAAGAGCAAAAGGGTATCTTAATGAACTTAGCAAAATAGTAGAAAGCCCTCTGCTTTGTCCTTGGTGACTATGATAGTTGCCAAAATCATCGGAACATCAACACCATGTCTTCATACAGTTTCCTTTCACCCTGTTACAACATTGTTTTATGTCAAATTTGACAGTGTTATGTTGGTGTGTTAATCTAGCAAGAACTGGAGTAACAAACACTTCTTATGAAGGAATTAACATTGGAAAGGGGCAAGGGGGATTGTAAAGAAACAGCATTACAATCCCCCTTGCGAGTTATTTAATCCTGGGATTTTCAACTTTTGAACATAAATACTGTGCTGTTCCAGCTATTTATGGCAATAATCACACCTGTGTAAAAAAACAGTAAATATTCATTTGCGTAGGATACAGTGTTGTTATAGGCAGATAGCAGGTTGACTACATGTGAACTGGTCTCATCAGCTTCATCCTGTGGAATTAAATGCAAACAAGTTCAATGCACAAAAACTGTATACTAAGAATATTTAGATATGGAATGATTGTATTACAGTAACTGAACTTTACTTTAAAAAAAGGTTTATTTCATTAGTCAGTAAAAATAGTTGTATGTAAAAACTGTTTCTTAATCTGTATGAGAAAAAAATGCAACTGAATGAAGGTGCAAAATGCCAACATTTGATATCTCCCCTGTTTGATGAAAAGGTTACCAAGTTATGCTAAAGCGTTTCTATCCATACATTGATAATACAAAGAGTGTTTTAGTTCTAAAATTTCCCAAAAATTGGAAAATTAAGCATGGCATTGAAGTATTTTGAAGAAGTAAGTTTCATTCTTTGAGAAGTTTGAAATGAAATGTGCTTTTTTATGATGCGAAATGATACTACTTCTAGTGCAATGGTGAAATATCTTAGGGCAAAGGCCTATTTTGCTAAATTGTTATCATTATTCTTTATTTTAAAGCAACCTAATTATTACCATTTGCTGAATCTGAACTTGAGCCAAAGGTTCCAACTTTGCATTCCATTGAGGCACATCTATTAAAAATTAAAGGGTTTTTAAGGCATCAATGATTAAAATAAATCTAAAAACAAAAATAAAGTGCATGAAAAACCAGAGACCTTTGTGTTAAACACTCAACACAAGCATAGGCAACATTAACATTTTTAAGTGGATTATAAGACAATTACTTTTACTGATTCTTTTATCTTTTCTTGCCAGTTTAATCACAACTTAAGGCTCTCCAAGTAAGTGACCTATAAGAACAGTTAGACTATATGTAATGGTTTTATTTTACTTCACCATACCTAGTAACTTCTTCTCATTGATAACAGCTTTCCTCTTCTCAATTTCTTCAAGCAGCTTTGCAGTTCCTCTAATATTATTTTCACCTGAAAAGCAAAAACAATGGAAACATATGGAAACTAAGCTCAAGAACAAACTTCTCTTGCCACTATATTTCTCATGGTTCAATGGTCATATGTTTCTGTATGTCTGAACACACCAGCACATGACATAGCAATTTCAAGAAATCAGTTTGAAAGAACCTTTCTATGAAACTGTGTTTGCATTTCTATAAATTCATAAGTAGAATATAGTTAAACATTGATTCACCCATCATATTCTAGGTACTTAAAGCCTGTTTTACTCTGAAAAAGCCCTGAATGCAAGGGCTAAATATTAGTCTACTTCACATTATAACCACTTTGGATTTTCAAATAAAATATATTTCTATGGGTTTGTTTTTTGCTGTTTTGTGTTGTTTCTGGCCTATTGTTATTATCAAATTATCCCTTCAACACTATTTATCCTTCTGGCATATTTTTGCTAAAATCCCTGTTTTATTGCCACTTTAAATCTACATTGTCACTCAAATACATTAGAATCACTCGTAATTAACATTCAATTGCTCTTACCCTCTTTAAATTTTGAGAATAGCTGTATGCTATCACATAAATCAAGAAAAGAAATAAAAAAAGTTATACAAACTGGCAAGAACAATCTCTGCTTTTGAATCTGAATTTGAAGTTATTCCCTCTAAAAATTCAGCTGAGAGGTAATTCTCCAATGACATCACTGGAAATAACAGATTTAATTGAAAATTATAATCATGCATATAGCAGATAAGAATACTATGAAAATTATCAGACTGAGAAAAGGTTTAGAAATGTGTATACCATAATCACTGATAAATTGAAACATAAATATTCATTTAAATGCTCAAATGTTACAAACTGTTACTGCATGAGTTAGCTTTTTGGATTATCTTTCTGTAAAGGAAAATAAGGAAAACATAGGAACACAACAGAATAAAAATATTTGTCAGCTTAAAACTTGGAAACAAAACAACAAAATGGATTAGCTTGAAAATGCAGAGAAATTTAATGTATTATTCAGCTAAAGAAATAATCAGAAAAAACTGAGTAAATCAGAGATATTACATGGACATGAAGTTTTTTGCACCTCATACATATTGTGCACGCTTTTTTGCAAATTATTATCTGAAGTTCTACATCTGGCATTTCACACTCTGTAATCAGGGTCTTAACTAGCTATTGTGTTCAAGGGGGTCTACAAATCCCATCTACAGACAAAGTGGGTAAGCCACCCATCATTTGCTGCTGCAATAATAAAATTTAGCAACCAAGCTACAATGAAAATTTTTCTTTCAAAGGGGGTGTCATACCCCCATGCCCCAATGAAGTGATGACCATGTCTGAATAGTTTAGTGGGTGGTCTGAAACCATATCTGTTTTAGAGCTTGTAACTGTTATTATTAATTGTTACATGAAACAGACTCTAGAAGTTCTTTGTCTTACAGTGTTTGAAAACTGTGCTGCCTGCAGCAGACTTTGCCTCTACATCTTTAAGTTGCCTCTGAGCTTCAAAAATGGCTTCTGCAACCTGTGAAATGCAATATATTGAACATTAATTGCAATGCAACAATGTTTAGAACATTATTGATTAAATCCTTGTTCTAGCTATTAAAAATAATAGAGTAATTAACACTTTGAAACTTTGCTGGTTATCCTTGGTTCAACATGGTTAAGTTGGGTACAAACTAAGCATTCATTTCCAATGTTGTTTTCCTTTTATTATGCAAATATGAAATAAATTTTGATGAGCTTTCTCATTCTTTGATCAAGTCTGCATATTGCAAACTTGCATTAACTTCCTTGATCTATGAAAATGAGCACCCTGTAGACAAATACATTTTCCTGTCCTCCCATCCAAAAAGAAGGAATTTTTCAATATTCTCTATAATTAAGAATTAATGTTCAGATGTTTCCATCAAAATGAAGCAATATTGATTTATTCTATTGATAAAAAGGCATTTTTAGGTTTCAAAAAAACTAGTACTTCTACCTTCCCTAATGAAATATTTTCAATCATGTTCAGAGTTTATCAGAAATCTTATGCTTCTTGGCAAACATACAAGCCCGTGTCATATCTATCTATACTTAAGTTCCAAACTTCTATTGACCATTTTAATATTTATCCAATCTCTTTTTAAACAAGCTGAATGAGTTTTAAACAAACATTTAACTAGAACAACGCATACAATTACAGATATTTCTGTGTTTATGCCAAATCAAGGCATGCTTATATCTTTTTCCAAACAATTTAAACGCAATTCTAAAAAATAATTATGAAAAACACCGTAATAGGTTATTTCTATGCTATGGCCATGGGTGTGGCTAAGATAGTCAACAACCAAACGAAATTTTCTCTTACAAAATTTAAATAATCTTTTGGTAAAATATTCCGATTTCAAACCATAGTTCAAAAGTTTTAATCAACTAAACCTTACTGTTTCGAGTAAATGGGGTCCTGGTGGGTTTGTAATGTTTTGATTCGATTTTGCGGGGATTTAAGATTTCGCCGATTACTTTAACTAGATACATTAAATTAGGGTTATCTTATCTCTAAAATTATTTCACCTTTCCGTCGTCAAGATTTTTACTGCCATTTGCAGCGTATACTCTCTCTTCGATCCGTTTTATCCGGGATTCAAGAAGGTCCAGTATTTTGTCAGCTTCCAGACCATCGGCCATCTTGAAAATAGCATAGGGGAAAAATGCATGACGCTGGTCATGGCGGCACGGAATCGCGGGCGCAAATACTCCACATGGCTTCAATATATGCAGTAAAAACTTCAAAGTCAAAGTATAAAAGTTAATTGTTTTCGGAAATCTAGTAGACATACTACTGGAAGAAACTTATAAAACAGAAATGCTTAATCAAGGTATATCAAGAAAGAACTTTTAATCATTATTTCAAAACAACAAAAAAAATTGCAGGTAAATGTCGAAATATCTACATTTATATAAAATTACAATATTGAGATGAAACATTGTCGCGATAAAAAGAGTAACTTACAGAAAAATCTAGATTTTGCTACAAAACGAAACTATTGACAAAGTAATTGCCAAGCATCAAGGTTTTTGCTGGTTATTACCATTTGTTGTGAATGTATTGCCTTTTCATGTAAAATGGAAGAAACTGACCGCTACTTTTGATTATTATGAATGTGACTTCGTGGTCGATAAGGAATATGAAAAGGCTGAATTGTCGCGAGAGATAGTGTAGCCTACAGAAAAATCTAGATTTTGCTACAAAACGAAACTATTGACAAAGTAATTGCCAAGCATCAAGGTTTTTGCTGGTTATTATCATTTCTTTTGATTGTATTGCCTTTTCATGTAAAAAGGAGGAAAGTTGCCATTAATTTTGAACATGAACGAACACGAAGTCACATTTACGACCAAAAGTAACGGCAACTTCACTCCTTTTTCCATGAATAGGCAATACAATCAAAAGAAATGATAATAACCAGCAAAAACCTTGATGCTTGGCAATTACTTTGTCAATAGTTTCGTTTTGTAGCAAAATCTAGATTTTTCTGTAGGCTACACTATCTCTCGCGACAATTCAGCCTTTTCATATTCCTTATCGACCACGAAGTCACATTCATAATAATCAAAAGTAGCGGTCAGTTTCTTCCATTTTACATGAAAAGGCAATACATTCACAACAAATGGTAATAACCAGCAAAAACCTTGATGCTTGGCAATTACTTTGTCAATAGTTTCGTTTTGTAGCAAAATCTAGATTTTTCTGTAGGCTACACTATCTCTCGCGACAATTCAGCCTTTTCATATTCCTTATCGACCACGAAGTCACATTCATAATAATCAAAAGTAGCGGTCAGTTTCTTCCATTTTACATGAAAAGGCAATACATTCACAACAAATGGTAATAACCAGCAAAAACCTTGATGCTTGGCAATTACTTTGTCAATAGTTCGTTTTGTAGCAAAATCTAGATTTTTCTGTAGGTAACCCTTTTTCTCGCGACAATTCAGCCTTTTCATATTCCTTATCGACCACGAAGTCACATTCATAATAATCAAAAGTAGCGGTCAGTTTCTTCCATTTTCCATGAAAAGGCAATACAATCAAAAGAAATGATAATAACCAGCAAAAACCTTGTTGTTTGGCAATTACTTTGGCAATAGTTTCTTTTTGTAGCAAAATCTAGATTTTTCTCTAGGCTACACTATTTCTCGCGACAATTTAGCCTTTTCATATTCCTTATCAATCACGAATACACATTTACGACCAAAAGTAACGGCAACTTCCTTCATTTTTCCATGAAAAAGGAAATACAATCAAAAGAAATGATAATAACCAGGGAAAACCTTGTTGCTTGGCATTTACTTTGGCAATAGTTTCGTTTTGTAGCAAAAGCTAGATTTTTCTGTAGGTTACCCTTTTTCTCGCGACAATTTCTTTAAAATCATTTCTTATCGATTACAAAGTTACTTGGCTAATCTAAATTTTTAGACTGATTTAATGGTTTGCATCTAAAACTGTGGGCTTTTATTTCTCAATCACTAATTTTTAACTTTATAATAGCATTGCATTGAGTGGCTTCCTCTTTTGGGAAAGTCAATTTAAAGCCAAGTGTAAAATTTTGACGATTTTGTTCAGTGGTTGTTGGAATGGTTTCTGAAGACATGTTGTGTAGTGCACGTGTTTAGCACAAGTCGCATTTTTATTTATCTTCGGTCAAGGGAGATGTCTTTTTCGGAACCTCTTCTCTGACAATTTTTGTTCAAGAATTGTACCACTCTAGTGCTTGACAATTTTCAAGTGATTTTCATTGCCTAACAAAACAGCTTTTGGATGTATCATTTCCTATCATTAATGGGGAAAACGTGTAAATTTTCCTGGATTCTTCAAACTCTGGTTGCAAAATGTCCTCAACTTTCTAAAGGTTGGTGTCTTTTCGCCCTTTTCTGCTTGTTGCATCTAAATTATGTATTTTATTTTATTCTTTTGTGGTGTATGAAAATATGTACTTGTATGCAAATGCATTTCCAGATTGGAATTTGCATCAGTTTTAATGGAAATTTTAATCGAGACATACTTAATGCCTATTTTTTAGTGTCATCTATGTTATGGCAATAGAACTAGTTACATTTGTTGCTAGAACAATCATGCAAGTTTTGTGCTGCCTTTGTTTTGAATATGTCGATCTATCGACGAATCTTTAATCATTCAAAACAATGTGGTGTATTCGTCCTGAAATGTTGCGGGAGCAGTGTTGACATTTGCTGTAACCCCTGTGATTCATCGCGCGCATGGCAAGTACATTTTTCCCCTATGCTCTTGAAAATAATAATCGAAGTTCAAATCGAGGCTACGTGAAGTTGCTTCGAAACAAAGACGTGTAAAAATGGAGTTGAAAGGCCCTTTGGCCCTCATCGCCTTTTTGGCGAGTTATATCACCGTGGCTATTGGAAAATTGTCACCTGAAGAATGCAGAAAGCTTGGTTTCTCTTCAAATTTGTTATGTGGATCATGTAATGATCTGAAGCAGTTCAAACTTGATATGCTTGTTAAAAGTTGTCAAAGCTGTTGCGAAAAGGACCAGGCCGAAAACGAGGGATTGGTATAAATGTTAACAAAATTTTATGTTTTAGGCTTTTAAGAAGCAGCCAGATTTTTAACTGCTCAAATAGGTCGTATAATTCATAAAAAGGCATGGAATTTAAAAAAATTAAAAAATTCCACGCACGCTTGAGTTTAATGTTCCTGTCTGAAGATTATTCCTGTTTGAGGAGCTGCTCATGGATAAAATTCAATTTTAACCAGGTCAAAAAAACCCATCACAAACAAAAATTTTCTGACCTAAACCTTCTGTAGTTCCAGCCTTAAGGTTGATATGGATCCAAGGGGGCTGCATATGTCAGATAATTTGCAGTGATAGGACACACAAAACTGGGAAGCCATCAAACTTTTTAAAATTTTATGCAAATTAGGAGAAAGGGATCCCTGATTCTAGTAAAATCCAGGCTGGAAAACGTACATCGCCTCGTGGCTATGTACAAATTTAAGGATCCTGTTTTGCCCAGTGTGAGCAAAGTTAGAAATACCCTACTTATCTATTTGATCTTAATCCTAATTAATGCTGGAAGCAGCAAGGGTTTGAACTAAACCAAAAACATATTTTGAGAATCCAGAGTCCAAACACCCAGTATGCACTGAGATGAACTGAAATTCTGCACTAAAGATGCACTGATACATGGTTACACTGAAGGTTCACCTAAAAACTAAATTTGATTCTCAAAAAAAGTTGATAGTCCTGGTGCATCTAGCATTTTGGGATGATGTGTTGGACCCACACCTCTGTTGTAGGGCTACTGGGAGGTGTATCACAATTGCCATGCTCTGTAGATTTGGTGAAAACTAGCACTTACTCTAGTATGGTCACATTCTTAATTTTCTAAAAAAACTATCTTAATATTTAAGAAATATTTCTAGCTTAGTGCTTTGATCTATGTTCTGATGTTTTATACTCTGAAGAGTGGCCAACAAAAAGCTTAAGTACGACTCAAAATGTTTGCTTTTCAAAGCCACTTTAAAATTTTCTACCACAAAAAGATTCTTTATATTTTGTTTAACCAAGCCTCTTGCCAACCCCATGAAATGCAGAGTCTTGTGAAAACAGTACATTATTTAAGTGCATTTATTTCTTTTCTAACAGCGATATACAGCTGCAACCTTGAAGGTCTGTCAATGAAAAATAGGAAAGTATCCTCAAATTCATGGTGAGAATTTATTCTTTTATTTTTATCCCATTTAGTTAACATGTACTCCTTATTTTTTAGTTAGCCAGTTGAACATATTTTACTATCTCGTGCTTGAAACTTTCCTTTGAAGTCTTGTTTGCCCTTTTTTGTAGTATTAATAGCTTGACACAATTTCTCTGCAAAGAGCTTTTGCTTTGATTCTGTGACCCATAACATTAGTTTTACTGTAAAATTACTAACTGCTCGGTGCCTGAGGAAAATGTATAAGGGGATTCAAGGTCATAAGTAAATTTCTCTTCAAAATCATTTAGCTGGCATCTAAGACATTAAAATTGCTCATTTTTGTTTTTGCATGCCGAAATCAATTTTATCAAATCACATTATCAAAATAGCTTTTACAAATCTAATCTAATTCTTTTTGGGGTTGCAAAATGCCACATCATTGATACCAAAAATATTTCCAATGTATACACTATTTTTTGTTAAATTCACTTGTGAACAAATAAAGCATGAGTTAGAAAAGTTAGCTTCTGCCAAGAGTTAGAAAAACCTAAAACTTGATTGTATTTATATTAGCAAGGATATAATGTATAATGAATAACTTTTGTTTTTTCTGGCAGCTTTCGTCAAAAACGATGGCAAGAAAGATCAGTTTCCAAATTTGAGGATACAGGTAATTTTTGAGCATTTTTGTAACTGTATAACTATGTTTCTACTTGTCCTTGCACCAATTTTACATTGATTCCAGAAATAAAAAAACTGTTATTACTCCTGTCAAGCAGTAGCAGGAATAAGGGGGGCAAAGAGAGCTCCGCCCCCTCCCTACTAGCGTTTTTGTCTGGGCATTTGGGCTTTCAAACCCCAGATGTGTCAAGTCTGTTTTCTTGTCCAAAATGGAGAATAATGTAGAATTCCGGCATAGTTGTGGTTTTGATAACCACACAAAATGCCCAATTCATTTCAGGCAGGGCGGACCTTAAAAAATATTGCAGCTCTCCAGCCCACATAATTCCAGGCACCTTAGAAGTTAAACAGGGAAGGGGCTGCTACCACAATGTTTCTAGGAGCAACTGACCTTCAATGCGTCAAGTGTTTATCGATGCAGTCCAAGCAACATTCTTTGGCTGCTACATTATTAGGTAAGGATTTCTAATAACAAGGCCAGTGAAGAACCCTTTGAAGAACAGACCTCAGAACAGACCATCCTGGAGTAAAGTCATAAAAAATTTCTAAACCATGCTTTTTTTGAAAAGACTTAACCTTCTGAAAATCTCCAATGATAAGAAACGGCCAAGAAAAACAATTATTTTATTTGTTTCTTCCCCGCAAATTCATGGGAATGTCACGTAAACACTGCAACGATCAATATTCATACCCAAATCTTTGGGCACAACCTTACATTGTTTTATAAGCATAAGATTTGTTCATGTATTAGATAGTTATCAGTTGAAAGTACCGAAAAAACTTGAGAGAGAACCCAGTGCATGACAGAACCAGATTTTGTTTCACAAAGATAGCAGCTGATATCCTGGATTGGTTATTAGACAGAGGAGGCTTATAACATGCGATTAATTACAATGTATGGCTTTATGCCCTGTTTTCTTTGATGAATATGTCACATTCACAGAGTAAAAACAATGGAAATGGTGATTCGCATTATTAGAAACACAATCCTAATAACAGAGATGGTAGCAAGGACTATTGTTGACATTTTCAAAGATTGAAGCCAAAATAATTTCAATGAAAGTCTATTGGCATGGGAAGCTACAAGCATGATTCCAAATCAGGGTCTATGAAAACAAACATTCTGGGCTTAGAGCTTTGGAAAAAACTGTTATTAGCCTAATGATACAAATAACGCTGTTATCTGCCCCTGATTCATATAATAAGGACCTAATGTGACTATAAATTGAAATAGCTATCCGATATTAGTTCCCTCACAGGCAAACAAGGCTTGGATTTCTGCTCTAACTCTTGCTTGAGTATTCTTCAACTGAGAGTCTTGCTTGTCAGTGCATAATTTTTACATCTAGATCTTTGCAGTGTTGTTCATCAGAAATGCAAATGCGTATGTGAAGTAACATTTTTTCTCTCATTAAAGAGCACTATTGCTCCCACATTATAATGCATTAGCTTGAAGAAATAAGCTTGAAGAAGGAAGATTAATGACCTGTAAATTCTTTAAAAGAGAGCTTTTCATGTGAGAGATTTTTATGTCTGTTAGGGCTAGTGTAGTTAATATTGAATTTGCTTATTGTTGAGTTGTCTCTTTAGTTTGTACGTGGGCAAGATCCTATTCTTCTATTGCATGATGAAACAGATGCAGTCAAGGACACATTAAGGTTGGCATTTATGGTTACATTATATCTTGCAAACCATATCTTCTTTGAGAATGTACTCATGAATGGCAATATGAAAGGGTTATAGTAGGTAGATTTTTGGACTAGGATGTCCACCCTTTTTTGCCTGGGGCACAGTTTCTGATGCTTGTTTTCCTGGTGTGTCAGGATGAACTGTGATAGGTTGAGCCAATAGTACAGCGGTTTTTATTTGTCTATTGTTTTTCTAGGTCCAAGTTTCAATGAAAACCTACTACCCTTTCAGTGTTTAGTGTAAGAATTTAGTGTAAACAGGGACAGAATAATTGTTAAGCTGGGGTCGGAAGAATTAGAAATAGCAGATTCAGCTAGCACAATAACTGGTTTATATCTATTGAACATTTCTTCAAGTGTAAGAGTCACTAAAACTTATTGCTTTCATTAATGAGACTAGATACAATTTAAGATTTTAAAGTTAACATTAGATCCAAATTAAGATTAGATACAATGTTAACAGGATCAGAATATAAGTAGTGTCAAAGTTTCTTGCAATAAGAATACTGCAAGCCTTTAGAATGTTCTATGCAGTCCACTTGCTATCAGCCTATAAAAGCAAGAGTATATTTTGACAGCTTTATGCAATTCACAGTTTATTTCTGCTAGCAAAAAGATTTGGCTTACAGGTGGTCAATAGAAATCAAAGAATGAGATTAATACTATATATATGAATGAGAATGAGATTAATGCTAACTTAGTGCTCCAAACAGCTAAATTAGAGAAGGCTGTGAGATGAAGCAATAAGTCCTATATATTTGACATGTAGTGCCAATTCTGAAATGAAACCTTCTGTTAATGTCTGTCTTTGATTTATTTCTAACTTTTTATACCTTTCAGCATCGATAAATGGGACACAGACACAATTGAAGAATTTTTAAAAGAAAAATTAACCTTATAGTTTTACATGCTCATTTGATTTTTATAAGGCAAATAAATAAAAACAAATAAAGGAAAATAAAGAAAGTATGCAATGTACAGGGTTTATGTCAGTGCCTCTGGAATTTGCCACACTTCTGGTAATATGTGAAATGTAGTGCAATCTCCTAGATTTATGCTAGAACAGCGATTGATCTATATAAAATTTGATAAGAGAAAATCAATTTCTGATAAAATTTCTGGTTGACCTGAAATACGGAAACAATTGAATTGTTAACCTATTGAAGTTAATGATTACTATAGTGTATCAAAATTTAGTTACAATATGGATTAAAATTTACTTTATAAACTGGGATATGTTTTGTTATTGTTTGAAGTGTATAAGAAATTAGTACATGTATAATTGAGCCTTTTTCACTAATAGTTTTGAAATAAATAAGCAAGTACATTGATATCAACTTATGATGGTTGCTTATTAAACCTTAAAGGTAAGGTAAACCTGAAACACTGTTGATAATTATATGTATTAGAATTGTGTTTTATTTAACAAAACTATGTGAAACTATTTAATATAGAAGCATTAGAACCAACTGCAGCGTTTTTTTGTCTGATTACCTCACAGAAGCAAGTTCAGAGTAGAAAGAAAATAATTTTTATAAAGTTAGTATATTTTAGCCATGTTTTTACAAGCAAATCACAACAATTTTTGTGGTATGGAATATTAATGGTATTTTACTTTTTAAATTGAAAATTCCTGCGACATTGTTGCTAAAACTTTTTGCTTTTTTGAAACCTGATATATGATATTAAGTTTTCTTCAATACACAAAATTGCATTGAATAGTTTGCTAACATCTAATGCAAAGTTCTTATTATGAATTCCCGTTGTATGGATTTCAACTAAGTAATTCAAAGTTTTTAAAGGACTATATTTTTATATATTTGCCCAGTTGTAAACTTAATTTTCATTTCATGTATTTTCGCTTGAATAACCTTCATGGTAATCAAGGCACCACTTTCAAACTTTTTGCTGCTTGATAAATGTGTGTACAAGCACAAAATATAAGCAAACAAAAACAGGCTTTAGATGTTCGAAGAGGCTTCAAATAAAACAATTATTTAACAAAATGGCTAAAAATAATTTATGTATGAAGATGGGCTGGCACAAAATTTTTGTTTTAGTCATCATTTTTTTACACAACTCGTAAAATTTTCAAGGGAACTAGTCTCCAGTTTTCGGTACTGCCAGATGCTGCAAGTTTGCAAGATAGTTTTGAAAAGTAAATAAAGAATAACTGCATCGCAATTTGTTGAGAGATGCAGCAACATTTGAAGTAAGATGTAAATTCACAGATATGATGCCAATATATTATTCAATAAGAATTATAACATTATTGTAACATAATCTGATTGGAAAATTAAATCACAACTAACTTTGAACAAATCAATTCTAATATTTTAAATTTGTACAGTTGATAAACAATGAAGCCTTGTCAAAATTCACAACATCATTAAGCAATCCTTGACATAGTGGTTGAGAGAAATTTTTTGAAGTTTTTTCAGTCGTTTGAGAATGATTGAGTGAATGAACTATTTAAATGAATAAATCAGGCATTCAAACTATAACTAACTTATGAAGCATAGAAAAAATGTTGAAAAAATTGTTGTAACTCAACATTAGTTAAAAAAATTTAGCACTGAACATGACATTCTGTATGGAATTTTAATAAGGAGTACAAGACATAAGAGCAAAGACTTAAATTGGAACCAAGCACATATTGTGGCTTCTGGGCATATTTAGCAGGTTTTCCTCCTCTTGCATAAGAATGTTTTTCAGGTTGGTAATAGTATTAGCAAGGTTTGGACTGAAAATTGTTCATTGTTTTCATTTAGCATGAGGTTTAATATAACTTAGAATGATAGCATAATATATACAGAATCAGCAATATTACTCATGCCTCTTTAGTCATTCAGCTCAAGACCATATCTTGCATAGAGTTCTTTTGTTGTTGTGTGTTCAACTTCAGCTAAAAAGATAAATATATATAATATATTGCAGTGTTGATTATCTATGATTTCCTTCTTTCTTCAATTAAAGTATACAACAGTTCTCAGTGAATTATAATGTCGAATTTAACTACTCAGACCATTGTGTTATAAGATTAAATTTTGATGATGGACATACTTTATATGAGGACAACAAATGATGTAACTTACCCAGACGCCCAAGTAACATTTGTCCAATATCTTTGATGTCATTGTATTCATGGAGTTTTTCTATATGCACATCCAATTCCTCCTCTGTATACCTTGAAAAGTACCATTATCAGATATAAACAAAAGATTACTTTAGTCTGACCCTAAAATCTGCTGAGACAGTGCTCTGGTAACATTTGGTTGAAACGTTTTCCAGTCCTGTACTAGCGATCGAAACTTTTTTGGTTAGAAAAATTGGTAGCTTGATTTACATTAACATAAATGTAAAATTCAAAAATGAAGATATAAATAAAAATATAGGTTTTTCATCTTTTGTCAGGCCAAAATTAACAACCAACTGACAATTTTATGGACCAACTGAAAATTAATCAGCCAACTAATGAAAAGCTAGGGGTTGTCACAACACTCCTGTCAGCTATGTCCCTGTTTATTTAAAATATAAAAGTCTTTAATGAATATACATAAAAACTAAAGAACATACTGCTTTTCAAGTTCTTCTAGTTCTTTGTCAAGAAAATCATTTTTCTCCTTCAGCATAATCACTTCCTTTGCTAAAGCAACTTTGTTTTTCTTTGGTGTCCCTTTTTTTGGTGTCTATATAAAGTTTTCAAGAATATCAACCAAAGTGCTTAAGAGAGTCAAGAACTTCCTTTATCAAATAAAAATACCAAAATTTTTTTGTCATTTCTATTTAAATGATTCCCAAAACTCTAAAAGTTGGTTTGATCACAACTCACATTCTTGTGGTTTTAATTTTCTCTTTACAACCTAAAGTGACAATCATTGCCATAAGGACAAACGCAGTTATCAAGTCCACCATGAAATGAAAGGGTTACCAATCAAATTCCCTCCTACATTTGATTATATGTGAACCTTAACCCATGTGCAAAGGGTTGTCGTTGGAAACATATTGGGAATAGCAACTAAATCCAAGTCCAAGCAAGAAAACAATCTTGCAGTCAGAAATATGTTGGATTTTTGGGCTTATGAAAAACTTGTTTAAATATGTTAATGACAAGAACAATAAACAATTTACAGGGGCTCTGAAAGGTGCAAAGCAGCCGGTACTTCCTGCACTCTTTCTTCTGCAAAATAAAAAAATTTATTAATGGTCAAAAAAGGCAAAACAAGTTTTATTGCTTGGGATGAGTGAATTACAAATTAATTAGTAAAGTATCTTAGTCAAGTAACAAAAACAAAACTGCAATAATGAAAATAAATAAAACAACATAATTTTATCATAGCTCTTTAATGATGGATTTTTATAATAATTTATTCATACTTTTTGTCTTTCAGCTTAAAACTTACTGTAACAATTTACTGACATTGATCTATCTGTATACATAATCTATGCCATTTCATGCTTCATTAAAAGAGCTTGGGGCTAGAGAACCACAGTTCTGTTTAGGGTTAAAGGTGAGAATACAATACACAGGATGTGTATATATATATATATATATGGTGTATTGATTCTGCTTCATTGAGAATTTGATAGATAAGGATCAATTTTCTTCTGTTCCTAGGAAAATAACACATCATTTGTGATGTGATGTATGACAAACAAAAATCACCTATTTGCATAAGGTGTCAGAGTTTGATGTAATGGACTTCTCCCTGCAGGGATCTTTCTTGCATTGTTCATTGGCCTTCCTAAAAAATAAACAAAATTGCTAATTGCTCCGTTTCTGCCTTCATTCTTTACCAGCTAAAACGTTCTTTATTCTACTCAACTGTAGACAGTTTGGAAAACATGTATGATTTTAGATATACCAACGTATTTTGCTTTTTTGCCTTCAAACGGTAAACATTTTTGGGGAAGATCAGGCCCTGTCTAAACTCTTCTTAGTAAAAAGGATTGACAATTGTTAATATGTGTTACAATTTAACCAAAAAATTTGGGAAGATATGTATGTTAGATATATACTGAAGAATTTTAACGCTAAATACGCTTTGTACCTTCGTTTGGCTTCTCTCTGAACTGAAATTCTCTAAAAAACCAAAATTTTATTTTTTGCCGCCAATATTTTTAGATGAATTCCCATCAACCTCGTTTTAACACCAACGAAGCCTCTCCTCAAAAACGAGTATACTGTTGCTATAGAGATAAATATTCACAAATTCGGCTTGATGTTGGAGAGTCCAGTAGACGTTGAAAACACTTGAGCAAAAATGAGTGGGTTTGGCAACCTGTCATTGACAGAACAGATTGAGGAGCTTCGAAAGAAGATTGCATTGCTAGGTTGGTGTTTAGCTTTTATTTTCAAGCTCACTTATGCGATTTTTTTTAAATTCAACGCTTTATTCCCCATTGTTTAGTTTAGGCCCTAAGATTTATTTTTGTTGAGACCTACGGGTCGGGATATGTCACGAAGTTATGTTCCTTTTCTTTGTTGCAGCATAAATCCTTATCATAAACAAATGAAATGCTTGGCATGCTTTTTTTATGGGTACATTTTGAAATACTATGGTAACAGATGAGCCTTAGATCAATACCCTATTAAATAAGTTATTTTGAAGTAAAGTCCAGCTTACATCTTTTTCGAATGAAATTTAATCTTAACTTATGCATGTGTACACGGCTTAAAAAGTTCGAAGTTTTATAATTATCTTTTATTATTGGAATGCAATTATATTTATATGGGGAGCATGATGGGGAAAACCCGGGATTGTAACTAGAAAAGAAATTTGCTTAACATTGCCAAGACTTTTGCATGAGCACCACTTTATGGTTAGGGATAATTAAAGTCTTCATAACTGTTCTTGGACTGCTATCAATAGTTAAATAATTGTTTGGTTTATTTTTCAAATACATAGACGATTTCGTAATCTATTTGTACTATTTGATACACATTCCATTTCAAACATTTTTCAATAAACTATGTATGAAACTTTCCATCTGCACTTTAGGAAACCCCAACCAAGTTTATGCACTGTGATTTTGTTAAAGAGCTTCTAGCACATCTGAGATATCATCAGAAAGTTTTAAACTTTTGTTTCTAGCTCTTATATTTTTAATCAACTTAATCATTTTACATGTCATTTTTAGATGGAGACCGCAAAGCTTATCATGAAAACTCACAATGGACTATAAAGCAAAACAAAGATATAATTCAGAAACTGAGGGGCAAAAACAAAGAATTGAGATCTGACTTAGCCAAGAAAAAGGCTGTAAGTAGAGTTTATCATAATGAATTAGATTCATCAACAATAATGTAATCTATTATGGATGTTAAAAGAGAAATTAAACAATTACAAATAAAACAATCACATTAAACAATTCCTTTCTTAAACCCTGCTTACTGCAAAGAGTCATGTGATGCCAGCTTTAGTTGTTCCTGTGGTTAAATTGAACTTGAGCAATGGCTTGTTAGCTAGTCAAGTTTTTGCCGTATTTAAACCTCCCTAAAATTCTAGCTATATAAGTTTTTACAATTTTAACTAATTTTACTTGTTACAGTCATTAATGCTACTAAACTTCAATGTTAAAAGCTACATCAATATTCCTGATTAAAATTTTGGTTATGTATGTAGGGATTAAAACAAATCAAAAGCAACAATGATTTTTATTGGAGACTTAACACCAGTCAATGTTGACCACTGAATTCAGCAAATCTGTGAATGAGCCTAAAGTTTTTTGCCTATGCAATCTTTAAAAATCTGTGTTTTAAGGAGCATGTGTAGTGTTTAGGGAGATGTTGTGCCTTTTTAGACATTATTTGGTTGTAATACTTTAGAATTTGGCATAGAACCAATTGTCTGTTTTTCTAAATTTTCATGTCTTTATTTGCTTTTGACAGGGAGATGCAAAGGTGATTGACGATGCTTTCAAGGAGAAGGATCCAGTAAGACACTGTGCCATGCGAGGAATGTCTGGAAAGGTAACTAGTATTTCATCTAAATTACCTAATGATTCTTTATTGTAGTGCCTTTGTGAAAATATAAATTATTAGATGTCTTATAGTTTTGGGAGATAGGCCAACACTTTTGCCTCAAGGGCCTGTTCAACATGTTATGAAATTATGGTTTTGTACAGAGAATGTATTTGTTTCTAGGCTGCAATTGGCAAAGTTGACCAGCAGGTTTGTGAAACTAAGAAAAAGCTTAATGCCTTGCATCATCACAGAGTCACAAGAGAAAAAAAGCTGGCATCACTTCAGACAGACTACCAGCAAATGGAAGATGATGCCAAACTAATTGAAAACTCCGACATTGGGGACAGCCCAGAGGCTCAGGTAGTCAATTTATGTTCAATGTGCACCAAGTGATGATATTTCTAAAAAGAAATAATGCATTTGTTCACAAATCAACATTTTTGTTAAGTTGGAGCTCCTAGATTTGTGGTTAACATCTCTATTTCACTTTAAGATCAATTGTTTTACTTAATTTGTCATTTTTTTCTAATGCACTTTTTATTGTTCCTCCCTTCTCAACTTTGTTAGAATCACAGAAAATAAGCAAGTCTTATTAAGCCTGAGTTAAGGCTGTCCCTTTTGTTGCTGGTTTCTTTCATTAAGTTGAAAAGCATTCAGTGCAGTATCATTTGATTTCTCTCAAATTCCATCTGCAGCAATTGCGTATGCTTGAAAATCGTTTGGACAAAATGAATCTCAAGATGAATGAGGCAAACAAGATTGAAAGCACTTACTTGCAAATCTTGGAGCACCAGAAAGAGGTCTGTACTGTGTTATATTTTTGAAGTAGTTGTTTCTCATGACTAAAATCTCAAGCATGCAATATAATTTGAATTGGGCTATTCAGGTTAATAGGAGAAGTTCTTCTAAATCACACAAACAGCTTTTAAAAACACAATTGTTTAAGGTAAAACAGGTATAAAATTAGAGGGAACAGGGAAATATTAGTTTGGTAAAGAATTTATTTATTGTAGGTAAAATATAAGAACTAATGTACAGGTGAAATTTAGTAACTTTCTTTATTTTTTCCTGAATAAGTTATGTATGATTAGTATTTTATTAAAATCATGCAGGAAAGAAGAACCTGGCCTAAACAACTTGACTCACTTGAACAAGCGATTAAACAGCAGCAGGAGGAGCTAAAAGAGCTCAGGGCCATGTTCAATGATGCTCAAATTGCCAGGGATAATGCACGCTTAGAGTTAGCAAAGCAGGAACAAAGTTTGTATGAAGCAAAGAAAGAGCGAGATGCAAAGCTAGAAAAATGCAAAAAACAGGCTGAGGAGAAGAAGGAACATGCTGATAAAGTTGAGAAAAGGGTAAATCCTATGTTTATTTTTCAAATATATTTTAAGATATACAAAGCTTTTTGCCTGACACTCTTCAGACTATTAAAAGTCAGAAAAATGCAAACAATCTTTTGCTGGTACAAAACTTGAAAATAGCTTTGAAAATAGCAAACATTTGAGTAAACTAACGCCTTTTATCTGACAGAATCTAAAACCTGCGATTCTGCTTTCGGGCAGTATTTACTGGAAAACCTAGATTGTGCAAAAACCTATAATGGCAACATGATTTGGATTATTTGTAAAGCCCGATCATCATTCCATCTAGCAGTTTCGGAATCTATCTATATAAGCATGAAAAAACCGCTATAGGTAGACAAAAGGAGTCTGTTTTCACCTTAGGACTCCATTTGCAATGTTCTCTATAGGCAAGAAGCACTGATTGGGCAACCTCAACAGTCATATGCTTGCATGTCTGATTGGCCTATTTCGATCCACAACTGGGTATTTATTTTTCCTAGCATAGAGTTTTCAATCTATGCTCTGACGTTCTAAGTTCTGAATAGTGTCAGATGAAATACTTTAGTTTACTCAAATGTTTGCCTTTGTCAAAGCCATAGTCAGAATAATGCTCAGAAATTTTAAGCCACAAAATAAATATAATCAACTGTGGACCAGAACAAGCCAATCATGTTCAATTGTCTAAATTTATTTTTATCATTTCTCTTTTTTATTTAACTTTTTTCCCTCATCAGCTACAACTTCAAAGAGCCTCAATTCAAGAAGATCTTTCACACGGTAATTCAAAAAGATTTTATCTTCATGACCATCTTTTTAAACTTTCATGACCTTTACAGCACATCTATAATTGCTAGTTTACTTTTTTCCAATATAAATTTTTTACTGTTGGTTGTTTTAGGCATACTAAAGTTGTTATTAAAGTTAATTATTAAAAAGATTTGACTCGTATACCAAGTTCAATTCTTGTTTTGTGAAGGAATTATTCATTTTTGCTTAAGATCCAAAATCCCAACTATCAAGTGAAGAACAAGAGAAAAAGATCAGTACCTATGAAGAAGCAATGGCAAAAATCAAAGATGCAACAGGTGTTTCTGATATCAAAGAAGTTGTTCAGCGCTTTCTGTCCCAAGGTGACACACATAAACATTTGGAGCAGCTGAAAATAAACAATGAAAAGATGCTGGCAAGGCTGAAGGAAGAAAAGGTATCTCAAGGCATTGCCACCTCTCATTATTCATTCATATAGCATTATGCCATTATTGCAAAAAAATAAATTTTTTGGACAGTAAAGATGTGGCTTTAAATCCATAAGCAGAATAAAAATCTGTTATTCACGACAACATGAGAGTTAACTTAAATGTAAAGAAAATTGTGTCAAACTTTTGTCTACCAAGATTTACTACAGACTTTCATACTTGCCATGTTTTGCTGGCTAGCTTTTCAAATTTGTGAGGATTTTTGTTTTAACAAAGTATTTTTCGACAGGAAAAGCTGCAGGCTGAATTTGAAGAAATGAAATATTCAGGGGAAGCGAAAATGTCAAGGTCAGTTTGCTTGCATCATTGGCAAATTTGTCACAAAGTTGTTCACCTTACCTTACCGTATTTTTTCCTTACCTAAACAATTAAGCATTTTAAAAATAAAGTGATTGAACGCCCTTCTCCATGTCAAATAATTTATGATAACAGTTTAAACCAGTTCAATGTGTATGAAATTTAAAGTTTTGTATTTATATGAGTCGTAATAATTTCGTCAGTTATGACGGGCGTCCACTCCAGGTTGTCCATCATAGATTCATTAGATGATTTGTGTGTAAACATGTCTAAAGCCCTATTTTGCTTTTCAGTGGACAGAGAATGCTGGAAGACTTCCAAGCTAAACTCGCTGAGGAAGAGAAAAAGTAAGATAATTGTCAACATATCATTGCGAATTCCTGTAGGACCAGCACTATTTTCGGTTTAAAAGAGTTGTCTCTAGTCTGAGAGTGCTAGAAAGCTTTGAATGCATAAAAAGAGTTTTGAATGAAATTATTTACAGCAAGGTGATGAAGAATTCACCTCTTTTAATTACTTACGCCATTGATGAAGAATTCACCTCTTCTGATAAAAGATGTTCGTGTTTTTTCTTGAGCTTTTGATTATCATTTAAGAATGATGCGTATTGAAGTAAATAAGATAAATTTGCTTTTTGTGTTTTATATAAGAAAATTTTACACATGTAGGCAAAGGAAGGAAAGGAGAGTGTGGGCACATGTAGGCAAAGGAAGGACACCTCAGTGGGCTGTCAATATGTACTTTACCTCTGTCTTGAGAATTGGAGAACGTCCCCCCCCCTGTGCAACCCCCGGCTTCTACATTTTTACTAACAGTAAATATTTTGATGATACTGTCTTATGATACGATAGATGCGAAGAAGCTAAACAGCGCCAGGAGAGAAGCAGCCGAATTCTTGTTGACGTCAAAGCCGGTATTGATCATCTTGCTGACAAACTACAATACCTCAAGGCACCAAAAGGACATGTCCCACAAGCCCAACTGACCCCTGGCTCGGACGAATATGTACTGGATCTTCTTGGTACAATTGAACAGAAACTGTTGAAGTTGATGGAGGACCTTGGTGGGAAAGACATTCAAGATGTGATGAAGGAAATGGAAGATCTGGACGTGAGTGTCAATATTACTACCTCCGCTGCATCATAATCTTAAACCTATATACAATCGCCAATATTTACCATTTTTTATGCTTTTATTCTATAATGATTGCAAAATTTCATGTTTAATAACCTGATGAATGGTCTTTTTTCAATTCAGTTCCGCTCAAATTTGGAGCACAAACTCCCTCAATTTAACACCAGAGTCAAACTACCAGTTGCAACAGAGAAAAGCATTGTTTATGATGGTAAGTTTTTCTATATAAATATTTTCTATCGCTGATTTATAAAGTCACTTCTTAATCACCTTATCGCGTGTGTCTTATTCTTTCTTGATTATTTTTTGTGCAAGTAATTCCTGCATTGTTCATGAAATATGTTATTTCGTAAATGCTTGTGCTGCGCTTTTTGTGTACAGAACAGGACAGTACTAAGTTGCAACTATGAGTTTCACAGTTAACTCAAGGGTCAGTCTACTCGATAATTAAAACTTAGGGATCAACTTACTATCGTCTCAAACACACCATTTTACACTCTTTTTGTACGAAAGCAATTTTATAAGAGCACGAGCCTCAAATTTAGTTAGAAGTTTAGAGCAAATAAGGATCAAGTTGAGGCTGAATGAGGTACTGTTGAATTCAACTTTGAACTTAATAAAATTTTCATCTGAATAACAAGGAGTACGTTGCCATCAAAATGTGCTTTTCGGTGCTTTTTCGAACTTGTCGGCGAATGAAGTTAGTCTCACTCATTTTTTTGGAGAATAAGGCCTAAACACTCCTCTTGTGCACAAAAGACAATGCACTGCTTACACCCTAGTGATTTAAGAACAAATTAAAACAATCCAGCCTCTAGTTTTTAGAAAAACTAAGAGCAACCAGCCTGTACTTCAATTTTTACTGGTTCTTTTAAGAAGTGTGTACAGCTCTATCTATGTGGCATCGAGTTCTTTTGACAGAAAGGTAAACAACAATTTTCATTAAAATTTTGTGTTTATCAAAGGCTCAAAAATTGTTCCTCTTTATTTAGTACACTAGATTAGGGGAATTCTCCCCCACATTTATGATGTCAAGCTTAACGCCGGCAATGATAGGTTTATTTCTAACCCGCAGTAATATTATTTCCCGCGAGATATGCAAGACCCGCGATATCTAGTTGTAACAGCCCTGCTATACACAGTGCTGACACCACCTTGTTGCAATTAACCGCTTTGTCTTATTCATAATCATATACTGTGTTCGTTTTAGTAAAGTTTCCTGACCATTTTCATATGTTTGGTCTTGTGTAGATACAAGCCACAGGTCTAGCAATGTTTCATTCTATATTTAGATGATGACGACAGTGGAGAAGATGAAGACTATATGTCAAGAAATGCCATTAAGCGTGAATCACAACAACTTGTCGACTCAAAAACGAAGAAGCATAAGGTCAGGCCTAGAAAAAAGGGCAAGAAGTGATTTGTCATGGCTGACTTTATATCCATAGACATTGGCTCGTTAGTTACCGTGGAAAATCTAACCTCTTTGTTTCTTGCAATCAAGTATATAATTTTCCTCGCTTAGTACATATTTTTCTCATACGACACCTTTGTCCTCCTTCCACTTCAGAACCTGTACATCTATAGGCTTAAACTGTCTCGATTAATATCGTATTTAACATTCACCAAGGTTGAGGGAAAGACCAGTGTTCTTTCAGCGTCATTGAGTGAGGTGTATGATTTTACTTAAAAGAATGAAATAGAGGTTCCCAAACTATCTTTTTTCGAAGCAAAATCAATATGAATATGAAAACATGAAATGATAAATATAATCAAGTTTCTGCATATACCAATCAGAACCATCAATATGAATGATATTACGTCACATTTCATCAATGTTGCGCCTATAATCAAGTTTCTGCATATACTAATCAAAACCATCAATATGAATGATGTTACATCACAATTCATCAATGTTGCGCCCCTAATCAAGTTTCTGCATATACTAATCAGAACCATCAATATGAATGATATTACGTCACAATTCATCAAAGTTGCGCCTCTAATCAAGTTTCTGCATATACTAATCAAAACCATCAATATGAATGATATTACGTCACAATTCATCAATGTTGCGCCTCTAATCAAGTTTCTGCATATACTAATCAAAACCATCAAAATGAATGATGTTACGTCACAATTGATCAAAGTTGCGCCTCTAATCAAGTTTCTGCATATACCACTCAGAACCATCAATATGAATGATATTATGTCACAATTCATCAATGTTGCGCCTCTAATCAAGTTTCTGCATATACTAATCAAAACCATCAATATGAATGATATTACGTCACAATTCATCAACGTTGCGCCTCAAATCAAGTTTCTGCATATACTAATCAAAACCATCAATATGAATGATATTACGTCACATTTCATCAATGTTACGCCTCTAATCAAGTTTCTGCATATAATAATCAAAACCATCAATATGAACGATATTACGTCACAATTCATCAAAGTTGCGCCTATAATCAAGTTTCTGCATATACTAATCAAAACCATCAATATGAATGATGTTACGTCACAATTCATCAATGTTGCGCCTCTAATCAAGTTTCTGCATATACTAATCAAAATCATCGACATTGAGAATTTTACTTCAGAATTCAACTGATCAAGTTTTTTCGAGCGATTCTGGGCCGAAGGGTTTGATTCAAAAAATTTTGATGTTTTTTAAATATCGCAAGCATTTGTGGAGACTTTAAATCGAGGGCTTTTAAAGAGAAATAATGCCCTATTGGTTGAAAGTGGAGTCAGGGATTGTGTTGAGGTTTTTTAATAATTTTTGAATAGGCTTTTGCAATGGCATTTTTTTATAGTTTTATTTTTACATTTAAGAAATATGATTATGCCGAAGTTTTTCCATTCATAATAAACGAAAAAAGGTTTATTGATACTCTTGGAAAGTTTGTTTTTTACTTTATTATCTTTTTACGATAACTGCCCTCCCGAAAAGAAGTTGCTTGGAAGCAAGAGAAAGTGTTATAAGCGTTTTCTTTTCATCAAAATTTATTTGAAGGGTACAGGGCTCAAAGGTTTCTTTCAAGGGATCGTTAAAACGAAGGAGTGTTGACTTGCGGTAATATGGTTTATTTGAATGAGCCGTATTTTT